CTAAAAATATAGTATTTATTTTTTATCAATAGCTCTCTCTCAAATTTTTGGCAACATTATAAAAAGTTATTGCATAATTTAGTTTTACACTACAAATTTATATTTATAATTTTTATTTATTTGAAAATAATAATACAATTTATTTAGAATTATAGATTTTTAATCAAGTAAATAATTTCCTTAATTTATAAGAAATATTTTCTCAATTATATTAAATACTTTTCTATTATTAATTGAATTAAATGCCTAAAATAAATAATTGATTTTCTTATTAAAATACTAATATCAAAATATTTATATATTCCATATCCATTTAGATAATCTTTAATAATATTAATAATTTTAGAGCGTATTATTTTGATTATGTTCATTGCAATCAAAATCAAATATTTTCTGTTCTATGTTTATCTAAACGAAGAAGTATTAGAATTTCTATTTATTTATAACAATAAACTTTAGCATAAAATTATTCATCAATTTTTTTAGATTAGTGTAATAAGGATTACTTAGTTATGAAAATCTGAATATATGTAATTTTTTAGCTCTTCTCTGAATATTGAATAGGATTCGGTTGATTTAGGTGATTTTCTATAAATTTCTCTATTTTTAATTATGTATATCTAAAAAATACTTAAGCTAAAATATTATTTTTATAAATATATAAATGTAAACAATTTTTTATCAAATTTTAATAAAAGAATAAAATAAATAAGTTACCTGAATTGACTGCTCATATGTTTAGATCTCTATAATCTAAAAAAGAGACCTAAAGTAGAATATATATTTAATATAAATAATCAATAATATCTAATCATAAATCAATTTATAAGTGTTCTTGACTAAAAATTGAAATTGATTTCGATAAATCTAATCTACCATAATTTAAAACTTTGGGTTTATGTAGATTTGATAATTTAATCAAAATCAATAAGGCAAAATGATAATACATTATTTCAAAATTTACTACTCCAAAAACATTTATTTATTATCAACATCAAATAAACTAAATAACTTAATTTAAAAAAAAATAAATAATCAAGTTTGTTTTTAGAAAGCTAAAATAACATATTTCTAAATTTCATTAAAGAGTATAAAAATCGTTTGGATTAATTTAAAGTTTTTTCAAGCTTCTTTTTATCTTTCAATAATAAATTTACTTGAATGAATGATAATTTTTTTAGTTTAAATTTTTTAATTTACTTAGACAAATAAATATATTACTTGAATAGGAGGAAATCAATTTCAATATTCATAATTTAAAATGGTGAAATTTATAAGACCTGAAATCATATGAAAATGTAATAAAAGCCATCAATCTGACTAAAATATCTAATCTATTAAGTGAAAATTAAGAAAATTTTAGAATCTAAATTGATGGATGCAAAAAATACTCTATAATATTGATACTTTTGAAAAGTCAATAAAAGAATATAATTGGACTTAAACATGATCAAAATTTACTTCCCTAATGTGACCACAATAAATAAGACATCTTTTAGAATTAATAAAGATTTAATTAACACATAAATTTAGGGAATTCCAAATTTATTGATTTGTTTTAAATAAAAGAAGAATGGTTTTGTGACACTGAAAACTATTTTAATTACATAATCTGATGGGAGAAAGTGGTACTAATATTTAGGGTTTATGAATATTTAAAACTTAATTAGAATTAAGATCTTATCATATCAGGAAGTTATTATCTCAATAATAACACACAAGGGTAAAGTAAAATCAATGGTTTCGTTAATAGACATAATAAGGTTTGATTAATAAAGAATAAAAATAAATCAAAATCTCATAAGGAAATTAGGGGTGAGCGGAAATATAAGTTTTTAGAGTTAATTGTAAAGTATTTTCAAGAATTGATAATTGATTTTTTTCTTAATAAGATTTAAAGATAAATATGAATCTATTAAATAGAAAAACAAAAAAAATTATAAAGTTTGAAATATCTACTTAAATTTGGGAAGGTTGAATAATTAAAAAGTTATAACAGAAGAATAAAAATTAATCTATTTAAGATCTTTTTTTATTTTAGAAATGATCAATATAGATTTATAATATTATTTAGATTTAAAAGTCTAATCATAATATTGATTTGACTATGAAGGAAAAAGAACAAAATAAAGCTATTTCTATACTTTTGATATAATTTTTGTATTATCCTTCTTTTTTGTGAGTGTAATAAATATAAGAATTCTATGGCTCAAATAATCTTAGATTCCTGTATTTTAATGATATTTTATTAATTATAAGTATTTAATAATATATTTTTATCATTTCAATTAAAATAATTATATGTGGTTTAACAGTATTAATCTATTGATTAATTCTTATTTTTATCTCTATTATATAGGTTATAATATCAAAATTAGATTAATTATATATGTAATAATTTTTGGCAATTTCAACGGCCAAGTTAAGGATTAATTCTAATATATCATTGTTTAGTCACCTGCTTTCATTGATAAAATCCATAGATAGCATAGAATTAACATTTTTAAGTATCGATAAATTAGGTATATTAGATTTTAATTTAGTTTGATTAATCATTTTTATTTGATTGGGAAAATATAGAATAATATAGTTGATTTATTAATTATAAAATTACAATATTGATATGCTGCAGGAACAATCAAAATAAAAATATAAATTTGTCTCTACATGTAGTTCTTACTAAGTTATACTTGTATTGAATTAATGCTAGCATCTTTTAATCGTCATGCTGATTTATAAGCTTTTTTGAAACATCAATATTTAATTCTATTAATATGAAAAATTAAAATAGTAAAAAAATTCTCTCTGTATTTGTTCCAAAAGATTTAATGGTAGCTTTGAATCCTTAAATTTTTAAGAATTATTTGTTCTATAAGTTGATATAAAATCTCTTTTAATTTAGTAATCTAAACATTCTTATGTATCAGCAAGTACTAATTTAAAAGTTTAATTTCTCAAAAATCCTTAGAAAATTTATTCCGAAAACAAAAGAATAATATTCTTAAATTTTTCCATATAACACATTTTTTGATAAAAAAATGTCTTAATTGAAAAGTAGGCGTTTATTCTTCCTTCTCTAATAATTTTAGTATTATTTACATTTAAGAATTTGAATTTAAGTATTTTAAATAATCTAATTTTAAAATTATCAATCTATAAATTCTCTTTTTTTATTAAATTATATTTATATTTATTGTTTTATATAAAATTAATCATCTTTTTAACTTATTAGAACTTTAAATTTTCAGTTTTGATAAGGTTTCTTGTTAATATTACCTAAATTGATATTATTATAATTTACTATGCCTTAGATTTAATTTAGTCATAACTTGGTATGTTGTAATTTTAGGTTTATCTTATTTAGTTGATCCTATTGTCCATTGCTTAAATTTAAGGGAAGATTTTTTATAAAACTTCTTCATTAAAATTTACTTTTAATTGGGTGGGTTTTAATTCCATATTGTTTATTTGTACATTCTCACTTAAGCAAAAATTCTCATAATATTGAATATACTTATCAATTTCCTTATCACATTTAGTAGGGCATACACTTCGGATATTTTATTTTATATCATTTTTATTTTTTTTTAAAAATGATATCAGATCAGAATTTTTTTAATTCTTTGATAGATCATAATGGATAGAATTAGATAGATTCATTTGTGTAATTAGTTTATTTTCACAAATTGAAACTAGGATGTTTTTAGGATCAGTTTTGAATTGTTCTTTTACTATTATAAATTAATATAAGAGATTAAGAAAGTTTTAAAAGTCTTCATAAATATAGAATAATATTAAGGCTTATTCCTCTTGTTAATTAAATTGCTTCTGCTATTATTGTTATTATTGATAATGGTAATTAACATTTTGTTGATGATTATTATTAGAAACAACAAAATTTGAGTTATTAGCAATATTTTTCACATTATTACTCATTAAGTTATTTATTAAAATTAAAGAATGCTTATGTATTAGTCTATAAAATAATAGAATAAAATAAAATATTCTATTGCCTATATTGATTATAAAAATTAAATTTAACGATTAATATTTTTTTAAATAGTGAATAGAAAATCAATAATATCAAAAATATTCATCAATTAAATTATTTAATAAATTGTAATAATAAATTGTTGCTTATTTTTCTTGATTTTAACTTTAATGTTGCATTAAAATACTTCATGGTAAGTAAAAATATCAGAGTGAAAAAAGAACATACGTTGTTGTAAACCCTTCTTTACTGTTATTTTTTCTCATTTCAAACCATAAGCCATTTTACTGCCATTCTTATAATCACCATAATTAATGAATTGAATGATACTGTAAATTTAATAGAATTATACACTTGTCAAAATTAAGACTTAGATCAACCCACTTCCCATTTTTTAAATCATCCTTTTTATATAATCCATAAATTTAATTTGAAATAAATTAATTAAAAAGATTACAATGAGTATTTCAAATAAACCTCCCATTTACACAATTTTTTCTATTTTTATATTAACTCTTTAAAATGAATGATTTCCTTCTAATTAAAAAATTATAACTAAATTTATATTCATAAAAAATTTCAATAAGATCTAACAATTTGTCATTTTTCAATCCTTCATCTTAATATTATCCACCACTAATATCCAGTTTTCCATTTTTCAATCCTTTTTGGTCATATATTCCACATCCACTTAAAATAATTTATATAAAAAACATTAAATTAATTTAAATTGAATGTTACTCTTATCTCTAAAATAAATACCCCATCTTCCCTATTGTTTACCATTTACATACACCCACTAAAAGTGATTTAACTCTCTCTAATATTAATTTTCATAAAACTTACTTTTAGAAATTTTCAAATAAATCAACCCAATTATCTATCATCTTCAGACCCATTCTGTCATATTAATCGCCTCTACTAAGTTAATAATAAATTTTTTCATAACGCTATTATTATAATAGATTTTCCATACCCTTGATTTTTTATCTTTATTCTATTCTCCTAAATAAGTGACTTTTATTCTGACTAATTAATTTATGTTAAATAATTACTCAAAATAATTAGAACTTAAATCTAACCACAAACCAATCTTCAAATTATCATAAAATCATTCTCCACTTTCCAAATTTAGATAATAAAATAGTCTATACATATTTTAATTTAATCCTAATATCTCCAAAATCCTATCCTTTTATTATTTACATATTATCCAATCTGAAAAATTTTAGCTTTTCTATTTATTATATCAATATAATTACTCCCTATAATTTTTTTTTATTTCATACCATTATCCTTACTTTTCCCCATCTTCATTATACTATCCTCTTACTTTTCTTAGAGTCTGTCTTTTCCAAGTGGCTACCCATTTATCAATTTTCTTTAGATTTATTTATTCTCCAATCAATTTTAAGTTTTTGATTTGCTTAAATTACTCAATATATCAATTTATCAATATTTTCATTAAATTGATCACAAAACGTATAATTATAATTTATATTCTTATAATATTTCCCTCAGTTGTTATATAAATAATTTTATTATTTGTTGTTTAAACAACTATAATTTTATTTTCTAATAATTTTGCATATTAGTATAATTTATTTTTTAGACTATAACACCAATATAGACAATCCCGTTCAACTATGGCTTTATAATCAAATTCCATTTAATATAGAAATATATTGTTAATAACCGATTAACACATAAATTTATAATCAAAAGTAATTCTAAATAATACTAGTTTAAACATTATTATATTTAGTGATTATTTTTATAATAAAAAATTCTAATTAAAAACATATTTAATAAGGAGAACAAGAATATCTAAATTATTAATCAATTCCGAATTCTACATATTTATTGAATTGTACAATAAGGTTGAAGATTTAATAATTTACCCAATTATTATTATCAGAATAATTTTCTATTTAAATTGATATCAACTTATTACTATTTAAATGATAATTTGGTGATTTCATAAGATGATTATTGCAAAGTGCATTTCTAAAAACAATTATGAACTCATGTATAATTATAAGTTTCATGTAATTTATTAAGTCTTAATCAAATTTATAATAGATATAAACATTTATTATCAAAACAATATTGTTTAAATCCACTTTAGACAAATAACTTCATAATTACCCGTTTGACGCTTTATGAATAACAAAATTTATTTCATTTTTTGTTGTAAATGATTGTAATTATTTAACATTTCAATTGAATTCAAAATCTGATAACTTATTTATTTATAGATTTAATGATTAAATACAAAATTATCTATAAATTTAATTAAAAATAAAATTTGGATTGATAATTTTGGATTTATCTCACATTTAAATATTTGATTTTGATAATTGAATTTGACTCTATTGAAACCTATAAAATTTAAGATAAAAAGTCGAAACTTAAATTAAATTTTATTTATGATTGATATAATAATGTAAAAAGATTACGTTAAATTAATTGTACATATTCTATCTATATGTTGTTGATATCAAGCATCTTTGACTAAACTTAAAGGCTTTTGTTATAATAAAAATTTCTAACTTAAATAAAGAAAATTCCATTTGGTAATGTTTTATTATTTCTCCTAAAATGTCTTTTTGCAATAAGAACAATTTAAAAAATTCAATAAGAATAAATCACTTATAGCATCTTTAATTGCAATTTTATTATATGTATTTTGTAATGATTTATTAAAGATGTTTAAGATCTAATGAATACAGAATTTACATCAATATGTCTGTATAAATGACAATTAATGGATAATTTAATTATTTAAAAAAATATTTTAATGATAAATAAATATGATAATTTATATTCTAATCTTCTTCATTTAAGGGTATGAAAATTAGAATAAACATCTTCTTATTCGATTTAAAATGATTAGCTCTCACAAGCTGACTAGTTTAATTGGCTTAATTCAAATTCCTTATTATATAAATTTTCATTTTCTAAGAATAATTTTCCTTTATGTTCCAATCTGGCTTTTAGTAAAGCTTCTTTTGCTTGTTAAGGTGATAATTTGGTATAATATGGGTTTTATAATTCTAAATGGGAGGTAATGATGCAAGAATAGAATCTATTTTTTATTTAGTTTTGCTGAACTAAATATTAAAACAGTATACCGTTCTTCCATTTAGTTACAAGGCTATCTTAGCCCATTTGGAACCTAAGCATATGTAATTTTAGTAAATAATTTCATCTTCTTCTTATGTAAATGGTTTCCTATTAAGATTTGGATTCAGACAATTATTGTATCTCTCCATACATTGTTTATTACTTTTCCCTTTGAAATGTTTTGAGATTTGATTCCATTTATTTCCATAAGCTGCAACTAATTTTTAAAGTAAATAATCTTCTTTGATATTCCATTTCTATTTTTTTTTTTTCTAATATTTTGAGATATTGCTTACATTTCTTCCCGTCAATCTTTTCCATCTTTAAATGCAAGAATTTGGATTTCTATCTGGAAAACTTTATGCCACTTTACACCAACTTGTTCCATATTTCCTAATTATTTTACGCAGTAAATTATCTTCTTCTAGAGTCCACCTTTCTCTTTGTTGTTGAGTTTTCTTTTTAGATTTACTTGTTCTAGATTCCATTATAGGGCTGTGTTTTGTTTAATTTAATTTTTAGATATCATTTAGGTATTATATTCAAATTAGTTCGTTTTTTAAATCTATATTTTTTTTTAATCTATTTTATTTATCAAACACCTCAAAAGATATAAGCATCTGTAATCTCAGAGGAGATTCTTAAGTTTTTTACTATGATATTGTTTGTTAAGAGTAGAACTATATAAGAAGATTTTGTTATTTAATATTAGACAACAAAATATATATAAGGATATTTTCCAAAAATAATAGAATTAGTAGATTAAAAATTTTCGAGGATGTTTAAATTACATATATCATTATTATTGTATGGTATGGCTAAATATATCTCATCAGTTACATGTTAAATTTAATAAATATATAGTTTTTCATGATAATTGTAGTTGGAAATTCTTGAAAGTTTAATCTAATTTAATTCCTTACATATTGTAACTTCTTGGTTTTTAATTAGGATTTTATAAGATTAAAAGCTATTCCTTTATATTTAAAGTCCATTATATAGTATTTGAGTTTAATCTCTATTTTTAATACATAAACATTATTTTAAAGAGCTAGTTATTATATAATTACAAGGAATATATGATTTAAATTATGACTCAAGAGTAGGAGCAAACTAATAGATTTTGAGAATTTTTCTTTAATATAATTATGAATGAAAAATATTTTGTATTTCTTTTGCTCTTTGACTTATGAGAATGCTAAAAATATTGAGTAAACTGTGTTCAAATTTAATAGCTAAAATCAAAAAATGGAAACTTGCAATGTAGCTTGATATCAAACTCACAAAAATTTAAACTAAAATACAAAATGACATTTAAGAAACTATCATCTTCATAAATAAGTACAATTTCGTTGACTAATCTTTAAAACATATAATTATCATCTAATAGTGATCTGAAATATGAACAAGTAATTAAATTAATTCAATAAGATATTTTCAAGAGTTCATTTATAATAGCCTTTTTTTTATTGATATTTTAATTAAATGAGTTGTCATGTAATTGATATCTTCTTTATATTAAGATATATATTATTTTAATTTATTTAGTCTTCTTCAAGATTATTTATGATATAGTTTGATATTTTAATCATAGTTTTTTCCATCATAAATTAATATTTATTACTATGATAATTAGATGTTTCTTTTATTACAAATAATAAATTTTAGGATTCTATAACTCTATTTTTGATTCATTTATTATAGTATTATTCATATAATTTTACTTTATTTTATATTTTATAGAAATTCAATATATATCAAACATCAAAAATGATAGAAAATATTATCACTTGTAAATATCTTTACTTCATATTGATATTATAAATTTTTCAAGTTTAAAACTCAAAAGTAGCTTCACTTTCTTAACTATAAATACTATTTTATTGCATGAAATTTATAGAGAGTTCTATTATTTATAAACAATTCCTAATTATGGTTCTAAGCCTACCTGAAATAATCTTGTATTTTGAAAAGAGAATTATAAATTTGATACTACTATAAAATTGTATTTTCTAAATTTATAGAAGATTATGCTTCTAATAAATAATGTGACTTTATTGATGATTTATCCATAAATATTCATTATTGGTTTGAGCTATCCATTAAATACAAATTCATTATCCAAATATGAATTGCTACTATAAAATTAATTTATTTGCATTTTTATTTTAAAAACAAGAATAAGGCTTGTTATTCAAAATCATATCAATTCAACTAATCTCCATTTTAAATAATAATTGATTCTAAATAATATCATGCTGATAAATCAAAAATGAGATTCCTTATTTTCGAAGAATAATTTATAAAAGAAGTAATTCTCTTCAAAAATTACTTCATTTGCTATTAACTTAGTGTATAAAATTTAAATTTCGAATTTGTTGCAAAATTTTATCATTCCAAAATAATTATTTAACATATTCTAATAAAATATTATATATTTAATAATGAAAAGACATAGCATTGGGAAAACCTTTACAAAATTAAAAGGATTGAATAAAGCTGATCCTGATGCAATAATCCCTGAAACCCCGAAATTAATAGAAGATTTTATAGAATCTCTTAATTCTCAGGGAGCTATTATCAATAAAGTTAAATATGCAATTTTTTAAACAAAAAATGGTTTAAAATATCCTGGTCTTATAGGTATGTTATTTTTATGATTTTAGCAACTGAGACAATTCAGCCAAATGATAATCTTGTTATATTACCAAGAGAGACATTGTTAACAACAAAATAAGCATTTGAATCTCCATTAAAACCTATGTTTCTAGAGTTTCCATAATTCTTTAGTCCTAAATTTATGCCCAAATGGTAATATCACATAATTTTATCATTTTTACTTTATGAATACTAAAAAGGTACAGAATCAAAATGGCATCTACTAATCAATAATTTTCCTAAGGATATTGATTATGCAGTATTTTGGAAACGTGAGGATTTAGAACTATTGTAAGATCAAAGAATGGTCAAGCATGCTATTGAAAAGTACAGATATTTGATAGCTACCTTTCAAACTCTCTAATACATTACTAGTAAATATCCTGATCTTTTTAAACCAGGGATTGTTACTTTAGATAATATTATTTGGATTTACACAAGTATTGTTACAAGATGTTTTGGAGGTTAAGGGTTGAAATATGTTACTATGGTACCATTTTGTGAATTATTTAATCATGAAAATGCTGATGTTTGTTATGATCTTTAATAAAATGATGGAAGAACTAAATACAATTATGAGTTTATGACATAAAAAGTAATTAAAGGAGAGAAAGATGATGATGAATTATCAGTTTCATCCTTTGATAATTCATTATGTTCAGAAGATGACATTAGTGACTCTGAATTTGTAACAAGTGATTATCATGAGTACCAAGAATTTAATTTTGATGAATATCACGAAAAATCAATCAAAAATTTCACTAATAATTAAAATTAAATGTTTGAAAAATTAAAACTCTATAATGAAGACCAAGAATCTTTTAATAGAAAAATTAAAGAATTATAAGAATTTTAATTGAAATTGAGAAAAGAATTGAATATTAAATTAAATATACAAAAAGATGTTTTCTAATTAGCCATCAATAGTAAAGCAATGCTATTTTAAAACCTAGATTTTGGAGATAATTTTTCGATTCTTTTTTTAGGATAAATTTTCCATATTTTGGATTAATCAATCAAAATGTATTTTTAAGAAGAACTATCTTCATTTAAAGCAAGAGAAATTTTCGCTAAAATTGAATAAATATGTAGTTGTTATTTAGATAATTGGTACACTTTTAATAATGTTGTTAAAAAAAATCCAGTCTAATAAAAAGTCAATTCATTTTCATAAAAAATAGTTAAAAGACCATCAAAAGTCATACCAACAGTTGAATCATTTTTAAAAATGCCTGTTGATAGAAGTTTCAATTATTATTAAAATGTTTGGGAAAATGAAAATTTTAAGAATCTACTTATGAGAACAAGAGATTACTTTGAAAAAGGATCATAAGTGTATTTCTGCTATAGTTAATTGTCAAATAGAATGATGATACTCAAATATGGAATGGCTTTAGAATACAATAAATTTAATAGTGCTTTTTTAAGAATAGAATATTTAAAATATCTTCAAAAAAAGGAAGCCATTTGGATTGTTCATAGATTTAAATTAGATAAATTTAAAAGATTTAAGTTAAAATTTATAAAACCTCCTTATGAGTTGATTATATTTTGCAAATTAGTCTATTGGTAATATCTTTTCAAAAATCTTTATTAGGGATTTAAATATACATACTGTGGAAACTATTTTTTAAATCCAAGATTTGAAACTAGAAAAAAAAGCATTAAATTTAGCTCTTGAAATTATGGATGAAGAAAACTCAAAATTCACAGAAAAAATTGAAGATCTTGAATAATAGCTTAAGGACAAATCCTTAGGGTACCATGAATATTTTGCTATAGTTTACAGATTAGAAAGATTAAGAATATATCGATATAATATAAAGTATTTAATATACTAAAACTAGTCTTATCAACATTATGATAATTGCAATTGATAAAATCATCAATGAAGTTCCGTTTGAATAGGCAATTGAAAAAACAGAGTTTGATTTTGATTTTTATCTAACAAATCGCCACACATTAAAGAAATATTTTGATGAATTGAGATGCGCTCTATATTAATCAAAATGATTTTATTTTAGTGCTAAGATACATTTTAATTATGAATAAGCTACTAAAGAAATTAACAAATCTCAACATATAGAATTTCTATAAAATCTTAATTTTAGTTATTTCATTCTCTTAATAAAAATAACTTACTTCTATAACTAACAATTATACTTGATTTTAATTAAAGTATTCATAATTCTTTTTGATTAAGAGGAGGCAATGTATTTTCTATTCATAAAAATCAAATATTGAGATTAATCAATAAAAAACTAATTAGTTATGAAATATTTTTATTAATGTTGAAATTTATTATAAAAAATCTAATATAGGTATTTATTAATATCTATAAATTACATGTTTTATCTAGAAAAAAAAATTTATTATTAATATATATGGTAAAATTTCAAATAGAAAAAATAAAAGGAATATAAAATACTAATAAGGATTAATCACTTTTTCGTTTAAAGACATTCTAATGAAAATTGTATCTATCAAAAGGCTTAAAATCAATTTATTATTGTTGAACAATTTTCTTCTTCAATTAACTAACAAAAATCAAAAAAAATATGCAAATAATTAATTTATTGTTGAAATCATTTTAATATTAGGACTCATATATGTAAAAGTGCAAATTTTTCACGAAGGAATTAAGATGAAAAATTCAATTTAAATTTTATTTAAATAAAATTTAAAGTTACAAATGATATATACAAATATTACTATGAGAAAAATTACATTTCTAGATAATAGATTATTTGAAACTAAATATGTAAGTTTCCAAAAGACTAAATAAAAAAAAAAATTTTAATTAAAGTTTTTGATTTTTGAGTGAAGCATTGATAATCATTAAATGAATAAATATATAATATTGTAGAATATATATAAATTGATGTATAGAATCAATAAGATTTTTAAATAGGATGATATTTAGATTATGATTTTAAAATATTTGATTAAATTATCATAAATTAAAAAAAGCTTAATATTTATACTTCTTTTGTGTTTATACGATCTCATCAACAATATATAATTAATATTTCTCCATTATATATTTATCATATAAAAGTATTTAATTTTATAATAGTATACCTCAAATATATTGAGTCAATAAAATAGTTACAATTTATAAACTAATTATTTTTGATACATATTATTATAAATTAAATACTTTTAACTAATTAATATATATTGGAGAAATATGAATTATATNTAGTTATTTCATTCTCTTAATAAAAATAACTTACTTCTATAACTAACAATTATACTTGATTTTAATTAAAGTATTCATAATTCTTTTTGATTAAGAGGAGGCAATGTATTTTCTATTCATAAAAATCAAATATTGAGATTAATCAATAAAAAACTAATTAGTTATGAAATATTTTTATTAATGTTGAAATTTATTATAAAAAATCTAATATAGGTATTTATTAATATCTATAAATTACATGTTTTATCTAGAAAAAAAAATTTATTATTAATATATATGGTAAAATTTCAAATAGAAAAAATAAAAGGAATATAAAATACTAATAAGGATTAATCACTTTTTCGTTTAAAGACATTCTAATGAAAATTGTATCTATCAAAAGGCTTAAAATCAATTTATTATTGTTGAACAATTTTCTTCTTCAATTAACTAACAAAAATCAAAAAAAATATGCAAATAATTAATTTATTGTTGAAATCATTTTAATATTAGGACTCATATATGTAAAAGTGCAAATTTTTCACGAAGGAATTAAGATGAAAAATTCAATTTAAATTTTATTTAAATAAAATTTAAAGTTACAAATGATATATACAAATATTACTATGAGAAAAATTACATTTCTAGATAATAGATTATTTGAAACTAAATATGTAAGTTTCCAAAAGACTAAATAAAAAAAAAAATTTTAATTAAAGTTTTTGATTTTTGAGTGAAGCATTGATAATCATTAAATGAATAAATATATAATATTGTAGAATATATATAAATTGATGTAAACATTAGTCAAAAACATAATTTAAAAAGTATTCCGAATGTATTTCATTAATAACCTAATCAGTTATTTGAGGAATTTCAATTGAAAAAACTATAATATTTACACAGAGAATTATAACTGAATGGAAATATTCCTGGAACCTACACTTTTGAAACTTTTTGTCGAACAAGTTGACTGGATCCATGATTGAATAAAAGAGGAAAATGTTTTTTATATATAAATTGTACTTTATTCATTCTTATACATAATATATGTATAATATTCATGATTATATATATTTATTTCTTTTTAAAACTATTTTATCATAATTTTATATTTTCTAAATTTTAATATTAACTTTTATAATATAGTAATGAGTTTGATAATTTAATAGATATTATTTGTTTATTATAGTAAGGTTTTTTAATTATATTTTTATTTTTATAAAATTAACATTTCAAAAAATATAATAAATATCAATATTAGTAAATTAATTTATCTTTAATGTTATTTTTAATGCTTATTTCTCAATTATTATTGTTCTTAACTTTAATCTAAATATAACTGGATCAAGGCATCTTAATATGATTAAATTCAAATTTTTTGATTTAACATAAGCAGACTTTAAATTATTTATAAGAACGATGATTTTTTTATGAGGCTAAATTGATTTTTTATATTAATTGCTAAGAAATAATTCAATGATACTTTTAATCAAAAATAGAATTCTTCTAAGTTGTTATTAAATCGATAATTTAACAGAGAAGCTAATAAACTAAAGTGAAATCATATTGGTCTGTAATAATACATACATAAAATATTAAAGGTTGATATTTAGGCTACATTTTCTTTTGATCATGCTAATTGTCTAGTTTAGATTGTTTTAGAGATGTAGATTCTATCCTTTAATTAAAAAAAAAAATTTAGAAATAATTATTGTTTTTTGTTGTAATATTTTTCAAACCTTAACTTATTAGGCAACGATAGTATATGCTTATGTAATAATTTTAACTTCATTTTCCCTCTTAGCAGATCTTAGATTATAGTTTGATTAGACTATTTCCCTTTCATTTCTATATTATTGAAGCAAATCCAATGCAATAGGTAAATCTTTTTAGATTTGATTTCTGCTTTTAGTCGACAATGCCTTATTTGTAATTGATGAAATATTACGTTTTCTTCATTTCTTCTTTTTAATGTAATAAGTGTTCTTGAATAATCAGCACTTAATCTTTCTCTAACTTCGGTGACTTCTTTAAGTGTTACTTCATATGATTAAGTAACTTTAGCAACATATTCATTTGCACCTGCATTTTCTTGGATTCTTTGATCTCGAATGTTTTCGAGTAATTAAATAATTCTGGTAACAGTGGGAACATCAAATCTGGAATAAAATATTAAGATACTTAGTAGTTACTGAAACAAGTGCTGTAATAGGATGATTTGGTCCTAAAGAGTTAGCAAGTTCATCAACATATTGTTTAGTATGTTATTATGAAAGGACAGTTGTTTTACTTTATTCAGCAAATACAGCCTATTAGAGTTTTGCAATCATTTCATTTAACCCATCTATAGATTTTATATTGTTTGTTGTTCTTTGCTATAAATATTTATAAGTAATACTGATATAGTTTCAATTTCTAATTTATATTAATTTCTGATGTCTTCTTCTTTAGAATTCAAAGTTGATAATTATTTTTCTTATGATTATTATGTACCAATTAATTTGCTAATATCTTCATTTAAATCTGCAATTTATTGATTAAGTCTTTGTAATTCTTTAGCTAATTTTTCTGTTTAGATTTCCAAAATTTCTATTTCCACATTCAATTATCCAATTTTCTAATTGAAATATATTTTATTATTACTTTGGCAAATTCTTGATCCTCTACTGTTTAATCTGAGATTAATTAATCTCTAATGCCTTTAATTTCTTTCAAAACTTCCTCAACATATGAACTTTATAACATTTTGAGTTCAATTAAACCAGCTAATTGCTTAGAAAATTCATTCTTAAGTGCCATTTTATCCATTTGTGCCATAACAACATCTACTTTAGACTACAATGAAGTTTGTAGAGTTAAGGTGAGTAGCAAAACCAGGAAAATGACTTATTTCATTAAAAACGGTATAATAATAAAATATATAATAAGAGTAATAAATTAGTTATGATATTGTTTGAAATAGAAAAGTATCAATCATGATTAAGTATAAATATAATTGTCATATATGATAGATATATAAATAAATCATTTAGATGAAAATAATTTAATTTATCCATCTGCACCTAAAGATGCAAATAAATTATAACTTCCATGATGAACTAAATTGTGAATGTTTTCATCATATTTAGATTGATGTCCTTGAAGTTCTTATATAAATTATTATCTTCTAGTATCCCAAACTCTAATCAGAATTAATATAAATAATTACTTGATCACATTACCAGTTGCTATATAGATAATAGTATTGTTAAGATTAGTAATTGCTGAAGTAATTGGTTCATTTCCACAAATTATTTGTGATATCAGTTTAGCTAAAGAGTAAAGAAGAATTGATACATTATTGAAGATCAAAAATTCTCAATTTTCCATCGTCATGTGATGAAATCAAACAAGATTACTAAAATTGTGTTAGTTGATTAATTTGAGCTTATGAATTATTTTCTTATAAATATTTAATATTTTGAACACTTCTACCATTTTCTGTATCAAAAATAGAGAGTATAGAAGAATTCATAAAACCTGATGCAAAGAGATTTGGATTATGTTATAGCCAAGCTATTGCAGTTGGTGAATCAACAAAATGACCATATTGATTTTTTTATCCAAATTAATAAAGTTATTTAGGTTCAGTTTATGAGTCTTAAATTGGCCATAATTTTATCAAAGAATCTGCTGCAGAAGATAACAATAAATTTTATTGTGAATTAACCTTTAATTACCAAATTGCATCCTGATGAGCTTACCAGGTCATTCTACATTATTAGAATTCTTCAGTTTATCCTAATTGATCACATTCATCTGGCAAAGGAAAATACCACATTTTAATTGCTCCTTCAGCTCCAGCACTAAATATTGCATTTTAGATTCCTTTAAGTCTTTATTCAATTCCAGCAATTGCAAACAAAGGCCCAGTATGATCTCTTAATGTCAAATATGGTTCAATCTAATTTTATTATTATTAATAATTTTAGTAATCCCACAATTTCAATTGACAATCTTCTGAAACTGTTGCTAAAATAGTCATATTATTAAAGAAATATGCATCTCTTACACCATCTAGATGATGTCTTAATGTATTTTATAATTAAACTGGATCTTTTGAAACCATTTAGGTTTATTCCTCATTAATATTTTGCGATTTGCTTCTACTATGGGTTGGAAAACCACTTGTACTATTCATGTTGGTTGGACTTTGTCGACCTGAATTTTAAACTATTGATGTCACATTCTAATTAGGTGTTAACATCACTGATGGTCTATTTGAATGTTCTATTTTTGGTGAACTTGGAGGAGAGAAAATAGATTACAACCCCACTTCTTAGATTATTCTTAAGTTTAAATAACTTATATATACTTTTGCAATAAGGGTCTATAAGGTTTAGCTTTTCTTTTAGGAATCGTTTAATAATTTTAAATCTAACTCTGGTTTTCTATGTTTTCTTTTAGTAATTAATTTAAATAATCAGGAACTTATCCATTTTATTGATATTTCAATCTTTCTTATCTTAATGCTACTTCTAGCATTTTGCATCTTTTGCCCAAATCAGTTATTACTCTCTCTTAACCTTTTACCACTCCTTCTAACTCATTTATTTTCTACTGCATTTATGATTTCTCTAATGCCCATTCACAATCCTTATATTAAACTTGTTTATGTTATTCATGCAAAAATTCCAATACTCCCACCCAATTATATTGTGTCTTAGTATAATGATTAAACTTACGTTTTATTGAGCATTTTTTTGTATCAAAGTGCTTATTGAAACCGACTCTAATGACATTGTTAATATGATTCAAATTTAAATTATTACTTTAAATTACAAAATGCTTGTTAATTATTCTGATAGTGAAGATGATTAGAAATAAAATAATAATTAAGAGATAGACCAATAACAATAATAGATTATGTAAACTAAAATTATACCAATTGAACCATCTATTATAAAGAAGATAAAACCTAATCCAAAAGAATATAAAATACCTAATGCTTTCTTAAAATCAGATGGAAAGATTGATTAAGAAATAAATTAAGAAATAATATAACAGAAAAGTTAAGGAAATAGATTTATACCTAGATAGCTTATATGTAAAAAGAGTAATGTTTCTATTGAATGATAACATTTTATTAATATTTAATAATGAATAAATTAGAAATAATAAATACTCCTAGATTAACTACTTAAACAGAACATGTCAAAAAATCATTCTATAGTAGAGATATAAAAAGTGATAAGAATTTAGAATCTTCTTCTTATCATCAAAGAGCTTAAAAAAATGAGGGTACTTTCAGTCCATCTAATCATTAAAATGAAACTATGTTAGAACAAATAAGAAGATTAAAAGATTAGATAAAATTATAATAGAAAGAAATCGAAAGATTATCATACATTAACGAATATTTAATATAAGCAAATTAAACTAAACTAAATATTTTATAATCAGAAAGATAGTTTCATTCTAAGAAAGTGACAATCAAATTAGGACATAATAAAACAATGAGTGAAAAAAAGAATTATTTAAGTAAATTATTAGATGAAACATCCCAATAAAGTCCTAGTGTTAAACGAAGAATCTATCGAAATCCAACATTAGCTCGATTACATTTAGAATAAGAAAGTGAATAATAAAAGAATGAAAAATAGACTTAAAAGGCATCAACATTTTATGATACTTTGTAATAGGAAGATTGTTTTAGAACAAATGCAATCTTAAATATCTAATTATCTGATGAAGATGCTATGTAATAATATTAATAAGATGGAACTGTATCATTAATGCGAGAATTATTAGATAATGAAGATTCATTTGGGGATATCATTTAAAATATGTCAGCATAAAAATTGTCATTTCTTTATGATAAATTTAAACGAATAATGTCTGATCATAATCAATTGTTCATTTTGGTATTAAGATTAAAAAAAATTGTGATGGGAGCTCTTTAAATGAATTCATCCATTTTATTAGATGATGCCTTGCAAACCATAATAGATAAATGCGTAGATTGTTTAGAATGTGATAGGGCATCATGCTTTATAGTTGATCAAAGTAAGAAGGAATTATGGACAAGAGTAGCTAAAGGAACTTCAGCTACAATCCGTTTATAAGTGGGTCAAGGAATTGCTGGGTTTGTAGCACAATCAAAAACCATCTTAAACATAGAGGATGCATATAGAGATTAGAGATTTAATTCATAATAAGATATCAAAAATAATTATAAGACAAAAACATTATTAGTGTGTCCTATAATGGAAAATGATAAATGTGTTGGAGTTTTATAATGTGTTAATAAATAAAGTGGATATTTTACAAAAGATGATGAAGCATTGTTACAAATTATGTGTGAATTTTCAAGATCAGTTTTAAAAAATGCAATGAATCATGATGCTCAAATGTTAATTTAAAATAAATTGAGGCATTTAATAAAGACTGGAGTTTTGTTATAATCAAAACAAAATGAAATTCATAAATTTATTCAATAAGCAGAGGAGAGATTAAGATCATTAATGAATGTAGATTTTGCAAAAATAGTATATAATGATATATAAGCCAACAAGGTTATACATATTAATAAAGAAGGAAAACTTGATGAATGTGATAATTCTTTAGGTATTATGGGCAATTGTATTAACAGTCAATCAATTATTGCTATATGTAATTGCTATATAAATCCTCTTTTTAATCCTAATATTGATATTGAAACTAGTATGCCAATTATCTGTATGCCACTCAAATATAATAATTAAATTATTGGAGCACTCTAAGTTGTCAATGTTAAAGGTATAGGAAGTAGTGATTCAAAAGTCAATTCAATAGATCTAGAAATGCTAGAATTATTTTGTCTTCAAACTTCACAATGTTTAATATAAATGAAAACCAATTAAATTTGAATTTTTATATATTAATTTGAATATATTTGTATTTTAATACTATTTCTTTAAAAAAAATACAGTAATACTTATTTTTACTATTATAAAGCAAAGCCAATTTACTAATTTTAATAAATATTATCCTAAAATTGAGTTACACATTTTTCAATTTCCTTTTAAGAATGCAAATTAATTTATTTGCTTGAACCAAAACTGGATTAAGCGATTTATTTTTAAATTTGTATGAATATGGGAGATATAAATTAAAAATTGAGTTATTCAAACAATAAATACTTTTATTTAAAAAATGTCCAAATCATATATGATGGACATAATTTTACTAAATATTCTAAATGAAAAAAATGAAATTTAATTTACATCTAATTTGAACTGAAAATGATAGCAGGATTTTTATGATAATGATTAATAAATAAAGCATGATAACACTAAAAATCAAATTTTAATTAAAGTATTTTTGAATCAAATTGTTTCATCTAAAAATTTCTTATACTATTCTTTTGTTAAACTTAAGTCCTTTTTTATTTACTCTACAAAATATATATAAATAGGTTATGGAGTTGCTGATAATCCTTAATATTTGTAAATTCCCTTTATTAATTTTTAAGAAATGAACATAAACTTTAAGTGTTCTTCCCCATAAGTTTTAATTGATTAATAATCAAAGATTTTGTTTATGAATTAACTTTTTGCAATTCTGCAATACTCAATGATATAAAATGTTTTATCCAATTTAGCTTCTATTTAAAATTCAATATCCCCTTTATTTAATTATTTATATTTAATTATGTAATCATTTATTTTATCTAAAGTTACTTATAAATTAAGCATCAATATTGCCAGATTCAAACATAGATCACAGTAATTTCGATAAATCTTTATTACATTATTATTTTAACAACTATAATAATAATTATTTCAGATTATTACCATTTCTCAATAAACATATTTCTATAAGTTTAAAGCCAATCTTGGATTTATTTATAATCTGGAAGTTGAGAAGTATTTTAAAGAAAAGATTATTAGAAAGGTCGAAAATTACAGTTTTCTATATTAAATATTGGAGGATTTCGCATTCCAAATTATTATGCAATTGTTGGAAAATCAATTCTATCTATTGGAGAGTAGGTAATCATTCTTTCTACCAATTAACGATTATTTTGAGATATGTTAAATTAAGGAGGAAATTAAAATGGAATAGTTTTTAATTTCTCATGAAATTCCATTATGCTGTCTCTGTTTGTTTCAAAAGGATAACCTCCTGTTAAGAGAAAATAAAAAAGAATTCCAAACTAAAGATTTAGATTTGATAATATACTGAATAAATATCAATCTTGTGCAATAATTTTTATTTCTTTTGTTTTTCTTCAAATGAATTTTAGGAAATAATATTTTGGAATTAATTAAATGTGGATTATTGATTAAGTTAACTTGAGTTTATATTTGTTTAAAATTTTGATGTATTTCCCTTAATATACGTTAGATCACCTATTCAATTAATATGCTTAGTTAATACTTGGTTTAAATAAGTATTATGAAGTTAATTCTGGAGCCATGAATTCTGGTGTGCCATTTTTTGTGATATTTAAAAAATTCTAATCAGATTAATAAATCTTGCTAATTCCAAAATCTGCTATCTTAAAATATCAATAATCACTACTTTATATATTCCATTTTCAATTAAAATATTTGCTGGTTTTATGTCCCTATGAACAATTTAATACTAATAAAGAATTTTATATCCATTAAATAATTATTTCATTATTTAAACAGCTTCTTGCTCTGTAAACATTTTATTAGATTATTGTCTGATTGTAATTTCCTTTTTTAAATCAGATTCACACTTTTCCATAATAATCACAATCATTTTTTTTTCTTCCATTTAAACACAATAATGTACTCTAACTATGTTTTGATTTTGCTTATCCTTTATATAATCGATAATTTTTAATTCTTTGTTATTCTTAATAGAATTTACATTTACAAACTAAGTCAATTTATCATTATACTTTAGCACAATATTTATTTGGATCATCTTTTTTTAAAGCCAAAAAAACTTTACCATAAGCTCCTTGTCCCAATAATTAAGTTGTATCTATGACATAATTACTGATCTATAAAATAGATGAAAACATAATGCAAATTCTATAATTATTATATATATTAATTTTATTTATTTCATTTTTTTCAGTTATTAATTATCAGAGTTTATTGAATTAAAATTTTTAATTATCTGTATTTTATTTATTTGAATTAAGATCTTTTGATAAATTATGCATGTTTTCTATAATTTTATTCAACTCTATTTATTCTTTATTATTATTTTAATCACATAAAATATCATGATTTTTTGTATGAAATTCTTAATATGCTTGCTGAATTTGAGCAAGACTTTAAAGCTGATTTTAGAGCAATATTAATCTTTTCAAATCTTCCAATCTCCCATTTTTTTTATCCACTTATGAAATAATTTCTTTAACTCTCTCAATATCCTTCTTTATTGTTAATTCTTCTGAATTAATTTAACTATCAGTACTTTTTTCAATCTTTTATTATCTATTAATCTCTTACCAAAAATATAAAATACATAAATAAAATCCTAAATACGCTGGTTAAATATATAATTATTAGCTTTTTGTTTTGAAGTCTTCAGAGGCCTTCTTTGTAAATTAATAGAATTATTCCATATTTTTAGATGAAAATTGTTTAGAAGGAAAGTTATTTATAATAGCTTATGTAGTAAATTTAGTTGCATCTGGTTTATTATTATGAATATTTATATTATTAATTTTATTAATATTATTATTATTAATATTATTATTATTATTATTATTCAAAGTTGTACTAGCATATGAAATTGTAGCTCTGCATGAAATAGGTTTAGAAACATCTATTAACTGATTTGATTGTTAAGTATTTATATTGGAAAATTAATTTGGTATAGCGACTTATGGATTCATTTAGTTTACTATTAGGGGATTTATATTTAATTTTAATTATTATTGTTATTGTTGTGGCTAAAAAGGTGAAAGCGAATTAGTATTTAAATCACTTTATTTATTTTATTGTATTGCAAATTGATTCTAAGGCAATGGTGTTTTTGGATCTAATTGTAATTAAGCTATTTATTAATTTTATGTATTTTATGGAAAAATAGAAGCTTTATTTTCTTATTAGTTAGGAGGATTAGTTTTTAATTAATCTCGTAGCTGAAATTATTAAGGCTATCCAAATTATTAAGGTGTTTTGGAATGGGTTTAAAACATTGTTGATCTTAGTGTTGTTAACGATTGTTAAGCAAGGGTCGATGATTTTTGAGTTTGGGAAGCAGTTTATGATTGATTATGTAATTAAAATTATTAATTTTAATCTATAAAATTAGATTTTGGGGTTGTTAATTAAAATGATTTATTATTAGAATCTTATTAAAAGCTAAATGATTGTGAAATTGTTGATTATTATTGTTATGGCTATGGATTTATTTTTTAAATTAAGGATTACTAAGATTGCTATTATTAAAAGGATGATGGCAATTAATTTTTTTAAAGCAACAATTAATTTTATATTTGCTATGATTATTACAATTAAAATGGCTATTACTATGAAAATGGCTATTACGATGAAAATGGTGATTACTATTAAAATTGCTATTACTATTAAAATGGCTATTATTATTAAAATGGCTATTATTATTAAAATGGCTATTATTATTAAAATGACTATTACTATTAAAATAGCTATTACTATTACTATTAAAATAGCTATTACTATTACTATTACTATTACTATTACTATTACTATTACTATTATTATTATTATTATTATTATTATTATTATTAATATTATTATTAATATTATTATTATTATAATTATTCTTATTGAGTTTGGGATTATAAATCTAAGTTTTAATTATTTATAGATATAATTTTAATTTTAGATTGTGTAAAGTTTTTTAACTATTAATTTAATGTTTCCCAATCGATTCTTTCATTTTAATCAAATATCAACATCTTATCTATTAATGATAAAAAATTATTATTAAACTAAAATAAAATTAAGAAATTACATTTTTATAGGGTTTCTTGCATTAAACTGGAGTGGATTTAATATTTAATAAAATTCTCTTTAAATCTTCTATACTATTTGGTTAACCTTAAAAATAATTGGCCCCTTCATAAACAAGCTGATACAACATTACTCCTAGCTAGTGATATATAACATAAATACTGAGAATATATCACATTTATTATTATAGTCATGAGAAAATATTATTTCTGGGGCAGTATAGATGGGTGTTCCTGCATAAGTATTAGTCAATTCTTTTGATTGTTAGAGCACTTTTCCAACTCCAAAATCAATAATCTATTTAAAAGAAGATTTATACTTTGATAATTATTTTATTGGTTTGATTATTATGTTTTATTAAAATATTTTGTGGTTTTAGATCTCTATGAATAATATTGAATTTGGTAATATGAAGATAGCCAGTGACTATCTATTATACAATATCTAAAGCCTCCTATTAGGATAGATCAAATTATTTTTCTCTGAAATATTATTCAATATTTTTTTCACATTTTTCCATGACCAAATATGAATTATCCTTTTATGATAAAATATCTTCAACCATTATAATATTTTCACAATATGTATTTTCTTTGATTAATTTGTAGGCTTAAAGTTCTCGCTACCCTTCAATATTATTGGAATCTATTTATTTTGTACAATATTCTGTGTTTTAATTGATTAGATCATAAGTTAAGTAGGTACATCCTTAACTTCCTCTACCTAATGATTTTAAAAAATCTATATAATATAACTTGGTATTTTTTTAGTTTGGTAAGATCAAAAATTTAGGCTATAATACTTGCATATTAGCCAATTCAGACCAATTAATCCTTTAATTTGGATCGTATACTATCATTTTTTCAATTAATTGTTTTAAAGCTGGATCAATTAATCCATCTGGTATTCTAAATTTGTTAAATTTAAGTTATTCTTAAAATTTTTAAAGCTCTTCTTATGTGACAGGGTAAATATGGTATTAATTTTTAAAGCACATTTAATATAATATTAATCCTAACTAAATCTATTATTTAATATTTACAGAATAAACATCACATTGATCATCATATTCATTATTTTGTGTGATTTCAGGAGCTTGATAAAATGGAGTACCAGCATTTTCCCTCATTCTAGTTTAATTAAGTGATGCCACTCCAAAATCAGAAATCTAGAATCAATAAATTTTATGTACTTTAATAATTACATTATTAGTTTCTAAAACACGCAAGACTAATATCGTTCTTGGATTCAAATCTCTATGAGTAATTTTTAAATTCTTTAAATGCATATACCCTTAAACAATTTATCCAAGGATATTATAAATTTCTTCTTTAGACAACCAAAAGCTTTGTCTGTTTTTTAAATATTAGTCCAAAGTAAAATCACAAGTTTCATGTTTTGATTCAATAGTGTTATTATTTATTGTAAGCTAAATGATTCGTGTAATATTTTGGTGAGGATATTGGTCTAGCAATTACTTAATTTCCTGCAAAAGATTTATTTAGTCTTATAAGTTTGATGATACTTGAGTTTGCATTACATCAATATTTTAATTGTATGTTGTTATTGGATATGCATTAATATATGGTTTCATTATTTTGTCAATAAAAAAATTTAATAGAAAATCAAATTGAAGATAAATAATCAGATTATATAAGTAATTTTATCAAATATATTTTAATGTCATTCAGAAGATTTAGATTAAACTGTTTTCATTATGTAAGATGAGTTATTTTCTTTGATGGTTTCATTTGAATTTAATTCAGATATCTTATACAAAGCTTCTTATATAGATTTTATAAAAACTGGTTTAATTACAACATGTATCATTCCTGCTTCAAAGCATTTTAAATGAGATTCATAGTCTTCATGAGCAGTACATCCGATTATTGGAATATAACTAACAGAATTAATAATAATTAATTTCTCTAATTATCTTGTTGTTTCTATTCCATTCATTATTGGCATATCTATATCCATCATAATCATATATATTTAATCATGATATTGCAAAACTAAATCAATACATTATTAACCATTAAAAGCTTTCAAAAATTTATTAAAACCTATATTTTTTAACATTAAACATAATGTTTCATGATTGAATGGTTCATCATCTACTACTAATATATATTTCTCAGTTTTTGAAATCTATTATATTGCTGAATCAGCTGAATGTATTTTTGAACTTGTTTTTTAGCATTATTAATTATCAATATGTTTTTTTATAGATTTAAATCTTTATCTTTAATGACAATTTTTATGATTATCATTTTTTGTTTATAACATATTTGGAATTTATGCAATAGGTTCAACATCTACGATTTCTGTTTATTACAAGGATGCAAGTGAATTATAAGATTTGAAATTAAATTATCTTTGAGATAATTACTTGAATTTAGATATTCTTGGACTTTATTAAAAGTTGTTTTTATTCAAACTTCTTAAAGATTTTTATTTATTTAAACTATTATTTTTTGATCTACCAAGTGAACTTTCAGATTGTAAATCTTAAGTATCACTAATTGAAAAAGTAAAGAATAATTGATTATTTTATTAAATTCTTAATTATAATTTACTATTATCTCCACTTAATAATTTGATTAATTTATTTATTAAATATAGATTGATTCCTGAATTGATCCTATTGTCATCACATAATAATTTATTTGATTTATTTGTTGTTGCACAATGATCTAATTAATTTAATTAATTTTTTAATTATTAAATTTATTCTTCATTTATTCCTGATCCTTCTTCAATTATTGTAAAATATGTTATTTTATTCAATTAATCCAATTTAATTTCTAAACTGATACATCCCCCTTCATCTGTATATCTATATGAAGTATTTAAAATATTTAGTAAAACACGAATTAATTTATTAGAATCAGTATAAATAAACCAATATTTTGAATCCAATTTATCAAAAATTTCATCATTAATTTTAAATAAAACATCTATCTTTTTCATTTTACATTAATTCTCTATTAAATCATATAATTCAGATAATAAAGATTATAAATTTGTTTTATTGTTCATTATAGTTAATTACTCAATCTCACATGACAAGTAATCAAGTATATCTTAGACTAAATATAATTATAATCTACAATTTAATAAAGCTGGCTATAAATATAATTATTTAACTTATTCCATTATATTTTCATCATCATTAGCTGTTATTAAATGGCCAATAGCTCCATTTAAAGGAGTCTTCAATTTATGATTAAAAATATTAATAAGATTTTATTTATATTTGGATATTTTATGATTTTACCAATTTGTTAATCCATTTTCAATTTTTATATAATATAAAAGATAGAAAGCATCTTTTTATAAATACTTAACTTAATAAAATACTTTTTAATTAATACAAGGATCATTAAGAACAGCTAATATATAATATTATCTATTATTCTTTAAAAATAACAATAATTCTTTTGGAGATTTAAATATCATTTTGGTTTATAAATTTTATTGATTAGATTCCAGTACTTAAAAATCATCATTATTTAAGTAAAGTTTATAAAATAATTCTTATTCATCAGTGCATAAACGTATTTGATCTGATTTTGGAGAATTTAATACATTTTTTACAGACTATTATCTATTAATTATTAATGTGTTCTTTTAATTAATGGAAATGTTATTGTAATTTCTATCAAATAATTAAAGAATGCAGTCTTATTTAAATTGTTTTATTAAAAGACGAATACATTGATTAAATGGTTTTTATTAGATATAAAATGAATACCCTTCTTATATAAAAATAATGATTAATTCCATGCAATAATGTTCTTTAGTTTTCAGAATCAATATCCATAAAGAATCAACATAGTTGAATGCAATTTGAATTGAAAATAAAGAAAGAAAAATTAATTTTTAAGAGCCAATCTTTTTAAAAAGATATAATACTGGCCATGTTAACGTTGGTCCATATAAGATAATCTCCTTTCCATAATATAAAGTAATCATAATTATCGATATCTATTTCTTTTTTAGTAATAACATACTTACTAAGATCAAATTATATTTATACCGATATTAGACAAAACTAATAGACTGGAGAGTATAACTTTAATTTATGAAAAATTCTGAAATGTATAGGCAAAATCAATAATGGATAATAGTGCTAGAGTAATTCTAACTCTTTATTCCTTGGAAATATGCATTTAATAAATAAATTTATATAATGTCGACCTTTACGTTGTATGAAGATTATACTCCTCCATCATGGTCAATGAGACCTAAGCTACCATTCTATTTAGAAGTATTAAAGAATGGAGTATTAATTGAATAAAAGAAAATTGACAATGTATATAGGACATTAACTTATATAGAAAGCAATGTATTTAATAGGAAAGAATGAAAAAATATGTGATATTGTATTGGATAATCCTACAATAAGTAGAAAACATGCAGTATTACAATCAAAGAATACAAATGAATTTTATTTATATGATTTGGGTAGTACACATGGAACATTTGTAAATAATGTAAAAATTCCAACAAAATTATTTCATAAATTAAAACCATATGATTAATTGAAATTTGGATAAAGTATTAGAATGTATATTTTGAGATGTGAAGACTTAGAAAAAGAGGTATATTTAATATATAAATAAAATAGGATGCAAATATATAAGAATAAGAATTATAAAAGAAATTAGATAAAAGAAATGCTAAAAGAGAATTTAAAACAGTAAAGGAACATTATTTAAATCTATTGTATTAGAATCCACTTTATAGACATATGAAACCTAGAGTATATATATAAATTATTAAAAAATTAGAAAAAAGAGGAATCAGAAATAGAAGGAATAGATTGGGGAATAGATGATGAATAAGAAGTTTATAGATATCATTAAGAATAAGAATATCCATTAGAACCAGAATTATTGCTTTAATTACCAGGTTTATCAGAATAATTGATAGATAAAATAAATAAATATAGTGAAAAATTATCAACTTATCGTTAATAATAAGAAGAATTAGATAATTTGATGGTAAAAGAGAGAAAGAATTTTGGATTGGATGAATAATCAGGCAGAAATAAATGTGATTTAGAAACTAAAGTTTAAGAATTAGGATCTGAATTAGAAAGTTTAGAAGTTGGATTAAAATTTGTTTTATTTGGAGATAGAGTTTAAAAGATTAATAAATTTGAATAATAAGCTGAAGTGAGTTCAGAAGAAGAAGATGAATTTTATGATAATACTTTAAAGAAAAAAGAAAATACATAAGAAGTTGAATAAGTAAATAAAGAAATTAAAGTAGAAAAAACTACTGAATCATATTAATAATTAAAAAAAAGATTAGAGTAATTAATTGAAGAAAGAGATCTATTAAATAATGAATTATTAAATATTTAAAGAAATGAAGAAAAAGAAATAGATGAAGAAGATGAATTAGATAATTATATGAAATAAACAGCTATTACTATTGCATAATAAGAAAGACCTAAATTATTGGATAAATTAAAATCTGTTATAGATAATTTAACTAAAGTCTCAGAATAATTGAAATTTGTTAAACCAGATATTAAATTATCATTTTTTGATGATGAAGAAGATGATAATCCTATTGAAAATTCAAATAATACTACAGTTTAACAAAATTAAATTCAATAATCTAATGATCAAATAAAATAAAAAAATGATAATACTATTGAATAATTGAAAAAATTAAAAGAATAAGCAGAAAAGGAATAAGATGAAGAAGAAGATGAAGAGATGATATTAGAAAAAGCTAGAAAATATTTTGAGAAGGAAGCAGAAAAGGAAAGTCAAAAAGAAAAATAAAAGTTTAAATAATTTAAAGAATAATAAAAGGTTTAAGAAATATTGTAATAGTATGATAAAGAATAATAAGAATTGATTTAATAATAATAGAAATTGGCTCCAAAACCAAAACCCCATCCTAGAAATTATAGAGAATCTGAAATTGAAAAGGATGATTATATTGATATAACCAAGTTTTAATGAAATCATTTATATTATAATTGTAATTAATTCATAACTTTTTATAATTTACCTACAAACTATTCTAATTCTTCTTTTGTCATTTCAAATCTAATCTTTTTTTTATTGGCTATATTATCTAAAGTTTATAAATGCAATTCTACAATTATTGTAGGAATCTATGATTTAGCTATTTTATTGGATGATATTGTTAACTATATAGAATTATAAAAATATACATTTAAATTCCAATTATAATCAATTAATACATATTTTGATAATGCAATATGTGTATATAATGCTTATTTACACATTCCTTTAAAGTTTTCAGTTATTATTCTTGTAAATATTTAATGTTTTTCTGCATCTATTTATGTTTTTAATTTATCTAATAATCTTTACACTTCTTCTCTATTTTGATTATTCATTTCCAATAAATATTCACTAAATTACTACATAAATTATTGAGCCTCTATGATTAAATTATAATGATTAATTTCAGGAAATTGATTCAAATAAGGTAATTTAATTCCATGTACACAATCAGCCACAAGATCTTCAATGAATTTCTCAAATTAATTATTATCTGTAAACACACTGAATACTTATGGCAAATTCATAAATTTATATTAATTATATAAAACAATATATTATTAATTTTTAAAACTTACATGAGTCAATAAGAATATAAATGGAATGAATTATTATGGAAACCAATTGTTAGACCTCCAAGACATTGTTATAATCTTAAAGATCTTGGAAATGAAATATTTAAAGTCAAAGATACAATAACAAAAAGAACAGACTTTGAAATACATAATAATCGAAATTAGAAATTATAATGTAGGTTAGAATACTCATTCTATATAGTTTATTTGAACCTGTAAGAATGTAAGATAAACCTCATCCTTGTATGATATATTTACATGGTAATTCAAGCAGTAGAATTGAATCATTCACTATTATTGAATATTTAATTCCAGCAAACATTTCAGTTTGTGGTATAGATTTATCTGGTATCTTAAATTAAGTGAATAAGGTTCTGGATTATCAGAAGGTGAATATATCTCTTTGGGATATCATGAGTCTAAAGATGTTATTTGTTTATATGATTATTTAAGAGAAAATAAAGTAATTATTTAATAATATATAAGTTTCATAGGGATATCTTACATCTATTGGAATATGGGGTAGATCAATGGGTTCTGTGACAGCCATCTTAGCAGCCCATTATAACTATGAATTTAAAGTATTAGTTTGTGATAGTCCATTCTCTAATTTAACATTATTATGCTAAGAATTAGCAAAAGCAAATTACAAAATTCCAAATTGTTGTTTTAATTGTTTTTGGTGCTATGTCAAATCTAAAATAAATTAAGAAGTTAAATTTAATATTGATGAATTAAATATAGTTCAAATCATATAAGGTAATAAATAAATAATACTTAGTTTTACCCTAGGATGTTCAAATATTATTTTTATCTGCTCAATAAGATGATTTGATAAGAGAAAGTCATCCTAAATTGTTAATGAAATTATTTCGTGGACATAATAAGGAATTATTTAGTTTTGAAGGTACACATAATTCAAGGAGACCTGTCAAAATATTGGAAGAATCTGTTTAATTTGTATGTAAAGCATTTGGTTAAAGAGCATGGACTGAACTTTAGATATAAAACACTACCAAATACTCATAAACTTAATTATCTAAATAATATCCATTATTAAGAGGAGACCGAAAAAGTGTCTAACCCTATATAGAAAAAGGTGATTATTAATGATTAATATAATTAATAAATTATATCTAAATTAGATGTTTAAAGTTTAAATTTGAATAAAGTAAAATTAAACAATTAAAAGAAAATATATAATTTGAATCTATTATAAATGATATCAAATATCTGAAGAGGAATCCTTATATATAAAATTTAGATAATTAGTTTATTTGTTAATTAAATATTGATTAGATTAATATATATATATATATAAATAATTAATATAATGGATAACATATACTCAAAATATATCATCCCAATTTAACCAGAGAAAAAATAAAGTTCATCTCCTAATTCATAAGTAGGATTTAATAACATTCAAGTATATTGAATTTAGATTATAGTAATTATTAGAAGATTATAGTCCTTCAAATAGAAAACTTAGCTTTTCTGAATATAAAAGTCAAGAACTTAAAGAATCATAATAATTGTCAAGTCAAAATAAATTAAGTCAAGATTTCCAAAGTGAGTTTGCCAATTCTCAAGTATGAATTATATATTTTATCTTAATAATAGATTAAAAAAGATTAAATTAGTATTGATATGAATAAAAAAGAGTAATAAGAATTTTAATTTTTGAAAGATGATTAACTTCTTTAAACTAATACTATTATTGAATCACCAACAAAGATTAATGGAGATGATTCTCCAAAAAAAAATAAATTTAAAGCTTTTGGGAATTTACTTTTAAGTATTAGAAGAATGTAATAAAACATTGTTGAACATATATCAAACCTAGTATATTTATTAAATAGATTAATTAGGATTAATTAAAAGAAACAATGATCTAACCATCTACTAATATGAATGTTTCTAAAATACATCCAGAACCATCATCAAGGGATTATGAAAATGTTAATGATATCTTATCAAATTTAAAATTAGTAGATAGATTCATTTATTATTCTGAATAAGGATCATAAAAGGATATTCAAAATATGATTAAATTATTAAAAATGTATCCAAAAAAGTAAATTAATTTTATAATATATATTTTAGACATTTATATTGTCCTACTGATCCAAAACATATATTGAATTCTTTCAACAAATTTGGATAAAATTCTTTATACATATCTTGTAAAAATGGAAATCTTGAAGTTATTAAATTTTTATTAGATTAATAAGCAAATCCTTTTATAAAAAGTAAAGTTTATGAAAACTTTTATGAATCTCCTTTAGAAGTCTCAATTAGATGGAATCATTATCATTGTGTTTAATTGTTACTAGAAAAATCTAATTATTCAAACAAAGAATTAAAAGCAGCCATTCGATAAACTACAAATCCTCAAATAAAATAACTCATTAAATCAAATCTCAAAGCAGATACTCTTTGCTGTTTTTGATAAATATATAATTAATATTCTCTATCTATAAATATATATATATATAAATATTATTATAATTCAGTCCAAGTGTAAACTCCATAAAGCACCACATATACCTAAATAATATATAACTCCATTAAATTATATTGAATCTATGACATAATCATTAATTATTTCTGGTTTCTCTTAAATAGGTTGGAGACTAGAATCAAAGAAATTATGAACATGCTTAAAAACTTAACATTCATTTTTTGTATTAAATAATTGCCATGTTGTTTAAAGCATTTACATTCTTAAATGTTCAGAAACATCAATAGGAGAATAAATTTTCTATTTAATAATAATTTATAATTTACTTTATTTAATCGAACCTATGTAACTCCATTATATTTATTTATTTTTAAATTTACTATTGCTATTCCTGCTTATTAAATTAATAAATTCAATACTAATTATGATTCAGAATGTGTTTCTATATGTATCTAAATTATTTCTTCGTCTTTACAAAAATTCTTATCTGGATATATAGCTTTAAATTACTCTAATTAATCAAATTTATTTAATGAATAGATTGTTACTTAATTTTAATATGTTAATATAATAATATCTTTTGACAATTTTATCTATTAATATTTATATTCTTCTTTTATTTTATGTATTCTCACATCTATTTTTCTATTTTAATTTGCATTCATAATACAAATAGATGAATCATTTAATAATAATCCTATATTTTCCCCTTCAATATCTGCATTATATATTCTTTTTTATTCTTATCCAAAATCTTGAATTATTTCAAATGAGTTATCAAAATATTTATAAACACAATTTTAAGTAATAAGTATATTATTTTTTAATAATAAAACTTATTCTTGTTTTGGAAATATATTTACATCTAAGTATCCTATTTCTTGATCTCTTAAACTTATTTTATCCAAACTTTGATTATTTAATAAATAAAGTTCATTTTTATTACTTAAAAAAAGTGAATCATTTTCCTTAATTGAAATATAATAGTCATTCATTTCTTCAAAAACTAAGTATTTGATTGATCTTTATTATAAAATAGTTATAAGGTAGAAATTATTAAAATGTTATATTTCTTATACAATATTATTAATACCAACTGGATTATTTATAATTTTGACATTTAATTAATTATCAAATACATAACATTATCCATTTTAACAAAAAACTATATATTCATTAGTAATATTATTGTAATTAATCAATATAGCTATTGAATTCATTTAAAATGTTTAAAGTGGAATTCCTTCTACTTCTACTTCTCCTTAAAATTTAAATTGAGTTAATTAACAATCAAATCTACAAATTATCAAATTTTATTAATCTATATAATAACTACTTAAGTCAAGATATTATTATGATTAAGTTTTAAATATTAATTTATTTTGATCAATTTCATATAATTAAATATAACCATTATTATTGAATATTGTAAATTGATTTTATTTAAAATGAGATTTAATTACAATTGCTTCCTAATTAATTTGATCTAACAATTACAATTAATCATTTTATATATGATATAATTATAATTTTTAATCATTTGATAATATAACATATTAATTATTTAGTATCATACATTGTTGTATTTAGCTTTAATAATTTAACACTTATAATTATTGAATATCTTAATATAATTAAATTTAATTATTAGTGATAATTAATAAATATTAATCTACTTACAAAATTTATTTGATTATTAATGTTTAAGAAAATTTAGTAATAATTTTTTTTTCTTTCATATTTTTTATATTCTTAAGAACAAATGGTTTGCTATAATCATTATACTATTTAATAGCATACAAATTATTTTTAAATTCAAATAGGTTAGTCATATTTCTACATAATTATAATTGGAAATTTAATACAAAATTAGCATCAAATACTGAGATTCCATCTTTTGAAACTATAATTAATAATTCATTATTTAGTAAATAACTCAATAGAATTTCTTCAACATCTAATTTGATAACATTTAAATGATTGCTTACTTTTTACTCAGTTTTTAATGTTATTAAATCAATTTAACCATTTTCTTGAATTATTAAATATTAATTTTTATTTAATCCATATTCTAATATATCTATTATTTTATTATTTATTAGTTTTGAATAATTATTAATTTCTTTGAATGGATTTAATTAATAAAATGAAAGTGTTTAATAAGAATAGGTAACTAATATATTATTTTTTACAAATAATTTAGATATGTTTGAAAATCTTTATATTTATTAATTTTCAAGTAAACAAATCTCTTATTAAGTTTTTAAATCATATTATATTAATTTTTTGGTTGTATAATAAAATATTAATGTATGGTCTTCTATTTCATTTACACTTATAATTCTTACATCCTTTTTCATGAAATTCTATTCTTCTTATATACTTAAATTGATTATAATCATTCCTTATATATAATCAGATGCATACAGGAAATTCTTAACATAAAATAATTTATATGGCATTTTTAATTAACCTTACAAACTCAATTATAATGTGATTTAATGAGTCTTAGGTTAATATAATTCAATATGACCACTTTGATATAAAATGGCAATTTAAAATTAATTTAATGGATATTGAATAGGAACTGCATCAACTATTTTTTCATTAGCTTAATAAATTAGATTTAACTCATTTTCCTTTAATTGTACCAATGAATATTCTTAAACAATAATTATTTCTGATATATTATGGCTATTGTTATTTTAAATAATCTTAATTATTTGAGAAGGCTATTTTAATTGTTTCATCATTAATAAATTAAAACTAAATATATTAATTATTAGAAAATAAATATATAAATAATTTATTTATAAAAATAGAACTAAGTTAATGAATCTAAAATCTATAAAATATTTATATCTTCAAAATGATTAAGAATTTTTAATTGTAATCATTTTATTAAATTAGAATATTTTATAATATAATAAAAATTATCATATTTTCTTTAATTTTTTATAGAGATTATTCAAACTATTAATGTTTTATTCTATGATTAATAATAATTTATAAATTTATACATTAGATAAAAAGTAAATATATGAATAGATTCATGAAATATGATTAATTTTAATTAGATTTTATAATACTTTTCTGGAAGATTGAGAAATTATTAATAATTATAAAATTGATTAAAATTCATAATGGTCAAGAAAGCTGCTCCTAAGAAATAAGATACTAAAAAAGCTCCAATTCGAAGAACGAGAACTATATAGGCTTTAATAAAAGATAATGAGAATATTGTACATGAGAAATTAGGTTAGACTAGAAGTAAAAGTAATGGTAAATAACTCTTATAATACTTAGGTGTATAATAAAAAAAGATTACTAAGTAGACATAAGAGGTGAAATAAAAGAAATTAATTAACGAAATAGATAAGAATGAGCCTAAAAAGAATTCAAATTAAAAAGAAGAAAAATAGACAATTAAAGATGATACAAAATAAAAATAATAAGATGAAGTCTAAGTTGTTAAAAATAATAAAGAAACAAATTAAAAAGTCAAACCTGTTTAAAAAAAAATTATAAGTAAAAAAAAAAGTACTCCAAAAAAAAGTCCTGTTAAAAAAAGTACAACTAAAAAAACTCCAGTTAAAGCTAATACTTCTAAAGATGACAAAAAACCATAAGTTGTGGAAAAGAAAAATGAAAAAGAAGTTAGTAAAAGTGAAAAAAAAGTAGAAGAAAAATCTGAAAAAAAAAATAAAGATAAAAGTGAAAAAAAAGTTTTAGATAAATCTGAGAAAAAAGATATTGAAAAATCAGATAAATTAGGAAATGATAAAAGTGATAATAAGCCTGTTGAAAAAACAGATAAGAAAAATGAAAAAAAAGAAAAAAGTGGAAAAAAAGAATAATAAAAGGAATAATAAGAATAAAAATAAACAGATTCTGTAAAATTACCTAGAAGAACTGAAAGCAAAGCTGCAGCTGGGATAGTTGATGTCGTATTTTGTGTAGATACTACCTCCTCTATGTCTTAATATTTAACTTAAACAAAAGTAATTATTTATAAAATAATATAGAATACTGTAAAAGAAATTATTAAAAATATTAAAAATAAAGCTTAAAATGAAGACATTAGTGTTAAATTTGGATTTGTATGTTATAGAGATCATCCTCCTTAAGATGTTTCATATATAACTAAGATATAAGATTTATGTGGAGAAGATGAAATTATTAAATTTATAGATTAACAAGATGCTTATGGAGGAGGAGATGCACCAGAAGCTGTCTTAGATGGATTGTATGATGCAGCAAAAAAGATTGAATGGAGAGATCCCACTAGAACACCTTCATTAAGATACATTTTTCATGTTGCTGATGCTCCTCCCCATGGTAAAGAATTTACTGATTAACATTCACAATGGCCTAATGGTGTTCCGTATTATTTAACATATATATATATAGATCTGGTGTAAATCTTGATAAAGTTACTCATGTAATCAACATTAGAGAAATTCATTATCGATTGATAAATGTCAATAAAACAAATATATTGGACAAAATGAAAAAGTTATTTAAAGAAAAATTTACTAATTATGAAGAAACTGATTTGTCTAATGCTAAAGAAATGGATTTTAAAGTTAGTGATATGATCATCAGAGAACTATTGCCAGATGTCGATTATAATGATTGAATCTTCATCATCATATAAACAATTATATTTTGTTAAAGAAAGATATGTATAATGATTTAAAGGTATTATTTCAATGTTATCATCTCAATTAAATAGTGGAGGAGAACTTTAATTGAACCCATTTAAGAGGTGATGATTTCATTTCTGTTCTTTTAGGATATAATATATCAGTAATATCTGTTAGAGGAATACGACTAATTCTTTATTTATTAAATCTATGTCCATCTTAATAACATTCATTCTCCTTGTTTGGATTTTCAACTTCTATTTAAAATTTTAACTATTTTGAGTTCATTTTCAAATTCAAATTCAATTATTAATAAAATTATTTAAATATTAAGAAATTATAATCGTAAAATAAAATGTGTATTTTTCACTAAAAATTTGTACAAGTTATAAATATATAATAAAAAGTACAAAGTTAATTTAATTAATTAATAAAACCATATTAGGTTATCTGAAATATTAAGCCTACAACCATAGTTTGTTGATAATATATATTTATAATTTATTTTAATGGGTAATTTGTGTCTTAGAAAAAAAGAGAGATCCTAATAGCCCTAAGTATTTAATTTATAAAATAAAGTATAATATTGCAGATGAAAATCACATAATCTATACTCCAGCTAGTTTAAATGAATTAGATAAAATAATAAAAATAGAATCTTAAGGTATCTATATTATCTATTACTAGAAGCTTTGATTTTGAATATCTAAAATAAGTAGGACTAATTTTAGTATGAGAATAATTAAAATACTATTCAAATTTTAAATGAACTTGATAAAGATGCTCTTATTAAATAAGGACAATTAGCAAAGGAAGAATTATCAAAAATTAAATAACAGGTTAATAAAATAATATTTTTAGTAATATGATGATGCTGTTTTGTATTTTGGAAAATAATCATTAAAAGAAAATCTACCAATTAAATCAGAATAAAATGATGAATAAAGTGTGTAGATTGAATTAGAGAGAATTAGAGGACAATAATACATTTAATAATAAAGAGATTAACAATAAGAACATTAAAAATTTATATAAAAATAAGAGGTTGAAAAATTAAGATTATAAAAATATGAATAAGAAATTATATAAATTGAAGTAAAAGTATAAATATTCACTTATATAAAATAGAATTAAAATTAGATATAATATTCTCAATATAAATTTGTATGGTACTTTTAATTTACTTTATCATAGGTCTTAAGGAGGTAGTAAGGTATTCTTAACTGGTAGCTGGTTAAATTGGATAGATAAAATTGAATTACTATAAAAAGACAATAGGTACATGTTATCTTAATTCCTAAGATTTGAAATTGAAGTAAATATACCAACAGGAAATCATTAATTCAAATTTATTGTAGATGATGAATGGAAAGTCAGTGATTAGAATGAATACAATGGTTAAAATAATTTAATAAATGTTTGAGTAAATGTTCAACTAATTCATAATCAAAAAGAATCATTATAAATTATTAACCTTTTTGAATCAAGCATAGTCACAATTTTTCTATAAACTACTTTATTATATAATTTTAATTGTTAATTTAAGAGAATAAAAATGCTTTAATCTATAAGACAAATATATAACCATTTAGTACAAATACTTGTTAAAAAAGCAGCACTTTTATTTCACTCACTAAAATCATTATCTTAAATAAAATAGTTATGATCTCTTGTTTAGGGATGAATGCAATCTAGATTATAAAATTTATCAAAGAAAATATGACAGTTTAAGTAGAAATATTTATATCATAATTATGTATATTTATGAATTATTAATTGGCTATATAATTTAATTCTGATAATATTATTATTAAATGATAATTGATCAGATTGTATTTAGATTATTAGAACTTTTTTTGGACTTAATTTATAGTTTTATGAATAAATAAAGCAGCAAATGTAAAGATACATTAAAATCTAATTAAAGATGACTCAAAATGAAGTTCATACTATTTATTATATAATAATCAAATTAAACATAATTTCTTGATGTTATAATACTTGATTTTTAATTAATTTATTTATATTCTATAAGTTTTGATTTCTTTAAAAAGCATATTTTTCTAATATTTTTTTTTTTGAATAACTTATTTCTCTAAGATTTTAGATTAAAGCCTCATTTCAAAATTGATTACAATAAATATAATATTAACATATTGAAAAATATGGATATTTTTAGGAAATCACGAATAATAAATAAAATGATGCTTAACTTAAAATTATTCTATTATAATAAGTAAGTTAATGAAATATTTTGGATTTAGAGAATTTGAAGAATATAATGTCTGTTAAATTATTTAATTTAAGTTATGCTTTTGAAATCATAGAGAATTTGAAATAGCATTAAATTTTTTTTTGATAATGAGTGATTATTTATATATAAATTATTCATTAATCTTGATTTAGTATATTAATTTAAAAATATAAAAATCTTAAACAATGAGTTTCATTGCTCCTAGATTAAATTGCCAAAATCATTAAAAATGCTCAATTAGTCTAATAAATTTAACAACAGGGCTTCCTGAAGAGAAAAGATTATATTGTCATCGATGTAATTTGTAACTACAATAAAATTTGCATAGTATTGAAGGTATATTTGAATTTGCAGTCTCTGTTTAATAATCATAAAATGAATAAAATGGAATATTGAAATAAGATAAGGAATTATTTGCTTTTGTTAAGAATCAATTAAATTAGATATAAGCATATTATAATTAATTAGAATTAGAGCATTAATAATTATATGAATTAATTATACAAAATTAAGCCATAAAAGCTAATGATTCTATAGAAGTTTGTTTACAAAAAAAATAATAATGTGATAAAAAAGAATTGATTAAGATGGCAGAATAAGTCAGTTATTTAATAAAATAAAATAGTGAAGAATTAGTATTATAAGAAAATAATTCTATTTAATATTTTAGTAAACTTGAGCAATTAAGAGGGAAAATAAATAAATTATAAGATTAATTAAAGTTAGTCAACATTGATTAAGTATAATAAGATTTAAAAAATACATAAATAATTTATCCAAAATTTGATAATTTGTTATAAATTAAAGAACAATAAATAGTAGAAGGAGATCGATTTATGAAAATAGCTGAGGCTTAATTAGAATAATCAAAAATTTATGATATAAAATTTAATAAAGAAAATAATCTATTTGTTGTAGGTAGTTCAAAATTAAAGAATAATAATTGTTATGTTTAGATTTGGAAATATGAGAATAATTAAATCTCAAAAATATAAGATTTAGAAAATTGTCATTCTGGTGATGTAAAATCTATTTGTTTTTCAACTTGGGATGATTCTTTCTTTACAGGAAGTCAAGATAATACTATAATATATTGGAAATTGGAACCATAAGAATGGAAAAAATCTTAAGTATTAGATGGTTAATCTAGTGGTATCATAGGTTTATAATTGAATAATAAAGGTAATGTATTAGCTGCTGTTTCTAATTAAATACATTTATGGAAAAGAGAATTTTATAAATGGGAAAAGGCTTAAGTTTTAAATTAAAGTAAAAAGTAATTTTTATGTGTGAGTTTTAATAATGATGATTCTTATTTAGCAGCAGGTAGCTCAGATTGTTAAATATATGTATATTAATATTAAAATAGTTAATGGAAATTAAAAAATACAATAATAGATCAATCATAAGAGGTTAATTTTATTACTTTTATATAAGATTTAAATTTGATTGCAATTTTAAAAGATAATAATATGAATTCATATATATATTCACCTAATGATAGTTATGATGAAAAATGTGTGTCAATACTTACCTCATTTTAAGTAGGTTATAGTAAAAAAGGGAAAGTTTTAGCAGTTTCATCAGGTAGATCAAAGGAAACAACAATTTATTAAATAGAATAGAAAGAGGGAATTAAAAAAATATAATAGATTTAAGTAAAAAGTGATTAAGTATATTCATCAAATGATGGAAAAGTAATAGCACTTATTGCAAATTAGAAATTGGAATTTTATTCTGATAAAAATATCTAATATTGAGATTTAATCATATTATAAATTAGAAAGATATATATTAATAATATATATATATATATATATAGATAATCAATTATTCTTCTTTCTTCTTTATGCTTTAATAAGCTAAATGATAAAAAATAAGATTTACTTTTCTTGTAGGTTGAATACCATCATTTGTACTTATTCTAACAAAAGACATTAACTCATTAAGTTTAGCAACAATTTAATTATCTAATTCTTTTTTAAGTTGTTCAATACCAGTAACATATCTAATAATTAAAAATATATTACTATTATTTAATTGTAAATAGAGTATTTTTAAATACTGAATATTCATCAACTTTTACAATAGGACTTAAAAATTATTCTATTTATTATTAAGCTTCACTAATGTCATCTTAATCATTAAAGTCTTCATCATCATCATCTTCTTCATCAAAATCTTCTCCATCAAAAGAACTAATATTAAAATATAAAATAACCTATTCAATTTTTTTAATTCAGTCTCTTTTTCAAATTTTTCTTATTAAAATAAATTATTAACAATAGTTGTAATTAATTTAGGTGTTAATAAATTATGTTATTTATTAATTAAAGATGACATTGTAATTACAAACAATTTAATATCATAACCAGGTGAATATTAAGTATCAAGTACTTAATTATAGACAGCTAAAAACATTCCTGATAATATTTCACAAGTTAATTCAGGAACAGAATAAAGTGCACTTAAAATAATTCCAGTTATTCTTGATCTTAATAGACCTGTAAGTTCTTTTTTAGATATCATAGTAACAGTTTAATTTAATATTTATTCTAAAATATTTTTTTTTAAATCTTAATTAAGTTCTTATATTCCTAATTAAATAAGTAATGCTCCTTCAGCTTATTCTATATCTTCAAAAGATTGATCAGAATGTAAATGTTAAAATGCTAAATTGAAAAATATTTATTAATATTATTCATCAATAAAATGATTTCTACCATAATGAATATAATAATTAAGTGTTTCATATAAATTTCCTAATCTACAATTTTATTTTTAAATAACATTCATAAAATGAGGTAATACTTACATTTATAAAGCTGTTACAGATGACAATTTTTATATACATAAAGAGATGAATAAAATTAAATCTTCATCAAAATCTATTTTTTAACAAATTGCTAACATTTAATATAATTATGTAATGCTTTATTCTAATGTTACTAATAAATTTGTATATTCATTTTAATCTGCTAATGATCTAATAATATTCCAACATCTATTTAAATATATATGTCTTTAAGAATCTCCATTATTAATTAATTCTTATTCTTAAATTATTCTTTATACTAAAATTTACATTAATCCAATTAATAAATTTTCATTTTATTAAAATACTTATGGATATCTCTTTAAAAGATTTATTATCATTTCAAAATGTCTTTCATAAATACTAAATGTTAAACCATTGCATAATGAAGGAAATACAACAGCAACTAATCCTTTTGTTTTTGTTTTTAATTCATCATCTTCAAATACATCTTTTAATGCATCTATTGATTAATACAATACAACTGGTTCTTTTGGTTAAACAAAATTAATTAAAATTGATAAATACATTAACATACTTTATGATTAAATATCTTTTTTGAATAGATTATCACAATAGTAACCAAAAAATAATGAAAATCTAACTTTTATTATTTGATGTTGAATATTTTAGAAAAATATTAAATTTTCAGTTAATAATTATTCCATCATACTAACTATATCAAATCTCTTTTAAATTAAATAACTCATTATTGTTAATACAATTAAACTACTTTCAATTCTATCAACTGCATTATATTCAGTAAATAATTTTCTAAATACATTATTTCAATAATATTACTTATCTGATATTGCTTAAATGAATGTTTATTATTATTCATTAAGTGAAACAGGTTTAGATGATAAATTATTAATTGCATTTTATGTTATAATAACAGCTAAATTAGCTAAGAATGTTGTAGATCCATCAATATGATCACATAAAGTTTCTAATAATTATGCTGCTGCTGTTTTAGGAATATCAGATTCTTATTTATCAACAGTATCAAGTGCCAGATTTACAAATTCTTCTGGTTCTTCATTCATTTTTTAATATTCTTATTAGGATGTTATTAAATAAGGATATATAACATCTGTTATTAAAGGGACTTTAGAATCTGAGAATATTTGATATTATTCTGTTTATGATCCAAGATTTGCTAACAATTTAAGGATGTATGTTATTATATTTCTTAAAAATGGTTTACTATAATTATATTGTTTTAGAATTACTTTAGAATCACATTAGTTGTTTCACTATTTGTATAAGTAAGTATGGAATATAGTAAAAGTTGAGTGATTGGATTAAGATAGGGACCAAATGGTCCTTTTTTAACTTCTGATTTATTACGTGTATTAAGTAATATTTAAAATATTATCATATAAGATTTTAGTATATAACTTTTAATTTCATTCATTTTATCATCAAATATCTATATACCAGTATTAATTATAATTGAATTTTACATTTATTTTCCAATTTATGGTGAATATTATAATAATAAAATTAATGAACCAGAAAATGAATTTAATGAGAATAGAATATTTAAAATTGGTAATATTTATTCTCTTGAAATATTAGATTATTATTATATTTTGTCACATAAATCTTAGATTGATTATGCAAAATATTTCATAGTATTTTTAAATTCATCTGATAAATCTTTTGGTTATTCTTATAAAACTGCCATAATTTAAACAAATTAATTAAAATATTCTGTAATCCATTCATAACTAGTTGTAATAACATTAGCATAATTTGAAAAATTCTAAAGTTCAACAGAATCTGCTAAAATTTTAAAGAATAATATTCCAGTTTATATTTACCATTATTATTCTCCTTATAAATATTCTTTCATCTTTCTTTCAATTTCAATTTTTACATCTAAATTATTTTTGGAATAATACTTTTATTTTTTCTAGAAATTTAACTTAATGATTAAATAAGAGATTATTTATATTTTAAAGGAGTGTTTTATGATGTTAATACAGATATAAGTGATTCAGCATGTTATATTGTTAATTAATCTAATTAATATCAATTATTTTTTAATACTTGGATTTGTATTTAATATTTTCATTACAACTGAATTCAATAAATTGGCAGCTTATTCCTACACTATAATTAAATAATAAATAAGTACTTTAATCTTGTTTTTCTGCTAATTAAGCTATAAACTAAAAATTCTAATAGTTTTCCTACATAGAATTTACTAAAGATTTCTCTGCTTGATTTCTTACTTAATTGTCTGTATTTGTATATGCTGCTACTAATTGTTCATAGATTTAAGATGCCATTCTTTAATTATTATTTAAATTATTTAAAAAAATACACGAAAATTTATCAACTTCATTACTCACAAATTAAAATATGTTAATTTTGATTTCACTTCATATAATATATTTATATACCTCACATTTTCAATATTTTTTCCATTTTTGGGAATTTACCTTCTCTCATGTATTCCTTTAATGTAATATCCATTTATCTTCACATTTCCTTCTACACATAGATCTTTTTAGAATTAATAATCCCTTATAATTTGAAGCATTCTCAATATCACAAATTTCTATGCATTCATTAAATTTTATCACTTCTGTATGAAAATATTTCTTTAAGAACTACTATCCTCTATCTTCACATAAATGATATTCATTTCCTTCAAAATTATATAATTCATCTTTATCAGCCTAACTTAATTCATATGGAGGGGCTCTACCTTTAAAATACCTATAAATTAATTCCTCTTATAAAGATCTCTATTATTTTTATTATAATTCTAAAGTATATGCACCTTAAAATTTTTGAACATAACTAGTTGCAATTAATCCAATTACATCTTTTGGAAAAGGACTTAAATAATATTATTTCTCTGGTTTTTTATGTTCATTAAATATTACTTTTGTAATATATTTCTTTTTCTCTAATATTAAATATATAATAAAGAATAATAATAATATAAAGTAAATAATAATAAAAAAAATATTATAAAAAATAAAAAATTGTTAAGTAAAATGAAATCATTATCTGTTCCTAAACATAATAATTACAGACATTTAAATAATAGCTTTAGTACACCTGATAAGAAACCTAATAAAGTATGCGTATGAGTTATATAAGAGTAGATTAAATACTTAATCAACTTTAAAGTTTAGCGGAGAAATGATGTCCGTTTAAAGTTATTTATATGAATAAGCTCATTTAAAGGAAGAGGCCTCAAAAAAAGAGTTTATAAGATAAATCAGGAATGTCATTGACAATCTTGAAAAGAGTAAGAGCTTTAAGTAATTAAATTAATAACTCTCAAAATTGATAGTTGGATTAGGGACATGCATAAATTAATAGGAAGTATCAAATTAGATAATATAATTAATTTAAATGATTAGAGATATTGTTAATAATCATTAAAATACTAAATAGATTCATTATAATAAGGATAAGGCAATATTGATTTAAAAAATTCATGAATTAGAATTAAAAGCAAAAGAAAATTAATATTAATAAGGTATTATAATAATCTATTATGTTTAGAATTATAAATATAAAATATAGAAGCATAAGAAAGGATAAAAAATTATGAAATATAATTAGAACAAATAAAATAATCAAAAGAATAATATCAAAAAATTTAACCATAAAAATAATAAATGAATAATTATGAAAAATTACAATTAAAAAATCAAATATAATAAATGTAATAAAAAATTGAGACACTTTCAGAGAAAGAAAAAAAATTAATTTAATTAGTAAAAGCAGTAAAATCAAGAGGAATTGATATTGAACTTATCTACAAAAATATTAATTAGATTTCAAGTAGAAATAGTATAATTACAAATTAAAAGAATGAAGATTAATTTCTAGATAGTTCATATTCTGATTTTGCAGATATTTCTTAATTTGATATTGGTTAAAGTAGTATTAAAAGAAACTAAAAATTTTTATTAGATTGACATTTTTATTTATATATATATATATATATAGTTTAATCATAAATAAAATTTATTAACAATGTATAATTCCAGATCTTTATGTAAAATTAACTACTATCTATACTAGATTAATAAGTATCTCCAAGTAGTGGAAGAATATAAAAGATATCAGAAAAATTATCAACTATTTAAATTGGAGTAGAAAATGAGAGATTCTAAAAACTTGAATAAGCTGAACAAAGAATTTAATAAGCTGAAGATGCATTTAATGAATTTTAAGAATAAATCTTTACTAAACTTAATGGACTTAGAGATTAAGTATAATATAATCATAAGTATCAGTTAGGAAAATTACAAAAATAAGTTGAAGAAGATAAATTAGCTAAAGAATAAGCTAATGAAACTAAAAATAGAGAGGTTTAAGCATTAGAAAAGAAATTCTAAAATGCAATTGAAAATGAAAATTAAGCTAGAAAAGAAGGAGAATCTAAAGTATTACGTTTGTTAGAAGATAAAACAGCATTATTAAGAACTGAAGTTTAGAAAGAAACAGCAAATAGAATTGATTCTATTGAAGGAATACATTAAGGATTATAAAATGATTTACCTAAAATATAAGATGCTATCAGAAATGAAGCTACTGAAAGAGATGAATCAGATTAAAATGTATTTATTTAAAAATCTATTATTAGGTTATGAAATCAATCACTGATGAACTTGTTAAATTAAGTAATTTAATTAATGTAGAAAAGAGAAATAGAGATGAAAGTGAATAGTCAATCTTTGAAATGTTAAAAGATATCGTTAATAGAGTAAAAGTAGAATTAGATTAAGAAAAGAAAACAAGGTAATCTATGTATTTATAACTTTGATTAGAGAATAATCAGAAGAACATCTTTTAAGTCTATTAGAAGATACATGCAACAAATTAAGTATTGCAGCAAATCTATGATCAATTATATAAATATTTTTATAATTAAAATTATATATCGATGTCAAAAGAAGTAGTAATTATATTATATATACTATGAAAGAGATCTATTTCAGCACATGAACCTATACTTAAAAACACAAAATTATAAACTTAAAGAAAGTAATTTAAATATTCTAATTTAGTTATATGAATGTTTCCAAATTTTGGCCTGAAAATGATTATCACGATAAAGAAACTTTATATTTTCAATTAAAGACTCTTAAAGAAGAAATTAATCTTCTAAGAACAGAAAATATTAAGTTAAAAACTAGAATTTTATAATAAGATGTATTGTAAATATTAATTTGTTAGAAAGAACTCTAGAATTTTAATAAATATATTGAAGATCAATAATTTAAATAGAATCCTTTATCTAAAAATCATGAATACATCATTTAATAAATTAAAAAATAAAATAAAGATTTATAGTTGCAGTTATAAGAGAAATTTTGCATCATTGAATAAATGAAAAAGAATATTAAAGTTACAAAAGTATAAGAAATCTAGATACAAAATTAATTATATAAAGAAGAAATTAACAAATTGAAAAAAATATTATTGGATTAAGAAAACAATTATAAAGAGTATATTATTATTTATATTTTAAAGATTTCTAAATTCATAAACTATAATCAAAGATAATTTCTTAAAAACATAATAAGGTTTTATTAAATAACAAAATGAAATTAATGATTTGAAATAATAATAATAAAATGATTATTAGAAAATCAGTTAATTATAAGTATTTCTTTTAAGTTTTATTAGAATGAAGTTTCAAAATTAAATCAAATTAAACTAAATCTAGAAGATAAAATTAAAAGAATTACAACAGAATAAAATAAAAAGAGTTCTACTAATTCCTTTAGGAGTAATAAACTTTAAGCTACTACTGAAATATCTTGTACTTAACTTAAATCTAAAACACAAGATGAACTTTAATATAAATTAATAATTAGAGGTATCACATATGAATAATTCAATTAAATGATCCAAGAATTAAAGTAATAGGCAATTGATTTGAAAAAACAAATTGAAAAGGAAGATATTGAATATATATTAAGTTAAGAACCATTTTGTTTAGGCTAAGACAGAATATAAGAAGTGATTAAATCATTATCTTTATCTGGTAATAAATTAGCAGATACTTTATTGAATTAAATAGGAAAATATAAAACATTTTTTGATTATCCTGATTTTAAAATTTAGGAAGCAGAGACAATTATTAAATAAACTCTAAAATAGCCAGAAATAGCTTAGTATTTATAAACAAAATAATTCTAAATTTGGAATAAAGAAGATATTTTATAGATGCTAAAATAATTAAAAATAAATTGGAGTGAACCTGTTTTATTGTTCTATATCTTAAATGTATAATAGCCTATTAAAATTATAGTTATTTGAAAAATCTGGTTAAGTACTTGAATTTAAAAGTGATTCTATTATTGACCCTTTTCCATAATTGATATAGAAAGAGTCTTCAAGAATAATAGAAGAAAGTGAAGAAGACTTATTTGAATAATTATCAGATAAGTCTTAAACAGTTATAATTTAAGATACTGATCAATATATTACATGAGAAATATATATTATTTACTATATAAATATTTCTATTAGATGAGTTATTAATAATCATTATAGATTAAAGAGGGATAAATAAATAATATATATAAATCAATAGTATAAAATCTCTTTAAATTATAAATAAGATAATATTTTTTTAATAATTATTAAAAAATGAGTTCTCAAATACTCTGTAATAGTGGAGTACCTAAGCTTATATGTTAAAAAGCTATTTGTGAAAAGTAAAATCTAAAAAATAAGGAGATATTTTCTTGTAATTTGTAAAAAACCATTACTGATGATGCTATTACTGATTGTAAAGGTTGTATTGGAAAATAAAAAGATAAAACCATCAATTATTGTTAAATCAATTTTCAAGATTTTTTCTTATAATTGATAACACAAAGAAAGGAAGAGTAGGAAATATTATCTTAAGTAAGAGAAATAGAGAGAAGATTGTAATAAAGTGTTGAGAATGCAAAACAAGAAATTGAAAGAGCTTAAGTTAATATAAAGAAAATAGGTGAAACAATTAAATCAATGTGTTTATTTTAAAATAATTCTAAATTAGAAGAATGTTTAAGATTAAAAGAATAGACATCTTTGGATTTAGTAAAAAAGATGATTAAAGAATTTCGAGAAAAAATAACAATAATTGAAGATAATCAATAATAAAATAATCAATAGATAAATATAAATCCAGATAAACTTAATATTATTTATAAAAATGGAACAATAATTATTGATGATTTCTTAAAAAATAAATTATCTTAGATGTCATAAATGTTAAATAGTTTTGAATTATAAGTTTAATAAATAAATAGAACTAATGATAATTTTATTCAAGAACAAAACTAAATTATAAATACAAAATATAAATAGATAGGAAAGGCAGATAATTTGACATTTAAAAAGCTTTACAATTTAAGATTTAATCGATCTAATAATTTGTTTGCATTTGGAACTAATAATTTAGATAATAATAAAGCCTATTGTGCTGAAATTTGGAAGATTGATAATAATTAAATTTAATAGATTTAAAAATTACAATAATATCCTGATGTTACTGCTTTATGTTTTAGCAAAAAGGATGATTCTCTATTTACAGGAAGTTTAGATTCCAAAATTATATATTGGATTCCATAGTCTAATGGAGAATATAAAGAATAAGAATTAAAAAATAGAAAAGATATTAAAGGATAAATTAATTATATTGAAATAAATTAAAAGTCAAATATTTTAGCAGTTGGTAGTGAAGAATTAAATATTTATACTATTAAAAATAATGAATTGCTATAAATTACTCATTATTTATAAGAAGTTAAAAACTTAGCTTTTTCTAATTGTAATCAAATTATTATAGCTTAATTTATGATAAATAATAAAGAGAAAATTGAATTATTTTAGATTAAATAAACAGGTGAAAATTTTGAAATAATAAATTTGGGTGAAGTAATATAGACATAAGAAATTTAACCAATTACAACAACAAGATTTTTGCATATAAATTTATAAAATTAAATCAACTTATTTAAATTGGACAACAATAGATTTTAAAAGATAGAAAATTATTCAATTAAAAAATTGAATTCTATTGAAAAATGTGGAATTGGGTTTTGTTCAAATAATAATAATAAATGTAATCTTTTAGCTTTTTCATAAAATATTAATAATAATTAAATAACATAGATACTTAAGATCAATGAACAAAATTAAGTAACCTTGCTTTAATCAATTTAATAAATGGGATTAAAATTATTTTTCTCAAATAATGGCTAAGTGCTTGTTATTTGGAATGGTGATAGTTTTGTTATCTATAAGAATACATCTTAAACAATATGAAGTGTGATATTTCCAATTTATAGACAATGCATATAAATATTATAATTCTGATTATAATATAGTCAAATTAATGGCATTCAATCTTCCTGTTAATATTTGTATAAGTTAGTATCTTTTTTAACTATTCTCATTTTTATTTATTCATATTAATTTAATTAAATTAATTTCAGATATAAATATGGGATGCGCCCAATAGAAAATTTCAAAGAAGGAGCAACTGAATTAGATTGCTACCTAAAATTTATAAACTGGGCCAATAACAATGGGCAAAAAAATAATATCGTATCAAATATATTATTATCACGGAAAATTATCTCTAAAATCAATTGGTATTAAATGAAATTATTTTAAGATTAAAGTACCATTTTGAAGAGAAGAAGAACTAAAGAATTAATAACTGAACAATCTTCACCTACAAAAATCGACAAGTGACTATTATTATTTAAATTTATTATATTCACATAATTTTAATAATTTCAAATAGTTGTTTTCTCTTAGATATATCTAATAATTTATTTTTTAAACATTCTAATCCTCCTTGTTAATATAAACAAGTTACTATCAATTTTATATATAGAAGATATGTTTTTAATAAGGATTCAGTTTTTTCACATTTTTGTAAATATTTTACATAAAAAATTAAAATTCTGTTAAAAATATAGCTTAATTATCTTCTTTTTAATAAGGTTCTAGAGGATTAGAAATTAAAATTAAGAATTATAATTGTAAATTTAATGATAATTTATATAACATTATTATTGAATAAATAATTGAATTTTCAGGCTATTCTTAGATTGATAATATTATTTAAAGTATGTAATATTAGATTACTATGAGGAGTATATTCAGACTCTATTATGATATAAACTTTAATAAAAGGTGTAGTTCTTAAATATATACTTATATAGGTAAAGTTTTACACTTAGACCTCTTAGATGTTTAATTGAGATTTAATATAGATGATTATATTAGATCATAGTCTTTTTTATCATGGAGAAGTGTAAATGCTTTAGATGAGTTATGGTTGATCTATAATTGGACTTTCTTTTTATTTTTTTGTTTAAATCTTTTGAATGCTTTTTTATATCATAGATAACTTGAATTCATGTTTAAAATAATTTGAGTATTCAAAATGGAATGTTATTTCTAAAGAAATGTCTGAATTAATAAAATCTTAAAATTTATTTATTAATATATAAATATTTATATGAAAGGAATTGAGTCTTTAAATAAGAGTGCATACTTTAAGGAGAAATATCTTAATCCTAACAATATATTCAATTAGATAGAGACAAACTTAAGATTAATTAAAGAAAAATGTGAATAATAAAAATTGAAATTAATATCATAAAATTAAATGGAGATGTTTTAAGAAGTATTGGATCATCTAAATAATATAATACAGTGTAATTCTGATAGATAAATTATTTTTAAATAAAACCATTAATTGATTATTGATTATTAATAATAATAGTACTAATTGACTAATTATAATATGGATTCATAAATGAAATATGGAGTTACTCTGATTTTTCCAAATTAGATGACTATAGAAGAAGTATTTTCAGATTAACTCACTTTTAAAGAATTCTATCATTTTCTATTAAAAAAATTTTCTGATGAAATAAAATAAATGTTTGTTATTTTAGATTAAGATACTAATATTATAAATCCTGATGATTGGGATTAACCTTTTATATATGGAAATAAGTAACATTCTTTATTCTTTATATAATCTCTATAATTCTATATAATGTAATAATAAAAATAAGAAATAAGATAAGAGACATATCCAATTAATTAAAAAGTATAGATTCAATAAAATGATTTTAAACATTAAATATTTTAATCTCATAATGTATATCCTAACAAAGATATGAAAAAAGAATCTCTAAATAGTCAATTTCATTCTTCGATTCTAAAAAATGGTTATAGTTTAATGAATGTAATTTAATATAAATGTTAATAATGTAATTAGTCAATTCAAAATAAATTAATAATGTTAAAATGTTTCCATAATTATCATGAAGATTGTCTGTGTTCAATGTTAAAAATATAAATAGAATCAAATTAACCAACATTAAATTGTTTATGTAATAAAAAAATTAAAATTAATGAGGTAAATGTATTGAACAAAGTTTAGATAGAGAGATTATATTAAAATTAAATAAATGTAATTTATTAGAAACAATAAGCATTATTTATTAAATGTAATAAATGTCAATTCTTTTACATAAAAGCATAAAATAAATCATAAATACGATAGGTTTGTTTGATGTGTTAAGTATGATACTAATATATTATATAATATATAAATAACACTTCATAAAAGAAAACAATAATTATTAAAAATCATAATTATAAATTAAACTCTACTCTATATTAAATAAATTTTATTAAAGTATTATTAATTATTTTTAATTAATAATATATAAAATAATGATTGAGTATTTGCAATAAAGAAACAATAGAATGAACTATATATGAATAACATCTATCATTAAAAATAAGTATTATAAGTATTTATTAAAAATCAATACTAATTCCATATATATTATAAGATTATCTAATTTATGTATGAATTTCATATCTAAAGACAGTATTAACAAATAAATATAATATTACTTTAATTATTATTTAAAATCATAAATCTTAGAATATATATATATATAGATTAGAATAACAAATAGAAAATATTGTCTCATTGTAATTTTAATATTGTAGGAGTATTACATTCTTTAATTTTTAAAGTATTATCTGGTATTCTTATTTATCTAGTTGAATTGTATTATCTCACCATGAATCCAACATTGCAATCTTCAGCAGTTGGGTCTTCAACATTTTCAAATTAATTATTGGATATCTATTTTAAATAACTATTTGTCAAAGCCAATCTATGTAGATCTCTTGTTTTTTTTGGTTCTTATTTCGATGGAATATCTTAATTCAAAATATAATATTTACCAGTAATTTCTTTAGAATTCTGTTTAGACAATTTAACACTATATTAAATAAACTTAGAAGTTCCTACAACAATTGAAGATTTCCTTTAATCTTGTCTATTTTAAGAAATGTTTGAAGATATAGAATCTGAAGAATTGAAGTTTAAAGGTGATCTTTATTCTAGTTCTTAAGTTCCAATTTTAATGGCATTTTTAAATTCTTAATATCCCAATAAATTGCTTTAATAATTTTCAGTTTATACTTTATATTCTTTCACTAATTATTTGAAATAAGGATGTCTCANTAACCAACATTAAATTGTTTATGTAATAAAAAAATTAAAATTAATGAGGTAAATGTATTGAACAAAGTTTAGATAGAGAGATTATATTAAAATTAAATAAATGTAATTTATTAGAAACAATAAGCATTATTTATTAAATGTAATAAATGTCAATTCTTTTACATAAAAGCATAAAATAAATCATAAATACGATAGGTTTGTTTGATGTGTTAAGTATGATACTAATATATTATATAATATATAAATAACACTTCATAAAAGAAAACAATAATTATTAAAAATCATAATTATAAATTAAACTCTACTCTATATTAAATAAATTTTATTAAAGTATTATTAATTATTTTTAATTAATAATATATAAAATAATGATTGAGTATTTGCAATAAAGAAACAATAGAATGAACTATATATGAATAACATCTATCATTAAAAATAAGTATTATAAGTATTTATTAAAAATCAATACTAATTCCATATATATTATAAGATTATCTAATTTATGTATGAATTTCATATCTAAAGACAGTATTAACAAATAAATATAATATTACTTTAATTATTATTTAAAATCATAAATCTTAGAATATATATATATATAGATTAGAATAACAAATAGAAAATATTGTCTCATTGTAATTTTAATATTGTAGGAGTATTACATTCTTTAATTTTTAAAGTATTATCTGGTATTCTTATTTATCTAGTTGAATTGTATTATCTCACCATGAATCCAACATTGCAATCTTCAGCAGTTGGGTCTTCAACATTTTCAAATTAATTATTGGATATCTATTTTAAATAACTATTTGTCAAAGCCAATCTATGTAGATCTCTTGTTTTTTTTGGTTCTTATTTCGATGGAATATCTTAATTCAAAATATAATATTTACCAGTAATTTCTTTAGAATTCTGTTTAGACAATTTAACACTATATTAAATAAACTTAGAAGTTCCTACAACAATTGAAGATTTCCTTTAATCTTGTCTATTTTAAGAAATGTTTGAAGATATAGAATCTGAAGAATTGAAGTTTAAAGGTGATCTTTATTCTAGTTCTTAAGTTCCAATTTTAATGGCATTTTTAAATTCTTAATATCCCAATAAATTGCTTTAATAATTTTCAGTTTATACTTTATATTCTTTCACTAATTATTTGAAATAAGGATGTCTCATACACTATAAATATATTTAATAAATATAAGTTACTTCTTAAGAACTTAATCTATAAGAAACTTTCTTTTAAAGCATAGATTGAATTAGGTCTTACATTTAAATTGGTGCCAATTTGAAATGGCGTTCCTTAAAATCTATTTCACATAATTTGTTATTTTTGAGAATAGACTTTTGATCAGTTCCAACAAATGGAATATTACCAGTCTAAATATATAAATTATATTAAATACAATTAGTAAATATAAAATAATACCAGCACTAAATACATCACATTTATCTGTATAAAATTCTTATCCATCAATATAATCTATGATTTCTGGAGCAACAAATCCAGGTGTACCACATCTTTTAAATAAAGGTTCATCATCCAAATTTGTTGCCAATCCAAAATCTGCTAAAATTATTTCATTATTATTTTCTATAGATTTCAATAATAGATTTTCTGGTTTTAAATCTCTATGTATTATACGATTTTCATGCATATGATTTAAAGCACTTATTAAATTAAAAGCAAACTTTTGCATTGTTTCTGCTGATAAAAAGCCTTTGATATAATAATAATTTACCTGTTTCTCTTACTCTTGATAATAATTAACCACCTTAAATCATATCTAATACAAAATAAACTGAATTTGTTGTTTCATGTACTTCATATAATTTTACTATATTAGGATGGTTTAGTCTTCTCATTAATTTTATTTCATTAAGCATACTTTCTATTCCTTTAGATTATTGTAACATATATTCTTTGCTAAATGCTTTTATAGCATATTAAGTGTTGTTTTCCTTTTTGGTTGCCTAATATACTTTTGCAAAGTTGCCCTTTCCAATAATCTTCAATACTAAAAAGGCTTCATGAAAGTTATTTAATATAGCAAATCTCTTAAAATGAGACTTCCAAATATCATAATTCTCTTTATCTGAAGTAAATATTTCTAAACTCTTTCCTTTATAAGAAAGATGAAACCCAAAAAATTATTCATCAGAGTTATGTTAAACGAAGTTATCAGAAGAAGCTTCAATAAATTAAACATGCATTGTTAGTAAGGGTGCTCGCTTAAGATTTGCTAAAGAAACTCTAAAAATTGAGTCTTGACTCATCACAAGAAACTTTTTTTTAATCAATTTCTCCTTTGAACCAACAAAGAATTCATGTTCCAGCAACTCATTTTATTACTTATTATGAAAGATATAAATGTACATCAAGTAAGCCTTTGTCACATTATTGCCAAAATGTAGATGTTGTTTAACCAAAGTCAAAAATAGATTAAATCATTATGTCAATCAATAAATTATATGATTATACTTTTTAATTATTTTATTCAGTTTTATTTGGTGTACATTTAAGAATTTATGTTTTAAATAGATTTCTCATCTAAATTCAATGTCTTTGCCATATGGTCAATAAATTATTTTCTGAATTCTGTTATTAATCTTTAACATTTTTAATACTATTCTGATTTTACATTCGGTTATTACTTTTTATCAATTGCCAAAAATAATATGTTTTCCATACATTAATTAGCCTCTTTTTCAAGCTAATTATATTCCATCTTTGTGATTTCACTCTCCATTAAATCAATTAATAATATATAAATCTAATAATCAATATATTTAGTTTATCATTAATACAACTCCTATATAAAATTTATGATTACTTAATCAATAGATTTTCTCATAAGGTTATTTTAATTGAATATATATAAATATTAATTCAATAATTTTATGCAAAATATGAATTGCTTGAAATAATACATATATTCAATTTTAACTGATATTTGATCATAGAAAGATTACATCAGTAATTTATTATGATAAATAAAGATTTTACTTATTATCACAAAAGTCCTCCTTATCTATATCAAAAGAAATAATAAGTTTAATTTATTAACAAAGTTGGGATTACTAATTACTACTATAAAATATTAAATAGTAATTAATAAAAAAATAAGTAATTCTCTTAAATATTGTTCAGATATTTAGATGAAAACTTTTAGTAATAATTTGAATATAAGATGATAACCTATAACAGTTTGTATAATTTTTAATGATTCTAAAACTTTAAATTAATGAGTTATAAGAAACTTTATATAAAATTGGAGAGTAATTAAATAATTCAATAATAGATTGAGTAAAATAATGAATTTGATTGATATAGCAATTCTTAATAAGCAACTTTAATATTGTCTTTAGATATATTTCATATTTATATATTAATATGCTAATTATATTATCGTTTAAATAATGAGTAATAGTTTCTCACAAGAAATATAAACTTCTTATCAAAAAACTATTACAACAAGTCAAAATGTTCAGAGAACAACTGATGTTGATTTCCAGGATGCAGTTCAAAGATATGAATTGAGAAGATCTTCAAAACCAAAGAAGCAAATCATCAATTAAAAAACTGGGATCGTTGGAAATTAATATATGCAAATATCAACAGATGATAACATAAACAATTACAATTTCCAAAGTTCAAAGCATTAATAAAGAATTGTCCAAAAATACTCTAATATTAATAGTGCTAATGAAGTCAACAAGTATAATGTCTAGGAAGTTAAGGATGAATATGAAAGGGGGAAATGTATATTCTATATAATTATTAATAGCACTAGGTTAATTATCTAAAACAGAAAAGTATAATTTTGCAGGTCCTTTAACTGAATATGAAGAGGAATTTACATAATAAAAAGAGAATGTATTAAATTATAATGGCATTTAAAGTAAACTTAAATAGATGATTTTTAGCTTAGTAAATTACATATTAGATTGATTATGAATAAATTAAAGAGGATTGTTAATATAAAAGTCAATAATACAAAAGTCCATAAAGAGAGGATGATGAATAAATCTAATTATTGGATACTGATTATGTATCTTGCAAAATATTTTGATATTTAATAAAATAATAAATTTAATAAGAGCAATAAATTATTGATTCTTAATTAAAATTAGAATTGTATTTTATATCAATAATTTAAAATGAAATTATGAATTATAGTTATATGATTTTGTTAATCAAATTACCTAGTATAAATAAGGGTATTGTAATTCTATTAATCTATTTAGTATCATTTATAATAGAACTTAAACATGATACATTATAATTGTTTGTAAGTAGAAATAATTTGAATAATAAATATAAATCAACTGTTTTTAATATTTAATATATATATCAATGATGATATTCAAAAAGGATTGAATTTTTAATGATGTGATCTACATTGTGAAGGAGATCGGGATTTTATGACAATAGACATTTATTTAAAGATTTTCTCTTGCTTTTTCATGTCTGATTTCATCATAATCTCTTTATTTGTTTCTATAAATTACAAATATAAACGATGTTCCTTTTGAGTCCAGTGACCTAACATTTAGTTCCTATTATACCTTTATTATATATTTTCTTTGAATTCTTCTTTCTTGTTTTTTTTATTTGAGTTTTCTAGTTCTGGTTCTATTCAACAGACTATATGGTTGATTTTGATTCAATTCGTTATTCGCTAGAAATTATGTATTCTAATACTCTAAGCCCTCCTCCACTTTTATTGTTGTTTTAACATTATTTATTGACTATTATTGTTGCCATTGTTAAAGTCTTAGAAATTAAAAATAAGGATGATAGACATTCATGAACCATTATTATTCAATCTAATCAAATTCAAGTATTACATAATGAAGAGAAAGTATTCTGAAACATTGATTCAATAAGATTTTAGATGCTTTGGTAGATAAAATGAAAAATTTTAATATTGCTCAAATCGCAAAAAGCAAATACAAAAATTAACTAAATACTAAGATACATACATTTTTATTCATTTCATCAAACATTAATTATATTAATATAAACGAATAAACATTTCTGATGCATCTAATTGATCTTCAATTTCTTATCAATTTCTTAAGAATCCAACATTGTANATCTTGCAAAATATTTTGATATTTAATAAAATAATAAATTTAATAAGAGCAATAAATTATTGATTCTTAATTAAAATTAGAATTGTATTTTATATCAATAATTTAAAATGAAATTATGAATTATAGTTATATGATTTTGTTAATCAAATTACCTAGTATAAATAAGGGTATTGTAATTCTATTAATCTATTTAGTATCATTTATAATAGAACTTAAACATGATACATTATAATTGTTTGTAAGTAGAAATAATTTGAATAATAAATATAAATCAACTGTTTTTAATATTTAATATATATATCAATGATGATATTCAAAAAGGATTGAATTTTTAATGATGTGATCTACATTGTGAAGGAGATCGGGATTTTATGACAATAGACATTTATTTAAAGATTTTCTCTTGCTTTTTCATGTCTGATTTCATCATAATCTCTTTATTTGTTTCTATAAATTACAAATATAAACGATGTTCCTTTTGAGTCCAGTGACCTAACATTTAGTTCCTATTATACCTTTATTATATATTTTCTTTGAATTCTTCTTTCTTGTTTTTTTTATTTGAGTTTTCTAGTTCTGGTTCTATTCAACAGACTATATGGTTGATTTTGATTCAATTCGTTATTCGCTAGAAATTATGTATTCTAATACTCTAAGCCCTCCTCCACTTTTATTGTTGTTTTAACATTATTTATTGACTATTATTGTTGCCATTGTTAAAGTCTTAGAAATTAAAAATAAGGATGATAGACATTCATGAACCATTATTATTCAATCTAATCAAATTCAAGTATTACATAATGAAGAGAAAGTATTCTGAAACATTGATTCAATAAGATTTTAGATGCTTTGGTAGATAAAATGAAAAATTTTAATATTGCTCAAATCGCAAAAAGCAAATACAAAAATTAACTAAATACTAAGATACATACATTTTTATTCATTTCATCAAACATTAATTATATTAATATAAACGAATAAACATTTCTGATGCATCTAATTGATCTTCAATTTCTTATCAATTTCTTAAGAATCCAACATTGTACTAAGAATGTTTCTAATTTATAATTTTTTTAACTATAATTCAGGCACCATAAATTAAAAAATACATTTTGATATCAATCAATTTTAATTAAACATAATTATATCTGAATTAGACTGATAAACATGATGATTTATGTAATATATTGTAAAATTAACTATAAAAAATTATCAATTAAGTAATTTAAGAATAATTTAAAAAGTTAACAGTCTCTTAAGATCTTGAAATACTTCTATCCATTATAATTATTATCATAGGTTTAAATTTAAATATAAGACATTATACTAAACTAATAATTATAGTCTAAATATTCTTTAATATTATAATTTACATATTGAAGACTTTTAATAGTTATCGGAATTTAAGATTGACTTGGCATAGTTAAAGTTGTTTCTGATTTTTATGAGTTAAAACAATATATTCATAATTCAAATAATTAAATCTTGAATAATCTATTTATAGAGATTAAAAAATGAGGATTATTATTGACTTATTTAATTTAATCCAATAACTAAGATGTGTTAATAAATATTTCTAGAAATTATATTAATTTGAATTATATAGTTTAATGTTTCAGATATGAAAATTTAATTGTGAGGATCAAGTCTATTAGATTTTGAATATAAATGGATAATAAATCTTTTAATTTTTGACATTATCATATAATTTTTATAAATAAAAACTAACAGTTATAATCAATGGAATATGATTCTGTTTCTAAAATCTAAGAAGAACTAGGATATTATAAGAAATATTGTTAGTAGTTAGAGAATTAAAATGCTGCTTTAAACTAATAATTATTTAATAATATTTAAGGGAAGGTTTTAACAGTTTAAGATGGGAATTCAAACAATTTGAAATAAGAAGAAAATAATACTAATAATCATAAGGAATGTGAATAAAGATTAAAATTAATGGAGAGATAATTAAAACGAAAATTGATGGAAGAATAGTTATGGCTTAAAAGATTTGAGTCTTAATTAAATGAAATTGTAGAGTTAAAAGTATGAGAAAATATTCATATAAGGCAATTCATGCATAATATATTTAAGAGTGTGAATAAGAAAGTATTAAAAAAACTAAAGAAATTGAAATATTAAATGAAGAAATAGAACAATATAAAAAATAAATAGAAATTTATAAATAAGAGACTAATTCATAAATTTACTTAGAGGAAATAAAAGAAATGAGAAAACAATTGGAAGCATCTGAAATTAAATTGGAATCTTTGACAAAAGAATTGCAAATTAAGGATTAATAATTATGTATTTTATAAATATATATTTTAGATCAAAAATAAGGAAATGTTAAATAGTCTCTATTGTCATTCAAATAAAAATTTGATATAGAATTAAAAAATGAATTTCTAAGCACTGAACCAGATATTTCAAGTAATAGTTATTCAAATATTATGCTAAGAGATATATGATATTATACTTATATATATATATATATATATAATATAAATTAGATATATATTAATATACTTATAGATTAATATATTTATATATAAGTATAGGAAGAATTATTATAAAAATTGTGTTTTTATAATCTATTTAAATTGAATATCATATCAATCAAATTAATTGATTTTTCCAATTGTTATTATTAACCATCTTTTATAATTATTCTAAATTAATAGAAACTTATAATATGAAATTTAATTATCAATTATATATGATTGTATAAATTATTATATTAACATATTAAATATGAAATCAGCTTTATAATAAATTCTTTTGATTACTTTTTTTATTTGTTAAATGATGATTTTCTTATTGTTTTTGTTTCTTAGATCAATAATTTTTTATAATTTTATTAATAATTTTTATTCATTAATTTATTAAGGATATTAAACTACATTTAAGTTAAACATTGTGTTAAACATTTTGAATGTATATTATGTATTAATCATGTATGATCTCGTTAGATCTTAATATAGAAAGATTTAAATATAATAGTTATATGTAATATACAAAAATCAAGCAGTTTCTGTAGAAGTTATTGAGGGTTTTGGTTCATCGGTGAAAAGTACTCTACAAACTGATCTTATTGATTATTCATCAATTCTGGTTGCATAGTATTATTTCTTAGGAGCATTTGGACACTTTGGTTATTTAGACTTAGGCGTTAACAAACAATTATTCATTTATTTAATTAATAGAAAGAATTATGGAAATACATAAAATTATAAATTAGTGGCCCATGTAATTACCATCTATTCAATATCAAAATTTACGCATACTCTGAATTTTATGCTAATATCTTAATTCATAAAGATTGTTTATTTAATTAAAGAAGTTGGAACCATAATTTTGTATGACAATTCCCAAATCCTATAAGAATTAAGTAAGCATAGTGATATTTTAATATTTAATTTTTTATTCTTATGCTGTTGTTCTTGCAATAACAAATAATATTGTTTGACTAACATTCTTTTACTCATCTAAATTGCTCATATTAATTTTAGGAGATTGACTTAATTTAAGAGTACCATTTATTTGATTTTATGAATCTAAATATACATATTATTTATTGTTAGGGGATTAGTCTGAAAATATATTGGCTAATTAAGTTAAATTTGAAAAATACATTTCTTAAATTTAAATGATTAAATATCGTTATTAATCAATTTTTCATTCTTAATCTAATACATTACACATGAATTGTTCATCTCAATTGAAGATATATTAATTTCAAAGTTTTTAGCAATTGATTCAACACTAATACTAAATTACTCATTAGCTTTTATGCATTCCTGATTATTAGTTTCAAATAGTGATGTCAAATCTTCACATATTCTCATATTACTTTCTTAGAATAGTTATTCTGTGTAATCCCATGGACCATTACCTATTTTCAAAAAATATATTTATCCATCTTCTATACTAATAGTATACCATTTATTATTGATTTGATGAATCAATTTAAAAAAAGAATAATCAGAGAGTAATTAATAAGTGAAATAGTTTTCTATTAAATTAAGTATTTAAAAATAATATTTAATATTTGGTTTTGGGAATTTAAGTATTCCCATTAGAGAAAAAATGATTTTGCTTTCAATTTTAAATTTATTCTAAAATTTAAGTTCCTAAATTCTCTCAAATTTTTACTTAAATGATGTTTTAAAGAATTTATCTTCTTTCTATTTAATATAAACTTCAGATGCATCTCTAAGTACTGCATTTTAAATAAGTAGATGATGATTAGAAATATTAAGATTCTTTTTTTAAAGCATTTCATCCTTTTTAATTTCACTTCTTAAATGTATCATATAATCTATTGCCACTTAATTTAAATCTAAACCTTCTTCTTATTTTGTAGATAACCATATGTCAAATGAAATAAAATTCTTAGAGAAATGATTAACAATATCATTTCTTTAAACATTTATTTTTGAATTTTAAAATGTCATAACTCTTCTACCTGAAACACCTTAAGAAAGGAAGTATGTACGTGAACCAGGTTAAGAAATGTTCAATTCTGGTCTTTCATCATTTATAATATCATCTTCAAAAACTTATTATACATTATAAAGCTTAGTATGTGTTTTACTAATATTATCAATTCTGAATTTACGATGAAATTTAATTTCATCTGGATTATCATCATTTAAAATTAATTTCTTTTTCTTATCATGTTTAGCTGCTTAATTATAAATGACTTCTTATTTTTAATCTAAATTATTTTATATAGGATTAAGTTGATCTTCATCTTATTTTAAAGATTAAGACACTACTGTAAATACTTCCCAAACCAATCCTCCAATTAAAGCTAAGAGAAAGATTGAAAAAAATTCAAAAGAACCAACAAATAACATAGCAGATAACATATCATCAGTATCATAAGTTAATTCAAATACTATTTAATTCCATTCAGCTGCTATGAACATTTAAAGCATCATTAAATATGATCCTGCAAAAGTTGTAAAATCAGCATATTTACAATTACCCCATTTATATTCAAAATTATTAATATTACATTCAGAATTTGCATATGGATTATTATGATTACTTTATATTGTACCATATAAATACATACCAATACAAGAATATATGAAAAATATCATTTGTACAGGTAACATTAATCTTAAGATTAAAGGTACACAAATAATAATTTTGTATAATAAAGTTCTTACAACATCTAAAAATTGTAAACCTTCAAATAATATATTTAATATCTTTAGAGATCGAAATGCTCTAAATAGTCTGAATACTTTTTATATTTTAGCTAGTCTCAATAATCTATTAGCTTTAATAGATTAAACAATATTTCCTGAAACTATATTAAATAATATATAATCAAATATTATTTGTAAGATAACCAAAGTTATATCAAAAATATTCCTAAATTTATATCTAATATAATAATATACCATCCTTCTTCAAAATAAGATTTGATACCTAAAGCTATAATTTTCATTAAACATTCTATAGAATAGATAATTAAAAATAAAGTATCTAATAAATTGAAAATATCCAAGATATCTTAATCTTCAACAAAAAATGCCACTACTATTAAAATACAATTAGAAATTGTAATTATTAACATAGATATTCCAAATATCTAAATATATATATATATATATAATAAATTTACATTTCCTTCCACAAATTTTAATAAACCTTTAGATATCAAATAATTTCTGAATGATTCCCAACAATGAAGAGGTTTCATTTCTGGTAAAGATAATATTGAAGCTTCTTAGAGTAAATGTAGAAACTTATGAAATTCATCAAATTGAACCTTATCACTATATTTTTTATAATTACATTACTTAAAATCTTAATCAATTTAATTGAATAATTAATCTATTTATGATTCATTAATTGTATTTTTATAGAAATGATGAATAAATATTCTGAATTAATCTCTTGTTAAATATCCTTAATCATGAAAGTCTAAAGATATAAAACTTGCCATCATAGCAGTCTTTTATTTAATGATATCACTAATAGCAATTTCCATTCTATGTCTTCTAAATCCTTCATATACAACTGCTAATGGTATAGGAGCAAATAAGAAAATGAAAAGTAAAAGATATACAATAAAAAATAAACAATAATAAATTCCTTAAAGCATAGGTGGAATTAGAATATCAGGATAGAAATCAAGTGTTGCTACCATAAATAACATAGAAAAAAATTTAAAGAAATCACCATAATCTTAAGTTTTCAAATCAACATCATCTATTTTTCCTATAAAATTAATTCCAATAAATGAAAATAATGATATTATTATTATATACAACATGATTAATAGTAGTAGATCTTTACCTGCTTTCATAATTCCTTTTAAATTTCTTCTCAAATCTTTAGAATACATAGGCATTAACATGGTTCTACATATTTTACTAACTCTAAATAAAGTTGGATCATATGTATGCATTATGAAATCAACTAAACAAAAATAGTATACAATCATTTTAAATTATTTCTTTGGATTAAAATTAAATCTATTTTCCTTCTTTGTTAATAATAAAATAATTGTAATACTTGAATCTATACCCATAAATAACAAAATTATAAGTTCTACAATGAATAAATTTGGATTCTCCATATTATCTTAATCAGGAAATGAAGATTCAAAAAATGTTATTAATTGATAGATGATTGATAAAATAAATAAGAAACTTAACCAATATTGATTGTTCTCTAAATACCATAAAAGTTTCAAATATTTCTTATTCACTAAATCTATGTCATTACGTATTGCTCTTAAATAATAGGCATCATAAATGTGTCTTTCAGCTTTTTCTATTCTGCTTTCAGGAGATAGTTTCTTTACTATTTTTTATATTTCTTATGCCAAAACATCGTTTTTCTCAATCAATTTCTGTGTTATTTCAGTCATTGCAATTGATTATCTATAGATTGTGGATTATTTCTTATGTGTCTTTTTCATTTAATTATAAATATTATTCAATTAATATATACTTACAACTAATTATTCTACTTTCACATCCAATTTGCATCTTAAGAATCAGTTTTTTTTCAATTATACTAATATATAATTAAATTAATGAACCCATATCATCATTACATCCTAACAGGTATTATTGAAGACTAAGATGATTTATCCTCAGTTAAATAGGAAGAATGTTCATAATTCTAATATTATGAAGAACAACCTTAATTTATTACTTATGAGAATTCTAATCTTTGTTAAATTGTTTCTTCAATACTCAACTTAAATGAAGAATATGTTGATTGGTTTGCTCGTAATAAACCTATTGAATTTGAATCAATGATGCTTAAAGCAAAACGCAAATTTTATAGAGACAAAGCTAAATTCCGTATGTAAATCCTATAACCTCATCTCTATTCAAATCAATAACCTTAAGAACCAAAAAAAGCTAAAAGAGGAAGAAAACCTATCAAATGTGCTGAAAAACAATTTGTTGAAGATAATAGTGATCAGTATCACTTATTCTTATTTTAGTGATAAAAAAACGATACAAATGATAAGAAATCGTATATCTGCATAGAATTCTAGAGATAGAAAAAAAGCTTATCTTAAAGAACTTGAATAGAGTAGTGCATTAACAAGTAGAGAAAATGATTTAATTCTAAAATAAATAGAAGATCTCTTAGTTACTAATGAAGAAATGGAAATATAAAATAATAATATTCTCAAAGTAAAAAATATTTAATCTATTTTAGTGTATCAAAGTATTTAAATAACAATGTTAAGAATCTGATGAATAATTTGCTTAAGAAATACTAAAATAATTAGAATAATTCTAAAGTGATACTGAATCAAATACATCCAAAAAAGTTAAATTAAATTGAGAATAATTCATTTTTTTTTATCATTATTATATATAATCTTTAAAAATGATCTTCATATTTTATATGATTATACTAACATCAATAATCATCATAATAATGATAAAATTTATTTAAATTGAGAAGATAATTGATTTATGAATTAAAATAAGTATGTTAATAATTAAATGATTGTTTTTTGATAAAATAAGATTTAATATTTAAAATATCAAATGAAACAAAACTCTGAAATTCTTTTGTGCAAATTGCACTAGTTTATCTAAGATAAATGGAATTGGGTGAATACAGGATATATTCATTTTAATTCAAAAGTTCTTAATTTGATTTAATAAATTAGAATGAAATGCTACTTTTAGAGAAAGACACAAGTATGGAAGTATTTGCAGTTTAAGTGAATTAATAATACGATTTCTTTTTTGATGGAGGTAAGAGTATTATTCATTTTATAGAAGAAGGAATTTAATTTCAATTTAATGAGTACTATGGACTTAGTTTCTAAAGTAGAGAAGGAGCTTAAATAGTTTGGAATAGAATTCAAAATATTTTGAATGAAGAAGATGATGATGAATCTATAGTTTTGACTCCTGTAAATGAGAATACTCTTGGAATTATCTTAGAAACAATGAATAAATTAGTTTAAAGTGGTACATAAGCAAAATAAGTGCTTTCAAATTATTTACTTAATAAAAAAGTAATATAATTTAAAATGAATCTAGGATTATTTAGAAATGTTAAATAGTTTATTCAATAAATTAGAAAAAGATCACAATCAAGAATTATTATAAATTATGTGTTCAATAGTTAAGAATGTAAATAATTATTATAATTTAGATTGTGACTGTTTCTGAACATGAACTATTTTAAACAATATTGAATGATTAAAATTATTAATTTATCTTTGGTGCTTTAGAATGTATATTATTATTATATAATTTATTAGATGATGAAGAAATGACTAAGAAAAACTTTGTTCCTCATAGATAATTTCTAGAAAAGAATGTTTCATTTTTACAAGTTGTCCAAATCAAGAGTAAAGAGCGATTGAAAACCATTCACTTCATATATCGACTGTAGTACTTGCGCGATTGTAGTTTGGCGTACTACATCGACGAGTGCCAGTTGATGTTTATTAAGATAGTTTTAACGTAATAAAAATCATGATAGATTATTAAGAGTTGTTATGTGGACCTCCTTAAATACATTGAGAATTCAAAGGAATTTCTAGTTGAATTGATTGATCAACTACGAAATTACAATTTCTTAGCATTGAGATTCCTAAGTGAAATATGTTCACTTTTTAAAGAATTCCAAGATGTACATATATTCATACTATATATTAAGCTAAATAAAGCATTTATTTATTAGAAATTAGGTGAACATGGATTATATGAAATTGTTGAAGATTATATTATAGATTCTCTATAAGATTTTCAAAAATAAAAGGCTAAATTCAAAAAATTGAAGTTAAAAATTTAAGTATTAATTTATATAATTTAAAATAGGATGATATTTATTAAAAAGTACCTACTATGATATTAGAATTAGTTATATCATGTTTATAACATTATCCTTACAATTTTAGATAATATATAATTAGTGAACATTAATAAGTACTAAAATATCCTTTATTTAATTTAATTGTTGATCAAGCATTTGAGAATGAATTATATCTAGAAATATTAAAACTACTAATTGATAACAGTTAAGATGATTAAAATGAAGTTCTAGATTGCTTTTTATAATTATTTTATCCAAAATTATCTCAATAGATATCTCATGAATCTAAGATTGAATTGAAAACATAATTTGTTGAAATATCTTTGGGATTATCCAGAAATTTAAAAACTTCTGTAAAAGAAGTATTCATTTTAAATTAAATTACTTTGAAGATAGGATTTATCTTACAAGAAAGAAATAAAATTTTATAAACAAAGTGTTTATAGTTTTTTAAAATAATGATTTTATAAAGAGATGAAGATATAAATAAGGAAATTATAATGGCATTACCAAATTTGATAACACCTCTTCTTGTTTATAAAGGAATAAGAGAAAATTTAATATATTCACAGTTATTGGAAATAATTAAGATTATATATGAAGGAGCAAATCAAAATATAATTAAATCTCTAGTATAACAATCTTCAATTATTTTAGGAATAAGAATTAAAGATATGGGAAAAACATTCAAATTATTTAAAAGTCCATGATATTATCAAAAACATAAAGAACAATTGTATGAAGAATCAATTCAGTACTTTAAATTCAGAAACTAAACCATAATAATAAATAAATTATAATGTAGTTGATAATGAAATAGATCTATTTAAATCTGTTTAAGGTCATAGTACAAATTTGCATAAATAATCATAAAAGAAATTAGTTGATTATGATGATGATGTTGAAATAATATCTAAAAAAACAAAAATAGATTGAGAAATATACATATATACAATATAAAATATAAGTTTATTATTAATTATAGGTTTCTTATTAATCTTTATAATATTGATATTAGATTAAATCATATATATATATAAATTTCTTAATAAAATAGTGAATTCAAAGAAAATAACATTTTTAGTTAATTTTTCCCAAAATATTAAAAAATAATAAAAATGGATTAAGTAGTTAAAAAGAAGCAAGAATAATTATTATAATGTCTTAAAAAGATATCAAGTAAACCTCAAACAGATGATGAAGATTAGAAATAGCAACTACGTAAATTCCAATAGGAAGTGGAATAAAAATATAAATTGGCTCGTCATAACAATGAGTATCGATTTCCATTTGAATATTATGATGAAAGTAGTGACAGTTCATTAGAAGAACTATAAAAAGTAGGGACATATGATCTACGTTAATAATATTAAAAAAAATAAACTAACAGCAAACATTTACAATCATCTAAAGAATCCATCAAAGCTAAATCATTGATTAAGATCATGTCTGATAAATCTATGAAAGCTAATAGATAATCTACTAGATACAAAACAGAATAATATGATGAAAATCAAGTTAGTTACATAGATGCACTAAAAAAGAATAAATCAATAGAAAAATAAACAAATGAATAAATAATTTCATTTATTCGTAAATCTGTAGCAAAACGATCATAATATTCATAACATAATAATAATAATAATAATAATACATCACGATAATATATAAATTTATCCTCAAATAATCAAAGCCATATTATGTCATAAAGTTTTAATGGATAAAAAAGCAGAACATAAAATTATTACCTCAATAAATTTACTAAATTGAAATAAGACATGTTTAAGTAATAAAATTAAACAAGTACATCATAGATGAATTAAGATTCTAAAATGTATCTTATCCTTAAATAATAGATCATTGAAATATTTCTTTGGTAGCAAGAGTCCAGAATAATCATGTACCATTAATTTAAAGAATAAACTTGCAGAAATGTGTAAAAGATAACCACTTAAAGTAATCAAATGAAATTTTATAAAATACTACTTTCTCTTTTATTAATAGATATATTAATTTCATTCTTATTTACTCTTTTATACTTATAATTTATCTTATAACTATTTATTTTACTTAATTAATTGTTCATTCTTAATTATATAATAAAATTTATACTTTTTTTCCTAATTTAAGTATTTTTTCTTAAGCTAATTTAAAGATTTCATAATTTCCTGGTTTAGCTTACAGAAATAATTCCTTTGCATATGTTTATTTATGTATTTTTGATATGATTTCATTTAAACTATTAATTAATTCTTAATATTATTAATCAATAGATAATCCTGTAACATAATTTTTAATTTCTTAAACAAAACTTTAAAATTCAACTTTCTCTTGTTCTAATTATCGACTATATTTAATAAAATAATATATACATATCCTATTATTAATTAATAAGATCTTAAGTCAACTTTTTCATATCATCTTAATTTTTATCAAGTAATTGTTAAGTAATTAAGAACTCTTGTTATTTATTGTCTATTTCTTTTTTTAATTATTCAATTTATATGTTTAATTGATTAATTTCATATCTCAATCCAGTTTGAACTATATTTAATTATTAAATTTATTTTTCTAGATCTTCTTTTTTAGTTTTTTCTTATTGATAATATAATCTTAATTTCGAGAATTTTTATTAAGATAATTTTTGTTCTTCATCGAATTAATTCTGTTATAATTCTAATTGAGTTTTAAGTGTGAACACTTAAGCATGTAATTTTTCATTCTCTTAAATTTATAGATCTAATGATTATTCTGTTTAATTAATTTTAATTGTCAATTAATCTAATTAGGAATTATTAAACACTTTCCCTAAAAAGCTTTGTTTCTTAAATACAATAATTTTTATACCTTAGTATCAGAAATGCTTTTTAATTTTTTCTCATATTCATCAACTTTAATTCCTAGAATTTCAACTTGTTCTTTTTCATTGGATAACTTTTTCTCAGTATATTCTAATTTTTCTTCCAATGTTTATACTATTTTATGTTCTTAATCTAATTTAGATTCTAAATCTTTATTTTTTTATTATTATTCAGCCAGTGCAGTTTTCAATTTAGTTATGTATTATTGCATAGCATTAACTTAATCCATTATTAATTTATTTATCACATTAAAAACGCAAATTATAATTATTAACATATATCTTTAAATACATCTAAAATACACTTTTTAACCATTTAACTAAACTCAAATCAAAGATTCTAGGTTGATTATGAAATAGTAAGAAAAATAAATGGAATTAAATGAGAAATTATTAGACTTTGAATATAGAAGGTGTAATTTAGAGAGAGAAAATCAAATGTTAGAATATAATATTAAAATAGAATTACAAAGATCAAAGGTTCATTATTTTATAATTTATTATTAGAAAAACTAAGTGATTCAATAATAATTAATTGAGGAATTAAGAAATCATAAAATATTATCACATAAAAGACAAAATGAATTATATTTATTAATATATAAATGTTCATGAAAATGAAACAGTAAAAGTATATTAGCAATTATTGAATAAAATTGAATTTCTTAAATAATCACCTCTTTACACTAATAAAAATAAAAAATAATTGGCTAAGAGGATAGAACATATAAAAGTATTACTTAATTGCATTTAAGAGTTGGAATAGAATATAACTTAATTAAATCGAGAGATGTATAATATAAATGATTAAATTTAATGTAATTTTATTAAAATTTATATGATGAAAATCCTTACTTTAATAGATTCTTCTAGGAACACTTTTTGTATTAGGGATTCAATATTTAATTAAATGATTTGCCTCATTTGAAAACCTAATTTAATTTAACAAACAAAGAGAATCTAAATTTGACTTGGAAATATAAATAAGACAATCAGAAATTTGTTTTTATGGCAAACAATAAGAATACAAATACAATTATAAAATCATAATCACAAGATTAATAAGTAAATGAATATTTGATATTATAGTAAATCCAATATTAATTTCATTTAATCAATAGATCCAATAGATATAGTATTTTACTTGGTTTAAAATACAATTATGAAAAGGATCTATTAACAAAACATACATTTACTCCTTAAATTTAGATCAGTTAGAATTCAGGAAACAATTCAAATTTAGATGTTGGATTCAAATATAGTTATTTAAGCAAAAAAGATAATATTAATGTTAGATTTAACATATTTTCATCTCTATTAAATAGATAAAATACAGAATATTAATTAATTGGCAATTTTATGAAACCATATAAAATATAGATTGGATTGTAAAATAACAGAATATGGGTTGGTTTTATATAGAAAGCTAAGATTTTAAATACATATAGTGTTGCACTTTATAATATTAATAATAAGAAATATGATGTGAGTGCCTATTTTCAAATAAATTCAATTGAAAATAGATTGAATAATAAATTAAAATTTTTAATAGGTGTTTCAACAGAAAAGGAAATATTAGGGAAAATTGATTTTTTGACAAAAGTAGGAATATTGGGATATTGTTTAAAATGGCAACACGTAAAAGGTATGAGTATGGGATATAATATTGAAATATGAATTAAATTAAAAAATATATATAAATTAATTAAAAATGGATTAATTGCTAGGGAAAATATTTTAATTGATAGCAATTGCTGCATTTCTTTATGGCACATTAACAACATTTGGACAACCATTATTAAGTGAATAATACTAGATGTTTTTCTTTCCAAGATGGTTTTTCAATTGGGCACCTGGTCTTGTAATAGGAAGTGTTTTAGGTTTAATATTAATGTATTTGAATAAATAGAGTAACATGAAAAAGAAATGAATTTAATAAATATATTTATTATTCATATATTCAACCAATATCTTATCCTTCAAATGCCATTCCAATCAAATAACTTGAGCTAGCTGTACAAGCACCTACGAAAAGTGTTTCAGCAGCACATCTCCACCAAGTTGCATATGAGAAGAATGATTTGCTGACTCCTAATATTATTAAGAATAAAATAGTCATAGCAATAGATATATAAAACAACGTATCAGTTGTGCCATCAGTCAATCCTGCAATAGCTGCAACAATAAATGGAATAACTATTATAATATTTATAGCATCTTATACTTGGTACTAATCCAAATAAAATAAAAGCAATGAAAGTCACTAAAGCATTCATTAATGGATTTTCTTCTGCACCTCCCAATTCTAATTCTTCTAACATCATAATATCTATAAATGCATCCTTATGTCTGCTTATAATATTCATTATTTTTTCTGCATCTTCTTATTCCATTCCTTTTTTCTTATATTTAAATATCCATCATACTTTATATAATTCAACCATCTCCTTTTTCTCTCCTTCCAAATTATTTTCCACTTCCCATTTTTCTCTTTCTCTCTCCTACTTAAAAAATTATTATTCTGATTTTGTAGACAAATAATCCCCCAAAGCCATTGATAATCCATCTCCTATCATATTGGCTACTCCTAAGGCTAAAACAGCTTGTACTCCAAAATTACCCTATATTTTATAAATTAATTTACTCCAATAACAGCAGTAACAACAGAAAATGTTGTCATCATCCCATCCATACCACCGAAAACAGAACTTCGTAAATAGTTTCCCCCTGTTGAATGCTTTTCTGTATGAGAATCTATGGAATGTTCTATAATATCAAAATACCTTATTTTTTTAATGGGTCATTCTCATTCACTTTTATATCAGTATATAATTGTTCTGAAGGATTATAATTATGAGCCTGCTTAGTCATCTCCACATTCTTGCCCATATAAGCTTATCTAGCCAACTCCAAGTCTCTGTTCATTAAATATAATATTTAATTAAAATGAAGTAAATCATATCTTCACATAACCTTGACTCCTAATACACTGAATAATCTTAATGATATTGATTAATATACAATTTAAATCCTTTCAAATTCATTATGTTACCATTTCATTTTATTATTAAATCTTTTGAAGATGATGTATTTTTATAAAATTTGAACAAATATTAAAAATTAATTATTTTTAATTTTTATTTTTTTGAAATTCCAAAAATTTAATCATTAATAAATACTTATAAAATTTAATGAATTTATCTAAATTTGATATATGTTAATATATTAATGTTGTTTTTAGCATATAAAAATTACAATTAATAGTAATTCTTTATTCTTAATATTCATTTATTTATTAATTCATTTATATATAAAATAAAAAATTAATGAACAAAAATGTTGCATTTTTTAGATAGAAAAGTTATAAATAATGAATTTATCTATAATATTAAGTTGTATTTATAATTAATCTAAATTAGAATCTAAATATGTCAATTCATTTGATTTAACATATTTAATAAACTTATATCATAATGATTAACTATTATATGGATATTAATCATAAATTTAATGAATTCATTAATCCATTAATATCATCTGAAATTGTAATTTAAAATATGTAATAAAAAATCAATAATGTAATTTTTGATTACATATATGTAATTAAATGTAATAGATTTAACNTAATATTCATTATTTTTTCTGCATCTTCTTATTCCATTCCTTTTTTCTTATATTTAAATATCCATCATACTTTATATAATTCAACCATCTCCTTTTTCTCTCCTTCCAAATTATTTTCCACTTCCCATTTTTCTCTTTCTCTCTCCTACTTAAAAAATTATTATTCTGATTTTGTAGACAAATAATCCCCCAAAGCCATTGATAATCCATCTCCTATCATATTGGCTACTCCTAAGGCTAAAACAGCTTGTACTCCAAAATTACCCTATATTTTATAAATTAATTTACTCCAATAACAGCAGTAACAACAGAAAATGTTGTCATCATCCCATCCATACCACCGAAAACAGAACTTCGTAAATAGTTTCCCCCTGTTGAATGCTTTTCTGTATGAGAATCTATGGAATGTTCTATAATATCAAAATACCTTATTTTTTTAATGGGTCATTCTCATTCACTTTTATATCAGTATATAATTGTTCTGAAGGATTATAATTATGAGCCTGCTTAGTCATCTCCACATTCTTGCCCATATAAGCTTATCTAGCCAACTCCAAGTCTCTGTTCATTAAATATAATATTTAATTAAAATGAAGTAAATCATATCTTCACATAACCTTGACTCCTAATACACTGAATAATCTTAATGATATTGATTAATATACAATTTAAATCCTTTCAAATTCATTATGTTACCATTTCATTTTATTATTAAATCTTTTGAAGATGATGTATTTTTATAAAATTTGAACAAATATTAAAAATTAATTATTTTTAATTTTTATTTTTTTGAAATTCCAAAAATTTAATCATTAATAAATACTTATAAAATTTAATGAATTTATCTAAATTTGATATATGTTAATATATTAATGTTGTTTTTAGCATATAAAAATTACAATTAATAGTAATTCTTTATTCTTAATATTCATTTATTTATTAATTCATTTATATATAAAATAAAAAATTAATGAACAAAAATGTTGCATTTTTTAGATAGAAAAGTTATAAATAATGAATTTATCTATAATATTAAGTTGTATTTATAATTAATCTAAATTAGAATCTAAATATGTCAATTCATTTGATTTAACATATTTAATAAACTTATATCATAATGATTAACTATTATATGGATATTAATCATAAATTTAATGAATTCATTAATCCATTAATATCATCTGAAATTGTAATTTAAAATATGTAATAAAAAATCAATAATGTAATTTTTGATTACATATATGTAATTAAATGTAATAGATTTAACAATGTGAAATATGTATGATTATTATTATGTATAAATCATTCAGATAACTTTTGGTTGATGTATTCAATTAATCTATCTACGATATCAATTTCAGTTTATCTAATTATGATAAAATAGAATACCTGCTGACTTTTTAATTGCTATATTCTTAATCTTCTAATTCATTAATTCTAGTAGCATCTTAAATATTTAATTAAGTAACTTCAACGATAGCATTAGAAATATTAATTAATCCATCTAATTCATTTAATCTTGATTAGATCTCTTTAAGTCTATTATTTGCAGTGGCTAATGAAACTTAGAGTGTTTATTTTTCATTTCTCAAATCATCACCCAATCTAGTAAGATTTTCAACTTAAGTTTTATGGTTAGCTTCTAATTAATCTTAACCTTCTTATAATGCAGTGATTAATCTAGCAACTAAGCTTAAAACGTTATTTAATGTTTCTGGATTAACTTTAGTAGTCATTTCAGCTAATCCTTCAATTATTGGTTAGAACAATGTTAATGAACTTTTCTTTGTATGTGCTTCCAAGATTTCTTTGATTTTTTAGAAATTCTCCTTAGTTTAGATGAGATTACTTTTAGTGTCTTAACTAAATAGATAATATAAATTAGATACGTCAATTAAATTAATGATGCACCTTCTCCTCTCAAATTCATAAGTAATCTTTATGCTTCCTTACATGCAAGAATAGCATCACTATAATCTTAGTATTTAGCAGTGAAATCTGTATTCTCAGCATCTAATCTACTTTAAGCATCACCACTTCCTCTAGAATTACGATCTAAGGCTGCTTAATCTAAGAAATACTCAAAATTTATATTACCTTCTTTTACTCTTGTTTATAATGTACTTAATTCATTACTCAAACTTGATTATTCTTATCTTTAATTATCAAGATCTTATTAAGCTTATTCAAGTGTGGCTTAAAGCTTAGCCAAATCAACTTGACTTCTTCTAGTAAAAGTGGCACTTTCTTAATCTTACAATTAAGTTAAGGCTATTAATTCATCCTTAATTTATTATAAGAGCTATTTTAATTCATTTAATGATCCTCCTGTTTTCATGTTAACACTTACTAAATTTATCATGGATGATCCAAAAGGATGATCTCCATATCCTGAAAGTTTTTCCTTGAGTTCAGAAACTGTAGTTGCCTAGAGACAGGCAATCAAAACAACAACCAACAATGCTGATTTCATTTATTATATTAATCAAAAAAATAAGTAAAAAAGAGAAAAACGAATATTATCTTAAACATAATTATTACTATACAAATCACTTTTTGAATCCTCTTCTTTCTTTCATTCTTTTAATTGCTTCTTCTTTTGTTAATTCTTCATCATCATCTTCATCATCATCATCCATATCTTCTCCTTCATAATCATCATCTTCAACATGTACATCTAAATAATATTCCAAAGAATATGGTAATATTTCATCATAAATTAATCTACAAATATCATAACACATATCCATTTTCTATTATTATTCTTCTTTCTTATCTTCTTCCAATTTCTCCCAATCTTTTACATCTAAATTCTTAAATAATTAAAACAATGTCTTTTATTCTACTTCCTTTACCTTCTTCNTTAGCTTCTAATTAATCTTAACCTTCTTATAATGCAGTGATTAATCTAGCAACTAAGCTTAAAACGTTATTTAATGTTTCTGGATTAACTTTAGTAGTCATTTCAGCTAATCCTTCAATTATTGGTTAGAACAATGTTAATGAACTTTTCTTTGTATGTGCTTCCAAGATTTCTTTGATTTTTTAGAAATTCTCCTTAGTTTAGATGAGATTACTTTTAGTGTCTTAACTAAATAGATAATATAAATTAGATACGTCAATTAAATTAATGATGCACCTTCTCCTCTCAAATTCATAAGTAATCTTTATGCTTCCTTACATGCAAGAATAGCATCACTATAATCTTAGTATTTAGCAGTGAAATCTGTATTCTCAGCATCTAATCTACTTTAAGCATCACCACTTCCTCTAGAATTACGATCTAAGGCTGCTTAATCTAAGAAATACTCAAAATTTATATTACCTTCTTTTACTCTTGTTTATAATGTACTTAATTCATTACTCAAACTTGATTATTCTTATCTTTAATTATCAAGATCTTATTAAGCTTATTCAAGTGTGGCTTAAAGCTTAGCCAAATCAACTTGACTTCTTCTAGTAAAAGTGGCACTTTCTTAATCTTACAATTAAGTTAAGGCTATTAATTCATCCTTAATTTATTATAAGAGCTATTTTAATTCATTTAATGATCCTCCTGTTTTCATGTTAACACTTACTAAATTTATCATGGATGATCCAAAAGGATGATCTCCATATCCTGAAAGTTTTTCCTTGAGTTCAGAAACTGTAGTTGCCTAGAGACAGGCAATCAAAACAACAACCAACAATGCTGATTTCATTTATTATATTAATCAAAAAAATAAGTAAAAAAGAGAAAAACGAATATTATCTTAAACATAATTATTACTATACAAATCACTTTTTGAATCCTCTTCTTTCTTTCATTCTTTTAATTGCTTCTTCTTTTGTTAATTCTTCATCATCATCTTCATCATCATCATCCATATCTTCTCCTTCATAATCATCATCTTCAACATGTACATCTAAATAATATTCCAAAGAATATGGTAATATTTCATCATAAATTAATCTACAAATATCATAACACATATCCATTTTCTATTATTATTCTTCTTTCTTATCTTCTTCCAATTTCTCCCAATCTTTTACATCTAAATTCTTAAATAATTAAAACAATGTCTTTTATTCTACTTCCTTTACCTTCTTCTTTTATTTATTCTTCTTCTTAACAATCTTTACTGATATGTTCTTACCTTCCTTCCAATTTATTTTTGTACTTTCAACTTTAAGAGGTTCTCCTTATTTATCATCTAATAAAAATTCAACTTTTAATTCTTCCTCTGGGAAATAATCATTTGCTTTAAATTAGAATATCAATCCTAATTTGTGTTATTCCTTATTTTCAAATCCTCTTATATTTTTTATTGCCTTTAATAATGGTTCATCTCTATCTCCAATTACTTCATTTTTTAATGTCTTTGAATTTAATAAAACTTTAGACCAATAATTTTCTATTGGTTCTTGATTATCCAATATAGGTTATTCTTAAGCATTTAAATATTCCTTTAAATCTTCTATTTCCTCTTCTTTGACTAATCTTTCACCTGAAATTATTTAATTTGAGGCTTCAATTAAAGGTTCAACTCTTTTCTTATAATCACCTTCCATCTAGTCTAATTCTTAATCCTATTAATGATCTAAGTTCTTTCTGTCATATAAACACTATGACAAGGCAATTAATTAAATCTTTGTTTAAAGATCATATCCTTTAAGTTTCTCTTTAATTTGATCGTAATTAAATTCCATTTAAAATTAATATTATTTTAATATAAAATCAAAATTTTAGGTTTTTCTTACAATTCTCTTTAATAAATTATTCTAAAATTAGAGAATTATCAGATAAATTAGGTATTTCTTCAATATTTATGCTCTTCAATTTGTCTATAGAGTAAAGACTTTCGCTTAGTATGAATTTTGTAGAATACCCCAAGAACCTATTTTCATTCTCATAGTATACTTAAGTAAGTCTCCAGATTTAATCTAACTTAAATCATATTAATGTTATTCTAAAAATTTATTGTAATGATTTTGATATGATTCTAAAATACTTCCATAATTATATTTAATTGCATTTGTTTATATCAATATAACAATATCTTCCACATTATATTTCTCTTTTTCCTTTAAAATATTATTTATATATTTTAATGCCATCTTAAATTATAATATAAATATTTACTTAATTTTTTAATTAAAGCTTTTATAATATTTATGTTAAGTTACTCATCTTTTTCTTTATTCGTTCATCCAAAATTAAATTAATAGGATCTATAAATTCAATTAATTAATTCTATAAAGGATATAACAATAGATTTTTTTCATTGTTGTAAATTGAATTAATATTTTCTAGTAATGATTATTGATAATTAATTATGAGAAATCGAAATAAAGATAATCTATGATCCAAAATCTAAATCAAATTACTTGAAGATGAAGATAAATTTTCAGCTAATTATACTTTAGCAAAAATCCCTTTTAATATTTATTGTAACATAATGATTTTTGTTTAATAATTTTACTATTAAGTAGTATCTTCCTTTAGAGATTGTATAACATCATTATCTTAATTACATAAATGTTATTTAAAATAGTTATTTTGAAGTTTTTATATATTTTAATTAAGACTTGGTGATTTTATTAGTTTTTTTTAAGATTAATTATTCTATTTGATTTAATATGTTTTAACATATTATTATTATTTATTATTATTATTTAATTCAATTTCGTTTTCTTCTTTGTTTAATAAATAATCCTTTTCAGATTCATTCTATTTTATTAACTACTTCTATTACTATAATTTAATAATATAACCATTATTCTTAGTTTTATTATCTTTCTCTTTAGAGGAATTTATTCTATATTTTCTAGATCTACATTAAGTTGAATAATTAATTTAACGTGCATTATTGGTTCTTTCAGGAGTTTAACTAATTCTTAAAATGATGTTTTCATTTGAAGTGTCTCTTGTTTTAGTTTAATTATTCTCTTGAGATTTGTTTTATCTTTCTCTTGAAGACTAATCTTATATAAGTCATTTAAATACATTCAAAAGATTATTTATAATTAGATATTCTAAATTGATTCCTATTTTCAGGATTCTATTTTAAAGGAGGTTTTTAATTCAAATTTTAGTTTATTTTATTTTATTAATCTTATTGAATTTATTAAAGCTACTCATCTTATTAAAGGTTTATTAATTTAGATTAAGAATTGCTATTTTGTCTTTAGTCAATTAATCTTTTTGATTATGGTCTAGGTTTAAGTATTGTGATTTAATCAAAGATTTAAAATAACTATTCCCAATCAAATCTATCTTTCTCATGGTATTTAATACATCCATGTAATATATAATTTAATAATGCAGAGTCTTATTCATTTCCTTAATTCTTGAATTCTCCAATTAAAAATTCCTTATCCAAAACAATTATTTTCTAAAATAATTAATCCAATGTTTAAACTTTATAATATGATTCTTAGAAAATAAGGTAATAAATTAATAATCCAAACTATATAGATATTAATATTTACACTATAAACATCTGTTTTGGATGAATATTAACCAGTCATTAATGCTTGAGGTGATACATATAATGGTGTACCAATAATTGTTTATAAAAAGAATTGATTATCAAAGTTCAGAATCTTTCCAAATCCAAAATCACATATCTTATACATTAATTTTGTTCATTACTTTAATTTTATCATCTGTTCCAATTAATAAATTCTCTGGTTTGAGATCTCTATGGATTATATTATGAGAATATAAATCCCGATAGCCATTTATTATCTATTTAGCTAAATCTATAATTTCAAATAGGGATAATAATTATTTCTATTGTTTATTTTTTGTTATATAATCACCCAAAGTTTATTGGCATCTCTCCATAAATATCAGTAACTAATTATTCTATTTAGAAATATCATATATTTTAATCAAATGAGGATTATCGAATTCTATTAGTTTCTTTAATATTATAATTTCTCTCTCTAACAGCTTTTCATTTTCATTAGTAATTCTAATAATCTAATTTAAATACAATATATACTTTAACACAAATTAGTTGATTAGTGCTAATCTATTTAGCACCATAAACTTTACCATAGCTCCCAGATCCTACAAGTTCTGTAAAATACACACAATAATCTCCATAAATTTCTGAATTAGAGTATTACATAAATATTATTTTTATAAATTATTCAGTTGTATAAATAGATTTAATATAATTAAATATCAATTTTTAACGTAAGTATCCCAAAACATTCGACCTTGCTCGTATCTATAAATTGTTTATATTAATACCCAACTAATTGTGCTGAACATGCTACCATATAATAGATTGCACAACTATTGAACCCTTGCCAAAAGCCCTTGAAACCTGCTGATTTATAAATTTCTTTAATGCACATCGAAATGCCACCATCAATACCTTTATACTTTCGATTTTATTTAGATTCAAGAATTTCATACTAGATTTTTGTTTTCACCATATCTTAAGGATAGGAAAAGCAAATGCACACTAAGCCTGCAGTTATACCAGCTATAAATTAATCGATTATAGTTAAATATCCTTTCTCACTTTGTAAATACTATTTAGTAGATTCAAATGTAATAAAGAAAGTTGTATATTAAGGGATGTCTCTGAATATTGTTGAATTGATTCCCTTAAAGACTGCAGCTATTCCTTCCTTATTTACAAACTCAAATATGCATCTCAAAACAGATTTACGCTCTTACTCTGAAATTTACATTTGAAAAACAATCTTAAATAATTCTGATGGACTGGTAGCAAAACTTTAAATAAATCCAGCATAAGCTCCACCAACACCCCCTACTTAATGAAATTAAATATACAATGCATTAATTAATAAGAATCTCTGTCAACTTAAAAATATCTCATGTATTATTCATAACATGCAAATAAAGTTACTGAAACCGGAAAACTAAATATAAGTGGTGAAATAACTCCTTTATAGAAAGCAAAAGGCTAATATTATTTATAATATAGATTATTACTCCTTCGTATTTGAATATTTTATAGGCTGTTTTAAGAATAGATGTGTTTTCAGAGAACATTTACATTCTCACTTTAATTGTGCTAATATTATATATTTATTGTTACTCGAATGGATGTGCACTCAAAACAAAAGTAACACCTCCAATTGAGCCTGCAAATGTGTCCTGAAGAATGTCATTCCATTAATCCATTTACAATATAAAAAAAACTCTATATAATATTCTTATTTATGGTTTTTAATTAAATTATTAGTAATCAGCTACTCTAATAATTTATTTATTTTAATCATTACTAAAATTATTAGAGTATAAATATGCTGAAAATATGTAATAAGCTTAATAATTATGAATTTAATTTATATAATTAATCAATTTTATGATTGTGGTTCTATCAGTAAATTATACAGCAACTACTACCTCTAGCTAAATATATATTATAATTATTTACCTTCTTCAGTTTATTTTTTTGGTTAATCTTGATTTCCAACTTCGATTGGTTTATTTTATTACTAAACTTATACATTTTCTTCCTCTTCTTATTATATTTAATTATTTTATTATGGTTGTTATTAAGCAGGAGTCTATTATGGAGGGGGCTATTTTGTTTATTATTAAGGCGGAGGCTATTAAGCTTATTATTAAGGAGGTGGTTATGAAGCTTATTATTAAGTAGGTGGTTATTAGGGAGGCTATTAAGGTGGTGGTTATTATGCTGCTTGTTATTATTATTATTATTATTTCTTTTATTATTCATCAATTTCTTATTACTTTTTCTTTTCAGCCTCCTATTTTAATTATTCTTTTTTAGCCTTTTCCTCTTATAAGTATTTAATTTATTCTGGAGTTTATTCTGGGACTTCCCAATCATCTTCCATAATTGGATCTAAAGTTTACGGTACTTCCTTTACATCCTTTAAAAGAGTCTAGATTTTTTCTGTTACAATTTATTCAATCTAAACATCTAATAAAATTGTTTCAGATTTTTTAATAACATCTGCAAAATTTTTTTATAAATGTGCCAAACAAAGAATAACATCTTTTAATGCTTCTCCTCCACCAACAGAATCATAGAGTTCAATTTATTTACCTAAAGCATATTCTCTAATTTGATTAATTTTAGAAGTAAAGAATCCAGTTATTTTATCAATCATACCAGGTGGTTTAGGATTTTCTAATTCAAATTATAATTAAATGAACACTTTAGCTGATGATTTCTTTTTAGCTATTTCAATAGCTGCTTTTGTAATAACCTAACTTAAATCTTCTTATGTGTTGGCTGTATGATTTTCCATAATGATTTTATTTATAGAATTTACCTTATCCTCAAATTTCTTCTATTTATATTCTGAATAACAATAATCAATTGCACCATCAATTACTTTAAAAATACTACCAACCAAAGGTAAACTCTCACAAAGTGATGATCCAACTTCTAATGCTTTTTTTGCTAATGTAACTCCTGTGCTTACTTTGTTATCTATTTCAGCATGTTCTACATTTGTCTATAATATTCCTGTACTAGCAGCCCTATATGAATCAATATAATTAAGTAATGTCCAATAAAATGCTTTTGCATATTTACCTTCTTCTTTACTTCTATTCTCATTCATCCAAGCTTTAATTTTTCCTTATTCATAAACACCTGCAGCTCTTAAAGTATCTCTCATTTTATCAACTCTTTATTCTAAAGCTGCAGTTCTTTTTGCTTATTCTTTTTATTTCTTTTCAATTTCATCAATTTCTTTAGATTAACTCTCAATCTTTTTCTTTAGCTATTCTATTTACTACTGCAATGCTTCATAATCTTTATCATCTCCTTCAGATTTCCCTTAATTAGTTTATATTTTTTCATATTATTTCTTAAGCATTTCAATTCTTTGTTTTTCTAATTCTTCATATTCTTTTGTAATATTTTTATGACCAGCCAATACATTAGGTCTTTTGAGCATTGCATCCATTTTAGCTTTAATTTCATCAGCAGCTTTTCCAAAATTCTCTTGTAATGAAACAATTTTCTTTAGTCCTTATTAAATAAAGTTAATATTAGCATCAGACAAGTTTCTTTTTGAAAAATCATCTTTCAACAATTCTTCAGATTTTTTTAAACTTGCTAAAGATTCTCCAGGTTTATCCAATAATAATTCTACTTATGCTTTATTTGCCCATGCTAATACAAATCTTGGTTCAGCAGCTATACTCTTGATAAATGCTTCTTCAGCTTCTTTGTACTTCTTTTAAATTTAATAGCAAGCTCCCAAACGATTAAAAGATACAGCTCTTTCAAAAGGATCTGGTGATTTAGTAACAATTTCACATAAACGAATTGTTTCTTTTATGTGATCTTCATATTTTCCATCCTTATTCTATTAAGCCAATTTAAATTCTATATCAGCCAAATTACTTATGGCAATCATATCATTTGGATTTAATGCTTTTACTCTTTCAAACATTTATTTTGCTTCATCCAATTTCTAATTTTCCAAATAACAGATACCCAAATTATTGAGAGCACCCAAATTTTATGGATTTACTTTTATAATATCTTAATATTAGGTAATAGCTAAATCATATTTCTTTTATTTCAAATATGATTGAGCCAATCCAAGCTATCCTTCTACACTTTTAATTTGTGAAAAGATTTTTTCAGCATCTGAATATTTTAATTGATGAAGATAGATCTTACCTTTAGCGTCAAGAATAACTGGATCATTTAAACATTCTGTATGAACTTTATTCAAAAATTCTTCTGCTTCCTTATATTTGTTTTATGCTTCAAATATCCTTGATTGTAATGCATAAAGTTAAACCATTTTTGGATTTATTAAAAGAGCTTATTTGATATCTGCTTCCGCCCTCTTGTAATCACTTATATTATAAAAGCAACTTGCTCTTTTTCTATAAATTTATCCATAATCTTAATTTTCTTATTTATCTTTTCTGTCGATAACATTTTAATATTATTTTATTGCTTCTTCAAACTTATTCATCTTCATTTCACAATCAGCCAATCCGGTATAGCATGCAGATAAATTAGCCTATTATATACTTTCTTTCTGCACAAGTACAGACAATTCTAAATAGTGAGCCTTTGCTTGTTCATACATACCTAATTAGAATTCAACATCAGCCAAGTATAATAATGCTTCTTCATTTCCCTCTTTTTTTAGTGTCCAACTTTTTAATAATTCTTCGTGAGCTTGATTTGATAATTTTAAGTCCTTTTATGTTTATGACTTTAATAAATAATCGCCAAGTAAAGATTGCCCAATTAGTTTTCTGTAAAAATACTCATAATCTTTGTCTAAGATAGCTTGCTCTGTAGAAATTTCAATTGCTTTCTTAAAATCTTAAGCCTCCAAGGCATCCTATGCTAATTCAAATGGATCACTCATTAATAAAATTATTAAAAAATAATATCAAATTTTTGCACTTATATAATTAAAATTTTGAAACTGTCTTTCTTATAATTCAATAAAATTTTAGCAGTTTCAAACCAACAAAACTATAAAAGCAAACTCACTCATTTTATCTCTAAAATAACTATTTAAAGTCTCTTACTATATATTAACTATGGGGATATATCTAATTGCTCAATATTTTTTTATTTTCAAGTTTATATTTGTTTTATTACAGTTCATTTGAATATATCTTATTTAATCGTCAAACTATATTGTTTCACCAACAAAGTATAATCCCCCAAAACCTTATCATTTACACCCATTATGAACTGCTTAGGTCTAGCTATATCGGCTTTTATAAAATGTAATTTAAATGATTTAAGTCACATACTTTTGCTTATATCTTAATGAAGTTGTGCTAGCATAATACGATGTATTTTTACAAGTATTTTAAACAATCACAGTACACTTTCATTCTATTATTTATGTAATAATATTATTTGAACTTAATCAAGCAAATCTAGAGGATGATATTAATAGCTTAAAGGATTATATTTACCTTTATTGTCTAGAATCAATTTTATATGTTTGAATATATTATAATTAATAATTCATTTAAAGTCATTTTATTTATCTAGTTATACATAATTTAATATAGCTTGATCTTTCAAATGATTGTACATATCTTGAATAGTTAGAAATAAGATGATATCCAACTTAAATCTTCCAATTTTTCTTATTATTTCAGAAACAAGTAAACAATCTACCATAGAAGTAACATCTATGTAAGAGTTTTTTTCCATATTTCATAGTTTCTCAACATCTATTATAATATTGATTTTGGATAAGGTACTTTAAATTCTCATTTCAACATTTTTAGTATGATTTCAATCATATCAAATTTTTTCAATATATATTTTTTATCAAGTCTTATATTGATGCATTTCTAAAATAATATATATACACATTTGATATTTCTTATTAACTAATTTTATTTTAAAAAGGTGATGACATAGTAAATGCATCTTGTCTAGGAAATATTTTATTCAAATACTCTTCATTTATCATTTTCTCAATGAATATTGTCTTATCTGTCAAATGTTAAAATGATTGTATCAAAAATTAATTAATAAACTTCATTATTTTGGTATTACTTGTCTATGATATTTTTAGTTTTATGATGGTCTTAAAGAAGAATAATAAACTTTGATTTAGAATCAATCAAAATTAGAGCAATTCTAATTCTGTATAAGATTGATACCTAAATAAAATAATTTTATCTTAATTGTTGTTCGAAATAAAATATTATTTGACATGAAGATGGATTAAAATAACTTTTTACATTTTCAATATAAAAAAAATATTAACAATATCATTCATAATTTAAATTGATATTATTATTTTTTTACAAATTTCAAATTTAAATATAATGTAGAAGTAGTTGTTGCAATAATTATTGAAAAAATCAGTTGATCACTTAAATTGAATATTAAGCTATATATAAAAAATTTTATAAAAGTTATTTAATTTATGTATTTTATCACTTTTTTTATTTTAGATGCTCTAGCAGAAATATTATATAGTATTCCAAATCAAAATAACTATCTATCTCCAGCAAATGAATAAGAATGCTAAAACATTGTACTTATGGAAAACCAAAATTTCTATTTAGAACTTGATAAAGAGGCCAACATATTTTATAGATTTTCTAATGATTTTTAAGAATTATTTAGTGATAAATGGAATTTAACATTTATTGAGTTTGTTTCATAAGTTGAATTTGCACCTGATTATTTTTCAATTCTTTAAAGTGAATATTTATTATTTGATGATGGGATGTGTTTTTGTTCTCTACTTTAGAATTAAAGAAATTTGGATTATTCAATTTATTGTAAAGATGTAATGGTATAAAAATATATTGGATATTAAGTTTAATTTAGTGAAATATAAGAGTTTTCATTTTTAATTCTTTATTAGGATGGCCTTAAATGTAATAGTTTTGTATTTTTGAATCAACTATTTTATCTTCTTTGTATAATTGAAGATCAAATGCAAATTATTACATTTGATTTGGAAGGAAATAGATATTAACAAAACTATACTATTTCATCATAATAATGTGAAGTTAAATATTAAATTATTCAACGTTTTTCCTTGTTAATAGCCTTTTATAAATGTGTTAATTGGGAAATAATGATTTATGATCATAAACTATAAGATTTAATAAGAATTACTGATTAAGAAATATATTTAAAAGCCCAATCTGATTCTAATAAGTATTTATAAGACATTTTCATATGTTAAGATAATCTGTTCCTAATTTTTGATCATGAATACTTTCAATTAAGAATTTTATCTTTTCAATCACCTATAAATAGTATTGATTCTACCATTCATATTGAAAAAATAAAAAATCTATAATTTATGCTTTTATCTAGTTGCACATTAGAAAATAAAATAATCTCGGAATACACTATTCATTCTACATTAATTGACTTTGAATTAATAAATTTAAAATCTATTATGAAATTAGGACGTTATTTAACCTTTCTAATTTATAGTGATCATTTAATTGTCAGGCTTACAAAAGAAATAACATAATAAATTCATATTGAGATTAATTAGTTTTGTTATATATAATAAAAACTCAATTATTTTGTAATTGTTGATAAATAAAATAAAGTTAATTTATTCGAGATTAATTTATTTTAAAATTATTTTATTTATTAATCAAATATAAAATATGTTGGATTTTATAAAATTGAAGACTAAATAGTTAAGTTAATTAAATGTTTTGTAATAAATTAATATTAACATTAAGAGGATAAATTAAAAACTTCAATTGAGAATCTCAAAAATTATAATTATATGATTTAAATAGATGATAATTTTGATAATATTGAAATTGAAAAATCCCATTTCTTTTTGAATCCAAATTAAAAATTCCATTTTAATTTCCCAAATATATTTTATCAAAGAATAGAGCATACTAAAAATAATCAAATATGTAATATAAACAGATAACAATTAAAGCATGCCAGTAAATTTTTAATATTTAAGATAAACTTATAAAATTATCTTATGTTTAATAGAAATGAACTTTTAGTTATTTATCATTGTAATTCTTAAGACTTTTCCTATTTTAATTTAAAAATTGATTTAAATTTAATTAAAATATTTTATATTTAAAATGTCTAATTAGCTTTGGTTCAAGAAACAGAAGGAAGAATAATTACTTTTTTATTATATTAGAAGTTATATGACTCGATTCCATATTAAATGCAATAATTTAAAGAATAGATTAGAGTTTCATTATTATATAGAAATTATTTGATAATTTTATTATAGAATTCAAATTAACTTTTTTTTTAATATCTAAAAGAAAATACATTCATAAATTAATCACACTACAATCCTCATTACTTTAATAATAATACTGATTTTTAGGAGAAAATTAAAAATACCATAAAAATTTTAAATTTTTATAACATATTTATCTTGCAATATGAATCTCATTTGATAGTTCAAGTAGAATAGTTTGTCTTTTAAAGTAATCTATTTTATTTAATATTAGCAATCAATTTGAAAATGGTACTATTAGGAGGTTTCTAAAAAAGAAGTCAGCCTCTTTAAATAATATTGATAGGAATGAATTAGGAAATGAACAGGATAGATAAATATTTAATCACTAAAGAGAACTACTATAAAATTTCGACCTTTTACTTCTAAGATTATATACCAATTTAACCTTTAGAATATTAGTTTCATGAAAATAATTTAATTATAACAACAAAAACATAAAATTAAGATTTATTTCATATAATGATATTTTTTATAGATTAAAAAAATAATCTAGAATACTATGAGATAATTTCTACACCTTATAAATACTTTTATGCTATTTCTGATTTCCTTTATTATTACAATACAAATTAAGAACTGATTGAATACAACATTAAATATTTCACTTTAGATTATTGTCTTTAAGATTTTAATTAAATTATTTACAACCTTTAATTCTAAATAGATATTATCAATCCTTATTCTCAGATAGATAATAGTAATTATAGTGAACAATTAAATTTATTCGTAATCAATTACAAAGAAAATTTACAACTTATTAATAAAAGTAATCCAAAAATAATGTTGAATAATAATTAAGCTATTATAAATCCAAATAAATTTGTACATGGAATATTTTATGAATTTTATTTATAAAATACTACATCGTTTATTCTGCAAAGTCCATTTAAAGTGGTTTCTTAAAAAAAATGTCTTGATCTTTATAACAACCTTTGTGTTATCTAATTTGATCCATAATTTATAGTACAAGATATAACAAAAAATGTTGAATAAAATCAAACATTCTCTATCAGAATAACAGAAGATTTTAAGATTCATGGCTGTAATGAAGGAATAATAATAACATAATAAATTGATATAGAAAATATAAAAATACAATATTTTAAAAAAGATATTGAAATATTTATTTTAATTAAAGGTAAACTTAAAGAAACTTAAATAAAATAATAAATATTAATTGTTTAAACATCTGAATTTATATACTATTATTTTATTAATGAAGAAATCACATTTATATATTCTTGTGCATTTAATTTAATTACACAATATCATAATTTATTTCATCAGATTGATACTGATAAGATATGCTAAACACTTTTTGAATTTAATGAAATATAAATTTTATGTTCTTAAATATAATAAGGAGTAAAGTTATCAATATAAAATTACACAATTCCTATTTAAGATATATATGATTCAATAAATTTAGGTCATCCTTATTTTTAAAATGATGCTAAAATTAAAATATTAAGTTTAATTTCTACTTTATAAAATGTATTAGATTTGAAGATTGTAATAAATTATATAAGGCAATAATAGAGATATGGTTAAATTTTATAATTTCATGTTTAGATAACTTTACAAAATTAGGAATATTAAATTATATTAACTAATTTAATTAGGCTTCCTAAATTTAATCTAAATTGTCTTCTATAACTATTACAAGACAACTTATTATTTATTTGTCAATAATTGAAAATCTACTTATACAAACTTTAAGATGAATTTTAAGTATTAGATCCTTATGCTATTCAATAATTTCCAGGTTAATTATTTTCTATCTTAAATAATACTCATATAGCTATATACAATTAAATAAACAATGAAGTTAACATATTAAATATTGATTTTTGGAGATTAATAAAAAATGATAATATTATTATTGAGGATGAATAAAATGTTACATTTATACTTTAAAACTATTTAACTCAGTTAGAACTTAAAGTAAATGTTGTAAACTAAAGAAAATTTGAAAATTACTTAACCTTTATTAGATTTATAATAATAATAATAATAAATAGTTTATTTATCCAAATATTCATTAGTGTTAAAAAATAAAATAGAAAGTGATATATATTTTGTTTAATATTTTCATTAAAATTATGTAAAATGAATATGAAACTGAAAATATATTTCCAAAAAATATAAATATAGATTAATTTTAATATTATGGATTATTTATTTATTAAATAATTTAAATATTTATATTATAGAATATGTAATTCTAAATTAATTATTATTTTTATATTAATGCATTCATAAATAGACCCTCATTTATACTAAAATACAATCAAATAGCTGAATATAGAGAATAATGAATTGAAATAACAATTATAAAATATAAAGTATTGTTTAAATTATATTTCTTCTTAGATTAGAACTTGAAAAATAAGTTCAACTATCAAAAGAAGCATTGGAATGGAAAGAGAAATATGATAGATTACATAAATAAAACCATTCATTAGATCATGAAAGAAAATAATTATTAGATGAAATAAAGAAATTAAAAGATGAGATTAAGAATTTGGAGTAGATTATTTTAAATATTTAATAGAAATTCTGTGTAATAGTTACAAGAGAAAACAAAAGATTTAAATGATTATGATTAGATAAAGGCTAATTCTATAAGTGTATAATAATATAACTTAGAATTAATAAGAGAATTAGAAACATTTAATTAGAAAGCATTATTTTTAATAAAAGTATTATGTTAGATAAATTAATAGCCAAAAACAACAATTGATAATGCTAAGTAATATTATTCACTGACTCTATAATGGGATAGAAATATATAAAATTTGCAATTGACATATAAATTAGAAAAAGATGGTTTGATACTTGAAGGTTATGGAGAGACAGGTGATAAAAAGATAGTTTATCAGCAGATTTATGATTTAGGGAAAAAAACACTAAAAGAAAAAGAGAGACCTATGATTTCATTGAAACAATCTTAAATGACTTTGACTTTTGAAGTTTGAGCTTTATAAATCAAATTAATTTTTTTAATTCTGGATGAATAGAGTAATATCCTTTGGGTTTGCCACATTTGAATCATTAGTTTAGAAATTGAGTAGTGTTGAAAATGCAACAAGTCTCTTCAAAGTATATTAAGAAAACAAAGATTAATTTAAACATGAACATGTAGTAATATCATTAAGAGTACTTGGAAGATTCAGTCGTTAGATTAATTCAGATAATAACTTTTCTGAAATAACAAGTAAATTGAATGATATTGTTGGTCAATTAACTGAATATGGTAATAAATATCTGTAATTTAGATGTTGTGGATGTATTATTTTGGTTAAGAAAATTTAGATTAAATCGAATTCCAACAAATATAACTAATCAAACCCAAAATTAGTTATTTTAAAGAATTTAATAGATGTCTGACAATTAAATGTTTTCATTTAGAAACATGTGTAGTATATACTATGATTTATCAATATTAAATCAATACAGTGAGACTTTGGTTAAAAGTATATCAGAATAAATGCTAACATCTAAATAATTGTCTCCATTTCTTATAACTTAACTTTTAAGTACTGTAGTCATAAAAATAAATCATTGCAATCTCTCTAAATATGATTAGGCAGTCTTAACTAATTCTATTAAAGCATTAGATGGTTTATTAGACAGTTTTGATATAGAATAAGTATAATATATATATTCAATATTATATAGAAATCTTAACTATTTAGGGTATGTGCTGAAGTACAATTTTAAAATCTTCCACCAAAATTTCAATTACCAGTTTAAATTAAAAAGATTAAAGATTCTTTATAAGATAAAATTGAACTATTATAAGAGGAATCAGTCATAAATATATTCAAAGCTTATGAATATCTTCCTAGTAAATTTGAAATTGATCTATTAAAATAATTAAGAGAAATGATAATGACTACTTTAGAATAAAATCCATAAAATTTATCTGATAAATTTATAATTTAAATTTCAGAAAGAATGATTAAAATGACTACTTAAAAAATATCTTAGGATGTTATTAAAAGAGTGCTTATGGAATTATGTAATAGAATTTCAAATAAGACTATTGATATTGCATTATTAAATTAATTGATACCAACTTTAATGAAATATAAAAAGATGGATGAAATACTATAAGCTTTATTAAAATTAGAAGATAAAAGTATTAAAGTTTTGAATTACTTGTTTATTAATGGAGTAAATATGAAAGAATATGTAGATAAATTCATTTAAAATAAAGAATCTAAAAGAATTCCTTTAAATTAAGCTATTAATTATGCTGTATATGCAAATAGAGATGCTAAAGAACATTTAGATACTTTTTTTAAGGTATGTAGAGAATAAATTGAAAATTATCCATTATAAGCCTTAAAAACATTTAATGAAAATGAACTTAATTTTTAAATAAAATATTAATTATAAGAAGAAGCTTATTTAAAATTAATTGAACTTGTAAAATAATAAAAATTTGATTTTATAAGAGTTTTTAGAGAATTAATAAATTGTTGTTGTAATAATAGATCAAGAACTGCTCTCCTCTAATTTTATGATCAATAATAAATTAAAGTAAATCCTAAATAAATGATGTAAAGACTTGTTTAAGATATTGATCCATTTGATTCTGAATCATTTTCTTCACTTTTATAATTATTATCTAGAGATCCTAAAAATATTCCAATTTAAAGATTTGTAGATTATATGACACTTAATTCACATAAATTTTTGGATCTTATTAAAAGTGATCAATTATAATGGGCTATTAAAATCTTGGTTTCTGCTTATTAAGCATAACCTGAATAAAAACTTTATCCAATTGTTAATTTTGCTTTCAGATTTGAAAATATAGGATATTTAAGTAGACATGTTAGTGCTGCACTTAAAAAGATTTCTGAATAATTCAAATAGAAAAATCCTAACTTACCTTTTCCTGATCCTTTATTTGTTAATTTGTTAATGAATCATAATTTATTGACACCAGAAGAAGCTGTAATATAATTAAATAATGATAAAACTCATTGGCATACTAAAGTTTAATTATGTGGAATTGCATTATAAGCTGAAAATATTCCATAAAATATTATTGAATTAAGAGATAAAATAAAAGAAAGTTGTTTCAAAGCTTTAGAGTAAGAAGTCAAATATTAAACAATTTTAGAATTGATTACATTAGGTGATTTTACAAATGAAGAATTTATTAATGTCAAAACAAAACTTTAAACAATATAACCTTAATTATAAGCTAAATAATATTTTGATTTAATTATGTCCGCAAAAGATTATTCAATTTTAAAAGAGTTAGCAACTTCATTTAGTGAATTATCTTCAAAACTTGGATTTAATAGAATTATGAGAGCAGTAGAAAAATTTGCTAAATTTTAAATTCAATCCTAAATGGTTTATAATGTTTTACTTGAAACATATGGCTATTCATTTTATTTTATTTTTAATGAATAAAGAATCTAAATATTAGATATATTTGCTTAAGCTAAAATTAAATAAGCTGATCTCTTCAAAAGAACATTAGAAAAGATTAAATAATAATCTTCAGCTTATAAAAGTTATTATTATGAAATAATTGAAATTTGTACTAGTTTAGGTTTTGTTGAGTAAGAATTTGTAGATTTAATTAATTAAATAGTTGAAAAAACACAAATTTCAGGTTCAACTGCTCTTAAATTATTATAATATTATGTTTTAGCAGATTAACCAATTGAAGTTATTGACAAAGTTGCAGATAGCATAGTTGATGCTAAATATAAAGATAATTTTAAGACTGCTTTGACATATGAAATATTACTTAGAAAATATCCAAATTCTAAAGCCGTTAAAGTTCATGAAACCTATCTTAATGAAGAAAAAATCTCAAAGGCTAGATATTAAATTGCTAATACAAGTAATAAACAACATTTTCCAAATGAATTCTGTACCCAATATTTTAATTTATTGGGAGTTGAATTCTAAACCAATAAAAATATTGATGGTATTAATGTTGAATTTTACTTACCTTCAATGTAATTATTTTATTTATATATTAAGTGAAACATCATTATTGATTGTAAGTCAAGCTACATTAAATTTTGATTAAACAACACTAAATGGATTTGGACTATTATAAAAGAAATTATTAGAATCAATAACTAAATAGGTTATTGTCATTAATTTTAAATAATTATTACAAATATAAACTCATGAAGACAGAGCAACATATTTAATGAATTTAGGTATTTTATAAATTTATAATTAAGGCATACCAATCAAAGTAGATGTTACATAAGTAGATTATAGTTCCCTTAAAGTATATGACAAAAATGATAAAGAAAAACCTACTTTCTAATAATCAAAAACTAATTAAAGAAAATAATTTGGAAAATAGGATTATCTTTAAGATCATTTGCATATAGATAAGGAATGAAAATTCAAAGTTAAATTATAAATATTATCCTATAAAATATTCATTTATTTAATTATATATTATTATTTATTTTACATTTAATTACATATTAATATCTATTATTTATTCTATAAAAGTATTAACGAATATAAAGTCTTGTTTAGTTTAGATTTATTAGATCTTTTAATATATATAATTAATATAAATATTAATAAATCATTAAAATTTGATATCATATTTTCTCTATAATACCTATTATCCAATATGATCATCTAATTAAGTCAAACTTTATTGCAATTTGTATATATCTTTTTCTAATTCTAGATTATCATTCCTAATATTTTCCAATTATACAATCTAATCCTGCATTTCATGATTATATTCAACAACCTATTATTAAAGTAATTGTTTAAGTTATAGAATTTAAGGTTAAATTTCATTTTGTATATTTTCACTTTAAGAGTTAATTATTTAATTGATATGAGAGAGATCATCCTATAATAATTCACTTTCTTATTTATAAATTCCTGTTAACTCTTTCATTTTCAGAATGTATAAAGAATTAGTATGAGCAGAATCAAAACAAGTCAATGTATTAATTGGTCGAAGAGTTTCTCTTTTTGTAAAAACATCATTCTATTTCATATATTATAAGTTATATAATATAATTCTTTAATCAATTAATTTATTAACAAAAAATCAAAAATAGTTTATATTAAATAAATTAATAAAACTTCAACATTCATATGAAACTAATCCAGAATCTGTATCTGATATTATTTTTGTGAGAGGTTCTATAAAAGTTGAAGCTAGTTTTGCTACTTAAGGATGTTAAAAAACATTTGTAAGCAAATGTCTAAGATTTTCATTCTCATTTTCTACTCTTTTAACCTTTTTTTGTAATTCCTCAAAAGCATCTTGCAATGGACCTATCTTTTCCAAAGCATCTCTCTTCTTTCTTTGAGATTCATTAGCAGAATTTCGATTTCTTCTGATACATTAACATTTTTTGCAATTGCAAATTTCTTCTCCATTGTATACACATTTATTTTTCAATTTTTCTATCATCTTCAAATAATAATTAGATGTATTTTTAACAGGAACAGGTTCTTATTTATCATTCAATTAGGTTATATCAATCATATGACTCTCTAATTAAAGTAGGGTAGGTAATATGTATAAAATTGAACTATTCATTTAATTATGTATTTTTTTTGTTCTTATTGTAAATTCTGTCAAATCTATAACAATATTAGTATCATCAAAATATATTGTTGATACTTTTTTCAAAAAATCTTAGGTTGCTGCCTTGAAATCACCCATTATTAATAGATACTAAAATATAAAAATTATATCTATACTTCTTAAAATATTGAATCATTATGTAACTAGGCTGTTTATTTTACTATATTCTCAACTATATCAAAGATAAGATTAGACTTCATAAAAAAATTGTTCATCAAAACAATATAATGATTAAATTAAAGCAAAAATTAATCTTTTGTTAATTCTTTTTATTATTAACTTAAAAATTTAAAAATGAATGTACTCCAAACATCTTCTGTATTTTTAATTATTAATTAATGTAGTTAATAAAAACTTAGTTATTAACTCACTTATTTATTTGTAGATATTTAGTATTAATAAAGAGTATTAAAAAATATATCAGAAAAATCATCCCTAAACAACAAAAATTAGGAGAAATATTTCATATTAACATATTTCTTATTTTAAAGTTAATCTAAATATTAAATGATATATATACTTTTCTCAAACTCAACTAAAGAAGATCTCAGTAATAGTGCAAGAGTCTTAAACAAAGAATTACTCATTGTTATATTCATTGGCTAATTTAAGAATTAGGATTTTAGAATTCCAATATAACTTCCTTCTTCCTTTATTTAATCCAATCCATGAATTATCAAATTACCTAATACATTCATAAATTAAGGTAAATGAATTTCAATTTAATCTCGTATAATAACTGTTTCTCTTCTCAATACTTATTATTAGAAATATTAAGTTATTCTATTTTAAATATCAATCAATGACCAAGTTTATCTACTTTAGACATATAATCATACTTTTAATCTGTTTTTGAATCAGGTTGTTACAATATAGTGAGAAGTTGCTGTTATTTTATAATCTTAACATAATTTTAAATTAAATTACTTCTTGATTTTATCTTAATACCTATTCTTCTTATTTGATTTTTTGTAATTCCTATTGCTTAATTATAGCTTGAAAGTAAAGTTATTGTAAAGAATTCATAGTAATTTAAATTATTTATTTGAATACAGAATTTGAGGAAAAACCTTTTATTTAGAGAATCATGCGTATTATTCACTATATATAGTTATTTACATTCAAAATAAAAATTGTTATTAATTGTCAAACTTAAATACTTCTTCATTATTATAAATAATTTGAATTATTCAAATAGTTATCGTACGCACTAAAATAATAGCTATTAATTATTATTATATTATCTATTAATTTATAGAAACATATAAGTTTCATTAATCAATTTATTTAACTATATATATATATAATAAATGATTCATAAATGAAATATATATCGGGAAACCAAAAATAATTTAATAATATCTTGTAATCCCTATAAAATATTAACTCCCTTTATTTGAAACAACAAAACATATAGAAATTATTATGATTTATTTATAGTCTCCATAATTCAATTATAAAGACTTTTTTCAAAAATTGTCTGTTGAATAATAAATACCTTGAGTACAGAATGATTGATATAGAAATCTTCATATATAATCACCTTGATTATTTAACAAAATGATCAGGTTGTAGAATAAAATTAATTACTTTATAAATATATTTGTGAATTAAGTAAAATTTTAATATAACAAATAAAATGTTGTTTCAAAATTTTTATAATATTTTTAAAAAATAAACAAAAGGAATTTTCTTTATTCATTATCCTATTTGGAAATTTTAATGGATTTAATAAAAAATAGAAATAAAAAATTAATTATAAATTACTAATAAAAAATTTCGAATAAATGATGCTTATTTTTATTTAAAAAAATGCTAGTATACAGTAATTAAAATGATAAAATAATAACATATATTATTACTTTAAATAATGAATGAAATACTTTATTACTTTTACTATTAATTTATCAAAACATCATTTTGAATTTTAATTTTATCATAAATAAACAAGGGCAAAATCTTGATTTCTTAATCAAAGGTTATTGTTTATTCAACTTATTTCTCTAATTATTCCATCGAAATATTAAGTATATTTACTTCTTTTTGAGTAATTATTCTTCCCAAAGTATCCCAGTATTTGATAAAAAAGTACATATTTCTGTTTTGAAAGATGCTTTAGATTTGACTAGAATTACTTAGAAAGGATGATATCTATTGAGAAGAAGATGAAATTATAGAACAATTTAATCCCAAAGTCTTTTAGTATTTTAAGTAGATTCCCTGCAATTTGAATAGATTCTTCTTATTTTTTTATTAGAAAATCATTAAATATTTTTACATTTTATAATTTATATGATAATCTAATATGAAGATTAGAATTTAATTATATGTGTGTAATATAATGTGAAGAAATACTCTCAAAAACAAAGATAAAATTGACATAGTCGCCAAAAAGAAGGAGAAAGCTTGAGATCTAAAAGATTAAGATGAATTTAAATTGAAGTGTAATTTACAAATTTTAGAATTAAATTTTATTGACAATTATTGAAATGATTGTATATAAATATCAAAAATGTATAAATATTTTAGATGATGATTTTTAAATTATATTGTTAGAATTCAGCAGATTTAATTTGCTAATATTTAGATTTATAGTCATTTGATCGTCATTAATAAAAATTTTTTAATTTTACTGATGTCTTCAATTAATTAAGAATCACAATTTAGAAAACATTCAGATGTCACTGCTATTTCTTAATTCAATCCTAAAGATTAAGAATTGGATCAATATTTCGAAGACTTTGCACTTCCTGCTTTATAAAAATTCTAGTAAATATAAAATATATATGGTTAGAAGTAATTTTTCAGATTAAGACTTCTTATCTAATGAAAAGATGTAAAATGCTAATAGTTATGAATAAGAATATGGAATTTCTATAAATGATAACTAAGTTAAAGAAAATCTTTAAACAGCTTGTTTCTAGCAACCAGAACAAAATAATACAAATATTTAGAATAATAGTCATATGAATAAAAGAAATAGAAGAATAACACATTATAATGTAATGAATTTGTACTAAACCATTTCAGGAATTTTTTGATAAAGATGTAGATGAGCATAATTTAAATAATTCACCTTGTAAATGTAGTAAATCACATTGTTTATTATTATATTGTGCTTGTTTCCATAGAAATATTAAGTGTTCTGAATTATGTAAATGTTATGATTGTCATAACAAATAAGATTATTCTTAATTTAGAAAATAGGCTTTAGAGAAAGTTAAAGTAAAATAATAGAGACTAAAACATGATGATGATTTATTTGATAAGGCTACTGTTTGGGGATGTTAATGTAGAAAATCATAATGCAAAAAAAATTATTGTGAATGTTTCATTAGAAATAAAAAATGTTCATCTCTTTGTAAATGCAAAAATTGTGAAAATAAAAGGAGAATACCTATTCATAAAAAAATAGTCAAATGTGAACATTGATAATACTGATTACTTTTCATATCAATTTATGAATTTGTATAAGTCATTTAAAATAATTGAGATTAAGTTTTTTCATGAAAAGAAGAAATACATATACGAATAATAATTTCAATTTAAAAATTATGATAACCATCTAAATCCTTCAGCATAACCTACTTTGTTTGCCACACTACACATAAATACATCAACTGGTCTTCCATCAATTTCCTTTATATTTTTATTGTTTATTTGCTATTTAACATTTATTCCTAATGCTGATCTTAATTCTTCTTCTGGCACAGCTCCTGGTTTATCTATTTTATTTCCTAAAATAACAATTGGAACCTAAATAAAATTAAATATAATACCTTTGCTAATTCTGCTGTATTTAATATTTATTCAAGTTCATCTCTACTTTCTTTCAATCTTTATGAATCTGCTGAATCAACAAGATATATGATTCCATCAACTGTTGGGAAATAGTTCCTCCAAGTCTTTCTTACTGCTTAATGACCTCCTAAATCAAAGGCCTTAAATCTAACATTTCCTAAAACTAATTCTTCTGCATGTGGATGTAGTGTTGGATCATGTTGAACCATTCTATCATCTTTCAATCTTCTTAAAAGAGTTGTCTTTCCTGCATTATCCAGTCTAATAAAATATTAGAATTTTCTAATTACCCCAAAAATAATATTTTAGCATTCTTTTTATAGAGTCCTAAAGAACTCAAAAGACTTTTGAACATGTTAAGTATAAACATTTTAATTAATAATATAATAAATATTGAAAGAAAAAACGAAATATAATTAGGATTTAAACAAATTTTTTATTGTTTAATAATCGAACACATCATTATCATAATTAGTATATAATTATTCATTAATTTCATTAATTATTTTTGTTTTTTAAAAATCTCTTAACTTTATTAATAAATTAATATATTTGGCAAGTGAACTCCGATAATAATTTCATAATCTATAATACCATTATTAAATGAGCAAACCATTTAGAAATTAGAATTTTCGAAACCTAATTCAAGAAATTTAATTAATTTTAAAGTGAAATTTGTTAAATATATAAAAATCAAAGTAATTCCTTATTGATGACTCTTAATTATTTTTAATCATCTAAAATCATCTTCATCAGTTTCCTCTTCTATAGATATTAAACTATCTTATTTAATATCTATTTTTTTATTTGATTGTCTGTGTTTTTTAATCTTTTATAGAATGAACTTAGAAATTGAGTCTAAATTCAATTCCACATCAGGATATATATTCTAATTAAGGATTTATTCCTTCATATAAGTTTTCTCAACCTCAGTGATGATTTAGAGATCATAAAAATTTTTGAGAGTTTAAAATGCCAATTTGTAATAGGTTTGCATTTTTATAAAAAATGAATTTAATTTAATATATAAAGTTATCCTCATATAATCTAATTTAAATCATAATGCTTCAGATTATTATATTACCTTAACAGTAAATTAAAGATTCCCATATTAAATTTATATTATGGTGTCTGATTTAATTTTGGAACTTATTTAATCATGGTGATTAACAATGACAGTGGGAATATTAAAGTGCACTTAAGTATGATGATACTATATATTACTTTAATTGTATTTACAATAATTCATCAATTCATCGATACCAACAAATTGAGAACATCTAACATAATTTTATTCTTTTTCAATAGAATAATATTTAACTTCTACAAAATATTCACAACTTAATGCAATTAAAGTATTTAATATGATAAAATTACTTAAAAATATATATATAGGGATTATAATATATGGTATTATATATCCATGCTTTGAATACATTGGTTCAACTATATTTCCCCAATCTATTATTATAATATTATATAATATATTACCATCCAATGTCATAATTTATATTAAAGTATAAAAAGAACCCCAAAATGATGAGAAATACAATTATTATTTTAATCCTATGTATGCAAAATAATTAGATGTCAAAATACTAGCAATAAACATTATAATTCCAAAGAGTTATGTAAATTAAGGCATAAGAAATGGCAACATGTCTATAGTACCTACAAAGATTCCTTTGACAGATGGAGTAGTTGCAATTTTAAGTAAATTGAGTAGACAACCAACTTCAAGGTATATTAATGAATAAATTAATGATAAAGGACTATTTATAAATAAATATTAATTTACCCAGCTATGAAATGTAATAACATCATAGTTTTATTTTTTCTTTCTAAATCATAAATTGGTCCCTTCTTCATTATTAATATAATAAAATGTATTGTATATAATCCATCATCTATCAATTCAATTATTAATTCACTTATACTATCACCATGATCAAAATGTACAAGTATTGATATAAATATTCCACCAAAACTTATTATGTATACAATATATTGATAATAGTTACCAATTATACATTTATCAAATAAATTCTATTCTTTAACTAATTAAGATAATATTTATTATTAATTAATTTCATAATTAAATGGATCATCTAAATGATTACCTTTCTTCTCAAATTACAATGTCTCTATCAATATACCCATCATTATATTTAAATAGAAATATGTCATAAGTAGAATATAAATACACAATATAAAATATCCAAATAAATCATCTGATTCTCTTCCTATCTAAGCCCAATCATCTAAACTTAATGCCTATATAAATGTTAGCACTGATCTACCAAATGTACCATAAAATATTTCAACTTTCTTGTTATCATAATAATAAGCAGTAGTTGAATATGCACATAAACATAAAATAAAAAACATAGTGATTGCTAAATTCATTATTTCAGACCAAACTAATTTAATTTCTCTAATCATTCTTTATGAAAATGGAAATGTTAAAATATCTATACTCATAATTATTTAAGTCATTCCTAATAAATTGTATTAAAAAAATAAATGACCAAAACTTAAAATCAAAGCTAAAATTGCAAAAACTAAATCAAATATATTCTTTCTATTATTTATTACCATTAATAGATAAATTCCAATAAAAATAATTCTTTCATTATTTAACGTGAAAATCGAACAAATATAAAATAAAAGCATTAATAAAGCTTTGCATTTATTTCCAGGTTAAACAGTATTCTAATTTGAATACTCTTTACAATTATTGAATGATGGATATATTTAGACTTCTGTCAATTCTGTTTCTATTTGCTTATATTTTATTTACGAAAACATTAATGTAATTAATATATCTACCCAATTTATATTAGAACAACAATAATATTATTAAAAACAATACAATAAGTACTATTTTTAATTAAGTATCTGTGATCTTATGAATTTTATTCTAATCTATCTTAGATTATTCTAACAAAAAAAGATATTTGGATTTTAGAATTAATTATAATTATTTATATATTAACTCAAATATTTACAAAAAAAAAAATTAATTATTTTAAGATATATAATAGATAAAACTATTTTATTTATTTAAAATAAAGCACATACTTTGAACTTTTATAATCTTTATAAGACTAAAAGTTAATAAATTTGATTAATGATATATGTCTAATATTTTTTATTAAATACAAAAATGATATTATTCCAATAAAGTATATCTTTATGGAAATTAATATTAATTTAATTATAATGTAGTAGTAATTGAAAATAAGACAACACAGAATCATTTCATTTATTTTAATCTGACTTGATTAAAAAAGGACTTAATTGATTGATTTCATTCATATTTTTATACAATCTCACTATTAAACCTAAAGATATTATATAAATATACAATCATCATTTAATATTACATAATCATGAGGACTTATCATTTTTAAAATTCTTCTAAAATGTGTACTCCTTTACAATAAGATATATAATTCTGACATAACATCTACTTTGATTATGATATCAATAAATTCATTTTATTAAGAAAATGATTTACAAAGATGTATTTAGATTATATCTGCTTTTGTTTTAAAAAGATGAGTGAAAAAGTTGATCATAAATTCATCTAAAGTATTCTCAATTGTGAAAATATCTTTAATTTCTTAACAGAATTCAATTTTCATTTATTTTTAATCATAAGCTTATGAATATAATTTTGCATATTTTTAAAAAATCAATAAAAATGATTAATTTGTAATTTTACTAGACTTTTTATTTTTAAACTTTGAAAATATATACATCAACTTAGTAATTGCTTAATAAATTGAATTTTAATCATGATTTAATGATTTATCTAAAATAAGTATTTGTTTCTTTAAGAAATTTCTAAAATGAATTTAAAATTTATTCAAACCTTATTCATAATTAGCTAATTTTTATTATAAATTTTAAATCTCTTATCTTTTCTTATCAATTATCAATATATAAATTAGTTCTGTTATAAAACATTCTGAATAACGAATAAATATTTTTTATACATGGTTATTATTGTTTGATTTGAGTTCTAAAATTTTATTAACTATTAAATCATCTTACTTCTTTTGCCTAGTCAACAAAAATGTTTCTAAAGTTTGTCCATGTATTGAATAATTTCTAAGGATAAAATTAAGAGCTTAATGATTTGTTAAGAATTATTTAAATTCTTGATGATTTTAAAGGTTACTGAATTTTTATTAAAATTACACATTATCTTTATCATATGTACAAAGTACAAAGGGACTATCAGTTAATAAAGGTATCAATTATTCTTAAAATATAATTATTTACAACAATACCTTATTAGCTGTCTTAAGTAGTAAATAAAAATGACAATCGATATTGTTAATTTATCTTAAAAATAGCATATAGAAACATCAATCCAATTATTATAGAATAAAGTATAGTTTAATAAGATAATGATGGCTGATAATATTTTGATATTACTATCTTTATTATTATATTGCCCAAAATCGATATTGAACTAAACTTAAAATCAGAAACTAGGATTATCATTATATTTAATAGCATTTGATTTTGTCCATATACAAAGGCTTCTTATGGTTCAAATCCATCCTCAACGTATTATTGTTGTAGCATCAAAAAATGATTTATTATTAGCAAATAATAATCTACCCATTTTCTTTTGTTATTAAAAATTAAGAATTAAGCTAACATAACTATGATTGTTAAAGAGAGAAATACAAAAAACCATACCATTTCATTCTGAAAAATAAAAGTAATACTTCGAAATAAGCACATCAAGAAACTTACTAGATTCAAAGATTTGCATATAGGAAGTGTATGTAGATATCGAAAATCTTGATACTTTAATTCCAATTATTCACATCTAAATGTAAGAGTGTATTTATTCATTTATTTAATTATTTTTTTATCAATTAATAAATATTAATAATTTATCATTAATTATATATGAATAGACAAATATATTTAAAAAAATAAAAACTATGGAGATAAAAATAGTAACTTAATTATTTTGAATAATATATTTGATTTAACCTAATATATCTTCTTTATTAAATTAAACTTTGATTCAAAATTAAAAATATAATTAAAAAATTCTAATAATGAATAGAGGAAGTTTTATTTTAAAATTTAAATTAAAAGATGTTTAATATAAGTTATTCTTGTTTAATCATTTTTAATATTATACTTATTTTCGTGACTCAAATAATTGATTTAAATGAATTAAATTTAACAGTTTATAAGTTTTAAATTAATTATTAATCAAACAATAGAGCAAAAACAGTTTTCATTATTGCTATTTAGTAATCATATACAACTCTTCAATTTTGTTAAGAAATCGATTATGTCTTAATTAAATATCTTTTATTTATTTATTATATTTTTTTAAATTATCAAATGATTGATCATGTTAAAGTCTCAAAAATAAATAAATAATTTACATTTTTTATGTTGATACATGGGATTGCATTAATTTAGTATTGATTTCTGTTTTTTCTGGACTCTTTTGATGTATTTTAGGTAATTTAAGAAAATAAGCATCTTTTTCTAAGGATTGATTTGTTGTTTAATTTTTATCTCTTTGAGTTATTGAAGGCTTATTCTTTAATCTCTTAAATTTTAATTTATTTAATGATTACAAGTGTTTCATTTGATTTGGATATCAATGGAAGTTAAATGAATGGTCTATTTTGATGAATTGTGATTTTCTATAATTATCTTTCTGAAAAACATATCATTTATTTAATTATATTTAATTATATTGTATAGTAATTTTATATAATCTGATAATCAATTGATTTAAACTTTATTTTATCATACGTTTAAACGAAACCGCAATAAAATATTTAATATATAATAATAAATGAGATATTAATATATAATATAATAAATAGTATTCTATCTAAGATAAAGAAAATTATGGATTGAAATGAAAATCAATTGAATTTCATAATATCCAAAATAAAATAATAAATTTAATTATATCCAAATAATGTTAAATGCATCAAACTACTCCACTTATATAAAATAGGTATTCGGATGCACCTGATAAAAGATAACCTAATTTTTTTGAGGCTTGATCAGTTTTGGTGGGTTCAGTAGGTATAGCTGCTGCATTTAAAAATGTATATGTTCCAGCAGCTTTATCATCTATTTTTACTAATTTGTAAGTAGAAAGCACTGACTTTGTACCACTCTAAATATAAGTTACAGTCAAAGATAAACCAGTAAATGGTGTAGGTGCTGTTGTTGATGTTAGTGGTTGTGAGTCATCAATAATTTTAACATAGTATACATCACTTAGTGCAGTTGTTGGTATACCAAATTAAGTACCGGGATAGGAAATCACTTAAACATATCCATTTTTTGTGTAAGATGTCCATGAAAATGTTGTTGTATGTTCTTAACCATTAATAGTTAGGTACAATCTCGAAAAGGTGGTTTAAGCAAAATTTAAAATATAATAATTAGTCTGGTAATGTTTGCTAAAGGTTCTGACTCTATACAAGAAAATGTCAGCCAATTACCAAAACTTAACTAATGTTGCACCTCTTAAGGTAGGGGTTATTGTTGTATCATCCTAAACTAAATATAATTCTTTACTCTAATATTTTAGATTGTTTAGAATAATGCTTTTTCAATATAATATGGATGAGTTGTAGTTTTAACAAGTTCCTCATCATAAATAACATATAAATCCAAGATGTCATTTAATTAAGCGTTTGTGGCCAATTGTATGTTGACTGTGAATACTTAATATAAATAGTCTGCTTGTAAAGTTTTGGTTTATAAATCTGCCACTGTTATTCCTGTAAGTGAATGAGTAGCTAATCCGGTATTGGAAATGGGGAATCTAACATAGTTATAATCAATTTTATTATCGCTATTAGGAGTGCACACATTTTCATATTGTACATTCAAAGAATTAATTTGGTAGCAATTTGTTGGTGTTGGTGTTGCATAAACACCACCAGAACGACAAGCTCCAATTTCATTAATTTTATAGCACTCAGTTGGCATGGTATAAGGGACACACGTTGTTGTCCATTTGCAATAGCCTGAGGTTTTACATGAAATTTCTGTTGGGAAATTAGTTGAATCACAAGTAAGTTGGCCTGGTGCAGTATAGCCTAGCCAGAATAATAGAAATGTAAGACAATATTTATACATTAATTTAATTACATCATCAAATGAATATTTAATAGACTCTTAAATGCTTAGACTAGATATATGATAATTTATTAGATTTTTATAGATTTTTATCAAAGAACAATGTATAAGTTACCAGTAATAAATGATATTGTAAAATAAAGATAATGAAAAATTAATTTTAACTGATGATTTGATTTTAATATTCAAGCACATGATCCATTCCATGTAAAACGTCCTAATCTACATCTTGTGTAATATCTACCAGTAGCTACTTATGTAGTAATTGCAGTTTCAGCAATTAAATAAGCTTAAGTAGTAGATTGACTTGAAATATTAATAGTGCAAGTCTTTGTAGATGTATCACAACCTGCTGAACCTTGAGAAGTGAATCCATTCATTTCAATCTTATCAAATGTATATAAATTAGCACTACTTGTAGGTTATGTACCTGTATATGACCATGTCCATTTTAGAGTATAAGATAGAGTTGCATCGCTACCATCTATATTTGAGGGTCTAATTATAATAATATCTGATAAGGATGATAGGATGCCAAATTATTCTGCAGGAATTACTAATAATTCCAAATATCCATTATCATTATAAGTACTCCAAGAGATTAAAGTAGTTTGATATTGAGAAATTAATGTAAGGGAGAGTCGATTGAAATGAGAAAAGCCAAAATTGATTAAATATTTACTAGAAATATAGAAAGGCTGGTATGATCTTAATTTTAAAAAGTATGCATCTGTCATTCTCCACAATAAAGTATAATAATCCTATCTTTTATTTGTACCAGTAAGAGTCAAGGTAACATCATCTCTAATGACTTACATAGATTCATAGATTGCCTTCTCTAAATATAAGGGGTGTATCTGTGGATCTGCTAAATCATATTACATCTAAATATAGGCATTCATAATATTCATCAATTATAATGTGGAAGCTGTTAAAATATTCACTGTTAGTATCTCAAATTTGTATTTTGAAGTGTATTTGGCAGTCATTATTGTTGTCACAAGATAACCATCACTTGTTTGACTTGAAGATAATTAAGAAATATCTGGAGGAAATCTTACATAAGAATACATCATTGTGGTCTGATCATATTCCATACATTAATTCAGAAAGTTCGAATTAATAGAGGGTATCTCTGTGCATTTATTATTCACTACCAAAAACCCATTTAAACTAGATCTACATGCTCTGATATCACTAACTTTGTGACATTCAGCCAATTAGCAAGCTGATCCTGTCCAAAAGCAATACCCAGCAGCTGTACATGATGTCTCAATCATTCCTGCACAATCTATAGTTTAACTGAAAACACAATTGAGTGATGCAATCAATATAAGTAATTTTTTCAACATATGTGTATATAATTTTATATTAATGTTAATGCTAATAAAAATCAACGATTTATATATATATCATAAGGATCTTAACAATTATAATGCTTCAAAATTTTCCTAATTTATTTCATGCAATTACTTTTTATAAAATGATTTATTCTTTTCCTTGGTTATTTTTTTATTCTCTAACAGTTGTATTATGCATCTTTAATACTATCCTGAATGATACATTTCATATATCATTCGATTATTTATTTAGCATTTGAGAAGTTGAGTGAAAGAATTACTGAAAAAGACAATTTTTGAGTTGCAACAGGAGTTCCTCTTTTTAAATTTATCAATTTAATTATTCATAGTTGCTAGATTACTTTAATCTAAAGAGATCATTCATACCTAAGTTAAACAGCCCATATATTCAAAGAGAAACTCCTAAAAAAATATTTGAATTGGATTTTACACAATAACTCTGAATTTGATGATAAATTTAATATATACTCCATTCTTATCCTTAAATAAGGATCTAAAATAACAAAATCAGTTCTGTATCAAGAATGAATCATTTATTTTAAACTTATTTAAAACAATTCTTTTTTCTCTTAAATTCAAGTCATGTTATACATTTGAAGAATATTTCAAATATTTTTGTCATTATAAATCATTTTATATATAAAGATTATAAACTTTGAAATATACTAAATTAATTATTTAAAGAATATATTTATAAGACTAAATTATAATATCAATTTATATATTATATGAATTATATATATAATAATAATGAACTAAAATTTTGCTAATAAAAATTCAGAACTTCACAGTGTTTTGTAAACTAAAAATACTCTTAACAAATACTATTATAGTTTAATAATTTGTCTATCAAATCTACATGTGTTAATATCATTCTTCTGCAACAATATCTCTCCAAACCCAATCTATCTAAAGACTCTCCTGTTGTTACACCATCTTATAGTAATTAAACATAATCATTCCATAAATGACCAACTACCTAATTGTTTCAATTAACATTTCAATACCTTTCCACAAGTAAAACATCTAATAGGAATAATCATGAATTAATTTTAATTATTTAAATAAAATATTGTTTTCAATACATCTTATTAAACTATCTTCATGCCTCTAAATATAATTAAATATCTTAAATGCAATTAGCATCTTGAGTCTTTAAAGTCTTTCCATCAATCTTAAATTTTCGATTCCATCAATCTTAAATTTTCCATTCCATCCTTTCCTACTCTTTATAGACTTAATTCTTTTCCAAGATTGAGAACCACTAGTACTTTCACACAAAGCAATTAATATTCCATTGAAATTACATTCATAATACCCTAATGGACACAACATACCATCATTTTATATTAATCCCATGATCATATCAACTTAACCTAATTAAAATTAATTAATATTCATTACTAATTCCTACACCAGGCTTTTCTTATTCATATTCAAACTATCATAATTGAATCATTAAGGCTCCATAAAAATTAGAGATCTTACTTACTCCATAAATTAAATTTTTTGAAGTTCCTTCCAAACCTACAAATTCATCAGTCTTTTAGTTGATATTTATTAAGGATTTTGATTTAACAACATTTTATGATCCAGCTATAGAACTAAATATAATAATTTTTTTAATACCAAATATGTATGTCTTTTAAAAAATGTTCAGATCAATTATTCAAAGCAACATCAAAACTATTAACTTATTATCTAGTTATCTATAATTGAAACTTTAAATCCCCTTTTATGATTTCTTTTTAAAATCCTGCTAAAAATATTTAAATTGTTGGAGTCATCCAAAATTCTCTTTAATATTGATATTATTAATTCATACCTTCCAAAATTGATTGTTGTGCTTTTTTAGATTATTTCACAATTAAATTTTAATCTATCATCAATCGCTGCTATCATTATAATAGTAATTATTTGATTATTATAATTATATTCGAGATGATCAATATTTGATTTATGATTATTTATCTAAAATTAAAATCCTTAATAGAATATTTATCAAATCTTATTGAGTAATTTATATTACTTTAGGTTCAATTCTTATATTTCTTGGTACTTCATTATTAATGTGCAACGCTATTAGAGATACACCGACTTAAGGAATTATTCAAATTGTTATTCAAATTATACAAAAGCCAATCTTTTATGATGAGGAAACAGAAGATCAAAGATTACTTTTCCTATTTACAAAGTGAGAGCTTAATTCACCAAAAGTACACTCAGACTCAATTCTACAATAAATAATATTTTATTAATGAATTTTATATGATAGTCATTATTATTCTAATTTCAAATAAATATTTCTTTGATTTCATCTTAGAAAATAATTATAGCATGATAGAATAATAATTTTTTATTCATGATTTTAAATTTTCTAATAGAAATAATATAAAAGAAAATGATTTTCAACTTTAAAAATACTTCAAAATATACACCTAATAAATTTCACCATATGATATCATTCATTTGCTTCAATGGAAATATAGTATATAAACAAATGAATCGTATTGATTTTTTTATTGTTATTTTTTGATTAATTATTAGTTAATAGAAAGATTTAAGGTAGAGAATGGACAATATTCATAAATATTTCGTTGAATTATTCCTACCCTCACATTTAGGGTTTTAAATATAATTTTCAAAATAAACTCAAATCGTAATTGCGGAACTCCATGGTCTTATAATTCCAAATAATCAAATTATTTCCATCTTTATTAAGATTTCCATAATTATATTAATCAATACAATTTATAGGTGGGCATACTTACCTGAATTAACAATTATTCAATTATTTCAAAATATAAACAAATTGTCCATGTTTTTAAATTAAAATGCCTTTCTTTTTATTATAAATTGTTGGAAATAAGTCTTCGTCGTCCTAATTTTATTCACTTAATTGAATTTAAAGATCAGGTCTTTAAATGAATTATCCATTAACTTCAATAAACACTTATGAAATAGGTTTACTCCATTATTAACAAATAAGATAATTATTTATAAATACCATTCTACAAAAATAATCATTAGTAGATTAATTTACTATTTATTTGAATTGCCATTATGCATTATTATCTTTAACCCAGATCATTATTATTTTTTGATAGTCTGATGAAGCCAGAATAGATTCTGATTCATTCATACAAAGACAATTAAGAATAGATTGATGCTTATTCAATGTCTATTTAATCTAAAAAATATTCTATTAACCAAATTTGATAATATGGATTGAAGGATCCTTACCAAAACTAATAATTTATTAATCTGATTTATTAAACAATACTCCTATGACTCCTTAATGATGAACAGTTAAGGTTGTTGATTACCATTAATTAGGCTATACTTTTTTCCATAATCTAATATCTCCATCATCACTTCCAGATATAAAACATCTATCATCATTAGTATAAATTAAACAAGTTACTAATTTTGTATGTCCGTATAAAATATGAGGATCATTTTGAATTAATCCATTAATTATTTTCCATAATTTAATGTTTTCTCCACATCCTGAAATCATCATAGAATTTTAACTGTTAAATATAAGAGAGAAACAAATTTCTTTTTATTGAATAGTTTATTTTAATTCATATTTATTAAAGTTGCTAGATGAACATTATGTGCTCTGATCATAAATATTCATATACTCAAATTAAGTAGAATTTATTAAAGTTCCTTATTTATTATTCTATTATGTTGATCTTTATATTGATATTTAAATTTAAATGATTTAATTTTTTACCATAGCCAAACAATCATCTAATTTATTTTCTATAAATGCTTGACAACACAGAAAAACATCTTCTATAACATCATTCTCTTCTATTATATTTTGATTAATTTTTTCTTAAGTTAATTCTATTATTAAATTTATCTAATCCTTCAGATTTTATAATTAAGTTTATATCTTGTTCTTAAAATTTAGAAGTTAAGTTTAAAATTAATTACATAATTCAAAAGTATTCGAATTTTATTGAGGCAAATTTGATTTCATACTCTTATTATTCTTATTATTATTATTATTATTATTATTATTATTATTATTATTATTATTATTATTATTATTATTATTATTATTAATAAAAACATTATTAAATATAAAGAAAATGGACTCTGTGAATATTATAATTGAATGCCCATCAAAAAATAAAAGATATAATATTGAAGTAACAAATGATGTCACTCCATTTTAATTAGAATAGGAATTTAAAGAGTAATTTTTCAATAATGATGAGAAACTCAAATTTTATTATTTGAATCAACCTTTAATTAATAATAAACCATTATTATAATAGAATGTTGTAAAAGGTTCATTAATAATAATTCGAGTAAGTTATCCACTTACATTGATGGTGCCTATCATGAATAAATGCTACTAAATAGATTTTGAAGAAACTTGGACAACAGAAGATTTGAGTAAAAAGATTTAAGAGCTTTTATAAATCAGATCAGAGGAGGTCTAATTCTAATTTGGATAATAAATTTTAAAACCATAAATAACATTGATTTAATAAGGTGTGGTGCCAAAAGGTACTATAACAGCTAATATCTAATAAAGAGGAGGATAATAATGTTGATTAATATTAAATACAAATTATATCAGAATTCGATTACCACTAATTTAACTTAATGATTCTAATTCTATTAAACTTATAAGTTATTTTAATAAAGAATTATCATTTTCTTTAAAGGTTCTTCAATTATATCATCAATAGAATTATATTTTATTTTGTTTAATAATTATTGATATTGTTCTATTACATAATAAATAATCAATTTTCATATAATCCTTGCCTGATTAAGAACTTTAAAAGATTTTTAGAAAATTAAATTTGTAAATAACATTGAATAGATATTTAGAATCTTCATTTTGCAATACAAATAATAATATATTTTAAGTTTATAATTACATATGATCATTATTATATTGTTTATTTGAAATGCTCAAATGTTTAACCAGAAAATCTGACCCTGTTTGTAAAGCTTAAAATTACAAATTAAGAAATCGAAAATATAAAGAAGAATACATAATAGCTGAAGGAGGGTATGCATATATTTGGAAATGTGAGAACTTTGCTATAAAAAGAATATTCATTTAATCTTAAGAAGTCTATAAAATGGCAATGTAAGAAATAAGAATAATGGTATAATTATTATTTAACATAGACAAGATTACCAGAACATCCTAATATTGTAAGAATAATTGATTTTGGAGAAATAAAAATATAAAATAAAATGTTTGTTTGTTTAGTAATGGAATTATGTTAAAACAACTTATTTAATGTTTTATAATAGGAAGTATTAAATGAGAGAAGAATAATAGAGATATTTAAATAAATTCTTGATGGATTGGAAGTATTGCATGCAGAATAGATTAGTCATAGAGATTTAAAACTTGAAAATATTCTTATATAAGGAGAAATCTTTAAATTATGTGATTTTGGATCAGCATCGAATGAAATCATTGATCTTAGTTAATTAAATAAAGCATAATTATAATAATAAGAAGAAGTGTTCTCTTAAACAACAACTATTACATATAGACCACCAGAAATGATAGATGTATTAACAAGATAGGTAATAGATACAAGAGTTGATATATGGTAATTGGGATGTATTTTGTATAGTATGTGTTTTCGTAAATCAGCATTTTCAGAATAGAACAAAATTGGAATTGCATAAGCAATATTCGAAATTCCTTAATCTTAAATTTCAATTAGTACTGTGACATTAATTTAAAAAATGTTATAATAGGATCCAAAGAAAAGACCAACAATAAAAGAGATTAAGATATCATTATATGGTGGGACAGAAGATGATGAATGGGGCGAATTTTAATGATTATTAGCTCTGTATTACTGAAAAATATTATCAAATATAAATAAAACTTTGTAAAATTTATGAGTATTACAAAAATCAAAATATATCACAAGCTGTGTATTTACCATCTCTTGCTTAGAAACATGCTGTTCTTTTCAAAATACCAGTCTATGGTGGTGGTTATAATTCTGCTTATTATTATGTTGTTTAATATTATTTGATTTCTTATGGTTTAGGTTATTAATAATTAGATGAGGGTATTTTTTTATTTTCTTTCTTTTGAAAATCATCTTCATAATTTTCAGTAGCCCCTAAAATTACAGGTCCTGAAGGTAATGCATTTGGATATGGAGGATGAAATTCCTATTTACTAAAATGATATTATTTATTTGATTTCCTTAATGATTAAGATTGTCTAAAACGAGTTGAATCTAGAGGTTCTTCAACAAAATTTTTTGATTCACTAGGATATCCATTAGATTACTATAAAAATTAACTCTTCCTTTCATATGGTTCTTCTTCAATAACTGGAAATTTAGAAAGTTGTCTCTCTTCTATATTTTATCTATAACTTTATTTTCCTTAATTTGATTATTGATTGCTTTATGGTTATGAAGCAAAATGGAAATCTTAGAAGGATATATGCTGAATCTCTCGAGATGACTCTGAATTCACATTCTAAAACTCCAATCTTTATGGTTTTTATATACTACTTTCATAACCAAAATTTTATGTTAATTAAGATGGTCTTTCTTCTGTTTATCTTGATTATATTAATTTATTTGATGCTTATTAAGTAGGTTAGACTACAGGTAGATTCAATTTAGAATCAAAATATTCCTATTTTAATGATTCTTATAAATTAAGAGTTTGTGAATCTTATTATGATTTCTTAAATGGAGCTTAGTATGTTTAATACTTTTATTGATTATATGGTTCTGATCTCTTAGATTTTTATGATTTAACACTTGGTTCATAGTTTTGAATTTAATATGATTACTATAATTCTTAAGGTTTCTCAATTTGAATTGTAGGTTATGGAGGCCAATACTACTTAATCTTAGGCATTGTTCCACCAAACTATACTTCTAATTAGCTTGGATCAAAATATTCTTGTAATTTGGAGAAATCTTTTTTTTACAGAAATTGTATTTTCTTGTTTGATCTTTCATCAATAAATTCTAAGAATATTAATGAATTCATTTACTGGAAACCAAACTCCAGGACATATTAAGACCCATTGATGGATTCAACAGATATAGTTTTTCTAAATTTCCTACATAATGGGCAGCAGCTGTTGAAATAATCTTCTTCAATATTTCTATAGGCAAGCTTAATAGACCTAATTCAGCTGTATCAATTAAAATTATCCAATTTTCAACGAATCCTTCATAAAAACAATATTGCTATGTAATCATAAAAACGGTGTTTAATGCTGCTAAGAATTCTTCACCTTTGATATTCTTTTAATCAATTAAACCCACTTAGAAAATCACTGATGGCCTAAATTTTTTATCTCTGCCTCCCATATAAATAATTCCTTTGTCCTAGAATTCAATCTCATACAATTACCAAAATAGCTTATGATCCACTATTCAATTAGAATGTAGAAGGATTATTCAACCACTCTTCATGACTCTTTATTCCATTATAGGTTTCTTCTAAACCAAAACGAAATGAATATAAGAATCGATATAACAATGTGTCAGGATAATGACTATGATATTCACATAAATAAATACCTAGCTAATCCATTTAATTTTGTCTTCAATTAGCCTAACATTTATTATTCATATTAATCAAATGGCACTCCACCACCTCCATTACCATATATCTTTCTAATAGCTTATTTTCCTGTTCCTTCTTTTACATAAGTGGCTAAAAATGATAATTAATAGAAATACCAGAATGAGTTATTGCTCTTGCTTAATTTGGACTAATAGTTAGATAATCATACGTGGAACCAAATAATTTTTACATTTTTTTTTGTATTAATAAATTTGATTTATTTTGTGTTAAATTTATAATTAATAATGTTGTTTGAACGAGTATGGTTAATATTTAATTAATAAAGAGTGAGAGAGTATCTTGTGATATCTATAATACAAAAATTTTTTTATTATAAAATATATAGAAATAAAATAATTTAAATTATATTTTATTATAAAATGAAAACAGAATCAGATAATGAAATAGAGACATTATAAACTATGTGGAAAAATATTAAGTATTATGATATTTTAATAAATAGATAACGTATGGAATCAAAACATGATGATTCAGATATTTTGTAATAGCCTCCATAATAAATTACAATTAATAGCCCATATGCAGCTAAAAATTATTAAGTTTAAATTTAAGCTTTACAAGATGAATTGTTTTAAAAAAATACTAAATTAATAACTGCTTAATAGTAATTGAATTAAATTAATGATGAAAATTCATAATTATAGGATGAATTAGAGTAAGTGAAAATTGAAAATTCGTTAATGAAATAGAAATTGGAATTGATTGAATCATAAATAGATTCAATATAAGCAGATAAAGAAAGTTTAAAATTAATAAGGTTGGAGAATGAATAGTTGAGAATTGATGTAAAAAAATTGCTTGAATTATTAAGAAATACAAAAGAATATAATAACATAGGATTTGATGAAAGTCAATCTTATATCAAAGGAAGTGTAAAGTTTGACACTAGAAAATCTAAAATAAATGAAGTGTATATAATTATATCATATTTTAATAGAAATTGGGTTCCCACTAAATGTATTGAATTGATGTAAGATTATGATAATAAGGAAGAAATTTTATTATAATTAAGTAATTAATTCCAAAATTGTTACTAAGATAAAATAATTAAATTAAAGTAATAATCTTAATAAGAAATTGAATAATTAAAAAGATAATTAGATAGTAGAACAACAGTTGATGGAATGCAATAACAAAAGTAAATAGAAAGGCTTAAAAAATAAAAAAATGGGAATGGTAAAGATAAAGTAGATATCTCTTAATTGTAAGATTGTTTTAATTTGATCAAATAAAAGGAATAATTGATTTTAGAACTTTAATAAAAGATATAAGAAATGAATTAGTAAATGAATTCAGATGAAAATTATACTAGTATTAAAAAACAAGTATTTATTGAAGGGGCTTAATGGATATGTATTATATGATCTAATTATGTAAGTGGCTAAAATAATGGATGAAGTTGTTGCATATGAAATCAGTTTGAATGAATTGAATTATGATGTAGCAATTAAAATAGAAAGTCTAATGAGTTCAGAAGACATTGTTTAATAATAAATAATAAACAAAGTATATTATTGGATAACAGATACTTCAAGAGAATTAATTGACACATTTAAAGATAAGTTATAATCAATTATGAATACTACTAATAGTAGGATATAATAGTTATGAATATAATATATATATATATAAAAAGACTCAATTAAACTTAATTTTCTATTTGTAAAACTAATTCAAAATAGTAGTAATAATTGTAATGATTATTGCATATAAAATTTCCTTAATTATATAGTAAATAAAGTCTATAAGAGATTGTTCTAAAATAAAGTAGGAAATAAAAATGAGTATAGTTAAAGTTATTGATCCAACTATGACTCTATGATATGTGATTTTCTCATATTTCTCATTTAATTTCTTCAATTAAATTAACATCAATCCAGATAATAATAGGATTGAATTATTTAGTATAAATCTAAATTATTAGTAATAATAATGTACAAGTATGTTATTGAAAATACATATCCAAATATTTATAATAAATAGACATCGAAACCTATAGAAATCAATAAGGTATAAAGAAGTTAGTATTTGATGATTAGTGTAAATATATTATTATATATACAAATACTCCAATCATGGTCTTTGCAATTTTATTTACAATCCCAACAAAATTCAAATTTACAAACTTAACATGTCATATGTGAACAACCACCGTTTTTAGTAATTTTAACTTCACATCTAGGACATTAATATGTAGTAATAAATTCAGTAATTTCATTCAATAGTGTTTTATATGAAATCTATTCATAATTTTCTAATCGAGTTTAACAGATTTCACAAATATCAACACATTTAGCCTTACAAGGTTTTAAATAATAGAATTCACAATTATTATTTGGACATTATTACACATCTATAGATTTTCTACAATAGCTTTTAAATAATTATTCATGAATATCTTAAATGAAAGAATTTTAGATGGCTAATTGTTGGATAGAATCAAAATAAAGAGTTTACTTACATCCACCTGGACAATCAATGTTTAAATGTGTACCATCAGATGTCCAAAATTCTTCTATTTTTATCTAATTAAAAATAATTCATATACTTTTGTATAATGTTTAATACATTATAGACACACTTTGCAATTACATTCCAACAATGATATTTCAGTCTATTCGTAACAAATTTGACACAAATTTTGAACTTGCATAAAAATTATTAATAATTTATTAAATTTTTTATACTAAATGAATTCGAATAAAATTTTGGAGAAACAAATAACGAATTTTAAATATTTTATTATGTATATGATTTTGATGTATAGTGGGGTGTTTTTATTTATATGAATAATGAATATGTGTAAATTCAATCTTAATTAGATGGTTTATTAAAAAATAAATTATATATTGATATGGATTAAGAAAAGACTAAGAAAACATAGAAAGATTATGATATAGATGCAGCAGAAGAATTAAAATAGCTTAAACTTCCAGGAGATTTGGTTGGAAATGTTTCTGCAACATTATTAAAATCTGTTTAAAAAGTGTAGAATGAGGAAATTAAGTTACTCGCTTTATCTAAATTTCATTAAACTTTAAGCAAATTCACAGTTCAAAATGTTTCAGGGGTAAAAATGAAGAGAATTTATTTAGGAATTGCTTCAAAAGTTACCAAATGATAAATTAATGATCTTCTTTGATTATGTTAATTATTCATTCGAGTGTTTGAGCAAGGGCATGAAGATACCTGACACTAGCAATTCATATAATGCAACTTTCTTGTTAAATGTTTATAATAAGTTGGTAGAATTACGAGGATTACCAATTATTATAGAATCAATAAGTTAGAAGAAAACATTACCAACCCAAATTATTACAATTAAGTGACATATATATATAATAAAACCGGGCAAAAATTTAAATTAAAATATTATGTGGATCAAAGAAATCATTATAGAGGGCTTCAAGTCTTATGCATAAAGAACAGTAATTACAAATCTAGATCCAGAATTCAATGCCATAACTGGATTGAATGGATCAGGTAAATCTAATATTCTTGATGCAATTCTCTTCTGTCTGGGATTGAGTAAAGAATACGATACAGTATTAATATTCTATAAGTTATTAGCTTCGTATTAAGAAATTATAAGAGTTGATATATAAAAATGGTGCAGCAGGAATTACAAAAGCTGAAGTAACAATTGTGTTTGATAATCGCAATAAAGAATAGAGTCCTTTAGGATATTAGGATTGTGATAAGTTAACAGTAACTAGATAGATTACAGCTGATAAATCTAAATATTTTATTAATGGCAAATCTGAAACCTAAAAGAACTTCAAAAATATGTTTAGATCAGTTCAATTGAATATAGATAATCCTCATTTTTTAGTAGCATAAGGTAGAATAACAAAGATTATTAATCTTAAACCATAAGAACTAATTAGTATGTTAGAAGAAACAGCAGGAACATCATTGTATAATGAGAAAAAAAGAGAAGCTTAAAAATTAATACAAAAGAAAGAAGAGAAATTAAAATAAGTAAATGAAATTATAGAAGCTGAAATTTAACCTTAGATGTAAAAATTAACTGATGAAAAGAATATATTTTAATTATGGAGAGCATAAGAAGCATAAATCTTAGTTTTGAAAAAGGATCTTTTTAGTTATGATTACTATTAAAAGGCTAAGACTTTGAGATTGAAGAAAAATGATTTACAAATTGTTAATGAATAAATTACTAATCAAGAAGAGAAGATGAGATATGAAAATGCTGAAATATCTGCTATCTAAGAAAAAATACAAAGTTTGTAAGAATAAAATAGGAATAATAAATATGAGTAAATTACAGAAAAATACAAGGAAAAATAAAAATTAGTTAATACATTAGAAAAATAAGTATAAAATACTAGAAGATAAAAAGAAACTATTGAAAGTGAAAAAATTAAATTAGAACATGCATTAAGAACATATTAAACTGATAAAGAAAGAACAGATTCGAAAATAGAAATAGCTGATAGATAATTAAAATAAGTATCAGATGAATTGAAAGAAAAGAAAGATTTATTAGATGAATAAATAGGATAATAAAATTAATCTGAAGATGGTAATATAGCATAAAATGGTAAATAGATGATTTAAAGGTAAATTAATGATACCATTTCTCATATAGATTCCAATAGAAAAGATTTAGAATAAGTAACTGAAAGATTATAGAGAATAGATAATCATATGTTAAGTTCAAAGACTATTTATGAATAAATGTAAAAAGAAGCAACTAATTTAGATACTAAAATTGATCTATTAAAGAAAAGAATAGAATAAAGTGAAACAGAAATTCAAAAGTCATCAACCTTAGAATAATAATTATTAGATTTTAAATCAAATAGAGGAGATTTAGATTAATAATTATTAGAAATTAAGAAATAAATATCATAATCATAACCTTTTATATTTTAATTGAATTTATCAAGGATGAAAGATTGGGATTAAAATAGAGTATATGGTAAATTGTTTAGTTTGTTTGAAGTGAAGGATGAATAATATATGAAAGCATTGGAATTTGGTGCAGGAGCAAAGTTGTAGAATATAGTTGTTGATGATTCTACTACATCTACATATTTATTAAAGAATAATGTATTATAAACTCATTCCTATATTATACCAAATAAAGAAATTCAATAGAATGAAGCCAAAAAAGAATTTGTTTAAGCTGCAGCTTAAATTGCAAAAGAAAATGATGGATTTGCTAAACCAGCCATAGATTTAATTACATTTTCAGATAAAGTTATTAATTCTATGAAATTTGTATTTGGTAATTTCATTATTGCTTCATCTATGGATATTGCAAGAAAGATTGCTTATCATCCTTCAAATGTTTAAAAATGTAAAGTTGTTACTAGAGATGGTGATATTGTTGATCCATCTGGTACTTTGACTGGTGGTTATACTAATGAGAAAGCATAATTATTACCTAAATTTAAATTATTCAATAGATGGAATCAAGAATATAAAGAAATTTAAGGATAAATTGATAAAATTGAGTTATAAATTGAGAAAATTAAAAAAGATATTGAATTTAAAGAATAATTAAATAGAGATATTACACAAGATAAATATTAATTAGAATAATTGATGATTAAATAAAGAAAGAGTAATTAATTCAATTATTAAACTGAATAAAATAAGTATTTAAATGAAATACAAGATTTATAAATTGAATAAGAGAGATTCAAAAAATAAATAAAAGAAGGTGAAGATAAATTAGTAGAATTGAAAAAAGAGTTATAATTAATACAGTAAGGTAAAAATACCAAAGAATTAATATAAGCATAAATTGATAGAACAAAAAAAGAAATTAATAAATTAAAGTAATAAATAGATTAATAAAAGAAGGAATTAATTGAAAATCAAGTAGAAAGTTAAAATTATGAATAAGAAATTAATAAATGTATTAAGAAAATTAAAGAAGAAACTAATAATTTAGATAAAACTACTATTGCATTAGACTAATTAATAAATGAATTAAATTTAAATAAAGATTAGTTCTTAAAAATAACAGAGGAAAAGAATTTATATGAAAGCAAAAATGCTATTCATAATAATTAAATGACTAGATTGTTAGAATAATTATAAGAAAGATAGAAATATTTGAATTCTACAGTTGAATAATTAAATGGACATTAAAATGAATTGAAGAAATTAGAAAGAGAATAACATGATCTTAAATAACAATTAAAATAATTAGAAGATCAATATGATTTTATTAGATAAGATAAAAATGAATTATCTTAAGATAGATTATCTGACAAATTTAGAGTATTAGAAACATTAGAATATGAAAAAACTAAATAATAATTTTAAAGATTGGAACATGATTAAGGTAAATTAGGAAAATAAGTTAATTTTAAAGTTGAAGCTATGACTGAATAAGTTGAAAAAGAATTTTCATCTTTAAAAGACAAAAAATTAATATTAGAAAATGATAAATCTATGCTTATATAAAATATGGGAGAATTAGATGATAAGAAAATTAAGACTATTGAAAAATGTTTTTTAGAAGTTAATAAGGATTTTTCATCTATTTTTAGTTCTTTATTACATAATGCTTAAGCTAAATTAGGTAGATTGGATGGATAATCAATAGAAGATGGAATAGAAATGAATGTATCATTTAGTCATCAATAGAAAAATCTATCAGAATTAAGTGGTGGTTAAAGATCTTTATTGGCATTATCATTTATACTTGCTCTATTAAAATACAAACCTGCTCCATTTTATATTTTAGATGAAGTAGATAGTGCATTAGATTTATCACATACAGAAAATATTGGTTAAATGTTATCATAGAATTTTAAGTAATCTCAATTTTTATTGATATCATTAAAAGAAGGAATGTATTAAAATGCTAATGTTTTGTATAAAGTTCAATTTGTAGATGGTGTAAGTAAAATAGATAGACATGAACTTAAAAAGAAGAAATAATAATAATAATAATAATTAAAATGATTGATATATATTAAATATATATATTTATATAATATTATAAATAGAAAATAAAGGAAGTAATATAATAAATAAGAAATCTTCAATTAAGGATAGTAAATTGTTTTTATTTGAGAATCTTTTGTTTGAAGATGTTCCTCTAGCTGCAAAATAAGCTTATTTAAAATGTTTAGAAAAATAAATTAATGATTTAGATGTTATGAGGAAATAATTGAATGAAAATATATAGAAATAAGAAATGATCAAAAATTAATAGTTATAATTCAAAAAAGAAATGGAGAATATTTAGAATGATCAAAAATTAGATCATAATATCATTAATTAATCTATACTATTAAGTCAATTTATAAGTGAATAATAAAAAATAGACACTTGTTTAATCGAATATAGTTATTTAAGAGATTTAGAATATTTGCAAAATTAATAACTTAAAACATCTAATCAATTCGTCCTTATAGAAAATGAATTTTTATGATTAATAAATTATATATTAACTATGTTTTGGTAATAGAGGCCTGTTACTTATAATAACTAAAGGACTTTTGAGAGCAACTTCTATTTTGTATAGCAAGATGTCCCTCAATTCCCTAGTAATTTCATAAAGACCAGCAGGTAAACATTTAAAGAACCTAAATAAATAGATATAACTTAGTAACATTCCTCCCATTCTCTTTGTTACTTTAATTTACTAGATATGCTAACATTTACTTTCTATGTATTGCCATTATCCAATGCATACCAATATTATCAACTTTAAATCCGTTTAGTGCCATAGCTCCATTAGTATTTGTCTTAGGACTTTCAATGTGTAGAGAAGGATGGGAAGATTATGGTCGACATGTATCAGATAATGAAGTGAATTCAACAGAATGTTTTGTTTTAAAAGATAGAAGGGTTACAAAGTAAATATAACTGCTAAATTCATAATAGGACTACTTGGGCAGAAATTTAAGTAGGTGATTATGTGTATGTAAGACAAGATGAAAGTTTCCCTGCAGATTTGATAGTCTTAGGTAGTGAGAAGGACAGTGGAGCATGTTATATAGAGACATCTTCTTTGGATGGTGAAAAGAATCTGAAACCTAAAAGTGCCATATTGGATAGTTAACAAATGTATAAATCTTTGGATACATTTAATGATTAAATAATAAAGGTTGTAGCTGAATCTCCATCGTAATCATTATATGAATTTGATGCTTAATTATTTTTGCCAATCAATTCAGAATTCAAGAAATTCTAATTAAATGCAAAATAACTTTTACTTAGAGGAGCATAATTAAGAAATACAAATTGGATAATTGGTATAGTTGTGTACACAGGATAAGATAGTAAGATTATGAGGAATGCTGATGCTTCAAGAGTTAAGTCAAGTGAAATTGAGACAACAATGAATGTGTTAATACTAGGGATATTATGTGTTTAAATTACTCTAAGTATAATATCATGTTCATTTTCATCTGTTTGGTTAACAAAATTTGGAGTAGACTCTTTTTATTTAGATTATACAAATGATTCACTTAATCCATCATTGCTTTCCTTCTATGTATTTTTTAGTTATATACTATTATATAACACAATGATACCTATTTCATTAATAGTTTCATTAGAATTTGTAAAAGTGTTCTAATCATACTTTATGGAGATGGATGTGGAGATGTATGTTTAATAAAGAAACAAATTTTGTAAAGTTTAAACAACTACTATTAATGAAGAATTGGGTTAGGTTGAGTATATATTTTCAGATAAGACAGGAACATTGACTTGTAATCAAATGGAATTCAAATATTCTGTAATAGGTAATTTCCTCTATGGTAAGGAAAATTAATCATAAACAACAAAGACAGAAATTGCATTATAAAATATTTTACCTTTATAGAATAAATTATAAATTCATCCTATGGAAGGAATTTAAAGTCATTCATTAACAAATTTTAATTTTTATGATGAAGAATTAATAAATATAATTGATGGTAAGAATAGTAAGACTACTGCTAGTGTAAATTTAGTTTTAAAGTCAAAAGATAATAAATCTTAGATTACAATAAATAATTAGAAAGAATTAGTTGATTATTACTTTTTCTTATTGAGTTCAGCTCATGAATGCATAATATAATATGATTAAGATAAAAATACTTCTTATTAAGGACCATCTCCAGATGAAATAACTTTAGTTGATGCAGCAGCAAGAATGGGTTATAAATTTACAGGAGCTTCAGCAAGTGAATAGAATTTCATGATATTGAATTAGCCAAGAAAAGTAAAATTATTAAAATCATTTGAATTTGATTCAAATAGAAAAAGAATGAGTGTAATTATTTAAGATGAAAAAGGAATAATAAAATTATTAATTAAAGGAGCAGATAGTATAATAAAAAGTAGATTAAGTAAAGAATAAAAGTTCTTAGATAAAACTATAGAGTGGCTTGAAGATTTTTCTAGAATTGGATTACGATGTTTATTAATGGCAACTAGAATTTTATCAGAAGATGAATATAAAAAATTTGATAATGAATATAATAATTTACCTGATGGTGAACAAAGAGCAATTGAATTGAACAGAATAACAGATGAATTAGAGAGAGATCTAACTTTGATAGGTGCCACAGCTGTAGAAGATAAATTATAAAGTTAAGTACCAGAAACTATAGCTGATTTACTTAAAGCTAATATTAAAGTTTGGATGCTTACAGGTGATAAATTAGAAACTGCTGAAAATATAGCTAAAAGTTGTAAATTAATATAAGGAGATTTTACAGTTATGAGATTGTCTGAATCAAATGAACAAGATTGTATGGACAAATTAAAAGATATTCAAGATACATATGATTTATGTATAAAGGAAAATAGAAAGAAAGTAATATATTTTTTAACTAATTTTAGTCAATTGTTATTGAAGGATAATCATTAGATTTTATTTTAAATTCTGATTAAATGGCATCTTCCTTTGTTTAAATGGCTAAAGATTGTGAATCTATTGTTTGTTGCAGAGTTACACCTAAATAAAAAGCTGATGTTGTTAGATTAATAAAAAATAGATTAAATAAGATAACTTTAGCTATAGGTGATGGTGCTAATGATGTTAATATGATTTAAGCTGCTCATATTGGTGTTGGTTTATATGGAAATGAAGGAATGAGAGCAGTTTAGAGTGCTGATTTTGCTTTAGGAGAATTTTAATGTTTATGGAGATTATTATTAGTTCATGGTCATTGGAATTACATTAGAATTTCTGAGATGATTTTATACTTCTTCTATAAGAACATGTTGTTCACAATTCCTTAATTTTTCTTTAGTTTTTTTTGTGCCTTTTCAGCTTAATCTTTTTATGATGATTGGTATATTACTTTATATAATTTGATTTTTACAGCACTTCCATTGATTATTCGAGCAACATTTGATTAAGATATTAATTATAAACAATATCTAAATTATGATGCAAATCAACGTATTAAAAATGTTCAATTGAAATAAGAGAATTACTTAAAATAAAAATTTCCTTATCTTTATTATGTAGGATAAAAAAAGACTATATTTACTATTCCATCTTATATGATGTGGGCTTTTACTGGAATACTTCATGGAATGATAATATTCTTTTTCTTATTTTGGATAATGGATTATGAAGCTTTAAATATTGATGGTTATACTGGAGGTTTAGCACCTTATTCATTAACTGTTTATACAGCCATAATATTAGTAGCTGATCTTTAAATTATCATATAAACTAAATATTGGACACTATTTAATGTAGTAGCAGTTTCATTTCTCAGCTTGTTCCTATATGGAGGATATGTTATCATATCTCATTATTGGCCTGGAGAATTGATGATGTACACACCTCTTACTATATTAAAAATGCCATCATTTTGGCTATGTCAATTTTTAATATTAGTAATTGTTGGTGCTCTAGAAGCATTTAGAGCTGAATTTAATAGGTAATACTTTTTAGAAACTGCTGATGAAATCTTAGTAAAAACTAAATAATTTACATGGACACTCAATGAATGGTTGAGCAAATAAAAAAAAGTAGCTAGATAAGATAGTTTCTGGGCTGAAATTTATAAAGAAGATGAATAAGAATAAGTTATTTAATTTGAAGAAACAATCAAAGATGCCAATCAAATACCAAATCAATGAAATATATATATGAACCTAAAATGGTTTATTCATAGAATACTCATCATTTTTATTTTAATAATAAAATTAAATCGTAGATGATGGAATCCAAAAGCACTGGTACAAAGAGACTTATCTCTGTTGGATCTCTGTCAAACTTTGAAAGAGCTGAATTTATCTCATCTAAAACTGATACAAAGTAAAGATTAGGAGAACTCTTTATTTATGAACCTACTAAATTAGAGAGTAATTATGTATGTCTTTATAATTTAAGTGTTTGGATTAAGATAATAAATTGTAAGTACACGAATTCCTAGATTTGATCATCCTAAACCAATGTTTGAATTAGATTCTTAACCAGACAAAACTTTAACACATGTTGCATCTTAAACTGAGTGTTAAAAATGTAATCATAGTTTAAGTAAGATTGTATAACCTAAAATAAATATGGAATCATTACATTTATCAGCTCCTTCATTATAACCTTATGAAAAATAAGAACCTAAAGTTATAGTTCCCAAATAATTATAAAGTCATATAGTGAGATAAAAAAAGAAGGATCTTCCACCTATCTTATAATATTCTTTCATTTAACCTCCACCTGTTTTTACATAATCTGCAAAAGTTGTAAGAGAATAGAAATCTTTTGGTAAATTATCTTAAGGCAGAATATCTAAGAAATTTGATAATGAAATTGTTAAAGTAATTCAATAAGAACTTAGCTAATAATTGAATTAAATTGAGGATGAAATTTCAGATAAAGGATATAGTGTACCTATTAAATATGTATAAATTTATTTTTATATTTTATATAGTCAAATCTCAAAAGAACTAAATAGATGACATTAAGTAAGAAAATAAAATTAGAAAAATAATCACAAATTTTGAATGAAAAGAAGACAGAAACATAATTTTTTATGTAAAAAGAAAAAGAAAAAGAAATCAGAACAATTATATTTTTCAAATAACCAGAAAAGAGTCAGTCTTAAATTCGTCTCTAAAAAGAAGAAAATAGCAATATTATATTTGGCTATTCAAATAGAAAAGATGAATAATAAGCTTGATACATATTTACTCTAAGTTTATCAAATCTACACTATAAAAAATAAATTTAATTAATATGAGTGCTCAATTTTATAACTAGAATAAAAATTCCTATCCTGAACTCTAAGATTTTGATCATGCAATGAGACATCTCTATTATACATAGAATCCTATTACAGATTAATTAATAAATAAATTTCATAGTAAATATGCTGTTAGAGAGTATATGTTAAGAAAATTCAATACATCAACAAACAATAGACAATAAATGAATAAATTAACTGAATCCAATCTCTTTCTTGAATATGAATTAAAGAAGATTAAACCTCCCTCTGAGAATCTTTATGCAGAAAGTAACAAGAGACAATAAGTGTACCCTATGACTGAAGCTGTTTAAAAAATATTAAATGATGAATATATTTATTATAATAATAAATATATTTGATAATCCTTATACATTGAATAATATGTCTAAATAAGAATTGGTATAAGTAGAAAACTTTGAAGATTCATCAGATTTTGGTTAACAATTACAAAATATTTCTATTGCCATGATCTAATTTTAAAAAGAGGATGATACTATAACAAATGATATGAAGAATAAAGAAATAGGGAATACTAATATTAATGAAGATTTATAATTATAAAATTTAAGATTACAATAGCAAAATTAAAAATTGTATTAATAATTAAGTTAGACAGAAAATCAATTGAATTTGATTAATTAAAAAGTAGAAGAATTAAATCAAGAGAAAAATTAAAATAATACAATCATTAATGATCTAAAAAAGATAGTTGATTAATAAAGAGATTTTATTAATTAAATTAATAATGATTAAGCTTACTTTGATTTGACTGAATCATTAGAGATCTCATTGCAAAAATTAAAAGAAATGGAAAAGAAAAATGAAAAATTAATTGAAGAAAATTTGTATTATAAGACAAAATATGAAGAAAGCTTAATTTCTATAAAAAATAGCAAAGAAGACACATTAAATCAATAAGATAGAATAGATTAATTGAGTCATAATTATTAATAGTCAGAATAAGAATAATTAGAAAAAATAAAATGTTTAGAAAATCAAATTAAATAATTACAAAATTAATTAAAGAATAATTGATTGATTTGAATATTGTTATGTATTAATAATAAGTTTTTAATGAAATCATTGTTGCAGATATATATATATATATTAATTATATATATATATTTATAAAATTATTTGAGATTTAAAATAAAGGCAAATTAAATAATAACAATATATTCATTGTTATTTCTAACTTCTTGAAATTCCATAGTTTCTTTCCAAGTAATCTATAGTAGGAGTTGTAAGAAGAGCTTAACAAAAATAAGCTATTATTCTTGCTTACCATCCTGCATATAGTCCTGATATACCATAATTTTTGTATACAATCTTAAATCCTTCTAAAAGAGAGAGATTTTTAAAATTTTGATTTCCCTCCATCTAGACTAATGTTTTGATTGTATCAAAAGGATGAACTAACAATATTGATAATAATATACCAGCTAGGATATTTAAAATGCTACTAAGAGAGGAAGCAATTAAAGAATTAACTAAAGAAAGTGGTTAGCCAGGATCAGCTTTTAATGCATAACGGACTTTGTGATCCCAATATAAATAGTTAGTCCATGATACTACCTGTCTTGTTGTTTGAATTCTAAAACCAACATATATTGATTCAAATGTTATGTATTTGAAATAACCAAAGCCAGTAGACATTGAGGTCATTTTTAATGTCTTAAGTCTTTCAAAAGGAGTAATAATACAACTTTCAAACAATCCAATTGAAGCTCCTGTTATAATTTTATTAATGGATTAATTATGGATGTGTTCATTCAGTAGTTAAGGTATAAAAATCATCATAGGCCATCTATAATATTATTTAACCATATTCCTTAAAAAACTTGGAGAAAAGCCATCATATAAGCCTATCATTCCTCTAGCTCCCTTAATATCTATGTAACTCTATAATTGAATGGATAATTTACCTATATATAAGTGATGCCTTGCTTTGATTGTTTATATGTCTTAATTCTATCAAGTACATGTTCTAAGGGCATAGTCAGTGCCACTCGAAAGGCTCCAATCACCTAAGTTTCAATGAGTGCTTTAACATAATCTCCCATTTGTAGCGATAATATATTCTTTAAAAATATTTAAGAATAGATTGCATTAATTTAGCTTTTATATAAATTGAATAATAGCAAAATATTTCATAAATAAAAGTAATCATTACATATTATAAGTTATTCTTAAAGAATCCTTCTTCTATTTGGATGATAATAATTAATTAAGGAATTCTAATAAAAGTTATAATATAAAATGAATATTTTTAGAAAATCATTAATTAAAGAAAAACAATGAACAAATTGTAATCAATAATCTTTAGAATTTTTTTAAAATTACTAATTCTTAGTGATATTTGATTTTGGTGGAACCTTAGGTAGTTAAACACAATTGCTTTTGGTTTAAGGTTTAGGAAATAATATTTATTATTTTTTTAATGTAGGAGTTTAAGAGGAAACTTTATTTGTAGGAGTTTATAATCTTGCTGTAGTGTTATTTTTAGTAGGAGTTTTAAGTCTTATTTAATGTTTAGGTTGAAAGGTTTCCATATTTTCTTTTAAATTGTTGGCATGTTCCTATTTAATTATGGTTTCTGGATGATGAAAATGAATTTATTAAAGTTTTTGATTAATATCTTTGGCCATCTAATGAATAAATATAAAAGTAATACTTATTAAACAATGGACTTTTTATCAATTAAAAATTGTTAAAATATCTACTATAATTTAATGACTAATTCTTTTTCTTCATTCCAGAAAAGTAATCTCATTTCATAAATTAATTATACAAATTTCAATCTAACAATGTATACTGGATCATTTTGTAATTACAATACTTATATTAAATTACATTGTTTGAAAAAGTTTCTGCTTCTTTTTCTACAAATTTATATACAAAAGTCAATTAATAATATTCTATATGTATAATTAGTATGATTTAGATATTAAAGATATTGAGGAACTATTTTTTCATAATTCTCAGTTATTTAATCAATTAAATAGATAGATATCTTTTTTCTTATATGTTGAGATCCCATTGATAAATATGAAAAACATAGAGAATTGAATTCTGGCTTTATATTTAAATTATTAGCCAAACATTCTAAAATATTTAAAGTCTCTTCAACTTCATACCATAAACCTTTTAATTCATAATTTAAGATAGACTTTTTAAGAAAGTCAAATGTTTTTTATAATTATATAGTAAATTATTTATTTTTGATTCTATTTCCTTTGTTAATGATATCAAGAAGATAAGGAATAAAAAATATTTGATTTAATTCTAAATTTCCAAATAAAAGACCAAGTAATTGTTGATGTGTTTATTCATTTAATTGACAATATAAGTCAGACAAATGTTTAAGAAAACTAAACTCTTTACTTGTATCAATTAAATTAGATACCTGATTAATTAGGAAATCATCATATTGTTATCGAATCTTTGAATCAAATAAATATATATATTGATAGTATTCCTTTACTAATTCAATTTATATAGGTTAAGGTCTTATATAATCCATAAATGCTTATTAAATAGACTCTGTTTTAATTGTTGATAGACATTATACAATTAAAATTATAATTTTTGGATCATCATCTATAAATTGTATTATATCTTGAAGAGTATCTTAAAATTTAAGATGACCTTCATAACCTTATTCTTCCATCTTCAACCAAGAATTAAGAAATAATTTACATCCATTAATTCTTACTTACTTATCAAAGTCTGATATCAATGAAATTGTATTCTTTAACCAATCTTAATCTCTAATTAATATCATTAATAATTTATCATGTTTAAGTATAACTTAATCAATTATTCTACACATTCGTTCATTTTTTCTACCAATACATTATTTTACATGCTTTAATGATAAAGCTTACTGATTATTAGACATTAAAGAATAACGCATTTCAATTATTTTCAATCCTTCATACCTAACACTATCCTCATTTAATATAAGTAAGTAGGAATCAAAATCAAATTCCATATATTTTGATAGAGTTAACATTAATTCACATATTTGATCACAAAATGGGGAATTGAAATAATTAGAACATAAATCTTAGAGTTATTTCAATAATTATTCTTTAATTTTGTTGACTATATTTTCCTAGAATAGTTTTCATATAATTACATTGAGTAAAATAATAAGATTACTTAATGCTTTGATTAATTCTTTAATTACACTTGGCTCTTCAGTCTTTATCTTATTCTATAAATAATAATAATAGAGATTTACAATGATTAATGCAACTAATTCTGGAACATAAAAGTCAAACTCAGTAGCTTTGTTAATATTTTGACAAACAAAAAGCTTTTAAAATGTTTATCCATTATTCAGCAAGTAGATAGCCTTGTCAATAAAATTATTATATTCAGGAGTGCATAGTTTTTCAATTTCTTCATTACTTTTGACTTAAATACAGAGTGAAATGTACTTGAATTAGTGCACCTTTCATTTATTGAATCCATTAATTTATTTATTAATTATAACGAATACAAGAAGTATGACTCTTTTTTCTGAGTTTCTCATTATTGGTTATTAACCAGAAGAATATAAAGAGACTGAAATCATTGAATACTTCCATATAAATGGATCAAGTCTACCAGATTATCTTAGAAATGTAGGCATTGTAATTATCAATTTGAATTACATTATAGATGTGTTTTACAAGTGTCTTTGATGTTAAATTAGAATAGGAATAGTAAAAGAAATAGGATGATATAAATAGCAAGAATTATTTACATCAGTTTGTGATTACAGATTAGAGTGGGTAATTACGATATTGCACCTCTCTTGTTGTATTTGAGAGTTTAAAGAGTGACTTTTATACACCTTTTGCTTATGTAATTGTTTCTGAACAATCAAACTTAATTAGATAGAAATCATATATGAGAGCATTATATAATGGTATATTTGACAGAGTGACAGTATTTATTATTATTATATTATTTTTATAGAGATATAGAGATCGTGGATGGTAAATGGGATCATAGAAATTATCTAATTAATAATTATTTGAATTCTATTTGTCTGTCGGTATAACAAATTTAGATGGATTATACTTTGTACCAAAATAAATTATGAAGACACGATAAGAAGTAATAACAGATCTTATTATTAACAATCCAAATCATAAAAATAATCTATACAATAAGGATATTAGTTTCAATGCTTTATTTTCAAAATTATCAATCAAAAGTATAATTAAAGTTGTATAATCAATAATCCTTGAAAAACAGATCATTTTATTTACTACTTAAGTTTGGGACTTAGCCACTATAACTGAGGCATTCTTATAATTTATATATCCTCTCTAATGGAGATGCATTTATATACCATATTTACCAGCAGAAATACTTGATACTCTTCATGTTTCTGTGCCTTATATCATTGGAGTACATTGTAATCTTAAAGAGAGAGTATTAACATAATATGATTGCCTTGATAAGATCTTAGTTGATTTAGATTAAGATAGGGTCATAGGCTGTAATTTAGTATTTAGACATAATATATTATTTATAGATATTACCTTTTCCAGAATAACTTGTAGAAACCCTCATAAATTAGAGTTCCAAATTCTCATATTCAGATGATGTAATATAAACTTTTGTTAGTAGTCTGAATTGTTATAAGTTTAATGCTGCTTTCTTAAATTCCAATTGTAAATGATCAATAACATTGTGCCATACTTTATTTATTCTGACACCCTCCAGTAGAAGCCTAAAATAGAAGACATTTTTGATAAGGATCTTTATATTGAATAATTTACTCCCTTAGATTAAGAATTTTATAGAGAATTCGTTAACAAAACTATGGTAATATATATTTTTATAGAAATAATAGATGTTTCAACGTTTTATTGAAGAATCCTATTAATATTTACATTAAAAGTAATTCTTGAAACAAAATATTAAAGCAAATATATTTATTGATTTACTTTTATTGATCAATACATCAGGATATTTCAATATTTACAAATTATAAAATAAAGATTTTGAAGCTAAGTTATTCAGTCTAATAAACGAATCCAAATAATTAATTCCAGAATCAGAAAAATCAATTCATTCACTCTTCTCCTAATATCAAAAACAAACTAATGACTATCTAATTCCATAAAAAAAATTTCCAATTCTTAAAATTGACAAATCTAAAATTATTTAAATAGATGCCATTTAAAATAGTATTCATCAAAATTCTCTAATGTAAAGAAGCACTTAATCATAAAAAACTGATATCTGTAATGAAAATAAATAGGTTATTAATATACTCACAATTAAAGTCCATAAAATTAATCCAATTTCTAAATCATATATACAAAATGATGTTACTGCTTAAATTATTTTGAAATATCCAAAGAAATCTTTGTCAAAACTTAAAAAAACTTTAGCTGACTAATTACTAAAATTAGCCCCTGAAGTCAATGTTGAATAGAAACCAATTCAAACGTCTCAAATGCTGAGTGTGAGGTAAAGCAAGCGTATATTTAACACTGAAGAAATGGGTTACGTAAGCATGTATAGGACTAAAACTTACAATATGTACTGAAATACTTATAAAATAATTATAAAATTTATTAATTGAAATTCTTAATAAGAAACTCTATCTTTTCTTATTTATGCTATTTTTATTGAACAAAAATCTATTATCATTAAAAATAATAATATATATATATACTTTTATATATTTTTATTTTAAACATAATCCTACATGATTATATAAAAATAAGAACAACACTAAATTCTTTATATTTTTCTACAAAGAATCAAGTAAATTTAATAAAATTATAACAATTGTAGAAATTATATATATTCTAAAGAGTTTTATAAATTCTTGAATTAATATATTAATATTCAAGAATAGATGTCACTTCAATATAAATATTTTTAAGTTAAATTATTTAAAAGTATTTTATTAGTATTAATCTTGCTAAATTATTATCTAATTTAATAATTAGCAAATTTTAAACATTTCATCATCTAATAATCAATCACAAAGAACAAAATCCAAAGTTTTAATTTAACTCTTAAATTAGTGGAAAATTTAATGAATTTAACATTGAAATTAAGTTGGATTGTTCATGGTTTTAATAAATCTAATTTTAAATAAATAATAAAATCTACTATGGTTTCAATAAACTACCACATATATTGATCAAAATACTTAAATATAGAAAGGATAATGATTTTTAAAATTTAATTTAAGTTAGATTTCGGCAAATTTGTAGTATATTTGTAATTTATATGATTAATATATTTTATTATGTTTGGAGAACCTTAAATATTAAGCCCTGTTAAGAGATAGTTTATTATGCAACGAATTATAAACAATATGAATGAGATTTCAAAACCAGAATCGACATCACCAGTCAAAAGAAGAATAAGAATTTAATCAAATCGTATTGATTATAGGAAAAATATGAGTATGGTGGAAAATCATTCCAATAAGCAGATTACTGAGCCTAATAACACAGAAAATAAAAAATTGTTTCATATAAAAGCTAATCGTAAGATGTCTCAAGATCAGATGCATCCTAAATCTCCTCCAATGTTACCATCACTATTTGAAATTACCTTTTAGAATCCATTTTTAGGACAATTTTCCTAAAGAAAATATTAACGCCCAACAGAATTTTAAGCCATAGTATACAAACGAAAATCATGACTAATTTAATTAATTATAATCAACACGATCCACTCTCTTTTTCCCATTTTTAGTATTGATTCTCTAATACACTTGGTGAAGGTTTTACCTAGTTCATTGCCTCTACAAAATCTGTTTCAGTAACAGGCCCTGGTCTAACATCATCATAAGATGGTAAGTTTTATTATTTTTTCTATTTTGTTGTTCTAACATCAATTTATATATCTTCAATTTAACTAAGGAGTCTTCTTAAGGGTTTCATAGCTGCTTCTTTACAAACTAATTTAATATCACTGCCACTATAATTTTTAAGAGCTTCTGCAAATTATGGATAATTGAGATTTTCACTCATTTCTTAAGGAATATATCTTCTAATCATAGACTCTCTTGATTCTTAATCAGGTAATGGAATGTATATCTAATTAATTATTCTAAATAATACTCTTTTTTCTAAACGTCTTAACATAGCAATATCTAAATCCCATGGTAGATTGGATGCAGCTAATAAAAAGACTCTTTTCTTAGATTTTAATAAACCATCTAACTATATCAGCAATTCAGTTTTCATTCTTCTTCCTCCTTCGTGCTCATTACCAGCTGATCCTCTTTAACCCATAATTGAATCCATTTCATCTATAAATATTGTACTTGGTTCATAATGTCTAGCTAAATCAAAAAGAACACGAATTAGTTTTTCGCTTTCCCCTCTCCACTTAGAAACTACTGATGAAGCTTAAACATTGAAAAATGTTGTTCGACATTCAGTAGCAACAGCCTTTGCTAGCATAGTCTTACCTGTTCCTGGAGGTCCAAATAATAGAACACCCTTCCATGGTTCCAAGATCCCTTAGAAAAAATGAGGATACTTAAGAGGAACTAATACTGCTTCCTTAAGCAACCTTTTGGCTTAATCTAATCCAGCAATATCAGAAAATCTCACATTTGGGTTTTCAGAACAGATATCTCTTTGTAAATAAGCTGCTAGTTGTTAAAATTCAGGAACATCAGAATAATCAGGTAATCCCTTTAAAACTCTTGGGTCAAACCAGTCTTTTTGATTTGCTTCTTCATTATTTGATTATTTTTATTAAACTCCTGTTCCTTAAATTTCAAGTGAATCAGGTTCATTTTTTGCATCTTTATTATTATTATCCTTCTCCTTAGATGATTAAGTATTTTTCTTATTAGAAGCTGTGGGATTTTGATTATTTGAATTACTAGTGTTGGTACTACTGCTTTTACCAGAACTTGGAATTCGAGGTAATCCAGGAGTGTTTTGTCCATCAACCTTTTTTACTAATTTAGGAGGTTTCATGAATTTCATTTCATAAAACTATTCGAATTCACATAGTATCATATATAAATCGATATTATCTGCAGCATCATATTGATTCAAAGTCAAATTTGATTCCGTCCCTAACTTTGTAGCTGATTCAATATAGCCAGAGTTCACAAGATAACGCTAAATAAGAATGATAACATTCCTTCTACGATCTTTAATCTTCTATTCTTCACTTAAGCGCGATTCTGAATCAATTTTGATTTTATTTAACATAATTAATGAGACAAGTACAAGGAATGAATCGAGTTCCAAGTGTTGAGAATTACGATCTATTCAATAAAATATATTAAAAATCTAAGTTAGCAAAAGCTTAGCAATCCTCTTAAGATTTACTTTATGATGGAGATCAGTATAGAATTTAGTAAAGTTAATAAATGTTGGTTGAGTATCTAAAAGATCTCAATGAGATGATTGAAGATGTAGTAAGATTAGTTGATTAATTACACTCACTTAATGAATTAGAAGTAAACAATCTTTTCTAACATCTGAAAAAACAATTAAGGAATTTGAAGTAAGTCATTTCATCAATAATGGATGTCATGTTAGGAAAGGGTAAGTCACCATTTTAAGCTTAAAAACCTTCACATGTCAATATAGTAATGGTTAACACTATTAGAACATATTTAGTGGAAGTGTATATTCCAAATTTATTGGAGACAGCCAAATATGCTCTAGATAATTTTGAAGGCTATAAAGGAACATTTTTAAAAGATATGAAAATAGCATCAACATAATTAATTATGATAAATCTAATATTTGGTGCTTCAGTTGATATTGATAAAAATTCACTTTTCTCTCTTGATAAGAATCATAAAGATTGGAAAGAATTATATTTAATTTGTGAAAGAAAATCTTTGGGAGATATTGAGAGAATAAATCAATCATTTGATAATTTTGCTAATACTATATTAATTGGTCATGCAATTATGGGAAAAAGTAGTAAATTCAAAAATGAAATACTAAAAAAATTATAATTAGCCATCAATAGTATTTATTATCAAATTTTTGATGCAAAAAAAGAAGCCTTTACAAATATGAGTTAAATGAAAGCTTAAAATGCTATAGAAGTTATGAATATGATTGAAACACCAGCAATTAAAAAAATCATGGCTATGGCATATCCAAAAATTAAAGTTAACTGTAAAATATATATCGACCCTGTTGTCACTCCTATATCTATTTAATGGGTCAATTCATAATTAAAAAATGGATAATTAAATAAAATAACCACATAACAAATTAAATTAATAAATGAAGAATTGCACCTTGATCCCAATGCAAAATTTATTTTACATAAATTTGATCCATAAAAACTAAGAATTCGAATTTTATGTAATTCCTCAATAGATGACACAAGTAGTTCATGGTTCTCTAATTCTTAATAACATATTTTACATGATACAATATTAGTACATATTCATGGAGGTGGATTCATAGCTCATTCTAGTTCAAGTCATTAATCTTATACTAGAGAATGGGCTATAAAGTTGGGAATTCCTATTTTCTCTATTGATTATTCATTAGCACCTAAATATCCTTATCCCTAAGGCTTAGATGATGTTTGGTAAGCCTATAATTGGATTTTAATTTATTGTTACAAACATTTTGGTATCTTTTTAAGTTAATTAATATCTTATAGATATCCAACCAAAAAGAATTATTGTAGCAGGTGACTCTGCAGGAGGTAATTTAGCTTGTGCTTTAACAGGACTAGCGATTAAAATGGGGTAGAGAGTACCTGATGGATTATTTATGGCCTATCCTGCTTTGGATCTAAGATTTAATTTTACTCCTTCTTATTTACATGCTTTAACTGATAAAATAATTAGTCATACAATATTGGGAATTTGTGTTGAATCTTATGCTTCAAATCCATTAACATAATTAAGTAGCGATCCATTTATTAATCCAATGTTGTTATCAGATGAAATCCTTGCAAAATTTCCTCCTACAAGATTAATGTGTGGAACAAAGGATCCTTTACATGATAACACTTGGGCTTTTGCATCTAGACTTTTGTAAATTTTAATATATATCAATAGAAAAGTAAAAAAAAATGTTTAATTTATAATCTATGAATAAATTTGCCATGGGTTTTTATGTTACAAAACAATAAAAGGTATGTAAGAAATTTAAGTATGTATTGATGATGCAATAAAATACATACAAGAACTAATAAACTTATCTAAATCCTGAAATACTCATTAAATATAAATAAAAGATATCATTTATCAAGCATCATTATTAATTGCATCTTCATCTAATAACTTAATCATAATTCTCAAGTCTTTCTTCAATTAATTGAATTTGTTCTAATCATCCTAACTATCAATATAACTTTTGAATCTATTTTTTAAAAACATTTAAAGACCATTTCTGAATGGTAAATAATCTGCATTTTCAAAAAGATTTTTACTTTATTTAGCCATAATATCTATGGAGATGCTAATAAAATATTATTAAATATGTTACTTTTATAAAAAATTCTGTATTACGATACATAGAAATTGTGCTTAAATTTCCAATAATTCATCATAGTTAAACCATTTTAATAATAATAAATTAAGACTCTCCTTTTTTAATAGATTCGAACAAAACTTAGCAATATTTATTAATTTTCTTATACTATAATTTTCTAATAATTTAAATTTATCCCATAGCATATATTAAAATGCTTATTTCATTCCCCTCTCTAAATTTATTAAATAATGAGCTAATTCTTAATAATATGGATTATATGTTTTCTCATTACCACACATTTCAACGATTACTAAACATACATCCTGTTTTTTCTTTTTTAAATAACCTAATTTATCTAAATTTTAAGCAGCCTCAAACAAATCATCTGCTCCCATTATTATGACGAATGCAGTTTTACGAGTTTCAGTTACCATTTTTTAATCAATTGCTAATTATTCTAATTTTTCCAATTTTATATTTCTTTTTTATTATTTAAATTCTTAAAATAATTAACTCTATTCTTCATTACTGACTATAGGCTTCCACCAATTATTACTCAAAAACTAAGATTCATAACTAAAATCAAAGCCTTAACAAAATATTCTATGTATTAATTTTTATGTTCTTTATTTATGCCAATTTAATATAAATTCTAATCTTTCAGATTAACTTGTAATTTTTTTATTCAATCTTAAATCATCTAAGGTCATAAGTAAAAATTTAGTTCTTGATTCACTTACATTTGAAAAAGCTTACTTTATATCTTCTATGATCAATTTCAAAATTGCTGGATTATCTTATCTAATTTTCTTTCCACAATATTAAATAATTATTAATAAATTTTCAACATTATCTGCAGTCTAAGTTTTCAATAAATATTTTATAAATTCCTTAATGAATTGCAATGATATTGATTCAAATAAATACCAATGACAAAATATTAATGTTATATTTTTAACCTCATGATTAACAGGAATAGATCTTAATTTAAGAATTACTTGTTTAATTAACTCTCCAAAAAATAGATTGTCATATACCTAATGAAAATAACAAGATGATGCTATAATACAACTCAATAAATAAGGTAGTAATTCAATAGGTTTTATTGCTGATTAAACAATTTATTATCCAAATACTAATCCAACTATCTATTTAGGATGTTAATTAAAGATTTTATCAATTTCATCTACAATATTGTTAATATTTGCCTCTGAAATTTTATTTAAATTTCTATTTAATAGTTTCTTAACCTCCATTAATTAAGTCTCATCATATTAAATTTCTTAAGGGGGTTAAATCTCTTATACTAATTATTCTTTCTAAACTTTATTTATCTTTTATTCATTAATTGGTTAGTCTTGCTTCTATTAAACCTTCTTTTATAAATTTTCATTCTTTTCTTCATATTCTTCTTCTTATTCATCTGATTATTAATTTTCTTCTTCTTCTATTTCTTCTTCATCTGGTTGAATTTCATCATCGTCAATATCATCATCATCATCTTCATTCTATTCTTCATCTTCAATCAAATCATCATCAACATCATCTTCATTTTATTCTTCATCTTCAATCATATCATCATCAACATCATCTTCATTTTATTCTTCATCATCTTCTCTATAATCTTCATCTTCATCTTCTTCTTCTATTTCTTATTATGATTCATCTTTAATTTAATCATCAGATTAATCTTCCAAGTTTTACTCTGCGCTTACATCCTCATTTGATTCATTTTCATTTTTTTTTTAAAAAGCTAAATAATTTTTAGGCGTATCCTTTTCCTTAATAGTTTAATCAATATGATCTAAGAAATCAAATAAATCCTCTTCTAAACCATCTTCCAAAATTTATGCTTTTGGTAATCTATTCTATTTCAATTTTAATTTTTTAGTTAATCTCTCTATTTCCTTTTCTTCCTATTCTATTTCTCTTTATAATTATAATTTTTTCTTTTCATCTATTTCGTTGTTATTAGAATTTAGTTTCTATTTTACTAATTTTTATTATTATTATTATTTCTGTTGATTATTGGTTGGTTAATTTTTAATTTCTTAATTTTATTTCTTTTCTTTTTCTTATGGCTAGTTTTAGTTAACATTTTAAACACCTTAGTTTTTCCAATTTCTCTATTAATTAATTTACATATGTTTCTATTTTTTTATCATCTTTTTTTCCTTCCTCAACTTCTTACGATTAAAAACATTGAACTCTGGTTTTATTTATTGGAATCTTTCGTGATGATCATCCTATTAAACGTTTTCATTTTTCTTCACCATAATTAAATTAATTGATTAAAATGCCAATAACTAAGCGAAAGAAGACTTAAGTGTTAACAAAAACTAAAAAGAAAACTCCAGAAAAGAAAGAGTTACTTGTTAAGAAACTTAAATAAAGCCTTAAAAAATATTAAAGAGCTATCATATTCCAATATAAAAATCTGACCACAAATCCATTAAAAGAAATCCAACAAGCATGGAAGAGCGATTCCAAACTCTTTATTGGCAAAAACAAAGTCATGCAAGTAGGCTTAGGCAGAAATGAAGAATAAAGTGCTACAAAAAATTCCTACCTTCTCTCTCCAGTAATTAAATTTTATATTTGCAGTTTCTTAAAGGTGAAACAGGACTGCTTCTAACCAATAAGACTCTCCAAGAGATCTAAGAATACTGTGATACATATAAAATTCCTGAATTTGCAAGAGCTGGTCATATATCTGATCAAACTATAGTACTTAAAGAAGGAATTGACACCTTAAAAGGTTTTGGTCATTCCATAGAACCATATTTCAGAAAATTAGGGCTTAATACTTAATTAATAAATTAGCAAATTGTATTAAATGAAAAGTTTATTCTTGCTTAAGAGGGTAAACCTTTAACAGTGGAATAATCTAAATTATTGGTATTTATAATTAATTAAATTTAGCGATTAATGAATTAAAAACTAGCCTATCTTGAAATAGCTCCCCTTTGTGTTTTAGAAAAGAATGGTACATTCAAAAAATTGTGAATATTATTTAATATAATTCTTCACGAATAATTGGTAATTCTATTTCTAAGATCGATTGACCCAAAACTAATTATGCCTTTCCCATTTTGTCATTTACTAAATAAGCTAGGATAAAATCCAATTAATATAGGGTGCTTCGCATTTTGATCTGTTGCTTCACTTCTAATTGATTTCTAATAATTTAATATCGGGTAATTTAATCTTTATTAATTATCTTTAACAATTTGTTCACCTTGGATCAATCAACCATCCCAAAAAAAGATCTGTGTTCCAATTATATACTTATATATTACACTCATCTAAATCTTTTCCTTTACATTATTCAATAAAAATTCCTTTTCTTAATTATTTCTATTAGTAATATAGATTTTAATTTTTAGAGGATGATATTTAATGTTTTACTTTTTTAAACTAGCTTTTGTCTCTTTTATACATTTCATCCAGCCTTTATATATGATTCCTTTTAAGTCTATTTCATACAGAAACCTAAGTTGTTTGAGCAATTTTTTTTATCTCTTTTTATTATACTACTGATTAATCTTGATCACTTTATCCAAGCTTTACTTATACTTAAGCATAAGGTATGAAACTTCTTATTTTTAATCATTAGACAAAAATCATTTGATGTAAAAACCTCACCTTATTAGAATTATTATTAATATTATAGAAAAAGCTCTATTCCTCTTTACGCTGTATTAAAAAAAGGCTAGAAAGTATTTTGATTTTTCTTTACAATTAATCATCTAAATTTCTTTTATCTAAAGCACAACGCTATAAATTTAAGCTTTCCTTTAATTAATGATGTACCATTCAAAAGGTTTAAAACTATCAATTATTAGGAAGACAATTCTATTCAACCTAAGAAATAATTATTTTATTGAACTCAAAATTAATGTAATATAAAGTTTCTATAAAATATCCTCCTCTCAATTCTCTATTTATTAAATTTCTTACATATATTCCTAACCATTTGCAAATAAATACCTTTAAGCAAATAGTTATGAATTAATTAAATAAACAATAATTTCTTAAAAGAAATTGAAATATGTAAGATAATTAAAATTTTATAGGTTTTGTTAAAGAATAACTTAAAGGAGTTAAAGTTAAACAAACTAAAATTGAAAAACATGATTTTATGAAAACATTAAAGATGATAGAAGATTAGTTATTATAATCAATTAAAATAGATAAGAAGGCAAGTTGTGGAGAAATATAGCTTAAAAAAACAAATCGAGAAGTAGAATTGAAATAATAAAAACAAATAATCTAGCTTTAATAAAAGCTTTCATAAGCATAAAAAGACTGCTAAGATCTTAAAGAATAAAATCATTAAATATATACAGAAATGAAAAAATAAAAACAAATAATAAAATCTTTAGAAAGAGAAAAGTAATAGTATTCAAAAGACAAAGTAATTTGGGATAAAAAACTGTAAAATTAAGAAGAGTTGTATTCAACAAATTTAAGAATGACAGATGATGTTAAAAAGGTTTTAAATATGATAAATGAGGATATAGATAGAGAAGCTGTTGTTAAAGCTAAGAAAATGAAATGAAGCATATTATTATTTTTTTTTTAATTGATTGGAAAAATATTTTGCATAACAGCAATCCCTTAAAAAATAAATGACCTTTGTAATAATACATATCATATTTCTTTCTCTTTAAGTTTTTATTATTACTCATTATAATCAACAAGACTTATGAAATAGATGTAAAACTATAATTACCCTTTTTAATTTGTTCAAATTAGAACTTCTTATATTTAAAAAATAATTGTATGAATTTTTATATGAGACTCTTTTCAATATTTTTAATTTGTAAATTGTATTAGAATCAACCATATAGTTATCCATAATAAATCAATAATAGTTAAAAAAATAATAATATACATAAAAATTAAATTTAGATATTAATAACTTTATATGATACTAATCAATCTCTAATGGCATTGATTCCAAATCTTTTCTTTAAGACCTTTCTAATGAGTTCTCTAGCCATCTCTTATTAGATACCAATATCTAATTAATTAGTAAATCCAATGCATGAAACATTGACTTCACTAATCCAATATTTATCTTTTCCATTTTCATCAGTGTCAAGAATAAAATCACATGTCCAATCTAAAATGGTCTCTACATCTCCTAGATTGTCAGTTAAATATTAAAGACATGATGTAAAGAATTTAATGAGTTCTGGCCAAGCTTCTGGTGATTCATATTTGTATGTTGCTCCAGAGAAAAGTGTTGCTGAAAAAGCATCTTATTTATCAGCTGGTTTCTTATGGATAACAAATAATGGTTTTGTTCCCATTAAGAAGATTCTGACTTCACCTTCCTTAATTCTTGGTAAGAATCTCATATCAATGAGGAAGTTTTCTTCAACTCTATAATATTTTTCACACAATTTAAAGAAGCTTTCAAGTGTGTGATGTTCAACATGATTGTCTACTGCTTCAGTGCATTTGATCTTGGTATCTAATGGTAAGGCTTATCCCTTAACAACTTAGACTCCCTCAGCAACTTGAACTCTCCAGATTCCTTCTCCTGTGGATCCTCTATTTTATTTAAGAACTCTTTCTCCATTAGTCAAAGAAGTTGGGAAGTTCTTGACTAACTCATCCCATTTGAAATAAGCCACTGTATCAGCTGGTGAAAGTGGAGTTTTATTGAGGTCTACAAGACTTAATTTAGAATCATATTTCATAAGAGTGTCTGGGTGTGGTGTACCAACTACTCCAGCAGCACACATTTCTCTCAAGGCTTGATTGAAGACAGCCTCACCATTTGGAAGATTTCCTGTATTGATTCTTGGAATGTAAGCATCACAGTTTTCAATGACATACTTTGTGATAGCTTCTTTCCATTCATCTCTAAAGAAGATGGGTTCAGCTGTCCATCCTAATTCTTTAAAGGCTTCTACTATTGGCATTGTGTCCTTTCTATGACCATTCCAAGTCTTATCTGAACCTCCTTCAGCTTCAAAAATAGCCACTCTTCTGTGTAGTTTTCTAACTTAAGCCATTATACAAAAAAGATATTTTTATATTTAAGATATTAAGCAAATATAATGCAAATTTATATACCCCTAATAATTATATATTATAATAAAATGCACGTGCATAAATTTATATTAATTGCTTATTATTACATAATATTACTAACAATTTTCTAGAAGTATCTAGAAATTAAATATTGGAATAATTAATAATAATTCAAATATTGTATGTAGAATCTTACATTTATAAAGCTTTAAATTAGCTTTTGAAGGATAGACTGAACAAATTATGATTATATTTATTTATAACTCATTAAGTTCCTTTCTTTTTGTAGACCTTTCTAATAAGCTCCTGTGCCATTTCTTATTAGATACCAATATCTAATTAATTAGTAAATCCAATGCATGAAACATTGACTTCACTAATCCAATATTTATCTTTTCCATTTTCATCAGTGTCAAGAATAAAATCACATGTCCAATCTAAAATGGTCTCTACATCTCCTAGATTGTCAGTTAAATATTATAGACATGATGTAAAGAATTTAATGAGTTCTGGCCAAGCTTCTGGTGATTCATATTTGTATGTTGCTCCAGAGAAAAGTGTTGCTGAAAAAGCATCTTATTTATCAGCTGGTTTCTTATGGATAACAAATAATGGTTTTGTTCCCATTAAGAAGATTCTGACTTCACCTTCCTTAATTCTTGGTAAGAATCTCATATCAATGAGGAAGTTTTCTTCAACTCTATAATATTTTTCACACAATTTAAAGAAGCTTTCAAGTGTGTGATGTTCAACATGATTGTCTACTGCTTCAGTGCATTTGATCTTGGTATCTAATGGTAAGGCTTATCCCTTAACAACTTAGACTCCCTCAGCAACTTGAACTCTCCAGATTCCTTCTCCTGTGGATCCTCTATTTTATTTAAGAACTCTTTCTCCATTAGTCAAAGAAGTTGGGAAGTTCTTGACTAACTCATCCCATTTGAAATAAGCCACTGTATCAGCTGGTGAAAGTGGAGTTTTATTGAGGTCTACAAGACTTAATTTAGAATCATATTTCATAAGAGTGTCTGGGTGTGGTGTACCAACTACTCCAGCAGCACACATTTCTCTCAAGGCTTGATTGAAGACAGCCTCACCATTTGGAAGATTTCCTGTATTGATTCTTGGAATGTAAGCATCACAGTTTTCAATGACATACTTTGTGATAGCTTCTTTCCATTCATCTCTAAAGAAGATGGGTTCAGCTGTCCATCCTAATTCTTTAAAGGCTTCTACTATTGGCATTGTGTCCTTTCTATGACCATTCCAAGTCTTATCTGAACCTCCTTCAGCTTCAAAAATAGCCACTCTTCTGTGTAGTTTTCTAACTTAAGCCATTATACAAAAAAGATATTTTTATATTTAAGATATTAAGCAAATATAATGCAAATTTATATACCCCTAATAATTATATATTATAATAAAATGCACGTGCATAAATTTATATTAATTGCTTATTATTACATAATATTACTAACAATTTTCTAGAAGTATCTAGAAATTAAATATTGGAATAATTAATAATAATTCAAATATTGTATGTAGAATCTTACATTTATAAAGCTTTAAATTAGCTTTTGAAGGATAGACTGAACAAATTATGATTATATTTATTTATAACTCATTAAGTTCCTTTCTTTTTGTAGACCTTTCTAATAAGCTCCTGTGCCATTTCTTATTAGATACCAATATCTAATTAATTAGTAAATCCAATGCATGAAACATTGACTTCACTAATCCAATATTTATCTTTTCCATTTTCATCAGTGTCAAGAATAAAATCACATGTCCAATCTAAAATGGTCTCTACATCTCCTAGATTGTCAGTTAAATATTATAGACATGATGTAAAGAATTTAATGAGTTCTGGCCAAGCTTCTGGTGATTCATATTTGTATGTTGCTCCAGAGAAAAGTGTTGCTGAAAAAGCATCTTATTTATCAGCTGGTTTCTTATGGATAACAAATAATGGTTTTGTTCCCATTAAGAAGATTCTGACTTCACCTTCCTTAATTCTTGGTAAGAATCTCATATCAATGAGGAAGTTTTCTTCAACTCTATAATATTTTTCACACAATTTAAAGAAGCTTTCAAGTGTGTGATGTTCAACATGATTGTCTACTGCTTCAGTGCATTTGATCTTGGTATCTAATGGTAAGGCTTATCCCTTAACAACTTAGACTCCCTCAGCAACTTGAACTCTCCAGATTCCTTCTCCTGTGGATCCTCTATTTTATTTAAGAACTCTTTCTCCATTAGTCAAAGAAGTTGGGAAGTTCTTGACTAACTCATCCCATTTGAAATAAGCCACTGTATCAGCTGGTGAAAGTGGAGTTTTATTGAGGTCTACAAGACTTAATTTAGAATCATATTTCATAAGAGTGTCTGGGTGTGGTGTACCAACTACTCCAGCAGCACACATTTCTCTCAAGGCTTGATTGAAGACAGCCTCACCATTTGGAAGATTTCCTGTATTGATTCTTGGAATGTAAGCATCACAGTTTTCAATGACATACTTTGTGATAGCTTCTTTCCATTCATCTCTAAAGAAGATGGGTTCAGCTGTCCATCCTAATTCTTTAAAGGCTTCTACTATTGGCATTGTGTCCTTTCTATGACCATTCCAAGTCTTATCTGAACCTCCTTCAGCTTCAAAAATAGCCACTCTTCTGTGTAGTTTTCTAACTTAAGCCATTATACAAAAAAGATATTTTTATATTTAAGATATTAAGCAAATATAATGCAAATTTATATACCCCTAATAATTATATATTATAATAAANGCCATCTCTTATTAGATACCAATATCTAATTAATTAGTAAATCCAATGCATGAAACATTGACTTCACTAATCCAATATTTATCTTTTCCATTTTCATCAGTGTCAAGAATAAAATCACATGTCCAATCTAAAATGGTCTCTACATCTCCTAGATTGTCAGTTAAATATTATAGACATGATGTAAAGAATTTAATGAGTTCTGGCCAAGCTTCTGGTGATTCATATTTGTATGTTGCTCCAGAGAAAAGTGTTGCTGAAAAAGCATCTTATTTATCAGCTGGTTTCTTATGGATAACAAATAATGGTTTTGTTCCCATTAAGAAGATTCTGACTTCACCTTCCTTAATTCTTGGTAAGAATCTCATATCAATGAGGAAGTTTTCTTCAACTCTATAATATTTTTCACACAATTTAAAGAAGCTTTCAAGTGTGTGATGTTCAACATGATTGTCTACTGCTTCAGTGCATTTGATCTTGGTATCTAATGGTAAGGCTTATCCCTTAACAACTTAGACTCCCTCAGCAACTTGAACTCTCCAGATTCCTTCTCCTGTGGATCCTCTATTTTATTTAAGAACTCTTTCTCCATTAGTCAAAGAAGTTGGGAAGTTCTTGACTAACTCATCCCATTTGAAATAAGCCACTGTGTCAGCTGGTGAAAGTGGAGTTTTATTGAGGTCTACAAGACTTAATTTAGAATCATATTTCATAAGAGTGTCTGGGTGTGGTGTACCAACTACTCCAGCAGCACACATTTCTCTCAAGGCTTGATTGAAGACAGCCTCACCATTTGGAAGATTTCCTGTATTGATTCTTGGAATGTAAGCATCACAGTTTTCAATGACATACTTTGTGATGGCTTCCTTCCATTCATCTCTAAAGAAGATGGGTTCAGCTGTCCATCCTAATTCTTTAAAGGCTTCAACTATTGGCATTGTGTCCTTTCTATGACCATTCCAAGTCTTATCTGAACCTCCTTCAGCTTCAAAAATAGCCACTCTCTTATGAATTTTGTTCTAAGCCATTATTATATAAGATATTTTATATTTAACTTTTTCTCTTAATCAAGAAAGAGATTTAAGCTCCTTATTATATTAAATTTATTTTGCACGTGTATTAAATTATTTAAAATATCATTTTATCATTTAGCACAAAAAATATCTTCTTTATTTAATTTTGTTAATAAAGAGCAGAATTAATTATAAAAATGATAATTATAAAATTCTTTAAATTTATTTTAGTTGCTTCTAAGTTATATTAAATTATTAAATGACTTCCTTTTTTCTATATTCACTTAGAATCTTTAAATTAAGTTGATTTCAAAATATTCTAAATTCTTTTGAATTGCGATTATTTACTTCTATTGATTTTATACTTAAGTTGTTTTGATTTAAAATAATAAAGTTTCGATAATCTTATTTATATTAATCCATTTGTAGATGATTTATATTTTTACAAGCTGTTTAAATTATTTGACATTTATATATATATATAAATAAGTTAATTCATAGTAATTACATTCATTCTCCCAATTCTAATCTATTAACTTCATGTAATTCTTCAAAAAGTTCTTCAGAGTATTTATGCTTCAGATCTAGTTTCTTGTTTTTTTAACTTTTTTCTTCTAAAGATTAGCTCTTTGATATATAAATATTATACTTTTTTGATTTATGGTGGTAATTTTTAGGATGCTTCATTAATAACTGCAATTTATTGATCGGGAATATCATTAAAGAACTTAACAATCTTTTATATTATTGATTTTTTCTTTTTAAGTGGAGTGCTTTGCATGGTGTCTATTTTTAATAATATGTATTATAATATTAACTCACTTTCAATATATATTGTAAGATTTAAAATGTTGCTGTAATGACGCATTTATTTTTTGTAATTAGAATTAATTTATTGTATGATTATTTAGTTAAGCGAAAGAGTATTTCTTAATTCAGCTTTGTAATATGTCAGGATATTATAAAACTTCATAAATTTTCATAAATTAATTGTTACAATAAGATAAATTTTAGAGATTTTTAAGAAGAATATATTAATTATCTAATTGTTTAAAACTTGATGGCATATTCATCTATAATAATTTTTAGTTGCTCACCACAAATCATGTTAGTCTAATTTTATCCAAGTACATCATAAATCAAAAATCAATTACAAGTTAGAATAAATTAGAACAGAGTTTTAATGATTGGTTATCTTACTGGAAGTAGGTTATGTGAGAATTATGTTAAATTTGGATTTGACAATAAAAGTAGCCACTATGTTACAAAAAGAATTTAGAAAGCTTAAGAATTTCATATTATTTTATCAATTTATATCTTGATAATTCATAATAAATAATGCTCAATAAGGAAAGTATTTATGATATGATTAAAATACAGGTTAGAATATCTCGAATTAAGTAAGGTATAAATTCTTCAGCTTGAATATGAAGACCTACCAAAGTTAAAAATGCTTTTTACAGTGGTTATGGTTTAAATTAGTTATTATGATTGCTTAAAAGATGGTTTAAAACCTTTTAGATTAGAAATGTTGTAGAATATTGATTATGAAAAGAAAATTGAATAAATAACTTTTAGGAAATAAAATTGAGGGATTTACAATGAAACCTTAATTTTAGAAGACTTTTATAAAGTTTCCATTTCTTTTTTTGATTCTTAATTTAACTTAAATATGATAAGATTATTATAATTAAATTTTGTATGAGATAGTAACCTTTTAGATGATTTGATAAAGAATATTTAGTTGATAATAGAGGAGATAAAATGCAAACATTTGAGTAGTACAAAACTGATTATTAACAAAGCAAGACATTTCTTTATAATTATATATCTTTTATTGCCTGAAGGGTATTATGGAATAGAGTTTTATTAAAAATTCTCTTATTGAGAACAAAAATCTACAAATTAAATTGATTATAATAAACTTTTTAAACCTACCAAATCCAACAAATTTAAACTAAGGACCAGAATATGAGATTTTTTATTTTTTCCTTTTAATTTTGATCTAAGTTAAAACTGAAAAATAGTCTGAAATTTGAGTAAAATATAAAATAAAAAAACCTATTTGTCAATTTTGATCTAAGTGTTCATTTAATTACTTTAATATATGTTTTTTAAAAAATTTGTCTCCCAAAAATAAAATAATCAAAATCAATAATTTTATTTTATTCATTGAAAAATATAAAATGTTTAGGTTAAAATAATCTCTAGCTTATAGACTATTATGCTGAGGAAACATAATTGAGTTTATCTCTTAAAAGAATAAAATATTATATTTCAGCTATATTTAAATGAATTTCAATCCCAGCCAAATATTAAAAGTAAATCCCATAATATATCCAAACTTAATCTTCAAAATAGAGATAATATGATTCTCCATTAATTGACATATATTTATAAATGTGCTACCATTTTAGTACACTCGCGTCAGTTACTAGATAAGTCTCATATCATAATTATATTATTCTGTTTATGATTTGGATGCTCAAACATCTACAAAACATAATTTTACTTTAGATTCTAAAAGAAATTAAATTCTACTCCGCAAACATAACGAATGAATAAACGAAATAAAAATTAAATATTTCATTGTTTTAATGATTAGAATTATTTTTAATAGTTTTCCCACTCTTTCCTAATAGTTTCTCTTAACTATTTTCTTTTTTGGTTGATTTCATTAATATTTCTTTTTAAAATCAGTAATTCTGTTATGATTTCTTTGTCAGAATGTGAAGATTCGCCTTTTTAAGTTTTGACATTTATATCACAAAAAAAGTTTTTTGTTTCTTCATCATCCTCTTCCTCCTCTTCTAACTATTCCAATTATTAATTAACTTTCTTTTTTAATTTTCGCTATTATCTTTTTTTTCTTTATTTTTCTTTCTTCACTTCAATTTATTTTTCTTCTTACTCTATGTATGCTATAAGCATTTATTATTATTTCTCATATTCTATTTGTTGAATTCTATTCTCTATTTTTTAAATGATTATTTATTTGAGCTATAATATTTTGGATTAATTTTACAATTCTAATAAAATTTATTTTTAAATGATACTTCTAAATAAATTGATCCCTACCATTTAAAATTTATTCTAAAATCAAAGAACTTATCGCTCTTAATATTTTCGATTTAAAATTATCTTAAATTTAAATATCTAATACTGTTGTACCAAATTTTAAAATTTTATCGAAGAGAATATACTATGCATACTGAAATAAGAAAATACATCATAATTAATTATTATTTAATTATCTCTTTATCGAATAAATTCATTGAAATTGATATTGTCCTAAGGATCTATTATTTCATTTATGTGCATTATAATCTCTTTTTCATTATTAATTGTCTCATTTACTTGCATTTATTTAAGAAAGTAATTTACTTGAGCCTTAAAAACATCAGCACGTATTATAATTTAGAATTCTCCTTTTAATAAAAACTTTGGAAAATCCATTAAGCTTAATCTATTTTGTCCAAGTAAATTAATGGAAGATTTCTATTTTTTGTTACTAAATAAATCATTTCTTTTTGATCCAAATAAATTTGAAGTATGAATCTCACATTAGATTCTATATTGTTTTAAATCACTTTGTAAAAACAAGAATTTTTCTTATCTACTCAAAAATGTTTAATATAATTCTTTATATTAACTTATAAGATCGTTTGCACAATTCTAACAAACAATTAGTTCTCTACAAGTGGACATGAATTCACAATCTGTAAAATTTGAATTCCTCTCAAATTCTTTCTCGTTTATTAAATTTTATTCAGTATGATTGTATTTTATAGTTGATGTATTTTCTAAAGAATTTATAGTTCCTTTGGCAAATTGAACTTATTTCTTTTAATTTATTTTCATAAATATATATATTAAATATTGAGTAGATTATAATGAATCATAATCTTATTTATAATTGCAAATATGATTAGAAAACAAATTTATTCTGAAAATTTATGAAGCCAAAATGAAATATTAGTTATATTGATCAATCAGATTATTATAGATCTTCCCTTTTAATTTTTTATTCTTCAATTAATTAATCTATTTCAGTTTTTTCAAACCATTTTATTCTTTTTCCTTCATTCCATTCTCCAACTTTGACTTCTTTATTTTATAAATAGTATATTCCAATCCCATGTTACCTGCCTTTTATAAACGTATATTTACATACCTTGAATCCAAGTTCCAATATATTTTCTTCCATCAGCCCATTCAAAAACACCTTTACCATGTTTTTTATCTTCTTCATATTCCTATTTTAGAACTAACTTATTACTCCAGTATATTTCCTTCCATCTTGCCAAATTATCTATCCTTTTCCATGCATTTTATTCTTCTTCCATTATCCTTTATAAACTCTTTTGTCAGGCCAAATGTAAGTACCTTCACCATGTATGTCATTTTATAAAAATTCACCTTTAAATAATTAAATCTACTAATTTACCATCATATCTTGATCCATCTGCAAAATTCAAAATTCCTTTCCCATGTTTTTTCCCTTCAAAATATTAACCTTCATATTTAGCTCCATCTGGCCAATTTTCAACTCCTCTTCCATGTTATTTATCATTTTCCCACTTAAAATATATAAATAGATATACTTCTCCTTCATATTTTGCACCATTAACATGAATATAAGTACCTTTTCCATTAGCTTTATCATTTTTCCATTCTCCATCATAAACATCACCATCAGCATGAGTCAATTTCCCCTAAAATTATAAATTTAAATACCCTTCCTGATGACTTATCTTCCACCCATTCACCTTCATAAATAGAACCATCAGGCCACTTTTATTTACCAAAACCATCCCTCATTCCGTTCTTCCATTCTCCTTCATATACAGCCCCTGATTCTAATTAAATAGGAGGTAGCTTTTTTCTTTCATTGCAGTTCATTGTACTTTTAATTAAATCATTCCCTTCTTAATTATTTGCGACATTCATGCTAACTGAATGATTTGCTGATATATTTAACTATTTATCCTATTCTTATGATTTTTTTGAGTTCTCATCAACATTTTTAGCAGCTGTTTCTTTAATGGCTTCTTTTTTTGGCTCTTTTTTAGTTTCTTTTTTCTATTTTTATTATTCTTAATCCACAACAAATCTCTCATGATCTTTTGCTTAAATTTTTTATTCTTGTTATGTAATATCATTTTCAGAATTATCATGTTTAGGTTTTACTTTATCTCTTCCTAATTTTAATTCAGTAGTATCACTCTCCTATTTAGCACAACATGATTAACAATTAGCAGCACCCATAATATTTATTTAAATATTAAATATTAATATAGAAGAACAAAAATTTCAGCATTCGATTATAGATATCAAATTGATTACAGAAAATAAGTTATTCATATTAATATTTTCCTTTTAGTATAAATTAAAATGTTGAAATTTCATTAATTATTCATCACTAAATTTTGCTCTTATAGAAGTGTATTTATACCAAAAGAGAAATTAGAATGTAGATTTAGCAAAAGCTCTGGACCAGGAGGATAACATGTTAATAAAACAAATTCTAAAGCAGAAATAAGATTTAATTTATAAACTGCTGATTGGTTAAATGAAGAATAGAAAAAAAAATTCATAAGACTTTACCCTAATTATGTAAATAAAGAAGGAGAAATTATATTAACAAGTTAATTTACTAGAGAATAATCTAAAAATTTAGAAGATGCAATTGATAAATTAAGAGAAATGATTTTTGAATGCAGTAAACCAGATAAAAATTAATTTACAATACCTCCTCCCAGTTAAAATAAAATTAAATAAAGAATTTAATGCAAAAGATAGAGATCAGATGTTAAAAAAACAAGAAATATTAAATGAAATATGTAGCTTTTATTATTTGTGTAAATTAAATTAGATTTTTCTAAACACAAATAATAATTATCACAGAACTGATGCCATCCTTTCTATAAGTTTTGTATCACAAAGTGCACTTTTTAAATATAAATCATGTAACTTACTCATTAAAATAGCATTCTATCTTAAATCATCAAATCTAAATGTTATAACCTAGATTTAAATAATTAATTAATTACAATTTCCAATAATTTATAGAATTCTCTAGATCCAATCCTTGTAATTAAATAACTATAAGCAATTTCATATATTTCTTAAGGTGTTATTTCTCTAACTTCTTTTAATCTCTATAAAACTGATTAAATATCATTAATACTTTTTCTTTCAATATCAACATAAAACTCTTAATTATCATTTTCTGTAATATAATAGGATTTAATTATTTCAGCTAATTCTATTGATGTAAACTCATGTTTCAAAGATGAAATTTTATTCATCATTATTTTAAATAATTTCCTATTTTTTTATAAAATAAAATTACTTTGATCCTCTATATGAAAGTAGAAAACTTTTAATAATTAATTTTAATTCTTATAACTCATATTTATCAAAATTTTCTAAAATCTTACTTTCTAATTTCTAATTAAGTATTTCACTACCAAATTCAAAACCAAATCCTTAACTTATTAAGCAGATTTATTCAAAATTCAAAGTATCAAATTATTTCAATATATATTATTCTATTCCAATAAAATAATTTTTGAATTATTAACTTTTAACAATATCAGAAGTATCTTATTTTTCACAAAGTTATCCCATTACAAGAACTCCTTAAATTATTGTATTCATAGGTAATTTTTGATAGATCTATTAATCCTATGAATTTTACAACATAATTCCTACTAATCCTCGAATAAATTATTTAGTTCTAATAATTAATCATAATGTTTGTTACCCTCTTTAAACTCTCCAATAAAACATCAAAGTTTAAATAACACATTAATATTATTAATTTATATCTTATATTTTATTGATTTAATCCTAAATTTAATTCTCACATTAATCCCAAAATTAATCTGATCCTTCTTTTTAATTGCTTAAATGTGATAATATTTCCAAAAGCTACTCTAAATTTAATTTTGACATTCTATTCAAAATTGATATTTCTAATTAACCCCAAATCTCATGTTCTGAAGGTAAACATAAAATATCTAATAATTTTGTAATTTTAACTATATTTTCAACATTGCTTATAATTCTTATCTGTTTTGATAATATAGCTTAAAATTCTTAAAATTCGTATCTTATCAAATCATCTTCAGTTATTCTATCTGCAAATTAAATAAAAGCATTAACACATGTCATTAAATTTTGCTCAGTTAATTACACTTTAAGTGTTCCTAAGAAATTAAACATTTCTTCTGGATGTTTAAATTCACTAGAATATTAGATATTGATGTTATCAATAAAAACTTTTGCAAAATCCACTTTTCCATAATTAACTTCATGTTCTCTTGCTTATCGTATAGTTTATGTGCGAACTTCTTTTTCATTTTTTATTTTCATTTTTTCATATTCTTCTCTCTTTTTTCTTAAATCAACTAAATATTCCTCCTTTCCCTTCCATTCTTTACTTATTAAGAATATGATATATACCACCAGTTTAATTTTAATTCTTTTCATCATTTTTTCCTGACTTTTATTAATTTTATTCTTTCCTCCAGAATATATTATAGGCAGGTCTTAATAAGGCCTTACGGTAATACTTAATAATATTCATCAAATATAATTAAAAAAAATAATAAAAATATATTCTAAATATTTTTATAATGATTGCTTATTTTCTAAATTAGTTAATTTATTGGATAAATATATTATGTAATTATTGCAGCCATAGTTATCAACCATAAAATAGCAAATTACTAATGATTAAGAATAATCATTAATATATACTGTTCATTTTGGATTTCAAAGTTTTTAAATTCCTAAAGCCCTAATTTAATTGAATGAATTTTACAAAGCTATAATCTTTTCCTACTTTAATATAAATAAAATATAACTATTAGTTCATTGATTTCAGAAATTGATCAAATAAAATTAACATATATTCTAATTTCTTATAATAAATTAAAACATTTACTATTCCTCATATATTATTTTATTCTCCTTTGATATTCAAATTCATTTTTAAATTTGATTATAAAGTTTTCCTTTATCAATTAAGAAAATAAAATACAAAATGATTGAATATTTTAGAAAGTTTATTTTTAATCTAGTTGATTTAATTATTATAAATTAATTTGATATAACTTAATAAAGATTATTTGCTACAAATCAGTATAATAATATTTTAATATTTTGCAATATAATTTTATGAAAATATTCATAAGAATTAATAAATTTATCAAATTTCCAAAATGACAGCTTTTAAATTTGTGTAATAAATAAATGAAATTGATTTTATTCAAATTCATATTAAATATGAAAATAAATTTAAAGTAAAAATACTGATTTATTTTTTATAACTTGTTATAAAATGAATTAGTAACAATAAAAATAATAGAAAATGACATATTTTTAAATTAATTTAGAATTTCAAAATGATTTAGTATATTATATTCATTATAATAATTAGAACTTTGAAAATTTAATGAAATAATGTTATTTAAAAAGAAGGAAATAATTATATTTATTATATTATAATATTTCAAATATATAAAATATTTAACTAAAATTAATATTCAATTTTGATTATTGATTATTGATTACATACTTAGCATTTTAGCTTTATTTTGTTTACTAAAAGTATGATATTAGAGTTCTCTTTATTTTAATAATTATTAAATAAGAAGTAGTATTTAAAATTATGAAATTAAATTTTGTTAATTAAAGTGTGGTTATATTAAAATCTTGAATCATTATAAATTTCTGTATTGTAATTTAAATTTATCAAACCTTTAACTCATTCTTTATAAAAATATTAATAATGTACTTTTAATATCAAATAATTACTTTTATAATAACTAGGCTTCTTTAATTCTAAATAATTATTAACATATATTTTTAGAGAAGAGAAATTTATCTAAAATTAAAATATTCTCTGATATTATAATGTTTAAATAAAGATATAATTTACAAATTGACATAAGATGATAAGATTAAGTTTATTCATTAAAATTATGGATCATTATTTTTTTGAGATCGAAGGATTTACCCAAGAGAGATGTGGTTTCTAATTTATTAACTTTGAAACTAGCCTTCCTATAGCAACAGCAGGTTCCTTCTAATTAAATTGACAATGAATGATGTTAAGGTTAAATTTCACTTAGTTGTTTCTATTTTTTTTTTTTTTAATGCCTTCAGTTTTAATTTAAGCTGTTTCTAGGAAAGAATTACTAGTTTATGATAAAATCTTATTAGAAAAGTCATCCGTACATTGAGTATCATCCACATCCAGATTCTTATAAGATTCCAATGGCTGCATAAAAATAGGTTTAGGTCCAATTAGTTGATTTTAATTAAATTAGAGCATATTTTTATTTCTTATTAATATGTACCAAAATTAATTACAACATGGATGGTGATATTTTAAGAATTAATGCTGAATCATATAATTTAACATAGGTAAAAAAGGATTTTTTTTGTAAATTTTAATACATTATTATCTTCTTATATTTGATAATAAATAATTCAAAATTATGAATGTTTTTTTAAATGATAATATAATATTTATGCTTTCTGATGCAAATGAATATAATAAAGCTGTACTTGAAATAGAAATGAAAAAATAATAGATTGAGATCTTTTTAAAATTAATTTAACTATAATATAATCATTTAAAAATTCAAAAATTTAACAATTAAATAAGTCTATTTAAAGTTTTCTAATATTCTTCCCAATCTCCACTAATATAATGAGACTTTAATAAGTAAAGACCATCACAATTTTGTATCTGTCTAATTGAAATTTCAAATTTGAGAGATAAATTAGCTGAACATACATAATCAAATGGATCATTTTACTGATGAGCTAATAAATGATAAATTATACCTACAGTATTTTTATCTAAATTTACGTTATTATCTTCAATAAATCAGCAGCAAATATTGTAGGGTCTCTATGAGTTGTACATTGTAAATTAAAGGCTCCTTTGTGAATTTTAGGTTATGGATTTTTAACTGGATTGGGTTAAGTATATTCTGATATAGCACTTATGGCACGTTCTCTATTAATAACCTAACATTTAATTAATTAAATAGAACTTTTGGTTTTGCTTTATCTAATGAAAAAGAATCTTCAGTTTTTCTATTGGTTTATAATGGTGTATTTCCATTTGTACCAACACTAGAAATAGAATTGTTAACAGCTTAATATATTGGTTTAAGCATTGGAGGAATAATGGGCCTAATTTATGCTCTTTTTATTATTTCTCTTTTTAATTAGATAGTAAATTATTTTGGTGAATCTGGTTTAGTTATCTATTTGAAAGTTTGAGGTGAAGGTGATTACTATCTATTATTGGTTTAAGTCATGATTCGATGTTAAGGAGAGTGGCCATTACTTGTATTTTATTTTTATCTTGAAGTGTTATTATTACTTGTATTTAAAGAATCTAAATTTTATGAATTAAGAACATATGATTAAGTAATTGAATCTTCTAAATCTTTTTTAAAATAATTAAATGATCTATTTTTTTTATTTTTTTATATTTAGAGATAATATAGTGTAGTTATATTATTGTGTCTATTTTTTTTAACAAGTTTTCTACAAAGTTAAGGATCAATTGAATATAGATTTTTTAATTATTCAACTATTATTTCATCAACTTATATATTATCACTACCTATATTTCCAAAATTGTCTTCTAATTTAATTGTCTTAGCCCATTTATGTCCTTTTATTTATGGAATTGTAAATCTCTTTTTTGGATCTGTATTTAATATATTTTTTAAGAGATCTTTTGCTTCAGGAGACAACCATTTAGGAAATTGAAGTTCTCCTGCTATAATCTTTTTATATAATTAATTAGTATTCTAATCTTCAAATGGCAAATATCCACAAAGCATAGCATATAATACTATACCACAACTCCAAATATCAATTAAATATCCTGAATATTTCATACCTTAAATCATTTCAGGTGCAGCATAACATGGACTTCCACATGCAGTCTTTAATAATTCATTTGGTTTATAAGTATTAGATAAACCAAAGTCAACAATTTTAATATTTTGATTCTGATCAAAAAGCAAGTTTTCTGGTTTTAAATCTCTATGAACAATGCCAATTTTATGCATATATTCAACTCCTGACAAAATTTGAAGTAAGAATTTACATGCTATCTTTTCTGAAACTCTATGATTTTTTACAATATATTCAAATAATTCACCACCACTCGCGTATTCCATTATTAAATATATATCCTTATCTGTATCAATTATCTCATAAATTTAGATTATATGAGGATGTCTCAACTTCTTTAAGATTTCAATTTCTTTGGCTATTCTATATACATCACTCTCATCTTCAAACTTAGCTTTTTCTAAGATTTTAATAGCTACCTAATAGTAATTAAAATGAAAGTACCTTTTCTCCAGTTTATAAATGAGTTCCCATTTTAACTTTACCAAAAGTACCTTCACCTAATGTATTTCCTATAGCATAGTTACCAAGAGTTGATTCTTGCATTTACTGTTATAATTAATATTTAATTGAATGGGTGTTTAATAAAGTGACAATAATGAAAATCCTCCTTTTTTATCTAATATGAAATTGATATTAGATAAGGGAAACTATAAGGTTTATGAGAATAATAATAATCAAAAATTTGATTACAAAGAATTTAAATCAAGCTAAACTTCATTTAAGAATGAGTTAGAGGTTGCTTAAGAAATTTAAAACTAAAATTTTTAAGGGATTGCTAAAATAGAATAGATTCTAGTATAATAATGTGAAAAGTGGTTAATTAAGTATTTTACTTTATGCATTTTGACTGAACATCCAACTTATTCTCTTAAAGATTATTTGTAAAAAAAGGAAAAAATATTATCAAATCAATAGATAATAGAACTCTTGATGTCAATTACTGGAGCATAGAATATATTAGGAATGAAAAAATAATATCTTGGATTAGATAATATATATACTAGTGATGGAAATGTTTGGAAACTTAAACCATTTTTTGAATCTGAATCCTCATATGAAAAATTAATGAAATATAAGACAGAGAGAATAATAGATTATGAATTAGATAGTTATCCTGCTCCAGAAGAATTTGAAGGTAAAGTGTGTGACACCGATAGAGTACAAATTTTTGGTCTTGGTATGATTATTTTAGAATTGATAACAAGTATTAAGGATTTTATTTTGTAGAACAAAAAAGCAAAGATATCTATATAGAATATAAGATGAATGAATCTCTCCTTTAGTAAAGAATTTAATAGATTTCTAATTTAAAATAGTAATTCTCTGGCAAATTTATTGATATAATAATAGAAATGGTTGATACAGATTTAGTTAGAAGACCAAATTTTTAATAATTAATTAAAAAATTGAAGTCTCCTTCATCTAAAATAGTCTGTATATAGACTAAACTTGATATTGTAAAAGATATTCCAAAATTAAATCTATTGGATTCTGTTAGTTATTTTGGATAAAATGTTATCAATCAAAATGATGAATAAATATTAAGTAATGCTATAGAATAAGCTTAAATATCAATTTCTAATAGTATTAAAAAAATGAGATAAGAATGGTAGAGCATTCATAATGCATAAACTATTTAGGAATAAAATGGATAAAAATATTATGGTCAAATTTTAAATAATCTCTATGAAGGAAAAGGTACATATTAAATATATATATATATATAGGTCGTCTCTATTCTAAAACAGGGGATTTAATATATGAAGGTGAATTTAAATAAGGATATTTTCATAATTTGGGAGTTTAATATTTCTAAAATTCAATTTCTTTGAAAAAAAGTTATGATTTTTAGGATTGTAAGGATATTTTGAAATATGCTAAATAATATGAGGGTTCTTTTAATTTTGGAAAGTAATCATATTATATTATTCTATTAAGGAAACATGGAGATGGTAAATTGATATTAACAAATGATGAATATTTTTGTGGCGAATTTTAAAATGATTAAATAAATGGTGGTGGTCAATTTGTTAGAGGATTAAAGGAAAAAATAATAGGAATTTGGAATAATGGTATATTAAAATCAACTCCTGGATTTTAAAAAGAATTAATATCTTTTAGATCTCCTGATTTCTTAAATTAATCATAAATTCCAGAAGAAATCTAAAAATAGCCATCAATTTTGATAAATTCTGATCTAATGGCTATTCATTAAAAACATTTTGAAGAAGGTAAAAGTTAAACTATTGATTCTAATTTAATAAACAAAATCTAAAATTGCAGGAATTAATTATTAACTTAAATTAATAATCATTCATAATATTTTGGTCCTCCATAATAATAAAATAGAAAAGATCATAAAATTTATTATGATGAATCCCAAACAATATTAAAGTATGAAGGACAACTTTTTACTGGTTAAATGCATGGAAGAGGTACTTTATATTATGAGAATGGAGAAATTCAATATTAAGGAGATTTTGTGAATGGAAAATATGAAGGGTTTGGATTTTTAATAAATGATAAACAAGAGACTTAAATGGCTATTAATTTTAAAGATTTAAGAGATATTAATAAAAAAGGATAATGGAAAAAATATTAGGGTACTTTCTAAAAAGGAGAGTAAGTATTTATAATTAATATTATAGAAAACAAGGACAAGGAATTTGGTATTTGACTGATGATAGTGAATTAATAGGGTTTTTTGATAAAGATTAGATACACGGAGATGGTAATATAAAAAGATCATAAAAAGAAGATGTTTATGCAATATGGTAATATGGTATACTTTAGAAAGAATTAATTGGCAAATTATGAAATCATATCTATGATGTAATATTTGAACAAAATTTTAAAAATAATACAACATATGTTTTATCATTCTGTCATACTCTCCTTATTTAAACATACTCTTTTTGGTTCAAATTCTGATGAAAGCAATGTAGAAGCTTTACGTTTATCCTGTATAAGTTCTTCTTTTGTAATTGATTTATAAATGATAGATTCCATTTCTTATGAATTAGTACTAAAATTCTCCTCTTATTCTTGATTTGGTTCTTATTCTTATTAATTATGTGGCTCGTTATTTTCTTATAACTCTTAAGCATTTTCATTTTCTTCATCTTAAGAAAGTGCTTCATCAGAAACTTCGCTTAGCTCTTCTTCTTTAAAGATATAATTATATGCTTTTTTAAGCCATCCATCAAATTTTCTATTTAATTTTGTTGTTGCGTTTCCCATTGTATTTAAAAATTTATTAACTGAATTATAATATTTATATATATATATATATATATTATAATTATAAATAATTATATTTTCTTAAAAATATAATATTTACGAATTTCTATTCAAATAACTGATTTCTCCCATTTTTCAAAGTCTTTGTATCTGACAATAAAATCATTTTGATTTCTTTTTGACAATGAAATACTCTTATATATTAATTTTTATATATACAGTAAGTAGTGATTTGGCATCATCTCCAGCATTTTCGAATAGTTGACAGAATTCATCAAAATCTAATTGTATGCCATGTTCACCTAAAATTTAATCTAAATCGAAATTTAATTCAAATTCTTTTCGTATAGTTTCAATTATTGTAGATTTTAATACAAATCCAGATTTATCAAGTTAACCACCTAAAGCACAAAAGGCATCAACTAGTTTAATTTGATTTAATACTATATTCTTATGTAATTGTTTCTTCTTCATTCAATTGTTATTGATATTACTTCAATTTACAATAAAGATCACAAATTTATTTTAAGTCAAGAAATTTTGCATTCATAATCTTCAATTCTTCATTAAACTTATTAATAAGCTTATCATTATCCAATAGTTTAAGATCTTAATAGAAATTTTAATAATTACCTCTAAGTACATCATCTACTTCATGCTTCCCTACATACCCAGTTCCTTTAGGATCAAATTTTTTAACCTATATAATTATTTCATTCATTTCATCTTAGCTTAAATTAAACATGCTTTTTGCTTATGAAACTAGGTCTTAGTATTCAGCATTCAGTGTTGGTTTTCTTTTCATTAAGTTTTGATTCAAATAAAAATTAAAACTAAATGATAATTTTATGATAAATAATAAATTCAATTAACTAAAATGGTATTCCTATTAATATTAATATTAATTAAAGAATTTAGAAGAAAAAATAGACTTTTTGATAACATTATTTATATTGTTTATTTATAATGTATATATATATATATATAATATAATAATTATTACTTTTTAGATATCTCTATTTCAAATGTATTTATATTTTAGAGAAAATGAGAAAATTTTTATAAATAATAAATGAGATGAAGTTGACAACTCTAAATGAAATGTAGCAAAATAGTTAAAATTTATTAATAAATGTACGGTATTATATTTGTAAACAAATCAATTAATGTTAAGCTTAGTTCTTCTCCAATGTCTACGTTTTGAATTATACCTAGTAATGTATTATTTTGATTTGATACCTGATTGTGTTATCAGTTCTATATCTAAACCAATTTGGAAGAGGTCTATTTTGCTTATTAGCTTTAATCAATCTCTTCTTCATTCTCAATGATTTATGAGCTCCCTAAATAAACATAAGTTAAAGTCAATACCATTTTAAATCTTTTTTTTAATTTATTTAATAATTATTCCTCATATATTTCTTAATCATTTCCAAATTCTCATCTATTTATAGAGTCTCTAAATAATTAGACAAAAAGTAACCATTAAAAATTTTGAAATAAAACAATTATAATCTAAACAGAGCAATTATTAATAGAAATCAAAAATCATCAAACATATGTTAAAGTTCACGAGGTAATTATTTTGGAACATCAGTAGAATCAGGATACTTTTCAAACCAAAAAACATCATCCTCTGATCTTAAGTAAGGGACCCAAGGAGGAGGAATTTATCTATTTTCTACACGTGTCCAATCAACACCTCTATACCATTTATGTTTCTTAATTGAATCTCCATTCTAATTATATATCAATATATATATATACATCATTAAATCCTAATCTATTTTAAATATCTGGATTTAATAGCTTTCTTATTAGATCTTTTACTTTATTATCAAAAAATTTAGGAAATTCTATGAGTCCAGATAAGATTTTCTTATAAATTCCAATAGGTTCATTATCATAGAATGGTGGATATCTATTTATTATATATTATAATTACCCTGATAACATTTCAAATAGTAAAATACCATAAGCCCATAAATCTACTGATTTTCCATAACCAACTTTGGAACCTTTAATAATTTCTGGAGCCAAATATTCAGGAGTACCACATAAAGTATATGTTTTACCATTTCCTATCTTTTTAGCAAAACCAAAATCTGTAATTTTAACATGTCCATCTTTAGCTATTAATAAGTTTTCTGGTTTAAGATCTCTATACACTATTTACATTTTATGCATATATATAATTGCAGTCAATATTTCAGTTGCATAAAATAAACAAACATCATTAGCAAATCGACCTTCCTTTCTTAATCTACTAAATAATTCACCTCCTTAAATATATTCAAATAACATATAGATATAGAATTAATCTTGAAAGGATGTTTTCATTTTTACAATAAATGGATGTTCTATAAATGTTAAAATGTCTTTTTCTGATTTTATATGTTCAACTTAATTGAGTCTAACTACTTCTGTTTTTTTTAAAATTTTGAGTGCATAAACTTTATTCTCAGGATCTCCTTTAATCTTAGCTTATCTAACTCTACCAAAAGTTCCAGTCCCTAATTTATAATAATATAATAATAAATACCTAATGTAGAAAGAATTTCAAAATCTTATATTCTAAGTTCTTTAAAGTTAATTTTAATATTCTTGAGCATTTTAAGTTTCATGCTTAATTAGTTTTGATTTTGAATCTATTATTTTTTTTTAACCAAACCTTGTTTAGTTAAAATAGAATCTAATTCAGGGTCAATTTCAGATTCACAATAACTTGATTCTAAATTTCTGTCATGAATATCAACACCCATAAGTTCTTACTTTTTTAAATAATCAAGTCTGTATTTAAGATCAGCAAAAAATTCACTATCAGACATCTACATTTTTAAAGATTATTATTAATAAATATAATTATATACTATATAAATTACACTATTGATAAATTGGAAACCCCATTATCTATATTAATATATGAAAAATAATGAGAATAATTTTGTGTGAATTAACTGATTAATTGTTACATTGAGTATACAGAAAAATAACTAAATCATCTAAATCTTCTAAGTGAAATTCTATTTCTTCTTGCATAATTAGCTCTTCTTGATGGTCTTGTTTAATTATTACGATGACCTTTAACTCTAAGACCTCTACTCTTTCTACCAGCTGATGTTAATCCTTATATTATTAATCATATATAAAACCTCTTAATTCTCTATGTTTATGAACTGGCTTAGTAATCCAATTGATTCTTTAATCACCTCTAATAGCTGAATGGAATGGATCAACAGTTATAATTTCATAGTATTTATATGTGCCATCTTAAGCAACCCAATAAGAATTTAAGACTCTCAAAGCTCCAATTTTTCTTCCAACTCTTTCTTCTGCAACAGATCTAAGATTTCTTGTTGGTTTTAATTAATTAACTCCTTAACTCTTAGGTTTTCCTTTGACAAGTCCTTTTCTAATGAGTAATTTTCTACCACCTCTTCTTACTCTTACTCTATAAATGACATAGCCTAAATAATTATTCATAATGAATTACCTTATTTGGCTTTATAACCCAATCTTCTAGCTTTATCTGGTCTACTTGGTCTAGTGGCTCTATGAATTACAGGTAATTATCTATATTCCCATGTTCTAATTCTCATGATAAAGCTTAAAACATCTGATTGTTTCTTTTTCCAAAGTTCTTGTAAATATTTGTATGCTCCCATTTGAAAGTGAAAAAAAAGATTTTTATTTATGAATAATTTTCAAATCCCATAAAGAAGCCACAATATATAAATTAAATCATTTTTTTAATTTTTATAACATTTCTTAATTAGCTGTTAGTAATAATTAAATTCTTTCATCCAATGATTATTCTTCTTAAGGTTCATTCAATTCTTGACAACTATACTTTCCACTATATACTAAAAATCTTTAATTTTTTTCCATTTCTTATTCTATCCAAGATGACAATTAAGTAGAGTGTTATTCTCTTTATTAAAATATCTCTGGTATAATATAAGACTCTTCAGCCAATTTTAAACAATATTACATATATACCTATAATTCTGGTTGAAAATATTCAAGGTAATGATTATATGTAATTAATAACCTATCATCTTAAGTTGGACAGAATTCAAAATTATTAATTAAACCAAATTAAGATATTATTTTAATAGTGCAAGGAGGAGGATATTTAAATGTAATAACAGTTCTATCTACAAATTTAGCTTTCACTGTTCCATTCTTTAATAAAATGAATTCTCCAACTTCTCTTAAGTCAACTTTCCTTAATTCTTCAAAATTTCCTTATTCAACTTTATAATATTCTATAGGTTTTTATTTCTCTTATAATTATGTGATAATCAAATTCATATTTGATTTATACTTTGTATTTATTAGTTTACAATATACATCAAAGGCACTTAAATTATATTTATCATTCTAATTATATTTATTATAAATAATTTACATAAATAGATTATTCCCATTTCTATTATCCATATTCCCAAAATATACCATCTCTAATTAAAAGTTAATCATTTATTAATCCAATTCCTCCATCTACTTAAAACCAAAATTATGCTTAATTTGTAAGCATAAATATAGGTCTTCCTAAATTTATCTAACTAATTTTATTCATTATTGGAGACACATTATCATTTATTTATATTGTTTTAATAGGTTGATCTATTAAGATTTTAGTGACTAATTAATCCTTAATTTTATAACAATTATATGTTTCATAAAAATATTCTTACATTTCTTCTTATTCATTTAATATATATTCAATCAATTCTGTTGGAAATTAAATATCTAAATATTACACTATTTTTTATATATTAAAAATATATACATTTATCGTTATTTAAGAAATCTTTTACTAAAACAAAGAAAGGAGCTATCCATTATATTGGAAAGTTAATCAAACTATATTATTTATTCAATATTCTATATGTATATCCTATTCCACAATCTATACTAGTAGCTGTTGATTTAGTAGCTCCAAGATTATATTTCTTAATGAAATTATTTACAAAATTATTTTCATTTTCAATCTCCTTAACAACAGCCACTGTTTGATTACAAGAATAGTATTATAAAGATATTTAAAATGTTTAAAGATTCAATTTCATTTAAGCATAACCATCTATAGACTTTAATATAGCATAACCATTCTCAATTTAATATTCAAGTGGCCAAATCTATTATTATTATTATGTATTACAATAGTTTAAATTTTCTTCATCTTAACTGCCTCTTCATAAATTATTTAATCTGAATTTAGATATGTATACTTTGATGCCACTTATAATACTTCTTTAACTTTATCTTAAATGTTGTCATATTTTCTACAATTTTCAACTTTGATTCTACTTCTCTCTCCTTTGCTATTAAAATAACTTAATAATCCAGTATTTGAATATATTAATGCTGATTAATCCTTAAATACTGCATGAATTGAATCATCAAATTATATGAATTCTTTTATAAATTCAAACATAAATTATCAATAATTTATTTTCGTTAGAATATTTGATAATTGAGTATAAAAATAAAATGTAAAAAAAGAACACCCATGGCAGGGATTGAACCTGCAGCCTACAGCTTAGAAGGCTGTCGCGCTACCAATTGCGCCACATGGGCATCTGTACTAAATATATATAGCTTTATTATTAGAACACATAGAAAAAGTATAGATAAATTTAATAATTTATTCATCTTAAAAATATTTAAACTATTGTTTAGAAAGTATCATACATTTTAACTATTTCACTCATAAACTAATTATAATAAGTGGCTTCAATTTTTGCCTTTAATAAATTATATTTATAATAAATACTTCATCACCACATAGAAAACATTTCTTTTAATATCCTTTATTACATGTGCCACAATAAGTATGAGCACAAGGAATTATAGTTACAGCATCATTTACTAATTTTCCACAATATTTACAAAGCAACGCTTAATGAAGATGAATCTATATGTTAAATCTCTCTTACTGTTTATTATTACAAAAGTTTAGCTTTTAATTCAAATTATTTAAATTTATCTTAAATTAAACAATTCTACTCTTATGTTCTCCATAACTATTATTCTGCTCTATGTAATTATTCCTTTAATTCCATTTCTAATGAATTCATTTACTTTTTAATATTCAAAACATCATTTTCTTATTTGTCTTCTTATAAACTTTCATAAGCCAATTTAAGTGATAAGTATTTTCTTTCAAGTTACTCCATCAATTTTTATTATTCTTAATTTTTCTCTTATAATTCCTAACATTCTTTCTCCTCAATTTATACAATTAAATCATTATACTTTTTCATGATATTTTTATTCCCAATTACAAGGCATTTCAAATTGCTAATTTGGATTAACCAATGAATTAAATAATTTCTTTTAGACAAGTTTCTTAAAAACCGGCATCTATTTAAAACTTGGCTAAGTTTTTTGTCTCTTTGTTTAAACACTTTATCCTTATTATTTAATTCCAACATCTTCTGTAGTCTTATACGATCTAATGTCAAACTTAAATGTTGTTTTAGATAATATTTTTGGAGTACTTTAATCAAGTGCCGGAAATCTTTAAGAAAACATTATATAAATTTTTATTATAAGTAATTTTTATTTTAAGTAATTATAAAAAATAATCATTTCTAAAATTCAATCATTCTCAAAATCAGAATATTCCCATTTTCCAAGAGAAACTGAAGATTTCTTTTTAAAATTTATCTATTATATATTATTTTTATTAATAATCGTTCTCTATTGAATATCTTATATAAAACTAGTTTTAAATTTCCTAATTTTTACAGGTTTTTCTTAAGGTGATGAAGAAATTGTTTTCAATCTATCAATTATTTTACACTTTTCAACATTTAATCCTAAAGTATATGCTGCAGGTTTCACTAAACATATCTTTTTACACTTTTGAAATGATGAATTTACTCTTGATTAAGGTGGTCTATATGTTTAGATTTCTTAATTCTTAATTTAATATTATGGAGATTAAGAACTAATTTCAGTTTAAATTGTTTTATATTAACTTGATTCAGGTATTTTACATGTAATACTTCTATTTCTTATTTAGGACATCCTTTCTAATATTTTATTTTTAAAATCTACTCTTTTATAAATCATTTATTAATTTTAATCTTTTAAAGGAAGAGTTTTGCATTTCAAATTGAATGATTTACTAAACTATGTTTATTTTGATTGTATTGATTTTGTGGTATTATTCAAATTCTACATTTATAAATTTGCTGGAGAACGAGTAGGCAAATAACTTGGATGATAATAGTCTCTTTCAGTTATGTGATATAAGGTGAATTAGGATTTTTTTCTATTCTCTTTCACATATTACTAAGCCAGCAAATATCTTAGATTAAATTTTTTAGCAGGACTACTCTCTTCTGTGAAACTAATTGTAAATGGTCTTTTTGAATGTCCTTTATCATCTGCTCTATTTATCGACAAAAATAGTCTACCCGTAAAGATCTATTGTCTTGTTCATGTATATAGATTAGTAATAAAATTATATATAAATATTATTTAAATTTAAACCTTTCATAACAATTCTTAATCATAATGATATTGAATATATTTGTATTCAATTAAAATTAGAAAAACATTCACTTCTAATTCTTCATTAATTTCTTTAAAATTAATTACTTAAATCAATTATCAAATCAAATTCTCACCTATATTATAAATATGAAATTACAAATCATCATAATTTATACTTATATCATATTGAACTTCTATTTTTTTAATATTATATATGAATAAAATTCAGATTTACTTTTTATTAAATTTATATCATATTAACATAATTCAAAATGAATTAATATTATAAAAACAAAAGAATTTTAACTAATAGATATAAATATATAATTTGAATAGATTAATTATTCATTTAACAATCTTCTAAAAATCATTGATGAAACCTTCAACAGTAGATTTTGCATTCTAAATACATTAATCTTATGGGGTTGCCTTAATGCATTATTCAAATGTAATTCCCATAAAGAGCATTTTAAAATCAAAGGCTTTCATTTATTTGTCAACATTTTTGCTTTTTTGATACATACCTTTTGAAAATTATGAATTAATTATACATTATGCATATTTCTCTACATTTTTGCCATTTTAACTCATACATTACTCATGATATTGTTTAGGAATATTTTAGACTACTTCTTCAAATCCTCTTTGAACAACATCTAATGTTTTTTATAATTATTGATGAACAGGGCTTGCTCCACTCATACCAGAAATAAATTTTAATTAAAAATAATATCACTCATTATTTTTTCAATGTTAATTCTAGACTCTTTAAAAAGTCTTATTAGATCTGAATTATACTATTTATAGCTGATTATTAACACTAACTTTTTTCATTTATACTTAAACATTCAGCAATTTCATTTTTTAGATAATTAATTTTAAACTCCATTTTCTTCTCTTCTTTTTATTAACTTTTTTGGAAATTCATCATGCCTTAGATATTTATAAATTATTTTACACTTCACAAATTCAAATCTGTTACCCTTATTCTCTTTAAAACATATATTTTCTTAATTTTGATATTTTTCAACAATTTAACCCAAGAAATTTGCAGTTGTAAAATCAATAACCTCATTTCTAATTTCCTATAATAATTTATTTGTCTCATCTTCATTTATATTCATGTATAATCAATAATTCCAAAATATAAATAATTAAAAATTATGTTATTGAATAAGAGTACTCAATTAAGAATGATAAGATGTTTTATATTTTTAAGAATTATATATAATTTTTATATGATCAAATTAATAGACCTAGAAGGATGGTCAGATTATTCAATATCTCCATATATAAATTAATTAAAATAACTCTCGGAATCACCTGAAATTACACCAACAAAACGAGAGAAATTAAATAGGCTTCCTTCAATCTAATAAAAAAAACTGGAATGTTATGAAATACAGAATTATAAATCAATTTATTTTGCAAATAGAAAATAATTAGGATATCAAGTTGTTAGTGAAGAAAGGAAATCTCAAAAACTAAAAAAATAATACACTAGAGTTCATTAATAATAATATTAATTTCATGAATTGTCTTCATTTGTAGAATCTCCTAAGAAATCAAAAAAAATGAAAGAATTATAGGATTGTTTATTTTAGAGAAGATCATATAGATTGTAGATAAAAAATAAAATGTTAAATTTAACTTAGAAATCACCTCTCCATAATATATCATAACTATTGCGAAAACTAAACAGTGAAGTCATAAATAAGAATGAATTAGTATAAATTTTGGATAAATGAAATTTTGTTCATCAATTAAATCTGCATACAGGACACACTTTACTTTTTTTTTGCCATTATTATAAACAAATCTTATGAAAGACATGACAACATTATAGAATTCCTTTTTGATCATTAAGTTAAATATCCATAAGACATATCGAGCATTCTTAAGGTTTATAGGATTATTATTTATCAATAATCTATTTTTTATGACATTCACGATAATGTTCTTACTAGAATTTTTTGAATATTTTATCTTTACAGTATTCACATTAACCATCTTCTTTATCTACAAGAGCAAATGCTTTACAAATAGTTAGATGATTTAATATTAATTATTTTTGTTATTTTTCTCCACAATATCTACAAATAATAATTTCATTATTATTCTTACAAGTTTCCATATGTTTAGCCAAAACACATTAAGGATATTTATCTTTGCAATTATTGCATACCATTAATTTATATTAATTGTTTCCAAACTTATAATCCATAATTTATAATAATAATGAATTTTACAAATTATTATTATTTCATAAATTACATATATTAAAAACCATAGATCATGATTCTATAAAAAGATTTATTTGATTTATTTATTATAAAATAATATTAAAAATTATGAACTTTATATAATGTATTTAAATATCATATTATTGAATCAAAATAGAACAAATTGTTTTCTGACATTACCAATAATTTCATTTGGGATAACTTTCAAAACATTGAATCTCACTGTTTTAGATAATGGTCTATCATTTCTAAACTAAATACCTGCATTATCCACATACAACAATATCACCTTCCTTAACTGGGCCAAAAGCAGGTGAAATATGGACAGGAACATTTCTATGTCTCTTTTCATATCTATTATATTTTGCAACATAATGTAAATAATCTCTTCTAATAATAATTGTTCTGGTCATTTTGGTTGAGATTACAATACCTCTTTAATAATACTATTGTTAAATATGTACTTTAAAATTGCTCCCCTGACACTAACATTTCCAGTAAATGGGCATTTCTTATCAATATAATGTCCTTCAATAGCTTCCTTTGGTACTTTGAATCCAAGTCCAACTTCTTTCCAATATCTAACTCCTTTAGATGTTTTCTTAGCCAAAAGCTTTTTTGAATTTTAAAAGATGCCCTCTTGCTTTTAAAAGGCTCTTTATGTTTAGAGGTCTGCCATAATGTATATTTTAAAAATAAAAGATATAAATTTTTATGCTTTCATAACTAAATGTTTCAAACTTAGATCATCTCATAACTATATTTATTTTTGTAAAAAATTTTGATTTCCTTTTATATCTTGATTATCCTTTAATTTATAGCCATATTAAATTTAAAATATAAGAATTTGTTTGACATAATTTTACCCAATAATTTTTACAATTTCTAATATTTATGTTAGATCATTAAAAATTTGGTTATTTTTCTATAATATATCCTAATCCTTAATTATTGGGTAAATTTGGGGAAATTCTTTGTAAAGTTAAGAATATACACTTTCCATAACATCAATAAATAATAAAAGATCCATAAAGGTAATATTTTATTAACTAACTTATCAAAGATAATTATTAGTTAAATTGACATTGAAAATAATCATAACAATTATGTTAAATTTTTTAGAATACCTCATATTTGAACATGTGATAATTAGAAGTAATTTATGAATCTTTTAAAAACATCAATTATCTCCTTAAATTCTTTAGTTATTAATAAATTAAGAAATTTGTTATAACCTAAATAACTAATAATTGAAATATCAATTAGATCTATTAAAGTATTAATTTACTAAGATATTTAAGTTTTTCTTATGATGTTAATATTCTCTTTCTTATTATGACTATTTATTAAATATTATTATATGTATATATAAGATGATCAATATGATGTGAACATATATTTAATTGCTATAATTGTTGTTGAATAAAGAAAACATAAGTAATAAATAGAAAATAAAAATTCAATCAAATTTATAAGTTGTTTATTCTTATTCTATTTTATTATTATTAAAATCAAAATTATCAATAAAATCAGTATTATATTACTCATAAATTTTAATATTTTGAACTCAAAAGGAGATGTTTATTTGCAACAGATTATGATGCTGGTCTATTTCTATCTATAAAATTTTATTAAATTTATTGTGGATGCAGCTAGGCTGATATTCTTATTTATGTACTATGAGATTGTTTATGAGATGAAACTTATAACCATTTTTTATTCACACTTAAATTTGAATCATTTTGATTTAAATAATGTTAAAGTCTTGCAGGAGAATATTAGCTAGAAATGCTTCTGTATCTCTGTGGAGGAGTATAGATAACACTTTTATTATCATCAAATTAACATCTATGTTATTTTGGAAAATTGTTTTATGATGTCTAATTTTGCTTTTTAAGTTATTTTTTTTATTTTTCATTTTATTTCTTGACTAATAACTAAAAGGAACATTAAGCTAAATTATAATTTATTGATTTGCTCAATTATGAATGCATCATACTTTAATTTTAAGTGATTTGTGATGTTGATTTTTATTCTTGATTGATAGGTTTTAAGTTTGAAGTATTGATTTCAGCAATCGAATTTTACCATAAAGTAACCATATCTTTTTCTACATATTTGTCTTGAGTCATATCAATCAAACTTATAAGATGTGCACTCTTTCTTATTCTTAACATTTTACTTATTCTAAATTTATGCTATTACTAAGTAGTATTAGGCTTGTAATATCTAAATTAATTTTAATAGTCTATATTTCATTAGATTCTCTTAATGGGTCTTGTAACTTTCTTGTTGTCATTAAAAATATGTTTATATTATAATTTATTCTTGGAACAAGAGACTCTCTTCTATTTAGTAGTAGCATTCAGAGATACATGTATCCAAAGCAAACATTAGGATTAGTTGAATTGCTTAAGAAACTCTTTAAATAAGAAATTTGTAAAGAGAGTCCAGAGAGTGAAGTAATTGCAGAAAAAACATTTGAAAGCATGAAATTAGCATTATAATTCATTGGTTGGATGATTTTATACTACATTGTATAATGGTGTTTGAGTTTTGTGATAGGTGAGATAGCATCTTCTTTTTTTTATTGGATTTGTGTGATTGCCACATATTCTAAATATGCAGCAGGTATGTGGATTAGGACATAAGAAGTAACATAAGAAGCAATAAAAATGGAAACAAATTTTTATCTAAATAGATCATTTGTTAGCTATTAGATAGATGAATCAGAAGTTTTATTAATGTTAGATTATTCTATGACTAGGATCATTTTTAGTGTGTTATTTTAATTGTAATCTAATATTTTGTGCTTTGTAATAGGAAATTATTTACCATTCCCATTAAATCTATTAAAAATTCCAATATATTCTTTATTCATATCAATCTAAAATATATCAGCAAAAATACCATATAAGAAACATTTAGCATACTTTTATAGTTAAAATATTGGTTATTTAATTGGATTTAATTTTTTATTTTCATGCTATCTACATATATCATCATTTCCCTTTTTTACAGGAATTTTATGGTTTATTATGCCATTATATTTATTAAATGCAATACCAATTGAACCACCAAGATTTGAAAATAGTGTGAATAACCTTTAACTAAAGGATTACTTAAATATTTATAGTTCTTAAGGGGATAGTTAATTATCAATAAAAAGAGATTCATATGTAACACATCTTAATGTATAAATATAATTCACTATTTTTAGAAATATTTTAATGATTAAAATTATGCATCAATTTGTGAAAATTAAATCTCTTATATTTCTATGCCTACCCTTTTAGTGCCTTAGGTTTTATAAATATTATAGAAAATTATTTCAAAATTATAAGGACATCAACATGAAGATTGAGATTTTTATTATATCATTAATATATCTATAAACATAAAAATATTATCAATCAAAATGAGGATTGTTTGAAATCTTATTGAAAAATTAAATACTGTATTCCCAATCATCCTCTTATTAAAAACTATCCTTTTCGCATTCACTATTTTCAGATAGATTAAAAGAGTTTATATATGTTAATTATTCATCTTCTATCTTATTTTTCTAAGCTTTTTCGTAACTCTCTTAATCCTACTTTTATAAACCTTCTTCACTTTATCTTTACTTATTAAGAATTATAGCCTTCTTAATTTTCGATTTATTTTTTTTCATATAAGATCTTAGATATCCCATCTTTTTCTCACTAATCTCCTTTATATTGATGAGTAATTGAGCTTTATTAAAGATTTAAATATAATCTTCTAAAGTCTTTTTGGGTACTTTCACTAAATCAGCTGCCTCTTTTAAAGTAACCTTTTTTAAAATTCCATTTTCTTAAATTCCATTTCTAAAGATATATCTCCACTATTGTACTCTATAGTAAGCATCTCCTATGCTTCTTTCTTTAACTCTTTTTGAAGTAATTTCAGAGTAAAAGTTGCTATTCATAAGAAGTAATTATTACATTTTTTTTCAATTTGACATTTGCATTTTATAGACAACATTCTATATATAATTTACATTTCCATAAGAAACAATCTCACTAAGAACAAAGTTTATACTCTAAATTTATGGAAATATTAGGGAAATAAGTTTACTGATCTACTTAATATGATAAGAATCAATTTTTTATAGTAGTTGAATATTCATTAAAATCCTAACAGAATATTTTATAATATTCTAATCATCTTCGAGATTATTAAATTCTAAATAACTTTAAAGAAATAACATTTTATAGAAATTAACTTAAAAATATTTATATAAGAAATTTAATTAATCATGAAGTCTCTAATTATATTTTTTTAATTTATCATAATTATTCATAATTCATGTAGCATATTTCTTTGTTTAAATTCTAGCATACTCTTCAAATTGATTCTTGTCTTCTAAGTACATCTCCTTAGCTGTCCAGTTGTGAGTGTCCTAAATAATGACTTCTCTTAGTATATTTTAGATTTTTTCTAATGTATATTAGACTGTATTTGTTGGGTTCCATTATTCCTTTAGCTGATTGAATCAAATTACATATCTTTCAATCGTATGATAGCACATATAGCCTGCGTAATCAATGTTTGGATGGAATATTTTAGTTTAGAATTAAAAGTTGGGAGGCTAAAATGGATAATTCTCTGGAAAACTGATAGACAGTTTAAACTTTCCTCCTTGATAAGGAGTGCCTTCTGGTCCTACAATTATTGCATTCCATCTAATATTTATATTTTAAATCTTTACAATAATCTACAATTAGGATCTGGTATTATTTTTACCCAAGAAAGAGGGCTATCAATAGTCAAGTCTTTAAGTTCTTTGTTTAATCTGTTTTACATTATTTAATTGCGATGATTTAATACTGAATAGAAAATATATATTTTATAATAAAAATAGAAAATTTATAATAAATTTTTAGTATATTCAATATAATCATTATTAACTATTTTAGTATAAAATAATAAACGTCAGAAAATTAAGAGCTTCTATATTCTTATTAAATAAGAAAACCTATAAACTCAATCTGTATATAAACAGAATCATTATTAAAATTAATTTAGATAACTATATTAATTATTCATTTCTAAAAATCGCTTTGTCCAATCATAGAATCATCATTTTATCCTTGTTAATTACCATAAAAGTAATATTTATTATTCTAAAATGATTGTTGAGTTGGAGGTACAACCTTTTCAAAATTAGTGATATCAGCTAAATTGGTTTTCTTCAATACAGATATATTAGCTGATGAAGTTGAAGTATTATTTGAATGTGTTGGACTTAACTTTTACAGACCAATAGCTATAATAATCAACATAAGTATTACTTGAAACATTATTAATTGGATTTCTATATTTGTTACCAGTCATAATATTATTACTAGTCATATTATGAGCAGCTACACTTCTTCTTGTTGCTCTTTATTCATTTTTTAATTTTTCATTATCTCTTAATAATAGCTCCTCTTTCTTCCTTAATCTATCTAATTAATCTGTCAATTCATTCTTTAAATTATTTAAATGATCTCTATCTAAATTCCACTTAGCTCTTTCTTTTTCAAATTCAAAAATCAAAGTGGATCTTTTACTCTCTACCTCTTTATATTTTGTTTCCAATTCAGTAATTTTAACCTTTAAACTTTCCCTTTCCTATTCTAACATTCTTTAATATTCCAAAATCTTTTAATCTCTATCTTATTTAATATTTTCTATCTCTTATTATAATCTTTTCTCATTATCTAGCATCTCTGCAAACTTTTTTTCTGATAACAATTAATTTCCAATTTTACCATGTTAATCAATCAATATTTTATCTTTATGAGTCTTAATTTCTTTTTATAATCTTCTAATTTTATCTTCATAATCTTAAACTATTCTTTAATGAGTTTAATTTGCTTCTTCTATTTACGCTTGATATTTTCTTTCTACACTTAATAATAATTCATTTAAATTATTTTCTTGCTCATCCTTTTCATTTGATCTAGCTCTTTATAAATGCATTAATGTCATCTCGAATTTCTTTAAAGCATCTACTAAATCTTATTTGGCTTATTCTTTTTATTATTCTAAAAATTAGAATTTTCCTTCCCATAAAGCTTTATCTCTTTCATAACTAGTGTGAATTTCACTCTTATCTTATTCTAATTATAGATTTAATTATTTATATTTTTCTAATTCTTATTGCAATTATTTTTTTTCTTATGCAATTTATTCTCTCAATGAAGCCTATTATTAAGCTATAGTTGCAGCTTCATCTTTTAATTTAGATTCTAATTCATTCTTTCTGATTTCAAGATGTCCTAATTTTTCAGTCAAAATAGCTTTCTCTCTTTCCAAAGTTGAAGCTTATTTATTATATTAATATTCAGCTTCTTTTAATTATTTCTTAATTTTTTCATATTTAGTTTCTATAGTTGTTTTCTCCTCTTATGCCCTTTCTAATTTTTATTCCAATTCAACTAAATATTCATTCTTTTATTATTTTAGCTTTTCATCAAATCTAGATTATTGTGTATCTATTTATCTTTGTAGATCCTCTATTTTCTTTTATAAGAATTCATTCTATTATTATATTAATGCTGTTTCTCTTCCATATTCAATCTTCTTTTCCAAAAATTCATCATTCATTTTTTATAATCTTAATTTTGTTTCTTCTAATCTTTCAAGTTATTCTTTCTTCTCTTCATGCCATTCTTTTCTTGATTATTCAAATTATTATTCTTTTCTTGCTTTTTCATTCTCTAATAAATCTTTTTTCTATTATAAAGCCATATGTTCTTTCTACAAATTATTCAATTAACTAGATAAAACATCAATCTTTTATATTAAACTCTTTCTTTCATTTGTAAATGAATTCATTTATTATTCTAATGTTGCATTATTATTATTTTGAAGAGAAATCAATTATTCTTTTGTTTCTTTAATATGTTTTTCAAAAATTTCAATTGTTTATTACTTCAAAGCAATTTCATGATCATATTATTATATTGTATTTGTATATTATTAAACTTAATCTCTTAAATCATCTTTTAAATTTTCAATTTCTTCTTCATAATTTTACTCAGTCTCCCTTAATTTATGATAGAATTCCTCTTATGCTGCTTAAAACTTTTTTTCACTCTTTTCTTTTTCTTCACAAATTCTTCTTTCTAATCTCTCTCTTTCAATTTCATAGAAATTCTTTAATTAAGTTAATGATTCCTCAGCTTTAGCCTAAGCTAAATTAACTTCTTTTGCAATTTTGGCATCAGATTCATCAATTGCTTATTCCAATTATTTAATTTTCTTTTAATATCTTATTTCCTATTCTTTCAATATTTATAATTTTTATCCATCTAACATTTTATTCTAATCAAGTAATTTGTTTCTTTATTCTTCTGTAACTTATAATTATTCTTTTAAATTATCTAATTCTTTTATCAAATCTCCAGTTTCAAATTTAACCTTTAATTCTAATTCATTATTCTTTTCATTTAATTAATCAATTTATTATTATAATCTTTTTTTTGTATTTTCATATTCATTTTCAATATTCTTTAATTCTCTTTTATGTTATTCTCTTAATTCATTCATTTTAGCTGCATCAATTTTATATGTAGACTCATTACTTGAATTTTCAAATGCCTTCATAATAGCCTCATGAGATTTCTTATTTTCTTCTATTTACTTTTTATACTCATCTAATTAAACTTCCATAAATTCCATCTTTTATTACATTAAAGCCTTATCTTTCTCACTTTAACTTCTAGTCTATTTTAATTAATCATCTTTAGATTTAATTAAATCTTCTAAATTTTATACTTTTTCAATCATCTCATTAACTTAATTATTCGCATCATTCTTTAACATTAATTAAACTTATTCTTCATTTCTTCTATATTCTCTTAATTCTCTTGTCAAAACTTAAATTTATTCATTTAATTCTAAATTTTATTTTGTAAGACTTCTTTCTTTATGTTCAAATTTTTTAAAATCATTTTCAAAATTTGTTTCCTTTTCAATTAATTCATTCTCCATTTCATTTAATTTCTCTTACAAATCATTTAATTTTTATTATAATTAACGAACTGATTAATCAGCCTTACTTTATTAATCTTTTGATTATAATGAATATTCTTTTCTTAAATTTTTTATTTCATTTTAATAATCTATTTCTTTAGCATTCATTTCATTTACTAATTTTTCAAAAAAAGTAATTTTTTATTCTAATAAAGCTCTCTCTTTTTCAAATTCAGAATTACCAAAAAGTGTTGTTCTCTCTAAATCCTTATTAAATTCTTCAGCTTTTAATACTTATCCTTTCAATTCTTAAATTTATCTCATCAATTCATTTTTCTCATTCTCAGACTCAAGTTTTAAATCTCTTTCAACTTAATCTTTTTATATTTTAAGCTCTTCCAAATTATCTCTTGCCACTTATTCTCTCAATTCAATTTCAGTCTTCTCACTTTCAATTTAAGCTAATTTCATTAAAAGATTATTCTTATCTTTTAAACCATCTTATCTAGCTTCTTTTAATTCTTATTCTAATTTCTTTTAAGTTTCTTATGATACATTCTTCATCATTTCGGTTTCTTAAGAATATTATCTAATAAATAAATTAGATCCTTCAATTAAGGCTCTCTAAAGAAATTCTAAAATTATTTAATTTCTTGTTCCAACCCTTGGACCATTTTCAATAAAGAAATTATAAAACATTTTTATATCCTTCTCATATTCACCAAAAGTTCGATACTCACCTAATTTTAATTTCCTATCTATTGGTTAGAATTCTTATTAAATAAATTATGAACACATTCGTGAACCTTCTCTATCATTTTCTTATTTTACAGCAGCAAATCGATTTTTAATACGTTTAGATAATTCATTCTTAAATTCATCATATTCTCCAACACATTTTTTCTTAAATAAAGCAAATGCTTATTCTTTTAAACTTCTATTGAAAGCTTTCAAGTCTTCATTGGAAATTGGAAACCTATTATGAAGATTTTCTTTTAAGATTTATTCATAAGTTTCAAATGCCTCTGCAACTGCTTTCTGACATTCATTTTTACAAATATATGTCCATGCTGATTCTATAGCTGGTACAGCTCCATTATTAATGGCTGTAACATAAGACTTAACAAGATCACAATACATTTAACCAGAAAGAGTTTTGCCATTCAAAGTTTTAGGTCTAATTCTATTTAATATCTTTTTTCTTAAATTTATCACTTATTCAAAAAATTCAGGTCTCAACTTATCAAAATCTAGGTTCTCCAAATTTTATAGACTGCTTTCTTTTGTTAAAGGTCTTACTAAAGTTATACAATCTCTATCCTTGAAAAAAGTACTAAGTAATTTTCTAATTTTATTTTTTTAATCAATTCCATCTGAAGTACCTTTTTATAAAGTTAATGCATTTTCTAAATAATCTTTAGAGGTTATTTGTTCATTGTTACGATCAACTAATTAAAGAGTGAAATCTCGTACAACCCAATAGAATTAAGGAAAGTATTAGGATAGATCTTCTAAATCTGTTGTTGATTAACCACTAAAATTTATAAATATCTAATTACTTTTTAAGTTGAATGTTTTTGGTTAGATTAACTACTAAACTCAAGTTTTGAAGGGCATTTTCATCGATGCTGCCAACAGAATTATAAATAAAGCAGGAAGTTAAAAGTATGGTTAATGAAAATATTCTTATATCGTGTGTAGAATCTTCATCAGGAGCACCAAGTCCTTCACTATCAACAACCAAAATTGAACAACTTTCTCCATCACTTGTTTATCCAAGGAGTGGTTTACCCCACATCCAGAGTCCCTTTGTACATGGCAACACAGTTGGACCTACTCCAAAACCATCAGATCTATTTAGCAACATTCTATTCAACAGATACGATTTTCCTGTTCTATACATCCCAGCTACACCTACAATTCCAATAGGTGCTGGAATATTTTTAATAATATCAATAGCTTCAGGATTAACTTGGTAAGCTTTTGGTAGTAGAGTAAAATTTACTTTAAGTTTCCTATTAGTAAAATATTAAAGGCATTGCTTCCTCTCTAAAGGATTTCTTCATGTTTTGTTAAATTTGAATTTGAAATTAATGAAATTATACACTCAATTGTTAACTGCTATATAAATATTCATATGAGAGATTTTAATTGTTTTGAATAGTTAGATAAAGAATGCATTTAGTATATATATAATCATGTTTAATTATTGATATAGGTTAGTTGATTGTAATAGATTGAAGTACATTTAAGTTTAAGATTGATAGTCTAAATTAATCTAAATAATCTATGTAGAAAGAATATAGAAAAATAAGTCAATATAGTTAATCATTTGATTATATGCTCTATGAATTCTGAGAAATACTAATCGTAAATAATTTTATTGAATCATCATTAAAAAATGTTACATGTCATGATTTAATATAAATATAAGAAATCGTCATTGAAAAATTAATAAATAAATAATGCATAATCCATAAGACCAATTAAGAAAAGCTTTAAAGAGATACAATAATGGAGATAAGTAGAACAATAACCGAAATTGTCGGTCTCAATAGCTCCAAATGCCGCAAGTACCAAAAGGAATGTTAAGTATGAACAGTACTCAAAAATCAGAAAGAAATGCTAAATTGAGTGATACAGGTACTTAAAAAATATTTTATAATAGATACAACTGATGTAACCCATTATAATTTGAATTTTTCATAACCAATTTAGTCTTGTTATTAAGTAGAACATTTAGATCTAAATTTCTTTAAAATTCAACCTTGCAAAATACCTGGTAATCATAGTCATAAACATTGTCCTTTTTATCACAATACTAAAGATCGAAAGAGGTATTAATTGGAATATATAATTAGAATTAATGTCTAGTATTCAGCTGAATTATGTACATTCATAGAAAACAATCAACAATGTCCATATGCGGATAATTGCAATAAAGCCCACAATCGAGTAGAGTAACTATATAGAGCCGATAATTATAAGACAAAATTCTGTTCCTACTATCCTCATAATATTTCTTAATGTGATTATGGAAAATTTTGCTCTTTCGCACATTCTGAAACAGATATTGTTATAGAATTAATCCATAACCTTGAATATGATGATGATTTCTTTATGTTCTATTACAAAACAGTTTGGTGTCCTTTCAATCTCACACAACATGATAAATCACTTTGTGTTTATGCTCATAATTGGCAAGACTTTAGAAGGAAACCTTAAATTTATTAGTATCATCCAATTCCATGTCCAAGTTGGAATACAGCTGAATATATTTTAGAATATTATAATGGTTGTTAAGATGGTTTCAATTGTGGAAAATGCCATGGTTGGAAAGAATTAGAATATCATCCAATGTTATTTAGAACAAAATAATGTATAAATTAAAACTGTTCAAAAACTGATTGTTCATTTTATCATAATAATTAAGAAAAAAGGTATAGAATCAATTAAACTTAATAGATAAATTGATCAATTATCATAATTTAGAGTATTTAAGATAGTTCCTAGAAATCGAATAGTTTAAAATACATTTAAAGTCAGAGATCAAAGTTTGTTAACTTCTTAAAGAAATGGTAGTAGCACACTTAGTTATTAAAAACCATGTAGTAGTAGTGATTAGCATTGGCTAGGACATAATTTATAAAATAGTTTTTAATATGATCAGGATTCTGATGAAGGTAAATAAAATGTCAAAGGATAGCATTATCAAACTACTTTAATTTCAATATAAGAAAGAACAGGTAAATATATTTTTAAGTAATTTTTAGATTCAGATGAATTGAAAGATTTGAAAGATCTAATGAGAAAGAAATCAAATTCAGTAGTAGATGAAAAATAAAATAATGATGACAATGAACATGTTAGAACAGTTTTGAAAATGATTGACATGGATCAATGAATAAATAATTTTATTTAATTCAAGAACTCCCTCTTATAAATAAATAATTAAAAAATATTTGAATTGAATGTAAGGAAATCAAGGTTCTTAGAAAAAAGATATTGAAATTGGTTCCTGTCCTTTTTCTGATGCAATGAAACCACCAAAAGGCCATGAAAAATATACAGACAAATCAAAGTGTCCATTCTAAGAAATGTAGTAATAACCTGAAATCAAAATAACTGATGGAAGTGCAGAGAAGAAGAAAGAAAAGAAAGAAAAACAACCTAAAGGTGGATGTCCTTTTATGTCAAGTGAAAAAAAAAGAAATCCGCCTCTTGCTCATCTTGAAGAATAATATGACACTTATTACATAAGTCCACTTAATTATCTTCTAGATACAAGAGGATTATGGATGCTTGCTTTCGATTCTAAAGAAGTAAAAAAAGGTAAGAGTTCATAACAATTGTCCATATAGGTCCAATCAAAGACAGAAGAAAAATATTCGATTCTTATCCTATTTATTTAAAAAGTACTTTATTTCATGATGATGAAAATACAAAAAAGTTGAGATAATGCGAAGTTGCTTAAAGATTTTTTGTTTATGATAAATTTAGAGAAAAGGGTAATTAATATATTAAATACAAAAGGAAACAAATTATTATAAAAATAAGAGTATGAAGAAGCAATTCGATATTATGAAAGAGCACTTGGTTGTTTTAGATATTTGGAAGTAGTTGAACCACCTGAAGAAGACAGTGAAGATGAACAAACTATATAAGACACAACAAATTTGACTGATAAAGAAAAAAAAGAGTTTGAAGATATGAAAAAATCTGCTAAATAGTATAGGAAAGAACAAAAAGAATTTAAAAAATAATATAAATCATTGATGACAATATATACAGATGAAAATGTTAAATATAGAGGGGTTGAACAGATTGAAGTATTAAGTCTATTCATAAATTAAGGATGAAGCTGATAAAGAGATGTGTAATTCTATTATGTATGGTCTATATTTGAATATGTCAGTCTGTTACATGAAAATGTCTCACTTTGATTTAGCTAAGAAAATCTTAGATGATGCTGGTCAAATACAAAAAGAGAATTCTTAATATCTATTTAGGTATTCTCAAGCCATACTCTATGATAAATGGTCAACTTATAAAGACTTGATTAAAGCTAAGGAATTAATTGAAAAAGCTATAAATTTATCTAATGTTGAAAATATCTTCAAATAAGGTCCAGGAATACTTAAATTAATGGGCTTGGAAAATGCCAAAGAAATTTATGTTGAACATGCTCATAAAGTTATGGAAGCATTAAAAAAGAAGAGATAATGGATTATTGATTAAATTGAGCCTGTATTTTAAAGAGCAAAAGAAATTGATGAAATTGAATAAGAAATGATTGAAGATGGTAAAGTTCCATATGAAGAAGGAGTAACAGATGTTATTGATTAAGAAGATATGATTCAATAATAAAGTGAAACATAAAAATAATTCTTATATCGATTATGCATGCCTTAATTAACTTAAGAACATTAGGAATACGAAATTGTTAAAGAAATGGTGAACAAATATTATAGAATTATTGAATTCTATGCAGTATAAATTTCAATTAATTATTATAGGAATAAAAGAAATATGATTAAGTAAAGATAGCAAAATCTGAACTTTAAAGATTATTAGAGACTGTTCAAACAATGTCATTTTTTATGAATTAAGATTTCATTAATTATGATAATGATGAATAACTCTAAGAATTAACTTAAAAATATTAAATCAATTTTTCTGATAAGAAATATATTAGAAGATTTATTCGAATTTGTAGAGAATAAGTTACAGAACTTTTCGGATAAGGCAAATTCAACTTTGAAGTATTATTATATATATATCTAAAATAAGGTTTTTGAATATGCAATGAATGATTACTTTAAAAAGAAGAAAGAACAAGAGGAAAGAAATAGAGAAGAATATTTAAAATAAAATCCTGAACCTGTTAAACCAAAATAGCAATCTTCTTTTTTAAAGAAAACTCTGTTCTCATCAGAATTTTGGATGCAAGTAAATATAATTTTTATTTAGATGTTTGTTTTGTTATTAGTTATGGCAGGAATGTACTACTTTAATAGTAATTCAGGATTTATTGGTAAACTATTTTCCCTTAAAAAATGATCGCATACTTAAATATGAAGAAACAGATAACATTATATTTTTATTTTCATAAAAATATATTCAAATTCATAAAATATTCTTTTCATTATTTTGAAAATCTGTAAGCATTTTATTTGTATTTATTCTAATGGCTGTTAAAAAAACTCTTTAAAAATTAAGTAATTTAATACTTTATATAAAATTTATCATTCAATAATAAAAAAAAATAAATAATAACCTAAGATATTACAATAAATTAATTGTAACAAGTAAAATTCTTTTAATTGGTCTTTCAAATCTAAATAGCTTAGGTTTTCTTATCATCTGCACTTACTTACTGCCTTTGTTAAATTTTTATCTAATTATTAAACTTTATTCTATACTTCAGTCTTCTCAAGAATACCTTAGATTTAAATATATGCTATTCTCAATTGATGTTTTTTTTTGATATTATATATCAGAAACGCCAGGTAGTGTATTATTGTAATTTCTAAAAACCATAATAGCTAATTCAGTTCATTTCTGAGTATTGATAAATTCAATTACTAATTCTTTGAATTATTCATCATCAATAAATGAATATCTTATTTTTAAAAAAGATAAAATCAATTGTAGAAATGAATCAAAATTTTTGATTGTTTATTCTCTATTAGATTTAATCAATTTTATAATTTAACACAAAAGCAAAATATTCAATAAGTATTATTTTTAATATAAAAAATGAGTTATTATTTTTTACAATAAATAATATTTTATTATTATTAATAATTATTTAATGCATCATTTATAGAATGATATGAGTAACTAACTATCAACTATTTATATATTTAAAGAGAAAAATTAACTTTGTAACATTCTCATATATTTATTTTTGAAAATTAATTGATATACAATCATATAATAATGGTTAAGTTTGTTTAAATACTAAGTCTGAAGAATATACTATTGAAGCTCAATACTTGCAAAGAGACACTACTTCAATAAACTTCATTCTTAGCTTCCTCTATAAATAAAAATTAGTGTCTCAATCAAACTCACTCATAAGAAATGCAGATAAAAAACAATAATGAAATTCTTCAAATGCTTGAGTAGAAGTGTTAAAGTTTAAAGCCACAATCAGAAACAGAGTACTTCTAAATAATGGAATAAACCATTTAATTAGTAGATTATTAGCTCTAACTAATAAATAAAGGTATGATAGATGTTTAATATTTTAGTAATGAAAAAGTAAAATAACAGAAATTAAATAAAATATTCTTCGTTAAGATTAAGTCTTCTAGAAAAAGCTGCCAATCACTTTTATGAAATTTGGTAATTTGATTCTGAAAACATAGCTTACCTTAAAAAATATTTGGATGTATATTTATTTATTTCTATCATAGATTGTTAAATCTTTTAAAGGAACTTTAAGTGATTAATACCTAGAAGGACTATGCAAATATGCACAACATACTTAAGATTATGAAGAACTTGAATAAGTCTATAGTCAAATTGAAAAGAATATATTTTCAGAAGCTTAAAAAAGATGTGCTATGACTCTTTTCATGAACACAAAAGATGAGATTTATTATGAACATTTCATTATAAATGAATCTCATTGTTTAGATTAATCATTGGAAATTAAAGTAATTTTTTAATCATTATCTAAGTTTCATCATTTTGCTACTCAATATTTCCAACAATAGAATTGTCATCATACAACCAATTATCACAGATAATAATGTGAATTTATGTCATCCAAATATTAAAGATCTATTGCTTAAGGCAATTTAGAACTTTAATTGTCATTCATGTAGAACAAAAGCAATTACTGATTGTGATTTTGTAAACAATATTATGTATTTATCATAATCTAATAATCATTATTGTATTCCTCAAAAAATCAAGTTGCAACCATTAAAATTTTATTTCTAAAATTAAGATAAAAATTATTTAAATCAATATATTTATATAAATTCATTTTTATTATTTCTATATTAATTATTATTATTATTTTACCCTGTCGGGAAAGAAAAAACAAAATATAATAAATCAAATTAATTTATTCCATTTAAGCCCTTCTATTTACTGTAATTTATTTCTAATTTTCTATTTTGGTGGTTCTCTATTGTAGAAATTAAGAGGTAATCTAAGTTTTCGAAGAAAATATTCAGGCTTAGATTTTACTAAATGAGAATTTAACAATGTCTCTAAAAAGTCTTTAACAATAACTTTTCTTTCTTCATTTAATTCTTTATTTAATCTATCCTCAATCCAATTTTAAATTATTAAATTAGGTTGTAAATGTGATTCTGATAATTTTTTATACTCAATTTTAAGCATTTTCTCCATTTTCAATAGAAATTTATGCCTAGTTTACGTTTTATAAATGTAGAATTAATTTCTAATCTAATTATTAAAATAAATTCAATTACACTTATATTGTACTATGCATATGTTTTCAAAAGTTCCTATCCTCTGGTTATTGATAGTATTTCTACTTAAATAGGATGATAATTTTAAAATATTTATCTTGGTAAAGACTATTATATGGATTGATTATTCTTAAGGTCGGCGATTATTGAATCAAATTTTTATTTTATTCTTAATTTTTATTCATCATCTTTGCATTTGAACATAGTTAAATGCATTTATATTCCTAATATAATTAATGAACAACTAGATTTTTAATTAATTAGAATATGAGTATCTTTAGTAAAAAAGCTATATGTTATCAATTTCTCTTTATTTAATGTTTATTCGTTCATTTATGTAATTAAAAATAGATCATTACATAAATATAAATTAACATCTTCATTTAAACTCTCTTTTAATATAAATTTTCTTGTGGATTCCACAATTTGCACATTAATTAGATTAAAAAATTTATACTATAATTCAAAAAGGACTTAATTTTTAAGAATACTAAAATAATTTATATGATTAATATGCTTACTTAGTAATTCGTAAATCAATATCTTATGTAAGCAAAGCAAAGGAATTTAAAGTTTACTTTAAATCACTATAATCAGGATGATCCTTCCAAGTGTACTTTAAAATGCTTGTTAACAATAAAGAATATCTAGGTAATCTTTATACAGGTTTGATTAAAAATGAATTAAGATCTCCTCCTTTAAAAATAAATGATTCTTCCAAAAAAGTCAAAAATTCACCAAAATCTTAGTATTCATTTCTTAATATTATAATTTAATCTATCTTAAACTCTTATAAATATTGAAAATATATCTTAAAAAAAGGGATATACTTTTACAATAAATGACTAATACATGCGTTATCTCTATAGATTCCTAATTTGTCTAATTATAGAAAAATTATGTATACTTTATAAATCTTTGAGAAATGCACTATTTAAATCATATATTTATTTTATATTACTAAAGGCTTTTTATATTTGATTTTAGGGTAAAATCTATCGTTCTTCAACTATTTTAACTACTTTTTCAATAATTATTGTCATATCAGTCATATAAGACTCTTCAGTTTAAATTAGTTCTTCAAATGCTTTTCTTCTTTTTAATGCCTGTGCTCTCAAAATCTAATATTTCTTTTTTTAAATAATCATTTTAAAAAAGGCTTAAATAATATATGTATTGTTTCTTGAACAAATAATATTATATTATATACATTATTTCAGGTTAGTATTAATCATGAAGATTAAAATTAATTGCAACTATTTATGGAGATTATTACTGCTAATTTATTATTTTATTATATACTTGTTTATCATCTTAAACCTTAATTTGTTGTAAATGGTGAAAATCTTAAGTGATCATTAAATTATTAAGAAAATAAATATTAAATTTGGTAATTTTATTTTCTATTATTCTTTAGGCTTTTTAATAAGAAAATATGAATATAAATTAATTTCTGACTTTTGAGTATATAAGATAAGGATAGTTATTTCTATGTTTTAAAATAATCTCAATTATCATTATGAAAAGATTATCTTTCCATATTAGAATATATTATTTTGATATATATTTAAAAAATATTGAATTTTTACTTTGACATTTTTGCTAGGCTTAGAAAAATTGGTATAAAATTAATAAGTTTAATGTAATTTTGAGATTTCATTTTATAATAAATAAATAATAAAAATTTTATAATATAATATATTATAGTATTATCTTCAAAGTTTCTGAGTATCAGCTTATGGATAGAATAAAGAAGTTTAAATAATAAAATAAAATAAACATAAAAAAAAATCAATACATAATTCTAGATGGATTTGTCACTAATAATTTAAAATCATTAAAGTATCCCTCTTCTGCTAGCCTTTCATTTGTGGAACCAATCAATTTGATTTAATTTGTTTAGATGTGCACTCCTTTATGGATTAGGATTCTGATATATCTGCATGGAAGTGCTGATAATTTAATTCTTCTTTATTTATGCTAAGGAAAAAATTCTTTATTATGAACTGATATAAAAGGACCATTTTTGAATTCACTTACAAACACTGAGATTTCACATCCATATTTTAGATTTTCAATGAGGAGATATCTTACATTGCACATCTCACCTAAATCCAATAACATTTATTAAGGTGAGAAATCAGATTTTTGGAGAGATTGATTTCTGGAGTAGTGAGTCAATTAATTTAGACCATATTATTGAATAGGTATCGTACTAAAGGGAAGGTTGGTTTCAAAAAGAGAGTCCATTCAGTTAATAAATTAAATAATCAGAAAATTGCTAATTTTAAGTTGGTTCTATTTATAATAATCGTAATCTAAAATTCGTTTGGAGAGAATACCGTTATAGTCATAGTAAATTGTATAAGAGGCTTATACATTTTCTAAATAAATAAAGATATCCTCCTTTTTTTGTATCTTTTTTACAGGCTTGTAAATTTAAGGGTTTAGATCATCAATTTCATTGAATATATCAGATAATATTGAAGCTTTTTATGAATTATCTTTTTTCTTATTCTAATATCACTAAAAATATTTAATTTCTAATTATTTTTGTTAATTCAAATACCTATATTCTTATTGTATATTCTTTTTATTATTTTTCTTAATTAATCTTCATGTATGAATTCCTATTATAAAAGTATTTGTCTTTAGTATTATTGCAGATCAATTTGATCTTAATAATTCGATTATTAATTAAAAATGTTCTCAATGTTTAAAAAAAAAGAGCAGACTTAATAGTAAACAGCACCTCCGCCACCTATTTAATAACAATAATAAGTTGTATAGTAGCCTCAAGTTGTTCCTCAATAGCAACCAGCTCCAAAAGGATCAATGTTCAAAGGAAGTCTTAAAGTAAAGGCACCACCTCCTCAAACCTAAGAAGTGTAATAATAATAATAACCCTAACCTCAAACATAGGTAAATTAAGCTTAATCTAATTCTGATATCCTATAACCAGAAAGTGATGCTTATAAATAGTAATTCAATTAAATGGAAACACCAACTCCATAAGAAGAAATTAATGTCGAATAGAAAATAGAGGTTAAAATTAATGTTGAAGAGGTCAAAAAGAAACCAACTGGCTTCAGTTTCTTAAAAAAAAAAAAAATTGAATAACCTGTTCCTACAGATGAATTATAGTAAGAATAAGTGGGAAGTTAGATAATTTATGGAGTTTAAATTGATTAAAATTAAACATAAGAAGTAAATAAAATATAGGATTAAACTTAAGAGTACTCTTTTTAATAGAATTACTCTAGTCAATAAGCTAAATAACAAACTATTAATGATGATTAAAATGTATAATTATAGAATTCAATTAAAAATAATGATAAGGAAATTGAATAATAATCGTAATCCTAATGGTAAGCATAATAATAAAGTTAATAATAATAATAATAAATATTATTTTAATCTACCATGTCAAATTCTTCATAAATACAAAATAATTATATTAATAAAAACCAAATAAATCAAAATCACATTAATTCTCAATTAGATAATTCTTATTTGAAAAACCATTAAATGATTATGGAAGAATTGGAATACTTTCAAAATGAAGTTAATTAAAAGAAAGCTCAAATTTACATTTCTTAATAGGAAATTGAAAAACATATCATTTCTTTTTAATAAAAACTATAAGAATATAATAGTTATCTTAGTCAATTGTCTATAGAATAATAGGTTTGTGTATAATAGGAATAATTTGAGAGAGCAGAGGAAATAGAATAATAATTAAAATAAATTTAAGAAACAATTACTTAAATTGATAATTAAATTAAATAAAAAGAACAACAATATAATAAATTATAGGATGAGAAAGATAATATAAGAGGACAAGAATATCAATTTTATTAAGAAATTGAATAAAAATTGGAAGAAATAGAACAATTACATATGAAGTATAGTGATTAATATAGGTTTGAAGGTTAAGCCTAAATTAAGAAATTACAATAATACATAGAAGAAGAAAATGAGAGAGTGAAGATCTAATAAATTCACACTGAAATTGATAGTAAACATTTGTCAGAAGAGGAACAACACTTGAATCAAATTATGGATAATCAAACTAAAGAATATAGAATTGAGTAAGAATAATTAATTAATAAAAAATCAACTTTAGAATCTGAGATTGCTGAATTGTTATAGTTAATAAATCAAAAAAAAAATGAATTATAAAAGGTGAATTATGATCTGCTTTAAACTAAAGATAAAATTTAATAAGTTCAATAAAAATTCAATTTATAACTAATTAAAGTATAAAATAAGAGAACAAAACTTAATGATGAACTCAATAGTTTAGCAAGTGAAAGATCTTAGATTGAAATTCTTGAAGGAGATAATCTTAGATAATAAAATGAATATAAGAATAAACTTGAATATTTATAATAATAATTGGAAGAAATTAAAGTTAAAAGAACCGAACTTATTCGAAAAGCCAATATGGTACCTGAATAATGTTAATAAGAATTTGATGTTACCTTAAAATACTAAGAGGCTAAAAAAGCCAGCAATGAAGCATTAAAAGAACTATCATATGTATAAAGATAGGTTGATGAATTAAATTACAAGAAGAATTTGGGATAAACTTAATTAAATGAAATTCTTAATAAAAAAAGTGAACTTTAAAAAAAATTGCCTAAGATGATTGATGACAAAGCTCAGTTAGTTTAAAATAAAAATTTTAAAGGTGCTGCTCAAATTAATGAGTAAATTAAAGATGCTTAAAAATAGATTACTTTATATGAAGAAAAAATATCAGAAAATCAAAATATTGATACATAAATCCTAAAAGAAATTGATGAAATAGAAGATTCATTCTTGACTAAAAAACATCAATATCAATAATTATAATAAAATGCAGAAATCTGCAGATATTTTGTTTTGGAATTAAAATTATAAGAGATTTCATAAATCGATTATTTTGGATTATCTTAATTAGAATTAGATGTATTATTATAAATATAATTAAATCTAGATAAAGAATGAGATAGGGCAATTATTAAATAAATATTAAAATTTAATTTATGCAAATCGAAAAGTTTCCAATGATAATATAAATAAGATTCAAGATCAAGATCAAGAAGAAGAACTTAATAAAAATGAAAATCCATAAGAATAATATAATCAAGTAGAAAATAATTAAATAGAATAAGTTATAGATTTGAATGAGAAAGAGTAATTATAATAATAATAAGAATATGTTATTGAAATGAGTGAAGAATAAAGATAAAACTATATAGAGCATTAAAAATAATTATATTGGGATCTTCAATAATAAATGAAATAATTAGAAGAATAGGTATCAGATCATGCTCAAGTAATTGTTAATATTAATTAGAGAAAGAATAATATGAGGAAGCTGATTAGATTCAACAAGAAATAGATAAACTTACTAGTTAAGCAACTACAATAGAGATAGAGCTTAAATAGAAATTTAATTTTGATAGACTAATGCCAGAAGAAGAAGAGAATTGATTTTTTTATATTTTTATTATTGATTAATATCAATAACTAAGACTATAAGTCTTTATAAATGACAATTTATATTAATAGATGTTCAAATAAGCTCAAATAAATCTGTCTTATTATTAATATTATTATTATTATTATTATTAACAGGAGGATCATCAAAACTTAATAAATCAATATCTTATTATTATTATTATTATTATTATTATTATTATTATTATTATTATTATTATTATTATTATTATTATTATTATTATTATTATTATTAATCCTTTTTGCTATTTTACTGATTTTCATTTTATTATACTTATGTTTAAGTCTCTTGTTTCTCTTCACCTTTATAGATTTTAATGTCTTGTTAATTGCTTCGAAATTTGAATAAATACATACTTAATTTTGATCTTGATGTTCTTATATAATTAATGTGGTAATTTATGAAATAGATTACTGATGCTTCCCATATTTTCTAAAGCTATAACTAAATCTTTAGTATCCCATAAGCGTAAGTCCTTTGAGAAATTCTAGAAGACTCCACTATTAAAGCAAACTAAATTTTTAACAATTTCTGGATCTGTTGATAACAATCTCCAATAAATATAAGTTCTATCTCTAACATCAGGATTAAATGAATCTTTGGCTGAAGTAATCAATTATTATATTAAAACAGAACACTATGATGGATATTTGAGATATAATTAGACTGCTGAAGTTAGTAATTAAAGTTAGACTAATCTATCTTCCATTTAGAAATTATCAATATATTCTTTCATTTTTTCAACTGATTTTGGAATAAATTCACCAAATTCACCTATAATCCATGCACATGCACTCTATATATTATAAATAAACTTAATTACCTTTGATTCTGGCTCATTTGCATAATCAATAATTGAATATATGATTTTCAGACTATCTTCATGTTTATACATTTATTTATTTTTCTTATAAATAAGCTGCATTTAAATAAGTAATTCTTAAACTGGTTCTGTTGGTTATTGAACATTTTTAGCAAATTCAATTAAAATAGATACTGCTCTATGAATTAAAAATCTTAATTTTACTTATCTATGGCTTTATCATAAGTGATAGCAATTTTTCCAATAGATTTAATAGTTTTTCTAACAAAATGAGGATCAGCTTCATTTAAATAAATGAGAAATTCATTTAGAACTTATCCAAAGTTTTTAGAATCACAAATTCTAATCATAATATCTAATTTCTCATATTTAATATAGTAGGGTTCATTAAATGAACAAAAAAATACTTTAACTTCATTTTCAAATAAGATTGGGAATTTCTGCAAAATCAAAGAGATATTTCTGAGAACTGTGTATTAAACTTCTGGTTGATTCCAAGATAATAAAGAAATTAAAGATGGTGCTACTTTCTTACATAGATTTTTAACTAGATCTCCATTTTCTAAGAAATCCAAATATTTGAGTATAACCTTGACAGCACAAAATGTAACAGTTGGATTTATGTGACTCAATCTTGGAAGTGTTCTTTCAATAATAATTTCAGCTTATTTTGAATCTTATGGATTATAAGTGGCTAAATAATCCAAAATAAATATTTATCCCCACTCTATACATTCATCAACTGCTAATAATAACTTTTAAATGATCTTCTAATTCAAATTGATAATTTATTTGCCACTTACAATCTCAATTTCTCTCATTGATTAAATCAAATTAGCCAAAACTAATGCATTTGATTCCTTCTCCAATAATTTCTATAATAATTCCAATAGTGGAGGACATAATTCAGGTGAAACTTCATAAACCTAAAGAAATCAAATGACCAATTACTTTTGGAACACATAAAACAGCAGTCTTACGTACATAAGGATCATCATCTGTTATACAATCTTTTAAAGGCTCAATTAAATATTCATTAAGTTTAGGAACACGTAAACATCCAAAGGTTCTTATAGCAAGTGCTCTTACTAAAGGATTCTCTGACTTTCTCACATCTTTTCTAAAATTTTATATCACCATAATGGCATCATCAGGTTTTTATCTGGAGTAGTTAACAATATATAGATAAATCTATCGAATAATCATTTTCAAAATACAAGTTTTTTCATCTCTATGTCGTTAAATTCTAAACACTTAATGACTGACTGAAAGAGATCTGATACGTCTTTACCAACAGTCATATAAGCTATCACTTTCTTTACAGCCTACATTATTGTTATTAATCCTTACTTCTTTCTTCTTTTCAAAATTTAAGTCATTTAAATCTGCATAAAGCTCTTGCAATTCTCCACGCTATGGATTATTTCCAAAATAAGCCATTTAAATATAAAAATTTTTATAAATTAAAACCAAAAAAATTATACTTACTTTTATTTAATGTTTTCAATCTTCATATATAACATCCTTTTCTAAAGGTTTTAAAATTTCAATCAATTTATCTCTATTAAATCCTAATTATAAATTTATTATGTTGATAATTTATGGGTTTATATAATCTATAAATAAAAATTTATTTTCAAAAAGACATTTATCATTTCTCTTGTTTAATTTATATAATAAGGTGATTATTCATACTACTTCTAAAATTATAATTCTAAGTACTATTATATTATTATAACTTTCAGAATTAATTGATTTTATTATTTTTATATGATTCAAAACTATTTATTTAATGCCATCTACTCATCATAATCATCAACATAAGATCTTTTAAATGCTTCTGATAGGTATGGAATAAAATAATTGTTTAATAGACCAAAAAATTTGGTTATAATATTACATAACTTTATTTTTATAACCATTATTTTTAATGTAATCTTAAATTATGAATTAATAATGAGTTTTTGATGGTATAAAATATTATACTGACTAATATTCTTATGTTGCGATATGGCGATATTTAAATTGGAATGGTAAAATTAATTCTTATAAGAAATATGAATTATTAATGATTATAGCTATTTGGATTACTAATATTAAATTCATTCAAATGAGGTTGCTTCTTTCTTTTTTGTTAATTACATTCCTTTCTTAGGAGCAGATTTCACATTTGATTTTTGCAATACTTAGGATTGTGTGCTTAAATTTTCGTTTATTACTTCAGTTTTAGGTATGGGATTTACCTTTTCTAAATTCACTACTATTTAAATACCTTCATTTTATGGTAATTTGAATGCATTATCAATAGCTTTAGATTACTTTTAATTCTTTTTCTAAGCTAATTCTTCTTATCTTTTTCTTTCCATTTCCATTTAATGTTTTTTAGCCTATTCTTTTGCTTCATTTTCCTAAAATAATAATTATAAATTTTTAATTACTCTTGCTTTAGTTAACATTAAATGAATTTTCTCTTCTGAACTTTCCATCTCTAAAGCTGTTTATACTTAACTTGTTGTTGTGCTTTCTCTTAATCCAGCTGAAATTATATCATCAATGGCTAAAAGTATTTCAAAACTATTCTTTTTAATTGACTCTTCATTAACTATGTTTAAGTATTTATTATACCTTATTAACAGATATCAGAGAGAACATTCTTCAAAATTCTTAATACTTCTAAATCCTCAATTATATTGCTATTTTTTGAAGTAATCAACACTATATAAATGTTATCAATGGGAGTATATATATATCTTAAATTTTCATGATCAATAAAAGTATGTTATTAAGTTGGAGAAATTAATTTAGGAAAATTACGAACTTGCTAAATATATTTTTAAGTTTCTTTACTTCCTTTAATTCATTTGTTGTGATTCCTTAAAATTATCTACCTATAAATAGTATTCCATTCTTATCACATATTGCTGCTGAGATAATTACCATCTTACGTGTATTAATTAATTAAAATTATTATATAAATTATTTATATTATTATTATTCTTGATGATTCTCTATATGCAACCTAATAATTGTAATGTAATATATATACATATACAAATTCAATAAAAAAAGATTAGATAAATTCAGAAATTAAAAATTGATTAGATATTCTATAATCAAAACATTTTAATTGAAAAATATATTATCTACTTTGATTGTAAATTAAACAAAATCTTTTATAATTATCCTTGAATAAAGATGTTTTTTATTATACTATTAAAATTAAAAAAATAGTTTATAATAAAAATATTTATAATCTAAAACAAAAAAATAACATAAAATTGAATAGTTCTTATGTTTTTCATAGTTTTAATCATCTTTTTTTATTTAATTTGTATTGATTAGTAAATGAACTCCTTTAATTTATATGAATTGATAACTTGTTATACTTAAAAAGAAACAAATGTTAGATTATATTAATGTATAAAAACGGTATTTAAATAAATATTTTTATTATTGAACAAAAGAATGAAAAGTATTTCAGGAATATTAGTCATTTTGCTATTAAGTCAGAGTGTTTTTTGTAGCCCAAAGAAGATCAATACAGATTTTTTGAATTTACTTAGTTCTAAAACAAATGTTATGAGTTCATAAGATGCTATCCAATCAGTTCTTATTTTATTAGAAGATCTTTAAGGAGCAAATGTTGAAGCTCAAGATAAAGCTGATCTTACATTTTAAAGATTTGAACAAGCCATTTTGTAAGATATTAATGAGTTCTCAGGAATTGTAAATGTGAATTCTAAGAGTGCTGCTGCTGCTCAATAAGATTTAGAAGCTGTCGAGTAATTATTTATATTTTAAACATAAAGCCTTAAAATCTAATAAACAACAGACTATTTGAATTGGAATAATAAAAGATTCAAGGCAAATGAAGTTAAACTTGAAAATTTAGCTGAATAAAGATGTGAAGCCAATGCCTTATTTATTGATACATTAAGAGAATACAAGAATGCACTTTCTGTACTTGATTGGGTAAGAAGTGATGCAAAAAGCAAATAAAGTACATTAATAGAAAAGAACCATATTGGAGATTATGCAGAAAAATTGAGCAAGTATGCTAATCTATTTGAGGAATAAGCTGTATAAGATTTTGTGAAATTAGGTGAAGAAGAAGCTTCATTTGCATAGACAAGTAGAATATATATTTTATTTTAGGATAACATGGAAACGGTGAATAAATAGCATCATTAGTAGAAAAAGATGTTGTAGGAATTATTTAATAATTAATTGAGAAATTAAGAGAAACTATCAAAGGTCTAGAAGAATAAGAAATATAATCAGCTAATGATTTTGCTGATTTTAAGACTAATTTATTGGCTGAATAAGAATCTTTAAAGTAAGAATATGATGCTAAAGCTAAATTTTTGAATTCCTTATAAAATGATAAAGAATTAGCATCAGATATTTTGACAAAAAAAAAAGAACTTTAAGATTAAAGTATGAGAATTTTGAGTTTGACTTAAGGTAATATTCAAATATTATTAAATAATAGAGGAATACAATTATAAAAAGAAATTATATAACTCTGAAAAAGAAAAAAGACATGAAGAAAACTAGTTATTAGAAGAATCTCTTCTAATTTATAGAGAAAAGATAGCTACAGTTAATGAATATTTGAAAAAGAGAGTAAATGAATATGTTGGAGAATCCCTCATTGAAGAACATGCTGTCAGTAATTAAGTTCCAGTTCAAAATAGAAAGGGGAAATAATGATAAAAACACACACATTAAAATTATAATCATTCTAAAGGCTGCTTCGTTGATTGCTTAAATTTCTCATAATCCATTTTATAATTAGATTGATATTTCTAGTCTGGCATATAAATTGATGGAAAACTAGCTACATCTCCTGATTCAAATGGATTAACTGATTCTTATGCTCCTTAAGAAAAATAAGATTAAACAATTTAAGATTGAGCTAATTGATCTTCATAAGGACTTTTATTATTTTATTCAAATGGATTCCAATCTTATCCTTATGCTGGTATATCTTTAATGCTAATATTTTCATCTGATTTGCATTCAATATTATTTAAATCATTTTATTCTTTTTATTTTGTATCATTGATATCAATTTATTATTTTTAATTATCACATCCAAATTTAGGTTTGAAATCTTCATGTTTTATTAATTTTTTATAAGCTTGATAATATATTTCTGTTTCATTTTATATAACTATTTAATAAGCTTTATTGAACATATTTCTTTTATTGTTCAAAATCTAATCCATTTTCTGAATAATCTAATTACTGATGCCTTAAAATTATGTATTCGCATTATTATACTTTTTCTCATTCTAAGATTACTTAATAAAGAATTACTCTTTGAAACCTTTATTAATCTTTAGAATTTTTCAGTTAATCCACTTTTAATCTATAGTGATCATAAACTAACCTATTTTCTTAATATTTATCAAGCATCTATCTTAGTTATTCAATAGTATCAAACCATTCTTAAAAACTATCATTTGCTTTGTGAATACTCTCAATTTTTGATAAATGTAAAGAAGATAAAGAATCAAATGTTTTTGCTAATAACACACCTTCTTATGACTTTTCTAATTCATCAAGTTTTTTTAGGACTTAACTTAACAATCCATATAACAATTGCATTTCTTTATTTAATTTGATATAATTGTACATTAATGTTAAAATACAATTCCTTAGATAGCTCTACCTGCTAATCTGATATATTAATCTGCTTCATTTATTTACTTTTTCTTATCTTCCAATTGTATGTTTTATGTTTTGGATATTCCCCAAAACTCTTTCCATTTTTAGCCTGCTAAAGATAGAGCACTTGACATATATAAATATAAATATTATTGTACTATGTTTATTAATGATATCAATAGAAGAAACCAAGGATTTTGCCTCCAATGTGTCTTTGTCTAGCTTCTTCATGGGTTAATATTCCAACATTAGTGGTGAGTACAACACAACCAAATTATCTGGCTGGGAGAATGTTATTAGCCCATCTTTCGAATTCTCCTAATGTAACATCATATCTAGGTGAGATCACACCACATTTATTGATGCGTCCTAACATTTTGTGTCATTTATTACCCAATAATTCAACAACAATCTTGCCACTTCTATGATCATCAACAATTTCGAATTCACCAATGTACCCATGTCTTTGCATAACTTATAAGAACTTCACAACCAATTTTGATGTAGGTCTAATCAACACTTGTTTTCTTCCTTATCTTAAATATGTTAGGACAACAACTACAACCTTTCAGCATTCACAATAGAACGGAGGCAATCATTCAAGACATTCATTTTCACCATTCGTCAATAAATTTTTTTTTAATTTTTTTAAATCTTATTTTAATATGTATATATGTACAATACACCATATTCTTTTGAAAATACTTGCATTATTTTGAAAATAATGTGTCTAGTTTTGTATCTGTATTATACATTTAACCTTTATTTATTTATTCTTCATTTCTTTTACATTTTCTAATATATAACATTGTAGAAATTAGGATGTAATTATATATAAATACATAACTATTACTTAAATTAACCTCATAAATTATAAATAATGTATATAAAGAATCAGGCATTTACTATTTGAGAATTATATATATATATATAATTTATGTATAAATTAAAAAATGTATATTAGCTTAGAATTCTTTTATTTTTACATTTAAAAATCATGTGATTATAGTTGAAGAACTATTAAATAAAATTAATTTAAATAGAATAATTATGAATACTTATTGTAATTAAATAAAGAATGTAAATATTAAACAAAAGGATTAACAGCTTAAGAATTCAAATATTATCATCTTATTTAATTTATAGTAATTATTTATATTTTACATTATGTTGGCTATTTCTTCCTAAATTAATAATAATAAAAAAATTTTAGAAAATCATCAAGTTAAGTAGAAATACATGGTAATTAAATTATTTATTTAAGGATAAGTAAGAAGTTTATTTTGATTCTTGTTCTTAGACAGTTAGATAAGCAAGTATTAAAGTTAATACTACCAATATATAATCAATTAATTAAGAACTTAAATAAAGTTGAGTTATTATATATTTAAAGAATATTGAAGTTATAATTTATAAAATAATAGAAATCTGTGATAATCTTAGAAAATAATCAGATATTAATTATCTTACTTGTAATGTTATATAAATTACAAATTTTATTTAATGAAGAAATCAAATGGGTTATTACAATTAAAAAAAGTTTCAATGAATCACAATCAAACAAATTAAGATTCAGAGTTTCTATGGGATATTGAAAGAACAACAAGTTATGAAAGTAGCCAATTCAGAAGATCAATAGATATTACTTCATATAGAAGAACATCTACATCTTCAAAAGGAGATAATTCTATCAGTCCTAATTTATAAAGAAGAAATTCTTTTGTAACATTTGAATCAAATGATTCTTCTTTGTCTATCAGTTAAATTAAAAATATTAAAGAGTAATTCAACATAATAAGCTTAGTCCTATAAAACATATTTGTATGAGTGAATTATAACTAAAAATATGGAAAAGTCTAATAAAATGTTCCAATTCATAATTAGTACGTTATATATTTTATTTAGGAATCAGCATATATAATTGATATTATAGTGATATGTTTAGGATAAGAATATGAATTTAAATTTGATATTTCCAAGTTATCATGCTTTATGACTATATAAGAACTTAGTGAATAGATTAATTTGATATTTTTTGAATAAAGAAGTTAGAGTACAATAATATAAATAATTAGACAGAACTTTAAGATCCATAATTACATATTTTGATAGGAATAATAAAAACTTAAAGACTTGATGGATAGATAAGATTATTTGAACTATTGAATTTACTATTAAATGGGAAAAAAACACTAATCCTTTAATAAAGTGTTAATCATTAATAATGATTTTTACTATTTTATATTTTGATTTTGAATAATAAATATAATAATATAAATTCCTCATATAAAATCAGAATAATTACATTTAAATAATATATTTTGTAACGAATTTGTTATTTTCATATATTTTTGTCCATTAGACTAATGAAATATATATAATATTTATGATTTTATATATAGTAATTCTTATTAATATCAATATGATCATTATAATATAATTATTGTATTTATTACTATTAATAATTTATGATATTGAGATGATTAGTTTAAATAACACAGATTAACTTTTGATTCATAACAATATAAGATTAATCTAAATTATTTGTTAAGTTTGGTTATGAATAAAATTTGAAGGTTACATATGTTCATATCTAAAATAAGATGATATTTTAACATATGATAAAATATTTATCATCATTTTAGAACTTATAATTAAACCGATATATAATTTAATAGAGTATCGATTGATGATCTTTATATTATATTAATATCTTGAATTCAAAAATTAATATTACATATTATATTCTTTAGTACTTAACTATATTATATATTGTATCTACACTAGTTCATAAATCTAAATTTTATGAATTGAGATTGAAATTTTGAGTTATCTAATTTATAAACTTAAATAATTTGAATTTACTTATGTCTGATTAATTAGATTAGTTATAAGAGGGCATTGTTCAAAATGAAGTGTCTGAAAATAGAGACTAAGAGCTTTTTGATTAGATGGCCTCAAGATAATATAATGAGAAAAAACAAAATCTTTAAATTGAAGAAGAGGATGGAGGAGATTAAAATCAACCAGTTGGTGCTATATCAGAAGTTGTAAAACCAGACGAGAATAAAAAGAACGTATCTTAGATTACAACCAAAAATAGACCGTTTTGATTAATAAAGCAGAAACAAAAAGAATAGTACATTAGGCTGCATTAGAAAGAAAGACAGAAGCATTTGAATAAACAAAAAGCTTTGAACTTCATAGATCAACATAAATTCTGTAACATAGATAATTGGTGGATTCTGTATGGGCAAGATTGTAGAAAGTAGTAGCTTCATCTGATGAATCTATGAAATTTTTAACTTCATTTATGAAATAAAGAATTGAATAGGAAGAATTATAATTAAAATATTCCTAAACAGCTTCATTAAACAGATTGTTTAAAGAATTTGGTAATATTCTATTAATGTTTTAGATGGAAGGATAATGTAATGCAACTATCCTGAATTTTCAAAAGCAGTAAGAACAATTGATTCTGCAATGGAAAGATAAACAGATTAAATTAAAATATTTATTACATGGATGTAAAATTAAACAAGAGAAAGATTAGAATAAGAAATGAATAATTTTACAAATCAAAATAGAGGTTATCAATATATTTTAATTATAAAGATCTTATCAATTCATATAATAGATATAAGAAAACATTAATAGATTTAGATAAAGATGTTATAAAATACTTTAATAAATATGATAAAATGTACTAAAATATCACAATTAAAGGTAAGAAACCATAAAAAGACTTTTTAAGAGCTGAATTAAAATATAAATAGGTATTTTAATATTTATGATTATGCTTAGGCTGCTTCTAAAGTAATAGTATTTTAAAGAGAGTTTGGAACTTGGCTATTAAATAGCTGGAATGAAATAAAATAATTAGAGACTTAAAGATTAGATTTGGTTAATCATACATTATTAGAGTTTTAAAATTAAGTAATGAATGTTTACGGTAAAATTCCTTAACATGATTCTATAATTGGAGCATTGAATGGAGTTAAAGTTTAATAAGAAGTAAATAATTTGTATTCATATGATTTTGTATTGACAAAATAGGAACTAGAATTTATTTAGACAGAATAATAATAAGAATTAGTAAAATATTTTCAAAATTTCTAAGTATTAAAAATTATTAAATATGTATAGGTAATTGATAAATATGCTGAATAATCTCATCCTTTAATTCTAAAATAATTTTCAGCTTAAAGAGATGTTGGAACTATTGGTAAGACTTGGATTGAGACTGGTATTATAATTACAGTTGATCATTACTTTCTTACTTTTGATGGTAAACCAACTAGGTTTTCAAAGCCTGAAAATAAATATCCTCTTGATGGAATGAAAATGACAACAAAAAATGCTTTAGAATTAGAGATTTAATTTGTAATTCCTGGATTAGTAATGGATTCAAAGAAGAAATTACTAATTCAATTTAAGAAATCTGATGAATTAGAGGAAATAATGTATTTTCTAGAAACAGTTGGGCAAAATAAATTTGCTTTAAATTGAAATATGTCAACCATGATATAATATGAATTGTTATAAAATAATAAAATGAAATCAAAAAACTAACTTTAATCAGATGAAGATGTAGATACTCTAGGTTCCTATACATCTATGACATATGATGATAAAACTATGGAAGTGATATAATACAGATAAGAGAATTTCTTTCAATTTGGATCTTCTGTATTAGCAGTGATTTACATGGCTAATACTATGTTGATTCCTAATATGAACTAACTTTTTATTGATATATCATTTGATAATCCTTTAATAATGGTTATTTCAGTGATCATTTATTGGTTGCTCTCATTTTTAATTTTGATACCATGTTATTTGGTTATTAAAATATGCAAATAAGAAGGTAATCCTATTTATGCATATATAATCAAACAAGATTCAATTAAAATCTATAATGTATTCATCTATAGTAATTTAATAATAAATACACTTGGATTATTTAATATAATTGTTAGATTGGGAGACAGCCTACCTAAGGTTAATAGATGGTTTTATATTGAATTTCATCACTTAATGGCTTCAGAACAAGCTCAATTATTCTTTCCCACAATAATATGCTATACAGCAGTTGTGTTAACATTATTTTATGGATTTTATAAATTTTCTTACTTTGAACATTACTATGACATTTAATATAGACTCATAATATCATTTGTAGGTAAAATATTATTGAATACCCTTATATTCTTATTAATATACTATGAAGTACCTGATGCAAGTTAAGAATATATATCGATGGATGAAAAGTAAATACTTTAATATATTAATCTAGTTTATTCGATTCAGATTTTTCAAATAGTGCAACAGAATGGATAACTTATTGTTTTAATTAAATTTGTTGTATTTCTTATCCTTTTTTTGAGGTTTTTTATTTAAAGAGAGAAACTAAAAAGGGATATACTAAGGTTTAACAATGTTATTGGATTTAATTGTTATTGAGATCATTGATATTTTTTTATTAGATTACTACTTGGGGAATAATCATTAGATAAGAAAAAATGAAGTATTATTATTAACCATTGTTGTAATCTTTAAATTCATTGATGATTTTACTTATTTCCATGTCCATAACCTCAATCTATTCACATAATTACACATTAAATAAAGAACTATTAGAAGACAATATTCAGACTGCAACAGAAGAAGATAATAAAAAATAAATTAAAGAGATATATATGATAGCAGCTGGAATATTTGTATTTGAGATATCCATTTGTATCATTAGTAGATTTTTTATTAGAGATCTAGAAGTTCCTTAAATTAAATCATTTATTTTTTCATTAACTTATAGTGTTTAAACAATTTGTTTTGGTTTTTCATGTATTAGCATACCTGTATATTTATGGATTAAAAATTTTAACCCTAAATCTAATATATTTAGTGGAATAGCTTATTCAGCTATTATTATATATATGATTGTTTTTATAGGAATCAGTAGTGAACCATTTTTTTCATTAAAATAATGATTAAAAGTATTACATAATTTAAATAAACTTATGCTATCATAATTTATAAAACTAATATTTAATTTATTTATATAATAATTAAGTTATGAATCCCATAGATCAGCATAAATTGTAGTTTGTGCTTAAAGATTGTATTTTGAAACTACAATTTATTGGTGAAATCACTAGAGATAATGATATATCATCTGAATTGGCTGGTTATGAATAAAGCAAATTGTTGACTGATTAATAAACATTAGAAATCAAATATGCAGACTTAGTTGCTAAAAGAAGCACATTAATTGGAATTTCAAATAGAAAACAATTAAGTGAAACATAAAAATAAATATAAGAAGTTGCATAAAGATTAAAGGAAAGTACTAAGAAATTATGTAGGTATTTTAATAAGTTTTATTTTAGGTTATTTAAAGAAAATCCAAATATTGATTAAGATTCTTTAAAAGTATATGAAGAAAGAGCAGGATTAATATCAGATTTGGAAGTAAATGTAGTTATGTATTGAAGAGTCTAAAAACTTTCATTTAAAATAATTAATTAAATAAATTTGCTTAAAATGTTACTAATAGTTTAGAAGAATAGGATTCATTAAGAAAATTTGCAGTAAGAGAAAAAGAATTAGCAGCTGAAATTAAAAAATTATAAAATGATAAAACTTAAGAAATTAAGGAACATGAACATGAGAAAACAGAAAAATAAAAAAATATTTAATCTCTTAAAGAAAAACTACTTTATAAAACTAATAGAGCTGAATTAAAAAAGAAATATGATGAAAAAGTAGCAGGTTCCAAAGAGAATACTCAAATGAGAGTTTTTGAATTTGCTTTAAAAGATATAGAATAATAAATTGAAAATTTTAATAAAAAAATTAGTACTGAAGAATAAGTTCATAAATCACTTAAAGAGTATTTGATAAGAAAAGAAGTAATATCCTACTAAATACATTAATTAGGAAGAATCCAAAAAGAAAACTGATGATTAAAATAAATATATGGATGAAAAGAAATAAGAATTAGAAGAGAAAATTGAAAAATTATAAGAATAAAAAAATATTATGTTGGAAGAATTGGATAAATTAAATAGAAGATTTGAAAAAGAGGAATTAGAAAAATAAGAAAGAGAAAGAAAAGTAATTTTTAATTCATAATTCATACTAGGAATTACAAGAATAAGAAGCTAAAAAACTTAGAGAACTTTAATAATTAAGAATGGAGAATGCCATTAAATTAATTTAAAACGAATTAATGGAAAGAAAAGAGTTATATGGTTTAGGTGCTAAAAAGAAGAAACCCAAGAAACCAAAGAAATGACTTATAAAAATTTAAATAAAATTAAATCTTAAATTAATTCATGGGCCGCATGTAAGCAAAGGGAAAGGGAAAGGGTATTTCTGGTTCAGCCCTCCCATATAAAAGAAAGGCACCAAAATGGTTGACATTATCCTCAAAATCTATCCTTGATTAAATTGTTAATTTAGCAAAGAAAGGTTTTTAATTCATTTAAATAATTTCCTTTAGGTCTTAATGCTTCATAAATTGGTGTTTATTTAAGAGATTAATAAGGAATTCCTTAAACCAGATTCTTAACAGGCCAAAAGATTTTGAGAATCCTTAAAAAGAGAGGTATTTATTATCAATATTCAAAGGATGTGCTCCTAAAATTCCTGAAGATTTATATGCTTTGATTAAGAAGGCTGTTTAAATTAGAAAGCATTTAGAAAAGAACAGAGGAGATGTGACTAGCAAATTCAGATTAATTTTGGTTGAAAGCAGAATTCATAGACTTAGTAGATATTATAGAAGAACTTAAAAATTACCATCCAATTGGAAATAGTACTAATAATATTTAATAATTAAGTGTCTCAAAGACTGCATCTGCCTTAATTGGTTAATGAGTGAAAATATAAATACAATAATGCATATATCTTAATATTTATAAATACATTTATTATAAATCATCAATTGTTATCTTAATTTATGTTGATAAAATATTATTTAACTAATAATTTTTATAAAACATAAAATTTATTAAAAAAATTTAGAATTTAAATAATAATACTATTACCAGATCAATATTTTTGAAAGAATACTCTATTTTATATTAAACACTAATTTAGAGTTTAAATAGCAAAATTTGAATTAATTATATCAATAGAAATTGATTTTGTAATAGATAATTTTGATAATATTATAATTTTATTACTATCAATAAATTTGATAATAATTTTCATTTGTTATGTATTTATTCCCACCATGGTACTTTTTAGAAAGTATTCTTTCCACTATATATCTTTTATATAAATTTGTTATAAATGTCTCCATCACTAGATCCAAAGATTGAACCTAAGATTTCATCAGGTGGAGCTAATGCATCAATAATTCCTATTGCTTCATCCTTTAATTAGTTACTAAGTTTCATTAATAATCTCTTAACAATTACATCAGAAATATTAAATTCTAATATTTTACAATAATATTTTACCATTATTTTTATAAAACTCTGTTTCATTTTCAAATATAGTTAAACACCAAATTTGAAATACTCTTTCTAAGACTGAATCATTTTTCAAATTAAGTTCTTACCATTATTAGAAACAATATAAATCAGCATAAGAATTAGAAATTTATTATCCTTTAAATGCATAGGATAAATTCCAAGATTTCAACATATCATTATTATTTAAGTTTTCTGTTAAATCTTACATAAAATCAATTAATTATTTGTCTAATTTATATTCCAATAGATATTGAATATTATTAGGACATAAATAATCCTCATCTTTTAGAAATTTAATTGGTCTAATTTTGAAAGTTTCAAGGAATTTGAGAGAAGGATATTAGATAGGTTTTTGATTATTGATAAATCTATTTTTTTAATCCATGCAGAATTTCAAAGTTTATTGCATTAATACATTAGAATCTCCTTCCCATGTATTATTTATATCTTAATCTTATAACATTACACCTAATCTATTAAATGAATGATAGCCATGACCACCTAGAATTTATCTACATTCTAAAATAACTTTATTTGCAAATGTTGCAAACTTTCCTTTCAAAACACTTGATAAAGCATGTATTTCAGCCATTTTGTTTGGATTAAAAACATTGTTTTAAGTAGTATCCCAAAGATTATTAATAGCCTTTGCAGCTATTATATAAACTAATGTAGATGCCAAAGGAACAATTAATCTTAATTAGGTAAGAGGATATTCAAGAATACTTTATTCCTTCTCTCCAGGTAATCCAAACTATTTCCTTATTGCAGCATATCTTATTCCAATAGTAAGTGCATTTAATGATGTAATAGCTCCATAATAAGTTAAAATGATTCTACCACCTGATAATGAAGCTAATTGAACAGCAAATCTTTTGTCTGGATCTTCAATAGAAGTTTTGAATTCTCCTTAGGGTGTAACAGTGGCAAATTTATCTAACATATTTGCAAGAGGAACTCTAACATTTTTGAAGATTAAGAATCCATTATCTATTCCATTTAATCCATTTTTAGGACCACAATCTCCAATAGTAATTCCACTTTTAACATTATGATTTATTTTATCTCTAATTTCTATTAGAAATGCATGAACACCATATTATTTTCCATCAATATAGAGTTAAGCAAATACCACAGTCATATTAGCCAAATTAGCTGTAGCTCCAATCCAAAATTTAGTGGCTAAATCTGTTGGAGTATTAATAATAAATGTTTATGTATCTTTATCATATACTGCTGTAGTTTAGATTTATCTTACATTAGAACCATGTCCCAATTCTGTAAGACTAAAACTACCAATATCTGTAAGAGTTTATGCATTTTCAAAATATTATTTATGTTTATCTGTTCCTAGATTCAGAATGGTTTTTGTATAGAGTGAAAAATGAACTCCAAATTTTACACAAACTGCTGGATCAAAACTATACATAGCAACTGATGTTATTGTTACTATATTTGGATCAGATAGAAACATATCATAAGTGACTCCAAGTTTTTAATGAAAATGTCTCATAGCTTGAAATGAATGATATCTCTATTCTTCTCTTGTAGATTCTTCAAGATGATGATGTTTGAAAACATGTTAGTTATTTTTTACAATATCAAATAGATTCTATCTATATTTCCAATTACGACCATAGAATATTTCAATATATTTTTATTTATCTATTGTACTTAGTTATTTGTAATATTAGAGAGATTCAGTGGGATTAGATATTTATTCATTCATTTCTTTATAAGCTTCAAATTGCTATTATAATAATTTAACTCTTTATTCTGAACTCATGATATTATTATTATTAATTAATTATTAAATTCCAATTAATGACTTAAATATATTTTAATTATAAATAAATAAAATTTATATTAAATTATTCTAAAATTCCAATTAGTTTATTTATTTATCCTTTATGTATTAAATTGAAAAAATTAATAATATGATATTTTAATACTTATAATTTAATTATATCATATCATTTCATTTTACTTTTGAGAGGATTATAGATATTCAATATACCATAATTGTCTTTCAATTTATTTTAATAATAATTATTTGAAGTGCCAAACAAATAATCCCAAAATACAAAAAATGATCCATAATTACCATCATTATGACTATGATGATATGAATGGAATTCAGAAAATGCTAAAAATGGAATATATTAAAAGATCTCCCATGGAAATACATATCCTGAATGTGCTGACAATGTTTTATAAACTCTAATTCCTATCCAAATCAACAATGTCATCATATGTAATCTTTCATTCAATAATCTTGGACCAATAATGAATGGTAGTAGATTACTCAACAAATATTCTAATGCAGTTGAATATTCTGCTGATATTGATATTGTAATAGTGTATTAATGATGTTATTTATGATATTTATAAAGGGCTGGGATGTGTAATAATCTATGTGACCAATAAAATCCTATATCTTCAATTAAAATACAGAATAAAAATTATGGTATCATTTCCCATAAATCAGGTAGTGATTGACGATCAAATCTACATAAATCATATATTTACCTATATTTTACTCCAGTTATACCAAAAGCCATTGCTAATAAGATACCAACTATTAAATTAATGCTAAAGTTTTTGAAAGTCTCATTTCTCAATTTAATCCATTCTTACTTATTTTAATGCCAAGGCCATGGTTTCTGATGATATTAGTTATATTACTTTTTCAACTTTGAATTATTCAAAGAAAGGATGGTTTAGATAATATATGATACCATAAGAACCATTGACTAATACATATACAACAATGTGCATAGCTTACATACTTAATATTTGAAACCAATATTCTATATATATTAAAGAGATATAATTTACTGCTTTCAATTTGTTCTGGCCAATAATACTTAAAAAGTTCTGGTACAAAAATAAAATAAGATGTAAATGTGAGAATTGCAATAATGAAATATAACATATTAATTTTAATAATTTATTATCTCTAAATGCAAAGAAGCTAAAACGATGATGATAAACCTTTAATTCCATTACCTTAAGCAACAGAATAGAAAAGACAAGAGAAATTAGCATACGAAAAGCAGATGGCAAGAGTAACCTTATTGAAATAGACACAACAGAAAAACTTGCATCTAGTATTATGTAACTTTAAGTAGACAGGCTAAATTGTATGAAATGGCTGCAGATAAAATTGAAAATGGATAATCAGTTAAGAAACAATTAAGAGATCTGGCTGAAGAAGCACGATAATTAAAGGCAGATGACATGAAAAAAAGAAAACACCAAATCAAATAGATTAAGAAACATGAAGAAGAATTTATTTTAAAGAGAGCCGCTTAATAGAAGATTGGGTATGCGTGGTGAGTGTAATTAGCGATTCCATGAAGTAATCCTCAGTAAAGGAGTACAAGAGTGCCATAAAATTGACTTTATCAAGAACAAGAGATTGTATACTTCAAGACAATTAAAAGATTCGAGAGACCCTCTATCAAGAAGAAAAGAAAAGGAAAGAGAAGAAGGAAGAAGCTAAAAAATTAGATGAAATGAAATCATAACAATTTTATAAGGAAAGAGTTTCTTATGAAAAAATGATTGAAGAAAAATTGAAGAAATCTAGAGAAAAGCTCTTTTAAGATGAATAAATCTTATAAAGTCGCTTATAAGTAAGAAATACTTGATAATAACATTTAGGAAACATAAAATTTGCTTAGTAAATCTTAAAAAAAATTTATGGAACTCTAATCCCAAAGTGTACACAGCAAAAGATGAGTAGCAATATAAATTATTATTAATCAATTATAATTATTATATAATAATATCTATTTAATTTATAGAGATCTGAGTAAATCATAATTATTAAACAATATATTGATATATTTATTTATTTATGTATAGTATCTTATAAATATTTATTAATTTAATTATTTATGTATCTTATTGGGATTCTTCTATTTGAATATAATAAATTCAAAAGTCTTATAATTAACATTTATCTACATTTATTATATATAAAAGAATACATTTTTTCTATTAATAATTGGAAGTAGAATGATATTGATATATTTCTTCATCTTATAATAGAATATTAATCTAATTTGAATTTTATCTATTAAATATTACTTAAAAACAATGAAATAGAAAGGATCTAAATTATATTTTATGATAAAATAAATTAAGTTTTATTATTGTTATGAATATATATTAGAATCCGTTTTATGAATATGCTTAATATTATAATTAAAAATGATGAAATTCATTGCTTTAGCTTTGATTGCTACAACAGTATTGGCTGTCCAAAAGGATACAAAAACAATCTTGGCAGAAATTGATGCCGATAACTTCGGAAACTCTATTTTGTCAACAGTTCAAATGTACCTGTAAGCAAAAGGAAATGCAGAAGAAATCTTAATGTTATTGAACCAATTACTTGCTGGATTAGTTGATGATTAAAATAAACATGACAATGTTATTAGAGTTGACAGATCTGCATGCACAAGAATAGTAACAGATCTTGAAAATTCAATTGCTTATCATACAGCATAAGTTAGTGCAAATGCTTAAATGAGAGAAGATAATGAGAAAGCATTGGCTGAAGCTGAGAATGATATCAGATAAACAATTCAAGTAAGCATATTATTAATATAAATAGGATATTGAAAGTAATGAAAGAACATTTGCTTAAGAAGAAGCAAATAGAAACAAAGCTCATGAAACATGGGTTAGAAAGAATGGTGAACATGATGATGCTATTGCTGCTGTTGATGAAGCCACTAAATTAGTTCAACATTTATCATTAGGTGCTACATTTGCTGAACTTAAACCAAAATTTGAAGCTGTTCAAAAGAGATTGATTGAAAATGAAAGTCATGGAGCATTATTCCAACCTATTGTTACAGCCCTTACAGAACTTGCTTCAAAAGTTGATTAAAAGGCTATTCAAAGAATTCTTTAATTACTCTCTCAACTTAGATAATAATTAGTAGAAGCTAGATCAGTTTTGGAAGTAATTGATATTTTTGATTATTATTTTAGGATACTGAAAATAGATAAGCTTAAAGATGGGTTGAATTTTCTACACATTTGAGCAATGAACACAATAGATTGGTTGAAAGAAAGAATTAATTAGAATAAGCTATTCAAACATTCAAAACTAATATTGATACAGCCACTCATTTCTTTGAAGTCCATACTGTATTTTTATATTATTATATTAAAGTTGGAAGTAGAATCAGCTTAAGAGACTCTTGATGCAGAAAATGAATGGTGTGCTTTATAAGAATAAACTTATGAAACTTAATCCACTGAGAGATAAAGATAATAAGAAATCGTTGAAAGAATATTAGAACACTTGACTGAAAAATTAACCGCTACCTCATAATACCTTGGAGGAAGATTCTGATCAGATATCATATAAATAAATATAATATTTAATATGAGATTACAATAAAATTAAGAATTTCTTATTATTTCAGTATCTTATTGATATAAATTAACAAGTAGATTATAATTAAATCAATTAAAAATACTTGGTATTTAAGAATAAATACATTTGATATTAAAAAAAGACTTAATTAATTCATTTAGAAAAGAAGTCTTAATTTTTTTGAATTTATTTATATTATGTATAATTAATTTATAAGAGAATAATTATCTAATAATTAATGTAAATTTGATTATAAGAGCATTATATAATATGATTATATTTATCAACATATTCATGTACGAATATCATCAACATAACCACTAAATACATTCTTTGCTGAGCTGAACATATCAGATACAGCATATTATCTGAATCTTGAAATACGTTTGCCTTTTAAAATAATACAAAAGTGATACCTGCACTTTCCATATAATTCCCTGATGCATCTGTTCCTATAAATGAGATGTAGATTTTAGCATCACAATCCATATCTTTAGTACACTCAGTGTAATAATTATTTGAATCACTAAATGATTCTCCATTTGAATTAGTAATAACATAATCTGAGCATTCCATACTAGAATCCCAACAACCATTATCCCAAATTAGATCTGTTACATTGCCATCTTCCATATTAACCACTAAACTATAAATTGGGTAAACATTAGTTGAATTTATAACATAATCAAGTATTGGTGATACTAAAGCATGTTTATTTGCTTAAATAGCAATAGTATGATTTGTTAATCCTTTTGTCTTTAAAGTTGTATAACTATTTTTAGCATACAATGCAGTATAGCGATCAACTTTAACATCAAATGCTAATCTCTAACCAGTTTATTCAGGTTTATTAATAAAATGAATGCATATTGTCATATGATCTCCTCTTGTATATGTCTCATTAACATCATTAGAGACGCATTTCAAAGTTAAACAATTAAATGTATGTATTAGTATCAACAATAGTAACATTAATTATTTTATAATATTAAATGAATGTTAATTATCATAAGTGCCTTTATTTAAAAAAAGACTCTTAAATCAAAGAAAGTTTAAGAAACTAAATAAATTGTCTATAGATTTTTATCTATTAGATAATTTTTTAAAATTTATTATAATTAATCACTATGAATAAAGAAATGCAAGTTGGAATGAATAAATTTGGTTTTTCATTTGATAAAAAGATTGGAAGTGGTTCTTTTGGATAAATATTTCTTGGTAAAACTCAAATAGAATTATAGGAACTAACAAATAGACGGGTTAAGAAGTTGCCATTAAATTAGTAATTTGATAGTATTTTATTTAGGAAATAGTAACCATTAAACATCCTTAATTGTTATTTGAAGGGAAACTTTATAAAGTATTATAAGGAGGAGGTAAATTTGATTTGATATATTTATTTAAGTTGGAATACCTTAAGCATATTGGTTTGGTAGTGAAAATGAATATAATATTCTGGTTATGGAATTGTTGGGATCTAACTTAGAAGATTTATTTAATTAATGTAAGAGAAAATTCTCTTTGAAAACTGTTCTAATGATAGCTCAATAAATGATTACTAGAATTGAATTTTTACATAGCAAAAATTTTATACATAGAGATATTAAGCCAGATAATTTCCTTATTGGAATTGATAAGAGAGTTGATACTATTTATGTTATAGATTTTGGATTATCTAAAAAATTTAGGGATACAAGAACAAGTATTTAATTGAATATATATTTAGATTTACATATACCTTACAGAGATGGAAAGAGTCTTACTGGAACAGCTAGATATGCTAGTATTAATACTCATTTAGGAGTTGAATAAAGTAGAAGAGATGATTTAGAAGCTATCGGTTACGTTTTAGTATATTTTTTGAATGGACAATTACCATGGTAAGGTTTGAAAACTGATAACTAAAAAGATAAATATGAAAAAATAACAGAGTCTAAAATTGGAACAACAGTTGAAAAATTATGTGAAGGTATGCCAGAAGAATTTTCAATTTATTTAAACTATTGTAAAAGTTTAAAATTTGAAGAAAGACCTGATTATGTATGGTTAAGGAAATTGTTTAAGGATCTTTATGGAAGAATGAAGTATCCTAATGATAACCTTTTTGATTGGAGTACTCCTTTACTATGATAATAAATTATTATTAATATTATTATATTAAATAATCATCATAATGGAAAGAAGAGACGAAGATTGTAAATAATTAGGACAATTTAATTAAAATGATGATAAATAAATCTATATCTCGTTTATGATATCTTTTAATGTATTATTTGGAGGTTTATTTTACTATTATTCGTTAAATACTAATAATGATCAATGTACATTATTGAAACAAACTGCTTTATATTTCACATTATATTGTTCTTGTAGCATCATATTATCAATTATAACTCTTATTGGAAATAAGACATTCAACGTTATTACAACAATTGAAGGTTTCATTAGAATGTTATTTTTGGTTTCGTTTTTGGTAAACTTATTACATTATTTAGATTGCTTATTTCTACAGTTTCTAATGCTATCATCTTTAATCACTAACACTTTTATTTCTGACCTTACATGCATTAATATTTATTATTTCTTGTATGAAATCTCAAATCAATAAAACTAAATAACTATGATTGTTAATTTGTTTTTAGTATATGACTTGTATTTCATGTATATTAATTAATGTTATAAAATATACATAAATATGATTATTTATATTTTTATTTTTCTAATTAAATTTGATTCTTCCTCCTTTTATCAAATTGTAAAACACTTTCAATTTTATATTCTCATCTCTTAATTGTTGTTAGTATCTTCTACAATATTATTAAAAATGAAGACAGTTAAATCTCATTGACTGAAATTAAAAAACATATAATCTAAATAAAAAAGTCTATTCTGTGATGCTTCTACTTATCTCAGTAATGTATAAAGAATATATTTTAATAATAACACTAAGTTCAATATCATCAATTCATTTCAAATCAAAACTGTTAAGGCTTCTTTTATTCTCTCAGTATTCTTTTAGCCAATTCTTTCTTAATTTTTAGTAAATTTGAAGCATCTTAATTATTACCCATCCATTCTATTATTTTAAACTTTATTTCAGAATTTCCATTTCTTACTGTTGTTTCAGTGTTATCCATATTAATTTAATATTAATAATTAAAACTCCTATTTAAACATTGAAAAATTTAAGACTATTTTATTAAATTAATTAAATAAATAGAGAGAGAATGAACAATTATGTTATTACTCTTTTAAATTTATTATATGATTATTAAAAAAAGTTGATCTACTTTTTGAATTTCATATAAATCTTCTTTTTCTTTAAAATTTTCTTAATTAAATAAATATGAGTTATATATGTTATTTAAATAGTATTAAACTTTTTTTTTTAAAATAGTATGAATTAAATACAAATACTTTTAGATTAGATGTTTTAATTAATATTTTTTTGTTTGTGTTTTCAATTAAAAATTATATTTATTTTATTTATGTACCCCAAAAAGATTAATAGAACCTTACATGTTGGAAAACATATTTAAAAAGAAGATTCTGTTAAATCTCTCATAATTGATAAATTGGTTTAAGATTATGGAAGAAAAAATTAATTGAATGTGAATGTAACTTATTTATCATAAAATATTAGTTAATAATGGCTTATGTAGATGACTTTTTTATATGTTATAAAGCAAGTGAAGGAGCTGTGAGAGCACTTAAAGAAGAAATTAAGGAAGCCATCTTAAGACCAGAAAATGAAAAGTAATTAATGATTTAGAGATTACATCAGCGTATGTCTAGTATTATTGAAAATTATTGTGATAGGAAAATAAAAAGAAGAACAATTAAAAACATTGACAAATCCTAAAGTTAGAGCATCATTACCAGATAAACTTGAAGATGAAAAGAATATATTTAGAATGCAAAATAAAACAGAAAACAATTCATAAATGAAATTGGCTAACACTCTACCAGCTGATGTATTGGAAGAAAGAAGAAAATCAATTTATAAGGTTGATGGTTCTGTAGATGAATGGGCTGCCATAATTAAATATGATACATTATAATTTTAGAAAGAATTAGAAGAACAGAAGAAATTATTGTTACTTAATTAATAAAAGATAAAAGAGGAATTAGATAGATAAGTAGCAGAGAAAGAATAACGAAAATAAAAAGAAAAGAAGGATGAATAAAATTATTATGCTTCAAGTTAACAATAATTGATTGAATTTGAAAAATAATAAGAATTACTTAAGGAAAATAAAAAGTAATAATTATTATAAGAGAAAATTATTAGAGATCAATAAGTTTATATTGATAAAAGAAAAAAGTAATTTTATTATATGAGATAGAAAAGAGTAGAATTTAAACACTAAATAATAAGAGGAAGAAATGTTAGCCAAAGTAAAAGAAGAATTGAAAGCAGAAGATTAATAGTAGAAACGAAAGAGACTAGAATAATAGGAGAAATTCTAATTGATTTTAAAGTAGAATGAAAATTTACGGAAGAAAGTAAAGTGTATTTGAAAAATAGGCATAAGAAGAAATTATACAAAGCAAAGAACATGAAAAATTATTATAAGAATAGTCAGCTATAAAAGAATAACTAGAAAATGAGAAAAAAGAGAAATTTAAAAAAGATAAAGAAGAGAAGATAAAATAATTGATGAATAATTATAGTGAGTTCGTTATGAAAAATAAAAAAGATAATCGATAATAAGATGATTCTTAAGGGGAATTTTGGGCTAAAAAGAATAGTGAACATAGTGTTTTCTTAGATTTTAAAAACAAGACAAATAAAAAAGAATAATAATTATAAATATCATATGATTTGTAGTAATAAATGTTAGAGAAAAAAAGAAGATATACTCAAGAAGTAACTGAAAAAAAATAACTTTTTGAATAACAACTCTAAGAATAAAAAGCTTTGAAAAAATAAGATGAAGAAAGAAAAAATGTATTTAGATATAATTATATTTAATAGAATATTCGATAAATGTATATTTAAAATGCAGAAGAACTTAAAAAATAAATGACTAAAGGCTATTTGAGTCAATCTCCTAAAAGAAAATCAAGTCCCAATGAAAGAATGGTGGGATATGAATTACTATAAAATAAGAAATTACTTAAAAAAATAGCAAATGATAATTCTATTGGAATATCTATTAAAAAATAAGAGATATCTATACCTGAATGAAAAATATCTATTTATTTTTCAATTAATACATTATTTTCTATTCATATTATATTAATTTGATTAACATTCTAATAAGTATAGATTGTTTATAAATTAGTAGAATACAAATAGAATCAAATTAAAATATTATTTAAAACTCATTCTAAAATAATTATAACAATTATTTTATTTTAATAGGTTTAACTTTTCTATTAAATAAAATTAAAATAATATATAAAATTTTAAAGTCAGATATGAATCCAATCATATAAGATCTCTTTACATAAATTAAAGAATTATATCCATGTAATATATTTTATTACTTTAGAGTAAGAATTGGTAGAATTTCATTAAAAATTTAAAGAAGATGATGAATTTTAAAAAATCATAATGTAAACTAAAAGTACTAAAAGTCTATTCGAATCTACAGATGATCGATCAACTTTGATTGATTAATTAAGAAACATTATCAATGAAACTAAAATTGCTCATAAGTAATCTCTTCTTTCAGCTAAATAGTTTGAAATTGCCTCATCTGAAAAATAACAAGGTATTTATTTTGCATAATTCATTTAATTAGTCTTTAATGAAAATACTCAATTGAAAAATGAAATTATTTCAATGGAAAATTATAATTATGCATAAAAAATTGAATTAAGCTACTTTTAGGAATTATATAATATTATTATAGAAGAAGAACAACAAAAGAAAATAGATTTCTTTGGAGCAATTTCAAAGGAATTTTAAGAAATTTAAATTTAATTGGAATAAGTTTCAAATGTGAAACGCAAAAATTAAATAGAAAATGAGGAATTAAAAGAAAAATTAAAAATTAAATAATAGTAATTTGAAAAAAGAAGGTAACATTGTGATGAAAGCATTATGAAATTAGGTAAGGATAATAAATATGAAATAAAATAGAATAGGATAGGAAAGAAAGATTTATTAAAATATTTTAAGAAATAAATTTTATAAACTAAAACTTTAATGATGATGAGGAGTAGAGTGACTAATTAGAGAAATTGAAAAAAGAAGAAGCTCTTATTGATTTACATCTAAATCCTTATCTATAAAAAGATTATGAATATACATAATTAATAGAAAAATCAAATAAATTGTTTAGTTTATATAATACAGAAGTGAAAAAAGTAAAAAGATTACATTTATTAAAGCTTCTCTAATAATGTGAAGATAATTAAAAGAAAAGTTTAAAAAATTAAACAATATCTGAAAAATCTGACATTTTTATTGTTGAATAAGTTAAAGAAGTATATTTATTAAATATCATAGTATTAAGGATTATTGAAAATTTTAAAATAAAAATAAGAACAAAAATTATAATTAGAAAATTTAAAGTCTAGTCAATTAAATAAATTATTTTGAATAAAATTTAATGAGAATTATTTATAATGTATAAATTAAACATATGAATCTAATTAAAGGTAATAGCATTTAATAGTAGAAAATAATTTTCATAAATGAATATATTATTTTAATAAAAAGGATAGATAATAAATTAAAAATTAATAAGGGTATTTATTAATGCATAAAATACTTGTAAAATCAATCAGATGTTTATTCTAATTTTCCTAAAAACTCCATTGTTGTTTAAAGAGTCTCATTTTTTCTCTCAAAACATCTTGATAGACATATTTTTTCTCTATCAGACAAGTCCTTTTTTTTGTAATCTTTAATACAAAATTTGCTGCAAACTTAGTAAATATTCATCAAAGATAATTTCATAGATGTTGTAATTGACTACTTTATTCTTTCATTCTTTTATTAAATTGTAATGTTTTGGTGAATATGTGTATCGTGATCAGACATTAATTATTAAATGAATTATAATTATAAATATCTCATACAATCACCTAAAAAACAACCTTAACCAAAGATCTCTATCAAATATAGCACTGCAATTAATTTGGATCATATACCTAAATTTTAATACAGATCTCCTAGAAATCTAGCAAGATAAATAACAAATCTCAGTCCCACAATTTAATTGAATAATTCTAAAAACAAAAAAACTATTGAATCCAAAAGTTAATCTCCATTGATGGAATCAAATTGGTTAAATATAAAAAAAATAAAAAAGAAAATTGATCCTTTCGAGAATCTCAATTATGGAAAACCTAAAATATTTCATAAATTATAACATGATTAAATGATTCCAACATAATTATCTATACCAATAACAACACATGCTGATAAACGTATAATAATTAAAAAGAAATGTGAACCTGATCGTATTGCAAGATCAAATACTTAATATTCAATAAATAGATAAGAAATTAAAAATAATACATCATCATCAAGAATATTATAAAAAAGAGAAAATAAAAAAGAACCTTCAGGAGAATTAAAAGGATGGTAAGGTTGGTATGTGGAAAATTTTGATGATTTTATATGAATATATTTAAATTAAAACTATACATATTCATATTATTATTAACAATTACTAAACTATTAAATGAATTGATTTAAAATTAAGAGTTCTTTTTTATTATAAACATTTATGAAATAATAATTAAATTTGTGTATTTTTGAGGTAATGTAAATATTGAAATATTTAATTAATAAAAATAAAAAAATTAATTTGTGATGACACTCTTAGGACACCTTCAGAGACTTTATGTCAATGAGATGTTTGTTACCTGTCTGATATAAATATACTATTTATACTATATAAGTATTTATGCAAAGTTTAAGAACAGAAATAATAAAGACATACATATGTTAATATTTTTATTAACAATATACAAGATAATATTTAGATTTCAACTTAAATTTATTAGATATTCCTTTGGATTATATTTAAAATTCAAAATTTGTAGCCAAGTTGTTATAACTTCTGCATTAATGTCTGTATTTTACTATCCTTCAATTTCACTAATTATTCTAGTTTTGTTATCTTAAGCTCAAGTATTCCAATAGTTTCTCTTTATTCTTAAATTAATTAGTCTTTTTCATGTGTCATAGATTATTAGAGATTTTCTGAATTATTATGAGTTGGAGATTTTTATGTTTCAGATACTTAAGATTCATTTTCCATACAGAATTTGATTTTTTCTTAAATAACTTTTAAAACACGTTCAATTGCTCTTTCTTCAACTTGAATTATTGAATCTATATCCTTTTATGATAATTGGAACCCTAATTTTTTTAACACCTTTAGTTAGTATAAGTATAAATACTTTGGTATTTAGAGTGTTCCAATTATATTATTTTGTTTATGTAGAATTTGCTTATGAATAATTATGCAATTCAACCAATTTAGGAAAGTAATGATGTACAATTTCAGCCATTAATACACCATCAGCAAAATCTCTTCCTATATTTTTTTTTGGTCTTGAGAGTGGAATAGCATCAACCCATGTATAGATGTCATTCACTTCTTGATCAGTTAAAGAAGGAGCATCCATTTTACTCATTATTTAATTTTATATAAAAATAAAGAGAGAAACAATCAAAATTATATTATTTAGTTAAGATAATTAGACAAAATTATTTAATGAAGAACATTTAAAATACTTGATGATAAATGGATTTAAATTAATAATAACTGCTTTTAAAAAGTCAAAATAAAAAAATTATAAAATTGACATAATATTTAAACATATGCATTAAAATCAAGGGGGACGTGTATTTGGTAGACATCTTGATAATTTTGCTGAGAAGGCATTTAAGGATGCGAAAGACAGAAGAAATGGACTAATTGATGAAATAGGAGGGAAAGAAAATGTAATCAATGATGCTGTTTTGACAAAGGATGGTTGGTTCAAAATAGATTGTCCTTAAAAGGTTTTACAATATTAATAAGAAATTTATGAGTTTCTTCATTAACGTGAATAAGAAAGTTAGGGATTTTAGAATAATCAAAGGAAAATCAATGAAACAATGCGAAATACTACAGTACTTATAATCGCTAGAAAAAGATTAGGTTTGTAATCAAGTAGGCCAAATTATATAATTTGAAATCAGAAACATTATTCCAAACAGTTGATTTGATTGATTAAGCAATTCAATATATAAATCCTGAAGTAGAGAAATTGGAGCTCATTGCTATAACTTGTTTGTTTATAGCATCCAAATATGAAGAAATATATCCACCTCCATTGGGAGTGTTAATTAGAGGCACAGAATTAAGAGTTAGAGAAGTTATTGAAATGGAGAAAGAGATACTTTATAAATTAAATTTTAATGTTATAAGTGATAATACATTAATTTGGTTACAATTAATAGGAGAATTATTGGGTTGTAATAAAAGATATTTGGAATTAATAAAACAAAGATCAATGTAATGTATATAGGTATTTCAAAGGTATTTGGCAGAACTTAGTTTAAGTAATGATCGATTTCTAAGCATAAAGAAATCAACAATAGCATTGACTATTTTTTTGGCTGTGGAAATATAGTTTGGATATCAGAAGACACAATTCTAATGGGATCGTTTGTCTCAGCATTCTAAACCTAGTAAGGATTCTAAGCCATTAAAATTATTTGCATATTGCTTAAAAAAATGAAATGATTATTTACTTTATTATTTTATTTTAAGAAATGAATATCAAATGAAGAAATTCAAAATGTATTTTAATATTTAATAATGATATATCATGGTTATTATGACTATTACTATTAGCTTTATTATGATCTTGGCTACTGAGATTGTACTTATTATGGTTAATGGGATGGTTGATGGGATGGTTAATGGGATTATTGTGGTTATTATGATGGTTGTTAAGGTCTAGCTACAGGAGCAGAAGGATATTATTGAAGTGGTTATGCAAATTAGGGAACCATTCTAGATGCAATCAAAGGTTATTAGGCATATTAAACAGGTTATTAAACATATTAAACTGGTTATTAGACATATTAAACAGATTATTAGACATATGGTTGTTAAACTACAGAAACAGCTTATTAAACATATTATGTAGGTTATTAATGTACTACTTATCTTTCTACTGGATAGTATTCAACTCTTTCTTAATATCTATCAACAGGTACATACTCTATTATATATATAAATATTAAAATTACCGGTATATTTCTCTTGAAAAACTTAGGGGATATATTCTGTTTGATATTCAACAGCATAATAATCAGTCACTTTAGTTTCTCTTGGAACATAGGAGACGATTTCTTATTCTTCATATTCAATAACAGCTTTTTAATAAGGTACATATTCAATTCTTGATTCTCCTTTGATTGATTAATGCTAAGAATAAATTCAAAATTTACTTAAGCAACTGGAGCAACAGGTGCAACAGCATATTATTAAACTGGAACAGAGGCAATAGGAGCAACAGGCATTTAGGCCACTGGTGCATATTAAACAGGAGCAACATAAGATTATCTAACTGGAGAAGCTGGATAATATGTTGGTGGTAAGACAGCATTTGGATAAGTTGGTTGAAAGACAGTATTTGGATATGTTGGAGCAACTGTTCTTGCTTATGGTTAAGGTTGTTAAGGTTATTATTATGGTTATTAGGATTAGGGATGATTTGACATAGTTAATTTCAATAAATTCAAAAATTAATATTAAAAGTTGTTTATAATATAAATTTAAAAACAGAAAAAATTAATATGCACCAACAATCGATAATGAAATATTTATTCGTTAAGGATTAGAATTATTAATGAATGATAAATAATTTAATTACAATTATATATCATATCGATAATATATTAATTTTATATATTATTTACATAAAAACATAATTCAGTAGTTAACTTAGTACTTAATAATTTAAAAGCTATTAATATGAATATTAATAGTCATTTGATATTGATCACTTCTTGATAAAGATAATTTTTGTGAATAAGTTAGAATTAACACAAATACGCAAATTCTCATTTAATTGAATAGTTGATTTTTCTTTTGTTCTTATTGTCTATAACCAATTTGTCTTGTCTCATATTTAATTTAATGGAATTACAAAATACATTAAGATCCTATTTAAGTTCATTTGAAACATATTCTTATGTAAGAGATATAAAATTAAGAGTGTTGTATGGTGACAAGTACTAATTTAGTTTCAAAATAGAATGCATATAAAAATAGTTCAATAATGCTTAGCTTCTTTTCTTGTGGATAAGGATGAATCGCCTATTTTAAGACTTTTAGCACTCAAAGTATGAATCTAACCATAAATTTATGTGTAGTTCAATAAGGAATTAGCAGAGACATTTAATGAGGATTATATTCATCTTATGTAAAAAATTGTTCTCCCAAAAATGGAATAGATTGCACTATTCAAAAAAGAGTCATAAGATAGTGATAGAGGAAAATTGTTCTTTTTAGGCTAACAGAAACCTCATTAAGGTATGTAGAGTACAAAAGTAGTTAAGGCAACCAAGAATTACAGGCATTAGGAGATTAATTCTTTAGAGTGACACTAGAATGTATTAGAATCTGGGGTAGATGGTTTCCATTAGATAAATAACATCATAGACTTAGTTTATATCGTGTTGCTTATGAGAGATTATATAAAATTGGAGTTAATTTTCCAGAAATCCAATATTTTGATCTTCATTAAGTTCATACTAATTTACCTTCTACATTTCCACCTCTTTCCATGATGTTACAATTAAAAAAAGTAATGAGTATCCATCTTCATTCAACAACAAAAGAAATATGTAGATATTTGGAATCTCATTTACCTGAAGAATTTCATTAAACTTAATATTCATCATTTGCAGAATTATTTTAAACCATTGTCAAAAAACATATACTTAACAAAAATAGATAGGCAAAAATTGCAAATATATTTTTGGTAAAAGAATAGAAACTTTAAGAAAGTAAAAAATAAGAAAGCAGTTAAGAATAGAATTAAATCTAAAGATTATAAATTGAAAATTAGTAACTTTAATCTCTTAATAATATGCATCAATAAAAAATGTAAGAATTATAATAATAAATTATTCAAACTTAAAATTAAAATTCCCTTTTGTAACAATAGCTTAAAGATAAAGAATTATTAATTTAAAAATTAGAAAATGAATGGAAAAAAATAGAAAAAAAATTTGTATCTTTACTTGAAGAATATAAAAAAACTCATGATTCAAAAAATCCTTACATTCTGGCTTAATTTGAAAAAAATGTATAAAATATAAAATAATTATATATTAGTTAGCAGAATATAAAATTGAATTTGGTTTAACTTATAGGGAAGTTGATTGTTTTAAATTAAGAGCAGAAAATGAATACCTATTGAAATAATTAGAAGAACAAGAAGATTTATATTAAAAAATTAAACATGAAAAATAAGTTTTATATACAGAAAATAAGTTATTAACTACAAAATTATCAAAATTATCATCAAATTCAATAAATGAAAATAAAATAGAATCAGAAATACCTTAAGATATTGAAGAATTTAAATTTTACAAATAAAAATCAAATCTTGTTTAATATGAATAAACAATGATTTGTTAAAAGAGATAAATAACATAATTAAAAGATCAATTACTTTAATTGAATGATAAAAAAAATAGTGTTACAAGTTAAACATGGGGTGTAAGTACAAAATCTAATTCTAGAAGAAATATTAATGAATTATAGGCATATAATATTTAATAATCTAAATAATCTGAAATTTAGAAAAGTCCTTATAGATAATCCAAAATTATAATGCCACCTATTTTAGATTATGATGCAACCATATTTGCTATTAATCCTATTATTTTTAATACTAGATTTAGATAAGCCTGTTTTACATAAAAATCTATTATTCATTAAGATGATAAAATATAAATTAATACAAACACTTAATTAAAAATAACAACTTTATTTATAACACTTATTATAACAAATAAATCATCAATTAAATTAAAAAATTTAAGTCTAAAATTATAAAATACAGAATAGTTGCAGGTTTAAATTTTAAATAATTTAAATCATATCATGAATCCTGAAGAAAGCTAAATAATATAAATTTAAATTGAAATTAAAGAAATACCATATTCGATTTTGGAAGCTTCACTTATATACATGGATGAAATTATTTAATTTGGAATTCCTTGTACAATCAATAAATTTATGACATTCAATTCTTGTTAATAATTACCTACATCTTATTTCTATCAAAGCAAACCTTTTCTAACTGGGTTCTAGAGTTCTATACCTAATCTTCTCTCTGAATTTGAGATAGTTAGTTAATCTGATAATGAAGTATCTGTGTTAGCATAGGTAGAATATTAAAATGAAGAATATGAAATTATGATATCTTGTAGAAAGTCAATGATGTAAATAAAAATGAATGGCGGATATAATGATAAACTTGTTAAGACAATCATATCTACTTACTAGGGCTTATTTTTGAAAAGGTGATATATATATATATATAAATTGAAATATTTCATTTATTTTTTGGTAACTTATATTTTGATATCATTAATTTCTTTTTTAAACTTTATATGATCCATTAATACCATTAAAAAATATGTTTTATTAAATGAAATCCTTAATATATAGTTTTTCTCCTTAATTAATAAATTTATTTCAATGAATAAGTAAATAAATAATTCTTCATATAGCTTAAACATACAATTTATATATTAATCCATTTAAATAAATTTATTAAAATTCATAACTTATAATCACTTTTCAATTTTAAGAAATTTTAAACATAAATTTAAATGAAAGGAATCCTATTCTTAAGGATATAATCTTTTAACTTCTTTAATAACTTATTCTAATGTTGATAATTCAGATGGTAATCTTGATGCAAGTGATAACATATTCATTCCTGCACTAAAATATTCTGGATGTCCTTAAAATACTAAAATTCTTTCATCTTTAGAAATCATGATTTCATTCTATTAATATATATTTATATAGTAGAATTACTTTGCATGACTCGCTTGAAGAGATTAATTGCAAAAATTCTGGATATTTTGTAATTTCATCACCATGAGCTTAATTGATTATGGTTTATTCTTATAATTACATTCCTTAAAATAACTTGAATTATTTCATCACATTAATATTATGATTCAAAATAGTATTTCCAAAAACAAAATCATTTTTCATTTCTTCTACATTCCCTCCTAATGCTGTAGTGAGTATTTAAAATCCAAAGCAAATACCTAGAATCTTAACCTTTGGATTAGTTTCATATGCTTTTTTTAATATTACTTTAACATCCTCTATCCATTTATAATGATCATAAACAGATATTCTATTCCCAGGCATAATGATTGCATCAGCTCTTTCAATTATATCATCATTTGGATAATGACCTTATGCTACATTATATTGATTCCAATTATCATATCTTCTACGAAATATTCCATTATAAACAGAAACTGTATCTAAATAAAAGCCTGAACCATCATAAATTGAATATTATTTTGTTTTGAAATTAAAGTGGAGTATAACTCTACCATCTTTTCTTAAATAATCATTATTTATCAAAGCATTTTACAAATTAATAAACTTATCTTTCTATTCTGGAAAATTCATTGACATACTTTCTTGTAATTCTTATATATTTACTTATCTATAAACACTATATAAAATAAATATACTTTATGATTAAACCTTATTGTTATTAAATGTAATCTATATCATTTTATTGTAATTTTAATATATAATAAAAGTTTTCTTCCTTATCATCATTCCATAATGGACAATTGTTAAAATATTAAGTCCAAAGGGGAGCCTATATATTTCTTTTGTGTCTAAGTAATTCCTTTAATGATTAAATGAAAGTCTACTTTTTCTTCTTAAGAACTTTGACTCCATATCTATTATACTTTGTAGTTATAATTATCAAAATCAATCAAATCTAAGTATTCTTTCTTAAAAAAAGAAAATTTCTATAATTCAATGTTTTTTAATTAATCCAAGATAATTTTAGGTCCAGTTAATGAGGCACTTTAGAAATCCTCTTTTGTAATTTCAATATGAGGAAGAGAGAATGGATTTTATGGAGTATTTTGAAATAGCAATACATATTGTTAATCATTTACTTAAGTTAGGAATACTAAGTAAAGAGATTTCATTATTTATTAATAAAATTAATACTAAAGTGTGTCAATTAAGTTGTAAGAAATTAAATTGTTTGTTATTAACAGATTATATAAAATTGTATTCAAGTATTGATAATGCCATAAATTAATTTAATTGAAATGCATAAGAAGATTGAAATTACATTGTGCTCGATTTCATATTTCTATAATGTCCAATAATAAAATAATTATCTTTTATATGATTTTTCTCTACCAGAAGAGTAATCGAAAGAATATATTTTTAGTAACAAATAATGCAAGGCAGTAAAAGTTGACATAAATAAACTGAAAAATGCCACTAAAATAGATTAAGCTCTCGAGATTATGTATATATCTTAATCTTATTTAAGACCATAACAAAATAAATTATTGGAAAAGAAGAGAAGAGCCTATAATTTTATACTTCCATTTAAGTAATCTAATTGCATTACAGCTCATTTAAAATAATTAATTACATAAACAGATAGTCTATCATTAAGTTTAGACTCTGATAATTTCTTTGATATTCTACTAGAATACAAAGACTTAGAAAAGCTTATTAATAATGATAACATTGTAGAAAATTTGAAAATATTTCATCTCCTTTTGCTTAAAGAATAAGTGAGAGAAATATATATTATATGTGAATCATAAGAAAATTTAGTTTCTCGTTTTCCTTTTTATTATTAGAGCTTTGAATTTAATTTCCCCAATGAAATAATTGAAAATTAACTTTACTTAGGTAATAGTAATCATGCCAACAATCTTAAAGCTTTAAATCTATTAGGAATCACTCATGTTGTTAATTGTGCTAAAGAAATACCAAATTATTTCAATGATGTGAAATAAGAAAATAAGAATTTCATTAAATATTTCCAAGTTCCTGTTTTGGATTTAGAAGAAGAACCAATATCTGATCATTTTGATGAAGCTTATATTTTTATTAATGATGCCATAAGTAAATAAGAAAATAAGGTATAATTAGAATTATATATTTGAAAAGGTCCTGGTTCATTGTGCTTAAGGCAAAAGTAGATCAGCTACAATAGTACTTATGTTCTTAATGAGAAATAAATAATGGACTTTTGATTAAACTTATGAATATGTCCAAAAAAGAAGAGAAACTATATCCATTAATGATGGATTTCAATTACAATTATTGCAGATCTGAATTTTCAAAATTATTATCTCAATATTATTTTAAGTCTATGAGATTATAATAATAATTAAACAATTAATTTTTTGCTAATCTAATTTTAATACAAACAAATAACGGAAGTTAAATTTCTTAATTTCATCCATTTATTTATACTTTTTACTATTTTCTTAGTTTTTAGGAATTTAAGTAAGATATTTTGAAAATATACTAAAATTGTATTTTATTGTTTCAACTTTTAATGTACACATCCAAAAAAGTGTTAAATCTTCTTTTCTAAATTTAATTCAAATTTTTATTATTTCTATATGTTAATATCTCTTAAGTAATCTCCCTCCATTATTTTGAAACAAGATAATTCTTAATTTTTACTTGAAATAAACATTGTTCTTTAACCTTCAGTACTCTTGGTGATTAAGTTAAGTAAGATCAGTTAAATTCATTAAGTTTTCCTAATAATATTTGATGTCAATTGAAATCTAATAATTTATTTGACTCAATAAAGCATTATAAACAGTTTCTATCACAATTTTCTTAAAAGAGAATCTTCTATTTGAAAATCATAGGTAATTCTCCATACATTATAGAAGGATACCTAAACTAAATAAAAATAGAATATATTTTCTCTATATTTCCCACATAAAAATAATATAAACCCATTTTTAATAAACTAAATTCTCACAGAATAATAACACTTCTACAGTAACTGATTAACAAGATTTAAGTGCAGAATTGATTTATCTTTTTAATTAAAATTTATAATAATCATTTTAATAAATCAAACAAATCAATTACTTGATTAATAGTTTTTGGTTTGAATCTATCTTATTCAATTAATGTTCTTAATGTTCTTATTTCAGTTTGGAGAGGTTTATCAATAGTGATTAATTCTTTTCCTATTTTGGAAGTCAAGAACTAATCTAAGATTTAAAATTAAGTTCTAAAATACTAACCTATAATTTCTTCATTTTATTAATTAGATTCTCTTAAATGATTTTGGAGATTAATTATAATTTAACGCATTTACTTTTACAAAATTGCTAATTATCTTTTTTAATGATAATTATCATATTTAAATATTGAATTTCTATTTTCTATCATTCGAATATTATTGGGAGAATAATTATGTTATTTTAAATTTTATTTATTTCCTCTACTTAATTTGTGTTCTAATCTTGATGTATAAATTTAATCCATATTTTTTTTAGTAACTAATTTACTTCCATTATTTATAATATCTTTATTGAAATGAATCAATGATATTTCATCATCTGGTATGCATTCAGTTAGATTAGATAAGATATCATAAAATGATTTTTTAAGATTAACATTTCCATTTCTTATAGTTTAAAATTTAGGAATCCAACTATTTAATTACTTTAAATTTTCTGATACTTAACCAGGTGCATTATCACTAATATTACTCATTTAATCATCATCAAAAGAGCTATTTTCATCACTCAAATTAAATTTTTCAATTGCTTTTACAGGAGGAGATACATTTGGAATACTATCAACTTCTTCATTCAAATTACTATTTTAAAGGATAAGTGAATTTCTAATTTATATTAATTATTATTTCTTTAATATTTTATATAAGAAAACATTACGAATTTTAGGTAAAAAACAAAGCATTAATGTTTAATAAGTAATAGGAACAAGTTAAAAATCAATTAAAAATTATTGTATCATAAAACTTTTGGTTAATATTGATTTATCCAATAAAGATAATTTTGTATGAGGATTTATACTGCAAAAATTAAATAGATTTTCATCATTAAATTATCTCATCTATGTTGTATTCCATTCACTACAAAATTATAATGTAAAAAAATTGTTTTTTTCTATTAAAATTTCTAAACAAGTTTATCCTTTTAAATTTTAATGATTTACATCAAATGGCTATTATAAAATAACTTAATAAAATTATTTAACTCTTTTATGATCACTATAAGAACTTACTATATGTAATGGAGTATCTTTAAAAATATCATATTATGCAGGATTTGCTCCTAAATCTATCAAATCCTTAAGTAATTCAACTTAACATTGTTATGCTGCTATGTGTAAATTTGATGATTATAATCCACCTCCTAAATTCACATTTATATTGAATTACAATATCAAAGAAACCAAACGATAATATTTCTTTTCAATTGCTAGACTTAATGGTGTATGTCCTTTAAGATCTATTTAATTAGCCAAATCTAAATGATGATTTAATAGATAATCTAAAATTCCAATTTCATCATAAACTACTGCTAAATGCATAAGATTCTAAATGTATTATTATCCATAGAGATACTTATTTATAATCATTCATGTAATTCAATGAAGTCTCAATCTCAAGTGAATGGTAATTCAAATACTCCTTTATTTGGGTGAGGAGTTGTTCGTTTTGAGAATCTATTGAGAGGTAAGGTTTTTTGTACTTATGCTATCATTTAGAATGTCTCCTTAAGTAACAATAATTGCACTGCTGATTGATTTATAATTCATAATGTATTATTCAAATGTTAATTCATTAGACATAGCTTCCACCAATGTAAAAAATACTTTCAACTTCTAATCCTCTAATAAAAAATCAAATTAAGATTAACAAAATATGCCCCAACCCAAACCTAATACTTCTAAAGTATAGCTTAAGTCCATAATTTGTTTACTTATATTAGTAAAGTAATTTTATTATAAATACAGTTTTTTAAGATGTAATTTACATATAGAAGGATCTATTTATTTCAAAAGATTTCTTGCTATATTAAGAGTTGATAATTTAGGAACATCATTAAATTCAATAGGTCCAAAAATTTACAATTAATTATTCTCCAAAGATAGATTTTATAGTAATGGAGTTTTTTTTAAAATATTTGTGTCAAATTCTTTTAGTTTATTTTCATTTAACATTAGATGTAAAAGACCATTCCATATCATTCCATCCTTTAATGATAAATCATAAATTACATTAAAAATAATTAATCCTTATCTTGAATAATCCAAAAGTAATCGTTACTATTCATTATCAGAATTAGTTTATTTATTTGTTTAAAAACTACGTTAAGTAACAAATTTGACTTATATCGGACTTCGTTAACTCTTATTTTTGCCAGATTGCATGGATAGACATTATTCAAAAGTTTCATTCATTTTATATATTATTATCAAATAAATCACATTTTTCAACAAGTATTTTAGTATAAATTTATTAATCACATAAGCTAAACTTATTTACTTAATATCAATACTCTATTTTAATAATCATACACAATAAATAGATCTTAATAAGAAAATTAAATCTGATTAGTTAATATATAACATTTTATCACTCTTTTACAATTTAAGAAATTGGTTGTTTATTTTAATTCTTTGTTTCAATTTCTACCATTAAAATATCTCCTATTTTGAAACCATGTTCTTTTAGATCTGAATCATCATCTTTTCCTGATTTTACAGAATGTACTGATCCTAAATCCTTTTTCTTTTACACTCCATGTTAATCCAAATAGACATTACTTACTTTAAATACAATATCTCTTCTGTAAACACCATCCAATTGATATTTTAATTAATCCACAATATCTCTTAATTTTGAACTCAAACTAATAATTTTCTTATAGTATTAATTATTACAATAAATATAGTAATATTTCTTATGTTTAATTTTTATTAAAGTCTTCTAATGTAATTTATCCATATTTCCAATGTGTTCTAACTAAAAATGGTACTTAATGCTTTAAATTATAATTCAATTTTACTCTGTCTTTTTCATTTTGATTTCTGTTATCTCTAAATCTTCCATATCTACCATGAATTCCATCTACTTTAATTTAGTCTTTTTTATTTGATGCCATTAATAATTAAATATATTATAAATATATTAATAAATAATATTATTACTCTAAAATTTTAAGTGTAATAATGAAATTGTATAATTATTATTAGATATTATATCACTTTTACATCTAATTTAAATTTAATATTATTTCTAATAATATTTTATTATGATTAGAAGAATAGAATTAATAAGTAATAAAATTGATTAAAAACATTTAGAATTTATTCATATACAAATTTTTAATTTTAATATTTTTTTATGCCTCCCAAAAGTAGAAAATCAGATCTAATTTCAAATCAACTTAAAGTAAAATTTGATTACTAATATTCAAAGGAAGAGGGAAATACTGAATTACTTAATAGAGAATATTATAAAGCTATTATCTTATATACGAAAGCTCTTTGTAAACTTATTATAAAAATGATTTTTTAGAATTTGAAGAGAATCCTATTTGTTATAATAATCGTGCTCAAGCTTATTTTTATACAGATGAACTAGAATTGGCCTTGGAAGATTGTAATAAAGCATTACAATTAAATCCAAATTATATTAAAGCTATTACTAATAAGGCTTAAGTACTATATGAAATGGGTTATCTTCAAGTATAACTCTAAACTTATTTTTAGTAAGCAATTGAATGTTTGTAGAGTATAAATAATCACACTCCAGAAAGTCAAATATTACTCAATTAATATTAATCATAATCTCTAAAAGTAAAACTGATATCACATCAAGAATATATTAGATTAAGGAGAATTAGAACGTTAGAAGACACTATTAGAATGGTTAAAATAAGGAAAAGCCCTATTTCCAAAAATAAAAATCGAATGTTATACAGACACTTATCGTGGTGTTAATGCTAAATAAACTATAAATGCTAAAGAGCTGATTCTCTTCATTCCAAAATCTCATATGATAACCTTAGAAATGACAAAAGAAATTCCTGTAGCTAAAAAAATGATATAATTCAGACTAGATTTACTTTCACCAAAACATTCATTTCTCTCTACCTTTTTACTTTAAGAGAAATATAGACCCAATTCTTTTTGGAAACCATATCTAGATATATTACCATAATCCTATCCATCATTTCCCATATTCTATAATAATAATGATTTAGAATGGTTAAAAGGTTCACCATTTTTAAGTATTTATTAAATAAAATAATTTAGAGTAGATTAAAGATAAGCTTACTGATCTAAAAAAAGATTATAATGATATCTGTGCTGTTGCACCTGAATTTAAATAATATTTATTTCATGAATTTTGTTGGGCAAGGATGACAGCTAGTAGCAGAATTTTTGGTATAAACATTAAAGGTGTTAAGACAGATGCATTTGTACCATTAGCAGATATGCTTAATCATAAAAGACCAAAATTAACATCTTGGTGTTATTCAGATGAAAAATAAGGATTTATTATAGAAACAGATGAAAAAATTGAAAGAGGATAAATGATATTTGATAGTTATGGAAGAAAATGCAACTCAAGATTTTTATTAAATTATGGTTTTGTAGTTGATGATAATGATGCAAATGAAGTTATTGTTACTGTCATTGCAGATTTAAATGATCCTCTCTTATAATTAAAAGAAGAATCAATTGAGGAATAATTATAATGGCCTAAAACATTTAGATTAATGATGGATACAGATGGTACTTATATAAATATATCTAGAACCAACAATTATGGAATTCATGAGTTATATCAGATTTTTAGTGATTAGAGATGAAACTTAACTTTAATTACTATTTAATTAAAGAGAATCCAAATACTTTAAACCTACTAAAACATAACCTTTGAGTTTATAAAATGAATTTGATATGTGGGAAATGATAAGACGAATAAGTAACAATGCTTTATAACAATATGCAACTACATTTGAAGTGAGTCTATTTATAAATTACTTAGCAAGATAAAGAAATACTTTAAATTTGTGAATTAACTATAAATGAAAGAAATTGTTTGATTCTTAGGATGGGAGAAAAAGAAATATTGAAATTTTATTAATAATTAAGTGAAAATATGAAATAGCTTTTAAGTAATTTTAATTAATTAGTATTTTATTAATCAAAATAAAATAGGAAATTAATATATTCTGTTAAAAAGAAGAAAACTGTAAATACTTAAACTATATAAATAAACTTATTATATTTTTAAATTAAGATGATCAATGAAATTATTAATGTTAAATAAATTATTTTAAAACTTAGATATTTAAATTCAAAAGTTAATTTTTTTTTCTAAAATAGTTTCTAATCTACTCTTTTATTAGGACAAATAAAGAGTAACATTTTTTATAGTCTCTTCATCTTATATTTTTTAGATATCTTAATTCAATGAAGTCAATTATTTTACTAAAGTTTAACAAATTGACCTAAAAATTAAATATATATAAATTACATATCTCTTTCCCAATTTAAAATTTAAAGCATTTAACAACTTTTTAATCTATATTATACTATATCATTATAATAAGGTAACAAATCTAAAATTTGTTTATTTTCTAACTCGGCCATTCTTTAATCATAAATTATAAGTAATTCTGTATATCTTGCTAATCCTTCCCAAATAAAGTATTTTTATCCAATTTCTTTAGCCAAATATTCATACATTTTTAAAATTCTTTTTTTATTAATATTTGATTAAATTATATTCTCTTAATTTAATTAATCTGTTTAATATGCAAATGTTTATGTAATCTTTTGGATTATTTATTCATCTATTAATTCTCGATGATCTAATTAAACAAGTTTTTCAATGCAAGAATAAAATCTAACAAATTTCTTATTTCTTAATGAAACTCCCATTAAATTACTCCATAATCTCCAATCTGTACTAGCATATTTAACTCCTTATTCTAAAGCAGATTAAGCTTCACTATATTTTTTCAAAGCAACCAAACAAGATGAAATATTACCCCAAATTTCTCCATCATTTTCATTTATTCTAACAGCTTCACCTAATGATTTTATTGCCTCTTCTAATTTATTCAATCTCATATAAGCACATCCCATTATATACCATGATTTTTAGTGATATGAATTAATCTTAACAGCTTTTCTATAGGATTTGATAGATTTTTCATAGTTCTTTTCTTTAAAAAAGTAATATTCCCCCAAAGATCTTTATGCTCTAGCAAATCGTTTTTTAGAATCCTTCCAAGCTTCTTTTAAAATCTTTACATCTTATTTAATTTCTCCTGTAATACATTTCATTTTAACAGTACCAAATCCTTTTGCTGTTATTTATTCTATTTCTTTAAGTGCTCTTTATGTATCACCAGTACCTACAATACATTCTACACATTCCTCCCACATTTCTAATCTAGCAAATATCTCATAACCACTTGACATCATTCCAACTTTCATCCATTATTCACCTAAAATTCCACTTAAATTATAATAATCAGGATAATTTGAATAAAATAAATTCAATGCTTTTAAATCAGAATCTGGTTAAGTTTCATTAAATTAATCAACAAGAGTCTGCATTTAAATTAATGCTCTTTCCATTCTCTTTAGATGATTAAATTCATTTAAAGATCTTAACATTAAACCCTATGAATAGACAATCCAACTATTAGATTTATCAAGCATTAAATTTAAGTAGGCTTAAACTTATTATTAAAGTATTTCATCATTAGGTAAAGTTCTTCTATAATGATGTATTAATCCTAATAAAACAATTTATTCTTCCAATGATAATGAATCCTATTTAATTTCCCCATCAAGTACTGGTTTATCAAATAAAATAGATTCTTCTTCTAAATTTACTTCTTATGGAGCATACTATTAAAGAACCTCTTATACTTTTGGTAATTCCTAAACTATATTAATATTTAGATTTATTAATTACTTTCTTTTTCTACACTTTCTTAATCTATTATTTAAGCAACTAATTGAGGAAGTTTTTCTTCTTAAAATTTAGTTTTCTTTCCTAATTTACCAGTTAATTCAAATCTAACTTTAAGTAATTGCTATAATTATATTATTTTATTACTTATGCTTTTAATAAACATGCTTCTGCTTCTTAATATTTGTAATAATAATTATAAATATAAGAGAATTCTGTATATAATTTAGCTTATTCTTTAGGACCAACTGGATAATTATCAAGAAATTCTTAAAATGAATTAAATATTTAATCCTTTAATTCTTAAACAGGATTGTCTAGAAATTAATTATGCATAAAATTAAGTCTAGCCCACCATAATTAATAAATTGGATTCGTATTATGTAATAATTCAAGAATTTATTTACATACTAAAAATAGATGTTTAAGCTAAATCACTCTCTTAAAAAGTTCACCACAACATTGTAATTTATTTAAGATAACTATTATATAGTCTAAATATTATACATTCTTGATTAGCTTATGAGTGATATATTTCATATTCTGAAACTCTACTAATCTAATTAATAAGAGGTAATAATTCGATTAAGCCAAGTTCTTCTAAATATTCTTTACTAATTTGATTAATTTAACATTTTGGAATGACTTATTTAATTAATAAATTTTCAATAAATAGCTTTCTATCTGCATTTTAATAGTGATATGATGGTCCTGTAAAGTTCTCTTTTATAAAAAGACCATAAAGTATTTAAAATATGTCAAATACAAGTTGTTTATGTTATGTTTCAAGCATCTTTAAACAACACTATTTTATGATGTCTAATGCTTGATCATTAATATTGTCTGCAAAAAATAGTATTATTTTGAGTCCTGCACCTAAATGTCCTTTGTCAAACAATTACTATAAATTATATTCACACTTAATTTCCATTATAAAATTAATTAATGTCTAATTTTACAAACGCTAAACCTTAAAGAAAATATAGAGAAAGAGCATAACCTGTAATTAAAAATCTTATGAATTTATTAGACATCTAGATAATTTCTTGGTATTTTAGAAAAGCATGGTGATTATAAAAAGAGAGCTATAAATTATTAGAGAAAGAAAGAATAATTACAAAAATTGCAATTGAAAGCTGCTTTAAGAAATAAAGATGAATTTAATTTTAGAATGCTTAAAAGTAAAGTAAAGGATGGTGTAGTGTATGAAGATTAAGATGAAAGTAGTGGTGATGAATAAGAAATCCTTAAATAAATTAAAACTCAAAATTAAAATTTACTTAAAGCCTCTATTTAACAAAAAGAAAAAGTAAAAATATTATTTTTAATAATTACTAGTTAACTGAGAAACTCAAGGAAGACTTAGCAATGGTATAATTTGAGTAACCTACACATAAATTCTTTTTGAAAGAGGCAAGGAAAAAGAGCTTTGATTAAATTGAAGATAAATTGTAAGGTGAAGCATAATAATCTACTCCAAATTCTGAATTAACTTAAAAGATAAATAAATTAACAGAAGCTTTATATGAGAAAGAGAGAATGAAACGATTTTATGTGGCTATTACAAAATCAAAAACTAAAGTAAATTTATATATTTCATATTTATTTAGGATAACGTAACAGCCAAACCTCACTAAAGAAAAAGAATCAAGAAAGGCAAAGGAAAAGGATTATTTGAGAGAAGTAGATGATAAATTATATAATAATTTTGGTTGTAAACTAATCAAATTCTTCTAATATATATTTTGACCCTTAGAAAACTTAATATGAGTAAAACTTTTCTATATGAATCACTTCTTTGCTTCTTTTTAGTAGGCAATTCAAATTCAGATTCAAATAAAATAAGATGATTATAAGAATAATTATCAATTGTTTCTAATAACTCTAATCCGTGATAAACTATAAATTCTATGGAGATTGTTTATCACCTTACTCTTCTGTCTTAATATTATTTGGATCTTATAAACTCAATGGTGGAAATTCACAGAAAAATAATCAAAAGTAACAATTCTTTCACCTCCCATTAAGAATCAAAGTTATATTAAACTTAATTTCAAAAGACATCAGATTTTTATTAAATTCCTCTGAATCTTTCTAAATTAAAGATGATTGAGCAATTTTATATTCAGATCTTGTATTAATTATTTATTTATAATAAAAAATAAAACTGTTAGAAAATTTTCTTCATTTTTTGAACATTTGTTTTTTTTATTAATTAGTAATTTGTTAAAAGATAAAAAACCAAGCTCATGGATTTATAAGGTTTAAGTGTGTTTTTTGGTTGAAATTTATTATTTATATTGATAATTTTATGATAAATTAACTTTATCTATTCTATCATTATACTATCTCTTTCATTTTTTTAATAACAATTTTTCTAATAATTTATAACAAATTTTATTTTAGCAATTCTCTAGATTAATATTCATTTAATTCAGTAGCTCTGAATTTATTTCAAGCTTTCGAATTTTTTCTAATTATTGTTATATAATTAATATTCATATATAAAGCCTCAACAGATTGTTTTTATATATCTTTTTCTCAAATTATATTTGGTTTTATGAATTTGAATATATTGAGTAATTCACTATTATAGGATAAAATTGTAACACTTTAGCTATTAGAAATTCCTAATCTGCAAATTTATAAGTGTTTTTGGATTCTCTCTATTATTTTTTTTTGTCTTTTAATTCAATATATTATAAAATAGACAAGAGTCCTATATTATTTATCTACTTTCAGAAAATATCCTAAATTTTAATTTTAGTAAATATAATACAAGATTAATCATACCTAATACAATGATATTATAATTACTTTTACTCTTAATCATTTGCATTGTCAAATTGCTAATTCAACTATTTATTTAATCTTTCCAAAGATAAATATTTATTTTTTATTCCAAAAACATTAAAATGAAATTTATAAGAATGGCCTTACTTCCTCATATACTCAAATAAGATTTTTTTTTTTCATTTACACATTTTAAGCATTAAATACTTAATTTTAATATTTGTATCAAACTATATATTCTCATAATCATTCAAATTATTAACTAATTAATCTATAATTTTAAGACTATTTTCTATTTAAGAATTATTAAAAAGGTTAATATTATATAATTTCAATCTAGATCACATATATTATTTTCCAAATTATTTAAACTTTTTTTCAATTTCCTTTAATTTATAACATTTATAATTATACATTGATGTTTTTAATTTGTTTAAACTCTTCCAATATTATTGAATAATATTTTTTTATAAAATTGATTTATAATTTATATTTCGACTTTGATATTGAATTGAGATTACCTTGAATAAACTACTGAAAATTTAATTTTCTTATGTTCTCTTTATCTTTCTATGAAACAATTATACAATTCAAAATCAATAATTAAATACAAATGGATATTACATTAAATTTTCTGGATCCTCAAGAGGAGAAAAATTATGGTCTTTATAGTCATTAGATCGAACTAAATTTATTTAAAAGGCTACTCTATAGTATGATGATTGGATCATTTTCTGGGTCTATATACTTTCTTATAACATAGAACTATCTCTATATAGTTCTGGGAACCTATATGTTAATTCAAACTATGTTAGCAATTTTCCTCTCGAAAAAATCGATCTAAATTCTAAATATTGTAGCTTTTGCATATCAAATGGAGATCTAAACCCTACTTGCTGTGTTAATTACATAATTAGATGAAACATTATAGAGAGGTACAGTAATGATAATCACATCAGCAGCTTTTTAATTATCTATTTGGTATATCTTGCATTTTAATTGTATAGTCTCTCCATTGGTACAAAATTTTACTTGAAATTATTCGTGAGTCTTTACTCTATCTCTATTTAAATATTACTAAGTTCAATGATTGAATCTTTGAGTTTAGTTTGGATAGGTTTTGCACTTTTTTCCCTTATCTTCTCATTCTAATTCATTTATTATTAAGAATACGAGAAGAGGTAAAAATATACTTTGCATTAAAATGCGTAAAGGATAAAGGAAAACTTAATAAATTTAATTGAGATACCAATACTAACATGCTATAATAATGAAACTGATTTAAAATTAGTCTTCACTGAAGCTAACTAATGTGCTTAAAGTCTTCTGAAAGTCAAAGATTAAAATAGTTTTCTTAAATTTGCTAGAGAAGTTAGTATATTGTAAACTAAAACAATATCTTCATTTACAAAATAATAAACTGTAAATTAGATCATAATAACACAATCTTTGGAAGGTTTGGTTAGAAAATTCTTTAGAAAATAAATTGACTAAGAAAATGATTTAAAGAAGACTTTTTCAGCATATAGATGCAGAGTTAAACACAATTCTTAAGAGTACTTATGTTAATTAATTTTATTAAATGAAAAATAACCTCAATGTTTTATATACCTTTAGAGAAACTTTGATGATTATATAGAAAAGACTAATCAGAAATTAAATATATTAAATTTACTTCTAAAACGAAGTGCCAAGGAAATATTCACCAAAATTGGGAATAAGTAAAAATGTTTTTAATCTTTGTACTCAAATTTAAAAATATGTAAATCTCTTAAATCAGTTTAAAGATTGGACTAAGAAATATTTTAAGTTAATATTTACTTTGCTAATTCTAAAATATTGTTCAACTCTCATAATACTAATTTTTCAACTAAGAAATCTTAAAACTTAATTCATTTAATTGACTCAATTTTATTTCATTTCAATCATACACTATCCTAAAAATCTATTACAGTCTCTTTTAACAAGAATGACTAAAATCCAACTATATATTGTAATGATATGTTACTTAAACAATTATTTTATAATTCTATTGAAAATGCAATAGTATTTGCAAAAGATAAAGTTAGTATAGATATAAACAGTCATTATGATAATGATATTGGTAAATAAGTAATTACAATCATAATATTAAATACAATTGATCCTGTATTTTTAGAACAAAATAACAAAGAAAAATACTTAAAATTAGGACATTTAGTAATCAACAAAATATTAAGATGGATAGCTCCATACAAATCATTATGCATAAATTAAGAGAATAATTTGTATTCAGTGAAATTTTGTTTATTTGATAAATTATGATTTTTAATAATTTTATTATTTTAATTAAATTATTAATTTTATCATAGAAAGAAAGAATAAGAAATTTTTAATTAAAATAATCCATTTTTATTTAATTATTTTAACAAATATAATTCTTTTCCTATTAAAAAATATGTATTATAATCAGTGATAAAAATTGAATATTATACATGTTAAATTTACTCTCATTCTTTCATTCTTTGCATAATTTTTTCTTAGTAATTTTTTGAATCATCTGTTCTTAATTAATAGCATAATACATAAGCTGATTTTGAAACAACAGATTATTCACTTATTTGATTAACTATTGAGTCATCAAAATTGTACCATTTATTAGTGAACTAATTTAATTATGTTATTAATTACTTTATTTTTTGCCATAGCTGTATAATGTCCACCTCCTAATCCACCAAAATGATTAGATACAGCATATAAATCATATATAACCTTTTTTTTATTAATTTCTCCATTAAAATTTTCATTTTCATTCTGAAATTCAGAAGGAATATTAGAATTAATTAAATAATCTGTCATATCAAGATTATTTATTGGAAAATCTACTTGAGTTTCAAGTTTTTATTTAAATAATCTATTTGAAGCCTTAAATCTCTTTAAAATAAAGATTAATAACTAAGGAGCCTATATATATTTATGGGAAATTTAATACTTTATATATTTACATGCTTTTAAATGCTTAAACATGTTCTTTACATACTTTACAATACCAAGTATTCTCTTTATTAAGTTATTCAGGCATCTATGAATATTACAAACAATCATAAAGAGAAACATTGCCTTATGAAGAATTGTAATTCATAGACTTAGATATTGGATTTATTTATTGAGTATCTTAAACTTAAACTTTAATATATTAATTATACCTTCTATTTTATATTATTTGACATAATGTTCAAATAAATCAGATAATCTAATTTATTTAAATGGACTTTATTTCCAAAGAATGACAATTTCAAAATTGAAATTTTAATCAATTTTCAAGAGTTTATTTTTTATTTATTCAACTGTTTCATCATCAAATTTAACTTCACAATCATAACAAATTTTATTATTGCAAAAAGCACAAGGATTCCTATAATTTTAATTTGTTTTATAAAGTAAAGTATAATACTAAATTATATCATCATATATAAATACTTAATTTAATACTTAATTTTGATAATTTAATTAATTGTATTCAGAAAAAAATAATTTAAAATTATTAAAGATGAATAAATGAAATTATTTTAGTGTCATTTATTCATCAATAATAAATACACCAGCTTAATTAAATGGCTTTTTTGATGAATATTCATAATATTTATTTGAAAATTAAATAGGAAATTTTTTTTTTATTTAAATTTCTTCTTATGTTAATTTTCTAAAGCATAAATTTTATTTTTTTGAACTCTTTCTTATTTCTATTATGGATTTATTTTAATCAAAAAATTCATAAGAAGTATATTTATTAGCAATATAACCAAATAAATGTTAAGAATCTATTTTTAGTATGTCCCCAAGATGTTTCAAATATTCTTTAAAAGGAATATTTTTATTTTTATCAAATGGAATTGTCATTGATGTATATTAAAATAGATCTAAATAAAATTTAAATGATATAGTTCTCTTTTTTAAACTTGGAATACCTAATTATACCATTAAATAAGGATCAAAAGTAATTGAAACTTCTTGACAAGTTGGACACTTTAAAGTAGATTTATATTATCCATGCATGAGATCAACAATAATTGATTAATTTCTAGCAAGATGGTTTAACCAACTTTCTTTAGCAATAATAAAATCAGATCTACCATCATAATCTTTAGTTTCAACATATGGTTTATTTTTAACTCTATTTAAATCTTCATGTATTCCATCTAAAACAAATGTCATTAATTCAGATGAATCATGTTAATGATAACCTTTAAACATTGGTTAAAATTATCCAACTGCTTTTTTGTAGTTTGTAGGTGTTATTGTTTGTTTATCTCCACACCAAATTTTTTTAATTAGTGATCCTACCTTTTTTACTAATTATCCTTATGTACCTAAAGGATTATCCATATTAATCTCATTAAAATATAAATTCTTTAAAAAATATTCAACCAAAGGATATGAATTAGAAATACATTAAGTTCCACTATTCATAAAACATGTATTTCCTAAATTACTTAAACCCACAATTCCTTTAACTGATGTAGATGTAATAATTAAAGATTTTATAGATTCATCATCTGACCCATGCTTATCACATCTAGAGCTATGATAATTATAATTATTCTATTTGCATTATTCTGTACAATAAGCAACTTTTCTGCAAATACATGGAAAACTAAGAACTCTGAAGACATTACAAGATTCACATTTTCCTTCCACTTAAATTGCTTAATTTCTAATGCACCATGGTTTATAATCATCTTTAAACTAATTGAATGAATTGCATAATTACTTCAAATACAATAAGATTAGTATCAATAATACCAACATCTTCAATATATTCATATTATTAATGAGTTAATAATTCTCCAATAAAATCAAAGCACATATCATCTTTATTATCTAATTAGGTGACTTATTTGAAAATTTCATTATATAAAGTTTTATAAGGATCCTTTTAATCTGTAACATATCTCCATATTCTCACATTATTATCTTTTTTAAAATTTCCTTAAAAAGTATGTACCGTATTTTGTATCAATTCTTAATAATCTTTTAATTTCATATTTCTATCTACTTACATAACTTCACTCTCAAATGTTTGTTTATGCATTCTGTCTAAAGATATCTATTTGATTATTATAGGATAGATCAATACACATTTAAACTAAAAATGATTTTATTGTATACTCTTAATAAATTTACAGCCACTTATTTGTCTTTTCCATTACCATTAGATGGTCTGATTATTGATATACCATGATAGTAAGATGTAAAAAATTCCCAAATATCCTTATCAATAATTATATAATCAACATTTTCCTAACATTCTTATTTCATAAATGTATTCCATGGATGAGTCTCTATAGGATCATATAGAAAGCATTTAATCACATTCTCCTACAAATCATCATTAATTCTATCAAGAGTTATTCTGCCAAAATACATACATGGTGCTTTGTTAGCAACTATCTCATCATAGGAGACATATTTCTTCCATTAATTAAGCCATCTTAAATTTTCTATTTAAAAATTACTTTATGCTTAAAATGTAAAATTGATTGTTGTTATTAGATGAAAATCTCTTTGAAAATGTTTCTTAAAGTTTCTTATATTATAAAGCTTGCTTCTTCAATTTATCAGCACCGAATTGAGATAATTAAATCTCATTCAATTTTTATTCTTGCATCATTTTTTAAATTTAATTATAATCTATGTTTCCCAATATAAGTTATTAATTTTATTACATTTCTATTAGATTTATTTTATTAATTTAATGTTGTATTTGAGACTATTTCAACAATCATCAAATTCAATCTAATAATTGAGTTTATGATAAATATTTAAATTGATCAACAAGAATATAAATTTTTTGATGAATCCAATAAAATTTAAGTTATATTAATTTTTTATGAATTATAATTATTATCTTAATCAACTTGATGATTAAAGAGGAATTCATTAGAATTTATAATCTGTTGGAAAATTCAAAAAAGGAATTGTATTTTAGAATTATCCTTTTAATCCAATTTAAAGTTACTCCTCAAACTTTTAATCACGTCCATAAACATCTTAAACTTAACCTGTAAAAAAACCTTCAACAGCATAAGTAGTCATAAATAAATAGCTCAATAGTCTTTTAGACACTTTCCAATAGCAGCAACATCTTAGACTCACAGATAACACAATATGCTTTTTTCTGAGTAACCTAATAAATTTGAAATAGAAACAAAGCCAAGTAAAAGATTTATGAAGATATACTTTATGAAAAGTAATCTAGACTCTCTAATGTAGCCAATTAACAAACAATTTTACATAATATCATAAATAACAAACTTAAAGCACTTCCCCCTGGAGACAGAAGAATATTATCAGTCATTAATATAATTTAAGACAAATTTAAAGAACTTACTATATAGGATATAAATCTATTTATATGTCAACATATCCAATCTAAAAAATTCTATATCTATTTTTCAGGTTAAACTATTATTTAACTATAGATTCTGAATGGATTCCATGCAGTAAATGTTGTTAATCACCAGTATTTATAGTTTTGAGTCCATTGTCTCAAAAAACAGATATATTTTGTTGTTAATGTACTCGAAATTTATAAAATCCTCCTAAATCTGCATTTTAGAGTAATTCAATTCTTCCTAAACAATCATTTTCTTAGTATGGGCACTCATTATAGGAATAGAAAGAAAGGCAAAAAGTGAGTAGAATGATAATATCTGGAAAATACCGAAATGTTAATTTGAAAGAAATATATAATAAAGTGTAAGAACCTGAATAAAAAGAAGAATCTTTCAACTTAGAAATCAATACTAAGGAAATAAAATAAGAAAGCACTATTTTAGAATTGAAAGACTTAATTAATGAATTATTCTGATTTACCAATCATTAAATTCTATAAATTATATTTTAAAGACAAAAAACAATTTTGTTTTAGATTGTCAAAAAATACAAATATTGATTGTCAATTTTTTTAATTTAATATCTTTTATTATTTCACTTATACTTAAAAAATTCTTCTAATTTGTTATGATTAGATTTATTTATCATATTAAATATATCATTACTTATTTCACAAATCGAAGATTTATTTTTAATTGATATTTAATTTATAACTTAATAAAGATTACATTATTAAATAATATATTTTGGTAATATAGTGTTGCCCATTTAAAGGGTAAGAAGCTAATATACTTTTTTTGAAATTTGAGTAAAATATTTCATTCAATACTGAAATTATATTTATTTATAATTAAGAAGAAACTTTATTCTCTTTTTTTAACTGAAAATTATGAATTATAAAAGTATAATAAAGTAAAAATTTCATCTTATTTTTAATTATGATAAGGTATTTACTATAAATAGAGAAAGAGCTAAATATTTAAAATAAATAATAAACTCTATTTTGACTAAATTATTTTATTGAATAATATAAATTGCGAATAGAAAATAAAATGAAATCTAATTCTTCTGCATATGTGTAGATGGCATCTAAAAAATCTATATTATATTACTTTCTTTAAAAACTGAGTGTATTTACTTAAATTTTTCATCAACTTTACGGATTGCATTATTTTTTGATTGATTCTTTTTAACAATGAAATGAATTGAGGATCTTACATAATAACCATATATATCAATCAATCAATTTTCGATGAGTTGTGAATGATTTTCTCTATAATAATTTGAATAAAATGTATTTTCTTATTGAAAATTATATATTTTATTCATAAACATAGCAATACTATCCCATAAATTAAATATTAATGTATGATTAAATCACTTTTTGATTTATTTCACTATTTTCACTTCTTCTACTAAGAATGCTCTAATGATGCGATTTTTTAGGGCTCCAGCACTCAATACTCCTCCATATGGTCTTGATACTGTTCTTTGTCTTCTGGAAAGTTACTTGAGTTTTGTAGGTCTAATGCGTTTAAGTCCATTTAAGACAACATTCAAATTAGAATCAGCACATGTTGAAGCACTTGTCTTTTTGTTTGGATATTAAACAACAACTCTACCACCTAATATAGATGGATTTTAATACCTGGTGTCTTGACCTTTCTAATCTTATTAGATCTTGTATTATAGCTGGTTCTTCTACGATAAGTAACTCTTACACCCATTTGTTAAAATCTTAATTAAAAATTTTTTTAATATTTTATCAAAACAAAATAAAGATGAAAGAGCAGAAATTCTAATAGATCATATTTGTGAAACATAAAAACAATTATTCACTAAATGAATTATAGTCTTATTTGTTTTGATAGATTCTTGAATATAATAATTAGCCTTCATTCATAATTGATTACAGACAAATTACATTTTTATTTAATTAGACTATTTTATTTCACTTAATTTGAATTAAAAATAAAGAAGTTAATGATCAAAACAAAATGTTCTCTCAAAAGATTGAATGAAAATCAAAAAGAAAGATAGAAACCTTTTTTTAATAGATAATAAATTAGTGTAATAATAAAAAGAACTTAAAAATATAAATCAAAATGATTAGATATGACGCCTTTACAAATGGAAAAGTAATAAATAATATTTCTTCATTAAATTCAAAAGAATTAATAATTAAATACAAAGATTAAATTTTAGAACAACATAAAATATTTAGAAAAATGAGTCAAATATAATTATTAATTATTCTAATAAATATTTTATTATTATTTATATGATTTAATTTATTTCAATCAGCATTGTATCTAAATTTATTTTCAAAATAATGATATTTCTCTTTTTACATTCCATCTCTATATGTATCAGATTTCTATTAAAAACTAGTCCTATAAGAAGTATTAATTTATTTTTATACACCAAGAGGCAATTAAAATAGAGATGCCTATTCTTTAGAATTTAAATTAATAAGATTTAATTCTTTCACAGATTAGATTAGATGAGAACTTAAATTTTTAGTTTGTATATTTTGTTTCATTTAATTATGATTGCTATAATATCTAACCATTCTTAATTCTTTATTATCAAATTCTAAATTAAATTATGTCTTATCTTTGATTTTATTGATATCAATCTTCTGTAATATTTCATGAAGTCCTTCTCCAAAATAAGTTATCTTTGGTGAAATTTCAATCTCAAAATTAAATTGATATCCTAATTATGTTATCCATCTTAAATCTCTTTACAAATATGCTAATCTTGCTGTTTAAGCTGTATCTTTATTATCATTTGAATTGTTTATAATAGCTGCATATTCATCCTCTCTTTTTATTCTAAATAAACCAAACTTTTATATGGAACAATAGGGCAATGCATCATAATAGGTAATTTCAAATTTCAGAGCATTTGTAGTAGCTAATTAAGGTTAGATGATTTAATTTAATTTATAATCGAAATATGTACATTTTTTTTAACGAATAGTAAAGCTTTGTAACAATAAAATAATACTTAGCTTGCAATTAAAATCTATAATTTTGATTCAAATTTAAAGCATAATCAAGTGAACATAATGCTTATCCTATTACTCCATCTAATTTTTCAATTTATCTTACAGACATATCATTATTTTCTAAACTTATAGAATTATTATTACCAACTATTTGTAATTGAGATTGTTCATTTTTAACAATAATAGGTAATTTTTCATCTGTATTTCTTTTTTAAATACATTTGAAACTTAAATCTAATTTTAATCTTGTAAATGCTCCAATCCAATATGGATCTCCAAATTTACATAAAACATTTTCTATTGAACATAATTATATAATAGTTATGCCAAGTAATTTCATAGTTTCTAATACTTATTTATTTAAATAGATTTGTCCATTCCCTATATGTTCTTCATATATTTAATTTTCATTTCTAAAAAGAATTTATCCATCCATACTTAGTAATGGTAAGCAATCTTATTAAAAGAAATAAATCTAATATTCTTTTAATCCATAGAAATTTGAATTTTATAAATTTGTAGTAATTATTTCATGATTAAAACTTGTAGTCATTATGAATATTAGAATTGGCTAGCATTTTCCATTTATTTTTTTTGTTAGATTTTATAGGCTTTGTATTCTTTCAAAATACAATTGAAATAAACATTTTTTTGATGGTAACTAAATATCTAAAAACCCTGTATTTTATTGAGAACTAATCACGATTGCCACTAAATAGTGAGTATTATCCTAATACGTTTGCCTTCTGCAATAATTTAATATCCAATAGTATCATCTTTTAATTATATATCTATGCAGTTTACAAATTGGAATGGAATTGATTTCTTTGTATTTTACTTAAACTTTTGAAATGCCTACAAATAGTTTAAATAATACTTAATTCAACAAATTAATATCATAGCTGAATAGTTTCTCTAAAATTTATTGCTTGTGATTTTCTTTTAACTTCTCTATATACTTCTATATTGAGGTCTATTCATTGATTTAGTAATCAATAGCATCATATGATCTCTTTTTCATTTATTAATTTAAATATAATAAGAAATTATAAATTATCAGCATAAATATTTTATTAACTTAAATTAAAATTGCTTTCAATAAATATCCAATAGTTTAATATCGCTTTTTGTAAATTCTAATTCTTTTCCAAAATCTTAATATCCTTTTTCATTTAATCTGCTCATAACAATGGTGTCATTTTGAATAAGCTTAACTAAATTATATCTACTAAAATTAAATTTTAATACTATAAAAACACTATTTAAATGATTTTGTTAAATTTATTCAATTAGTTTATATCTGCTAACTTGAATTATTGATTAAATAAAAATATAATTAATTAAAATTATTGATAAAACTATAAACTTATTTAATATAATTGCTTAGAAAATTATATAATTGCAAAATATAGCATAAATATTGTTTTATAAATGCAATTATTTTAGTAGTTTAAGTAATTATTAACATTAATTTATCATAAATTTAAATTTTCATTTAATACTTTTTTCTTAACTTCTAGATAAATTTATCATTTAAAGATATAATTAATACTAATATATTGACATTTTGTTAGGGTAGTTTGCTTAATATAATAATATAAATTTAGTTTTAGTTGTTGAATTATTTTACATAGTTTATTTATTTTAATATTATTTTAAATCTAAAATGATAAGGTTAAGGAATATTATTGGATCTGTTATTCAATTTTAAACTTCCTTATTTCGATTTTCTACTCAAAATCCACTACCACCTTCTGATTAATCATATAAAAAGGTGTTATTCTCAGGAAAGAGTGTTGATATTTAAAAGAAATAAAATTAAAAATAAGAATAGAAACAGTAATATTAACAAAAAAAAGAGTTTAATGAAAATTAATAGAATGAAAAAAGTACTCCACATAAGAAATAAGAGAGACAATTTGATAGATAATAAAAATAAAAATTTGATGATCCTAGACCTTAAAGAAATGAAAGAGAACGTAGATCACCTGAATAATAATAATAATAATAAGATACTCCAAAAAAAACAGGAATTTTATTTGGAAATAAAAATAAAGATCATAGATAAATTGGAGCAAGATATATGAGTAAAAGAGGGTTCAATTAAATTCTGAAAAAAAAATAAGAGACAGAAAAATAAAATGAAAAGATCTTTATAGATTAACTTAATGAAGCTTAAAATATTCAAAATATTCATGAAAGAAATTCAAAATTAATTGATATTTATGCTAGTCAAAATAAATGGGATAAAGTTAAAGATATATTTAAATCAGAAAAGTAATTTAATTCTGGTGTCTATTCAGCTTACATAAATTAAATAGCTTCTCAATCTGTTGATCTTTAAGACTATTAACATCTTAAAGATATTATAAATAAATTAGGTGATAAAGTTCATACTCTTTAACCTGAAGCATTTCAATCTCTTTACTTTATGATATTCAATCTTGATTTGTTTCCAAATGAAAAAGTACTCCATATTATTAATAATTATAATAGGCTAAAGAATTAGAATATCTTATTGATATTGTTACAACTCATCATTTAACTCCATAATTTGATCTAACATATTTTTAAACTCTTTTTGAAGAATAATCATTAGAGAGTGAAAAAATAAGTCATTTAATGGTCATTAAAGTTTTTAATTAATATTTTGAAAGACATGCTTAATAGAATAAAGGTAAATTATCAGTAGATTTACCAAATTTAAATATAGCATTTGCATAAGCAGTTAAATCAACTATTTACTATAATACCAATGAGGCTTAGAATTTCCTTAATAATTTGAAAGGCCTTTAATAATTAGCTGAAAATAATGTTAAAATAGATGACTTGGTTAGATATGCATAATAGTATATAAAATTTAAATATTTAGTATTTCCTTAAAAGAAAATTCTTTTTCATAATTATTGGAATTATTCAAAGGAATCAGAAATCCTAATTTTATATTCTTATTTGAATAAGCATTAAAAAAATTAGATTCAAATGGTATGGAAGTGAAAGCCATAGATAAAGAATAATTAGAAAAAATCTATTTTGAAAAAGTAGACAATTTACCTGTTAGATAAGCTGAACTATTTGGTTTATTTGCTGATCGATTCCAATATCCTGAATTTTTAGTTGAAATCTTTTAGAACCATAAATAAAATAAGTAAAATGAATATTCTAGTTTTTTGTATCAAAAAGCAATTGGAGTATTAATAGATAAATCAGGAGGAAAAAATGTAAGTAATGCTGTGGTAATATTTATAATTATTTATTAAGATGACTTTAATGTAAGAGGCCAATAATTTCAAAGTACCATTATCAAAAGTGAATTATTAAATCAATCAAATTAAGGCTCATATTATAGAAGGTCAATATCAATTGGCTTACAATCTCTTTACATAAAATGTTATAGATGATATAATTCTGTCATTTTAGAAGTATATTATTTATAATATCCAATTTTAGAGAGAAAATTAGAAGATTTTTGTATAAATATGTTCAAAAAATTCATATAGGCACAAAATTCAGATTAAGATATAATATGAAAACATATTAAAAAAAAATTTAACATGTTGATGAATTTATAAGAAATCTTTCAGATAAATAACTATTTGATTTTTATAAGGAAGAGAGATCAGATAATTTCTTATTGGAATCTTTAATTTAATAAGAGGATATATTTGAATTTAATAAACAGATTGCATATAGAGAGGCTTTTAATTAAATTAAGAGTGAGGTAGCACATGGTACATTTGACTATTAAAAATTGTAATTATTATATTTTGAATAAATTAGAATACAACCAATTACAGAGAGTGAATAGATTCTTAGAGAGGTGTTTGATAATTATGAATATTATGTTAAAATTGAAAAGAAGTTGTTATTTGATGAGAGAAAGAGAAAGAGAATTTAGGAAGTGATAAATTAATTAAGATCACGTTCTGGTTAGAGAAGAACATATGAATAAACAATAGCCGAAATTGAGGGTCTTTTTAAGAAAAGTACTATTGAATATGGACTAATGAGAAATGATTTGATTGAATTTCCAGAAGTTGAATAAATTTAGTAAATGTAATTAAGTATGAATTTTATTTAAATTATATAGAAATGAAAAAAGAATTAAAAAAATTAGGTTTGTCAAATGAGAAATACAAGGCAAATGTAATAACATTTTAACCATTGTAAATAAATTCTTAAAAAGAATAAGAAGTTATTGAATAAATTCCTAATGAAATTCTAAAAAAAGATAATGAGACTAATAAATAAAAAGGAAAATCTTAGAAAGCTGCTTTTAAATCAGTTGATAAATTAATTGATGATTATATAGCTAAAGCTAGAGATGATTAAAAGAATTTAAGAAATCTTGAAAAATGGAGAAGATATCTCAAAATTATGTATTCAGGTATATAATTTAAACATAAAATGTAAACTGATAAAGAATTCTTTAAAAAAATGATTCGTTAAAAATATTAATTTGGTTCACATGATGATGGTATGAAAGAATTGATTAATCTAAAATTAAAGAAAAAAATGCTAATTCGTAAAAGAAGATGGTTTACAAGAAATAGATTAAGAGAAAAACCTCCAAAAATATCTGTATTTATTAATGGAAGGGTTTCATTAAGTGATTTCCAATTTATGAAATACATTTATTATAATGCTTATACTTAATATGATGAATATATAAATGTGCCTCCTAGTAATTATCAAAGTGAAATTTGGGATTTATTAGCATGGGGTATATAAAATCAAGAACCTATGGGTATTTAATTTAATTAATTAATTTAGCTGTGAAATTAACAGAATTATATAGTAATACTTGTGGTGCTAAAATGCCAGAATATTTATCAAAATTAGTAGCAAACTTTTATAAATGTGAAGTAGGAGAAACAAGTAATTTATATGTTTATTGTGATAGATTCCTAGGTTAGATAAAGATGGATTTAATCAATGGAAATTGTTAATGATATTAGTACTAATAAAGTATATTCACATACAAATGATCAAGCATTTGTCTCCCAATAGGATATTGAGTTTTTACATGCAATGGAATGCAAACAAGAATATAAAGGAATATGTAGAGCATTATTGAATACAACTCATTCCTATCGTAAATATGTTAGATATGGTGTATCATAAAAAGAATTGTTGGTGTGATTTAATGAGAGTTATATTTAAAAACAATAAAACTTGATAAAAATAAAATAAAAACCTTTATTTCAATAATAATTTCTTATTTTTTTTATTGTCTAATATTTATTATTAAAATAATCAATCTACATTTTATCTATTTCAATAGCTATCATCTTATAGTTCCATACTATTCAATTATATTTACTTAATTACTTAAACAAATAGTTTATATATGCTATTAGTAAATATTATTAGTAATATTATTTAATTAATATATAATGAACTATGAATGGTTTTAGGATGATAATCAAATAAAATTACGCTTTGAAATCAAAAATACAAAAAGCGATAATCTTGATATCTAAGTAGCTGATGTAGTCGTTAAAGTAAATGTACTTGACAAGAAATTTGCTAAAACAATTGATTTATTAGCTCCTGTTATTGAAGGCAATATTAAATATGGAGCAGATGTACTAGAAGTCACTTTAATCAAAGTATAACCTGGTAAATGGCCACAATTGAGTCCATCACTTAATAAAGAGGAATTGATTCTAAGAAGAAAGGATGTAACTTAAACATATTATTCAAGGCATTTTTAAGAAAAGATTAAGAAATCTAAGCTTAAAAGAAATTAAAAGAAGATCTTAAACATTAATTTGATTAACATGCCACTAAAGAATAGATTAAGGTAGATGATCGTGAAAGAAATCTTATTAGATAAAAGTAAGAATAATAAAAAACTGAAGCTATTTCTGATCTATATAATCAAATTGGATAGGATTCAAAATTTAAGTAGAATGAATTAGTCTAATAAGAAGTAACAGATGATTAAATTGAAGATAAATTAAAAAAATATGAAGAATTTGAAAAATAGTAAGATTAGAATTAAAAATAAAAACCAAAACAATCATAACCTATATCAGAAAATAATGATATCTTTACTAATGAAGATATTAAAAAATAAGAGAAACAAGCTAACGGTCCTATTCCTGAACCTAGAAAAGCAGCTGCAGTTTAAATGACCTTTACAGAAAAGATATATCCTCATTTGGCAGCTCGTGAATAACATTTTAAAGATGCTCCTGTTCCTAGATAAAAGAATATTCCAATCACTGAATAGAGAGAAAACCCTTTATTTCTAAAAGATAAAGCAGATGAATTTTTTAGAAATAAAGATTATTATTCTGCAATTAATGCTTATTCAGCTGCTTTTAAGTATGATAATTAAATGTTTGCTTGTATTTCTAATAGAGCTGCTTGTTATTTAGCTTTGTTCAATTTTTAAGAATGTATTGATGATTGTTAGACGATTATTAAGATGGAGAAAAAAGATTAATTATATGATAAATGTTTAAAAAGATTGAAAATATGTTAAGCATGGAAAGGTGATTTGGATGAAGCATTAAATGGAGATCTACCAGAAGAAGCTAAATAAATTATATAAAATAGAATTGAGTCTAATAAATATAAAAATTAAGGTGATGCATATATGACAACATCTCAATATTAAAAAGCAATAGAAATGTATTAAAAATCTCTATAGTATGATTTTGAAAATGAATTAAGTTTAAGTAACATTGGTTTAGCTTATATGAAATTAAATTAAACAGATAAAGCATTGGAAAGTATTGAGAAAGCAATTTAAAAAGTTAAACCATTTTTATAGTATGTTAATTTGAATCCTAATATTGGAAGATAAAGTTCATTTGCTGGTAATGAATTCCTACTAAAAAATTTAATGAAGAAATCTAATTGTTTATTTGAATTAAATTAAGAATAGGATGCTTTAAATAGTGTTAAATAAGCTTTGATTATAGATGAAACAAATGCAGAAGCTAGAAGTATCATGAATAAGATCTAGGATAAATTAATTAAATAAGATGTACTTAAATTAAAAGAAATTGCAACAGAGAGATTAAAATAATAATAATATTCTGATTCATTAGAATTATATAATCAATGTTTAAAGAAATTAAGTCCTTAAGAGGATTTAATGGATTTCTTAGCAGTATTATTAAATAGATGTATTTGTTGTTTTTTTTTAAATTAATTTGATGAAATAGTAGGTTCATGTACTAGAGGAATTAAAATAATATAGATTTAACAGAATAAGTATTATATTAAAATATATATTTAGAATTCTATCTTTTGAAAAGATTACTAAAGAATAGAAAGACAAATTATAAGACTTTTTAGTAAGATTTTATGTTCGTAGATCAAATGCATATGTAAAATAAAATTAAATTTATCATGCTAAATGTGATTTACAAGAGGCTTTGAAATTAGATCCTTAAAATGAATAAATAAAAAAAGATTTAGAAAAATTGAAGTGAATGTTGTATTTTAAATGTCAATATATATTTCATAAGAAATATGGTAATACATTTTTGGGTGGTTGACTAGCAGCAGATTCTGGGACTTCTTTAAACATTACAAAGTCTCTATTTAAATTTTCATCAAGAGAAAGCATAGATGCTGCATTACCACATCTGTAACAATAATTTGGTGCTGACCATACTGTTACAAGTTATTCCTATGATAAATTATTATCTTACTTCAAACCAGTATTAATATCCATCTTAAACTAATTGATGTGCACGAGCAATTAATTGTAAACCATTAATATGATTAAAATCATGTGTCACTTTTTTACCAAATATCCATCCTGCTCCTCTTGTATTAAGTGCCCATGTATCTACTTCTTCAGGATCTGACCACATTAAATCACAAAATGGACCTTCATGAGGTATTTCAGTTTTACGATCTATTATAGAATTTCATTATACCTATTGTTCTGATTTAATCAATTGTTCTTAATTCTGGAGAAAGTCCACCATGAACACATAAAACTTTTCCATCTACTAGAGCTCCCAAAGGAAGATAATCAAAAACATCTGTAAAATATCGCCAAGGATTTGCATTCCCATATTTTCTCACTATTTCATCATAGAAACCATAAACTTGAGTAATTTATCTTGATTCATGATTTCCTCTTAATAATGTAATATTATCTGGATATTTAAGTTTTAAACAAAGCAAATACTCGAATGTCTCTACAGAATTGTATCTATAATCAAAAACCTACTATACCCACGATCAACAAAATCGCCAATAAATATATAGTTGGCATTTGGAATCTATCCTCCTTTATTGAATAACTCTAACAAATCAAAGAACTGCCCATGTATGTCTCCACAAATTATTACTGGAGCTTTCACTTAATGTACATTTGATTCTTCAATAAAAATCTCCTTTGCATGTTCACAAACCAATCGCACATCTCTCTCACTCAAACACCTGGCATTTTTAAGAGTTTCTAAGTATTTATCGATATCCATTTAAATTTTAAAATTATTTCTCTCGTATATTAAATCATCTATAATATAATATTCAAAATTTATATTATCTCATCATTCTATTATTGATTATAATCTAATTATTTTTTATCAAAAATTTATCATATTTAAGTTACACATTAATCATAACTAATATTGTATTATTAAAATTTACAAAATATATATCATATAGTCTATTCTTTTTTTGATAGCTCTATTTATTTGGGTTTTCTATTTTGTTTATTTAATTAATCTTTCGAATTTCTTTAAATATTTAGTAAATTAATCAAATGAAATCATAAAAAAGATAATAGAAATAAAACCAAATATAACCTAGTATATTTAAATATATTTACTATAGTTCCTATATTTTTAGGAATTATTGTATTTATTTATTTGTTTATTTAAATCAACTCAATTATAACATGATTTTCTTTAGTATAAAACTCATCCTAAAATCTATCCCATTCTGATATTGCATTAAAACTAATAGGTATTTTAATATGCTTTTGAAATTTGAATTATTTAGATTATACAATAAAAATTTGATGCTAGACTTAACTTATTTAAAAGGAGAAATTAAAATTTATTGTATTAAAATCATATAANGCTCCCAAAGGAAGATAATCAAAAACATCTGTAAAATATCGCCAAGGATTTGCATTCCCATATTTTCTCACTATTTCATCATAGAAACCATAAACTTGAGTAATTTATCTTGATTCATGATTTCCTCTTAATAATGTAATATTATCTGGATATTTAAGTTTTAAACAAAGCAAATACTCGAATGTCTCTACAGAATTGTATCTATAATCAAAAACCTACTATACCCACGATCAACAAAATCGCCAATAAATATATAGTTGGCATTTGGAATCTATCCTCCTTTATTGAATAACTCTAACAAATCAAAGAACTGCCCATGTATGTCTCCACAAATTATTACTGGAGCTTTCACTTAATGTACATTTGATTCTTCAATAAAAATCTCCTTTGCATGTTCACAAACCAATCGCACATCTCTCTCACTCAAACACCTGGCATTTTTAAGAGTTTCTAAGTATTTATCGATATCCATTTAAATTTTAAAATTATTTCTCTCGTATATTAAATCATCTATAATATAATATTCAAAATTTATATTATCTCATCATTCTATTATTGATTATAATCTAATTATTTTTTATCAAAAATTTATCATATTTAAGTTACACATTAATCATAACTAATATTGTATTATTAAAATTTACAAAATATATATCATATAGTCTATTCTTTTTTTGATAGCTCTATTTATTTGGGTTTTCTATTTTGTTTATTTAATTAATCTTTCGAATTTCTTTAAATATTTAGTAAATTAATCAAATGAAATCATAAAAAAGATAATAGAAATAAAACCAAATATAACCTAGTATATTTAAATATATTTACTATAGTTCCTATATTTTTAGGAATTATTGTATTTATTTATTTGTTTATTTAAATCAACTCAATTATAACATGATTTTCTTTAGTATAAAACTCATCCTAAAATCTATCCCATTCTGATATTGCATTAAAACTAATAGGTATTTTAATATGCTTTTGAAATTTGAATTATTTAGATTATACAATAAAAATTTGATGCTAGACTTAACTTATTTAAAAGGAGAAATTAAAATTTATTGTATTAAAATCATATAAATTTAGAATAATTAGAAATTGTTATAATAATCACTTAAATTGAGTCAAAAATTAATTTATTTGGATTATAAATTGAAACTAATAAATTTAGTTACTAATACACATTATTATTCTCATATAATAAGCTATTCAGCAAAATAAAGAAAAAAGGTTTTTCTCTAAATATGATTTAAAAATGGTAATCCTTATTTAAATAATATGAAATTATGGATTAGAACTAATTATTGTAAAAAATTTAAATTTCTGTAGTACTTCAAGTGATTTAAATTATTCTCTTCATTATTAATCTTTATTTATCTTAATGAATATAAAATAAGCTATAATTAAAAATTATTATAAAATAAAATAAAGTGAATGATTATATATTCCTTTAATTCTGGTTTAATATAGCATTATCTAATTATTTAAAAAATAATGAATTTATTGATAAATTTGTTTAACTCAAAATTTAGGAAACATTTTATAATATCTTGTTACTAAATACTAAATTATATAACATAATATTGAAACACTTAAGAATTTAAGATAGAATCACATTAAATCTAGTCTAAAATAGAACCCTATAATTCAAACTTATATTTATTAATAAAGTACATAATTATATAATTTAAATTTAAAATGGAAGTTGAATTACATTAATAAATCCCTCCATAACTCAATGTTCAAGTAGCAATTAGAGTTCGTCCGTTTAATGAAAAAGAATTGAAATAAAAAGAAGGTGTATGTTTAGAAACATCAGAAAAATAAGTAACACTTTTGTAAAGTGCTCGTTTGTTTACATTTGATTATGTTTTTGACTAAAATGCTTCTCAAGATTAAGTCTATAGAAAGTACAATTCATAATAAATTTAATCAAAGGTGTGTTAGCAATTTAGTTTAGAGATGTTTTGAAGGTTATAATAGTACAATTCTTGCATATGGATAAACAGGATCAGGGAAAACTCATACTATGGGTACTACAGGAATAGATTAATTATCAAGTATTACAAATTATCTATGAAGATAAAAATAACATGGGAATGATACCAAGAGTAATTACACAAATATTTGATGAAATTGAAAAAATAGATTAAGAAATCCTGATTTCTTGTTCATATTTGGAATTATATAATGAATAAATAATTGATCTATTATAGGAGAGTTCAATATCTAGTCAACCCACTATAAGAGAAGAGAAAGATCGCACAATAACGATATTAAATTTAACTACAATATTAGTAAATAATCCAAATGAAATGCTTTAAGTATTAAATAGAGGAGCTGCTCATAGAACAACAGCAGCTACATAAATGAATATGACAAGTAGTAGATCACATGCAATTTTTACAATTTACTTTAAAATAAATCCTAAGGATGATTCTGAAGATGGCACTTTGAATGCTAAATTTCATTTTGTTGATTTAGCAGGGAGTGAAAGATTAAAAAAAACTTTGGCTTAAGGAAAAACAATGGAGGAAGGAATCAATATAAATCAAAGTCTTTTGGTCTTAGGTAATGTAATAAAGACATTAAGTGATTAAAAAAAGAAAAGTTAAACTCATATACCTTATAGAGAGAGTAAATTAACTAGGTATTGTATATTGTATAATAATAGAATATTATAAGATTCTTTGGGGGGTAATTCCAATACATGTATGATAGCTTGTGTGTCTCCTGCAGAAAGTAATTATGAGGAGACTTTGAATACTTTGAAATATGCATCAAGAGCAAGAGAAATTCAAAATAAACCAACATAAAATAGAGTATATATATATAATTAAAAATTAGGATCCTCATGCAATTTAAATATTGGGTTTGAAATAGGAGATAGCAGCATTAGTTGAATAAAATAAATAATTTTAAGAATTACTTTAAGTAAATGGAGTTAAATTTGATTCAATAAAAAAGGTTTCAGTATCTTAATATTCTTCAAATATCCCTTCCCATACTTGTGAGGAACATTTAGAAATGATTTAAAAATAGAAATAAGCATTATTTGTTTGGGAACGTCTTGGATCTTAACATAAATTAGAGGTTTAAAAATTATAATCTTAAATAAATGATTAAGAAATAGAATTACATAATTTAAAAAAGAAAAAAGATATAATTTTTAAATAATTTTAAGATTCAAAGAAGTAAATTAAAATTATAATTTAGAATATTGTAAAAATTTAATATACCATTTACTAATTATGATGAAGATGATGAAATAGAAGATTTGTATGATGAAGTTGAAAAATTAAGAGAAGAATAAAAAGAAAAAGATTATAAAATATTAACTATGTAAAAAGAAATAGATGAATTATTATAGGTAGTTTTTATTGTTTAAATACTAGGATAGGATGCACACAGAGATTAATACATTTTATGTAAAAAATAGAAAGAATTGATGATTCTTTAAAGAAAACTTGAGAAATTAGAACCTAAAGATAATTTTGAATCACCAGCTCAAGATTCAGAATGTGATGAAGAAGTCATTTGTAATGATTCTATGATTAAAGAAACAAATTTATAAATTGAAGAATTTGAAAGCAATTTATAGGTTATGACAATTAGAAATTTTGAACTTAAACGTTAATTGGCAGAAGATATGAAAAAAGAATTTTAATAGTAGATATCTGTTTTAGAAGCATAAAAAGCATCTTTAATGAAATAAGTGAATTAAAAATAAGATGCTCCTTAATTAAATGCATTAAAAGTTAAATTATAAGAATATGAATCTAAGATTAGTGAAATGAGATTGAAAGAATAAAATATGAGATAAATGTAAAAGAAATTGGAAGAATAAGAAAATTAGGTTAAAGATTTAAAGATAAATATAGAGAAAATGAAAAAATAGAAAGTAGAATTAATTAAGAAAATGAAATAAGATAATGAAAAGTATATTAAGGATAAGGAAGAGAAATAAAAAGAATTGATATTAATTAAAAAATTGAAAATTTAATAAGATGCTGCTTTAAGTAAGTTGAAAAATGAGAATTGTAAGAAAGAAGTACTACTTAGAAGAAAAGAGGATGAAATATTAAAATAAAGAAATGAGAAAGTTATTGAGAAAGGTACAAATCTTTCATTTAAGAAATCTTAAAAAGTATAAACTTATGATTCTCTGGAGAAATAAATAGAATCTTTGTTTTCTTAATTGATATCTGGAGGATAGGCAGAAATGTAAATAAAAAGAGAAATAACAAAGTTAGAATAATTGTAAGAGGAAGTAAATTAAATAGAACAGAAAATTTGTTAATTATAAATAAAAAGAGAATAAATATCATATGATTAAAATAATAGAAATAGTTTAAATTAAATTGAATTAGAATTGAGTGATATAATAATCATAAGAGAAAATATAAATGAGACTATTGATTATTAATTACATAAAATAGAGTAATTAAGAAAGAATTGTAATAATTGCACAGAAGTATATACAAATTTTTTAACTAATTCTGAATTGAGAGATCTTCCAAATTGGTGTATTAAAATATTTAAATATTTAATTGATAATTGGATTAAAGATCATTTGTAAATGTAAAATTTTAATTAATAAAATGATGAATTTTAACAAATAATTTAAGAATTACAATAATAATTATAAAAACCACTTTAAGAGATTAATTGCAATTCTCCTACTCTTAAAAAGAAGATTGTTAAATAATAGGTTTCCTCATAACCTAATGATGCATTAGAACTCAGAAAATAACTTAATGATTAAAAAAGAAAGTATTAATTTTTATAAAATGAAAATAAAAATATGATATCAGATTTAGAATATTATAAGAAATTCTACACTGAACATATTAATAAAGTATAAAAAGATAAATGTATTGGTTTAAGTGATTCATTTTAACTTCCATAAAGTTAGAGTTATCAATAAATAAGAGATGCATATAAATTGGAAAGAACCAAACAAAAAGAATTATCATTAAATTTAAGTTTTTAAAAACCTTATATCTAAAATTCAGCTCTTAAGATGGCTAAAGTTTGTAAATCAGATAGAGAAGGATATACTGATTAATTTAGTTAAGCATAAGAAGAATAAGAATTAAGATATGAGTATTAAATGATCATAAATATAATAGCATAATTAAATCAATACCTGGTCATGAGAATCCTATATTGTGTGTATATACAATGTAGAATTTATTATGTTCAAGTGCATTTAGATCTGTTAAAATATGGGATATGGATGCATAATCTCATATAATATCATTGGATGCAAATACACATGTTAAATCAATTTGTCATTGGCCTGAAAGGAATGCTATTGCTGTATCACATGGATCCCAAATTTCATTGTATGATGTGACTTCGTTTTAACTCTAGAGTGTATTAAAATCTTCAATAGATGAAATAAGAGTAATGACTAGACATAATGGTTTATTAGTGGCTGGTGGTAAAGGTATTAATTATGCTATGAATGTTTGGGATATAAGATCAAATAAGTATTGAAATATAATGATATATTTAGTTAAATTCATGAATTTGAGAAATCAAGTGATGTTATGTGTTTATAATAAACTGATTAAACTTAAGAGTTAATTTGGGGAACTTTTAATCACAATGTGAGAAAAATGATGATGAATAGTAATAAATATGGTTAGATTGCATAAATGACACCTCCACATTATGATAAAGTTACTGGAGTTGGTTTATTAGATAATTGGATAGTGAGTTGTTCATTTGGTAAAGGAATGAGAATGTGGAATTAAATAAATGGTTAATAAGGATAAGCAAATTCTGATATTCATAAAGATTCAATCTTAACAATGGCCAGTATAATTATATATTTATTATTATTAGTTGATAAAAACCTAAAAGTTATGTACACAGGTTGTAAAGATGGATAAATAAAAGCAACTAGAATTAGTGAGAATAAATTTTAACTTGTTAGTGATATTAGTGCTTCTGTTTAATAAATTAATTCTCTTAACATTATAAATGATAGTTCACTTATAGTTAGTGGTGGTCAAGATAGAATGATTAAAATATGGAAGCCTTCTAAATTTACTTTTGATCACTTAAAATAGTTTACTCCTAATATAGGTGATTTCATTATTGAAGAAGAACAATACATGTTTAGTTGACTCTTATTTATATATTAATTTATGCTCAGATTATAATAATAAAAATCCTTTCTTTATAGAATATTAATTATTTTTTAAACGAATGTTATTCATATTATAAAATTGAATAAATCAATTTTACAGTAAATTACGAAAATCTTCATATTTCAATTCATTTTAGTTTGGAGACAGTTCTTTTATTAGTCTCTAATAAATTATAAGTATTTCTTACATTTAAATCTATTGAAAGATTGAACTCATTTTATATAACATTAATTAGTTTTTATCTATCTACAGATCCAGTTTTATCTTCATTACCTCCCAAAGCTATAAATGCAAGTTCTATTAAAGTTTTAAATTAAATTTACTTATATCTTCTTCATCACTTGTTTATAAAATCATTTTATGATAAGCTATAATTTTTAAGAAATCCTCTTTACTAATGGCTCCTCTTCCTGATAAATCTACTTCATTAATCATTTTAATTAATTCCTCTTCTGATGGCTTCTATCCCATTTCTAAACAATTTAATATTTTTTACCTTCTAAAACAGCTCTTAATTCATCTTTTTCAATATATCCTGATACATTTTTATCAAATGCAACAAAAGCTTCATAACATTTTTATTTCTCCTTTGCTGTGAGTGTATCTACATTAACCTTTTTTAGATCATCCATATTAATAGTTATTTATAAAGTAAAAAATATAAAAAAAATTATTGAATAACTTAATCTAAATTCAAATTTTTGTTATAATTTCTTTAAGAACTTTTTCATGATATATTTATATTAAAGATAATAATATAATCAATTATGGAAGTTATGATGAATTATTTTTTATATATTATGAATAATATTCTCAAAATTTTATATATTAAAAAATCTTTATTATAAAATACATTGGAATTAATATTTAAATAAAAGAGTATAATTTATTATTATTATAATTAAAATACCCCTTTTGATTTAAACTTGAACTAAAATTCCATAATCTTTTGTTTTTATATTTGTTTTCCAATAATATATTCAAATATTAGGTCAATCTTATCTATGATATTAAATGAAATTAACATATGAATTTACAAAATATAATTATATATAAAAATGATCTATAATTTATTTAAATCTTGATAATAATGATTTTCAAATAATTGTGAATGCATTTGATTAGATGCCACAATTTTCTCCATATGCTATATGAACATATCCTTCTGAACCCCAAGTAGTTCCGAATGAACCTTAAACAATCCAATAATCTGGTGTTTTACCAACAAGTAAACCACAATAGTTGTTTGTATTACCTCCACAATCTTAAGCTGTTATTATGCCTTTAGTATAACTCTAAAGTTTGGAAGCATTAAAACATACAACGGCTGGTCTCTACTTTAAGGCTTATGAGATTGCACTATAATATTAATTTTTAATTTTACTTAATAGAGTCAAGTTTTAGATAATTTGTTGGTCTTAGTTATAATCCTTCAACTTAAGCACATGCTTAAGCCTTTCCAGTATATGGATATTTGCTTTCCCAATGTAAACCATTACTTTTAATATATTTGAGTGCATCAGTTGGAATTCCACTCAAACATCCTTTTAATGGATCCAATTAATCTGAACAATCAATTACTTATTGTAAGGACAATTTGACATATTTACTTGTTTATTATCTGAAATATGATTCTAAACAATTTTTAGATGCTATAGCCCATGAAGAAATACAGTCTCCTTAATCAAACACATCAGATACTATGTTGATAGTTCTCCAATCAATATTATCATCATCAGCTGTCAAAATAGTATCAGAAATGAATGTCTTATCTAATTAAAGAGTGAAATCTGTAATGAGATATTTTTGTTTGAATTCAGCTTCAGTCAAATCAGTAAATTGAGTATTACCAAAATAATGAAGTTCTGAATTATCCATTTAAGCATAAGCCCAAATTTAAAATCTTTAGTCTTCCTCTTCTTATGTAGCATATACTTTTTAAAATTATTCTTTGTAATTTTAAAAATCAGCTTTAAGTGATTAAATATCTTCATTCTTTAACATAGGGAATGCTGCATATTTTTAAACTCCACAATGTGCAACATCAGCATGAAATCTGACAATACCTTCAACTCCCCAGTATGTTTTAATTTCTTAATTCTTTGTAATTTAACCTAATGTAGTTTATATAATCCATTCATCATTCTCATATCCCAATAATAAACCACAATAATTAACTGTTCCATCTGTACAATCTTAATTAATTACTCCATTAATATATTATTAGAATTTTGTCAAATCAAAACAAACAGTCACAGGTGTGAATTATAAAGCAGCTTTCAATTGACTATTAATATATGATAATATCATACTCTTTGTCAGCCTTTACTAATCTAATATCCTATATCTTATATTCTTATGTTGTTGGTACACAATTTTTAGTTGTATAAGTAGATCTCAAATCAATACCATTCTATTTAATCCATAATAATGCATCCAAAGGACTTTTACCATCAGTTACACAATCTATAATCTATTGTGTTGCCAATCGAACATAATCTGCAGGATCAGTTATAGCTCTATTAAAGTATGCTTCAACTGAAGCAACTGCTGAGAATGCCCAAGAGTGAGCACCAGCATCATGAGCATTCTTTTCTATTAAGTGTTGCCAAACTTTTTCATCGGGTAAGTTTTAAGTACTTAAACCTCTTGCTTCTCCATAAGAAGGAATTGCATCTTTTAATAAGAATTGAGTTTTAAAATCGGCAGCACTTATATCTGAATATAATGTTTAGCCCAAATCATATTCAGCTACTTTTGGATCTTAATTAATAAAGGTCTATTTTATAGATTCTATATACATCCAATAAAATATAGTTGTCTGTGTATGCAGTCTCTGTGTTATTTGTGTTAGCATCAAAAGGCCAAGTTTTTCCCTTTAACTCTATTTCATAGTGAACCCAACTTTCATGAATAACAGCAGGGCTAGGTTATGCATATAGTGTCATGCAGAGAATAGCCAACAAAATCAATCTCATTTATAATTTAATTAAATTCTGATGTCATGTAAATTTATTTTATATATTGCAGAAAAACATAAACCTATAACAAGATTAGTATTACACACTCTACATTCTATTAATTATGGATATTATTTATTTATTAATATAAAATGAAATACATATACAATCAATATAGAATTTATAATATAAATAAATACGGAATTTTGAATTGAGTTATTATTTTATTATTATTTATGATTCTAAATATCATGTCTAACTATTTGTATTAGATTCATTATAATGATGCTTTATATTATTTATTATAAACAATATCTATTTATGTATTATTATATTTAAATCAATGAAAATATTCATCGTACAAGTAAACAAACATTTTTACTAATGTTAAATTATCGATAAATTCAATATGAGCTGCTCTTCCTATAAATTTATCTAATTTCCTATAATAATACTAATTATTATTACTTTTTAGTTATTTAGAAATTTATGTCAAATCTATCTATTTTACCACATTTTGATAAAATATTTGAAACTATTTCATTATATGCCTAAACTTTTTGATCATTAACATTCTCAATTTTCTATATCAAAGCAGAATGAAAAGGTACATAATGATCTTGAAATGAAGACATTACAACAACATTATTGAACCAATTCAATCCCTCTGCTTTACTCAAATTATATATATAAGTATTTTTAACATCTTTATGATCTCTTTAACTTAATTCTTCAAGTGTTTTACATTTATTCCATTTTTAGATCATCATCAAACCAGTATCAACTAAAACACTTTCAGATGAAGCATATCCACAATGAGGTGATCCAAGACTAACATAAGTGTGCATAAATTCTTTATATTCTCTCAATTAAGGAAGAGCAGCTCTTATAATAAGTCCTCCAAGAGAATGACCAATAAATGACAATCTATATTCATTTATATTTTCATCACTTAAATAGTTCTCAATTTCTTCAGCAAGTAATTTAGCTTATTCTTAAATTGGTTTATTGGAAGTGCCATCATTACATGTTGGACAAATTAATCTAATTTTATCTTTAAATCTAATTGTCAATATGGATTTCCAATATCTCATATCATATGATGTACCTTAATATCCATGAACTAAAACAACATAATGAACATAAGAATTTTAAGGCTTCTAGTAAAATCCATTTTAAACACAAGTTTATTTGAATATAAATGGATTTGTAGTTAGAGGTTGAAGCAATTCTATATATCTTATAGCATCTATTTCTTATGAAAAAAGTTAATTTCTCTTCAACTTTGCTATTTCATGATTATTTCTTCCATTTTATTGAACTTAATCCAATTATTTAACTTCAGATTTATTTAAAAGTACACAATTTTGCCACCTTTAGATCATTTAACATAAAAATTCTTATTCCAATTAATCTTATAACTTTTGAGGGTTCTCCTTTATTGCATCCACTAGTTCACACCATAATATATACATATCATGATGAAGATCATGTAGACTCTATTGATGGATAAGAATATACTTGTATAATTTAATTTTCTTTATCATCATCCTTGAAATCTAATTATTTCTCTTAATATTATAATTGTCTTAGTTTCTTCTCATTCTATAAATTATTGAGTTATTTTATTAACTATTCTCTATTATTCAACAACAAATAAATGGATTTATTAATAACTTCATTAAATTGTTCTTATGTTTTAAATTCGTCAATTAATTACTATTTTGTAAATTAAAACTATATTGGAATTGTATGTATCTAAGTTTCTAATAAAGAAAAATGGGCAGAATCAAACTCTACAGGATAATATGCTTAATTATATATTAATGGATTAGACACTGTTAATGTGGCTTTTGATATTATTTGCATTTATTATCTAAGTGACAAGGCAACAGACTATAAGTCATCCACATATATGTCTCCTAATAGTTTTTTATCAAGAAATAATAATTCAATAACGATTTCAATATTTTGAGTTTCTTATTATCGAAATAGGCATCCAATATTAGTTGACATTTGTTCATCTTCATATCTAATCAAGAATCCTTATGAATAAAAGTATTTGTCTTCTATGTTCTCTTCATAAAATACAAAATTTTTATCAACTTCATTGGTTGTAAATGGGTCTTGTCTTATAGACTTAAAGATCAAATAAGGTTAAGCTTCAGGCTAATTATGATGATTAGAATTATTACTATATGGACTCTTATCTAATATATTCCTTAGGTAAAAAGATCAATGTTTGTGAATTTCTTAAAATGAATTAAAACTTCAATCTATGATTTCATATTAATAATATTTATTATTTAATATTCATTTATCTTAGACTGTCTTAATAAGCCATTCCATTCCTTCTTGTAATCCTTCTTGGGTTTTAGCTGAACATGCTACAATCGACCATTATCTATCTGTAATTTTATTTAATTTCAAACTATCAGAGATCTGAATTAAGTAAGCATATTAACCTCATCTGCTGGAAGAGCTTGCACCAAATCTTATTTATTTGCAAATACCAAAAGTGGCACTTTCTTTAATTCAGCCTCTCCTAATAATTTGTCCAATTCTTTGCCTCCCTCTTCCAAACGCATTTAATCTGATGAATCTATAACAAATACTAAAGCATCAGTATTTTCATAGAAATTACTCCAATATTCACGTAATTTCTATTATGCAACAAAAAGCATACCTCTTAACCTCCAACATCCCAAACATTAAGTTTAAATCCTTCATGTTATAAATTTTTGATATTAAAACCATGTGTGGGAGCAATTTGATTGATGTCCTCATTAGACAAAGCCTTTAGAATAGTAGTTTTACCCGCATTATCTAATCCTAAGACAAGTATTCTTAATTCCTTTTCTGACTTTTTGATCTTTCGAATGATATTCAACAATCCCTAATTTACAATGAACACATACCATTCTTAAAGATTTGTTTTAATATTTTTATTTATTATTTTATTAATAAATCATGGATATAGAGGTTTGTCTTCTCTGATATGAGAACTCGACATATCTGGATGATGCACAGGGTACACCTTATCCTTAACTCTATATTAACTTAGTATTTTATTCATACCTTCCACTTGCAGCATCTCTAGCAGCCACTCTTTTCTTAGCTTCATTAATTTCACTCTAAGTTATATTTGTATATCTCTCATCAGCCCACATTGTATCAGGTCTCAACTTATCTCTATGTCCATCAGCCCAGGTCTTATCTGAAACATCTTTTACTGTTCTACCCTATAAATAATATTTACAATATAATTTTACCTTATTGTAGGGAGAAACCTCTAAAACTGAACGATATTGGAGTGTCTAGATGGCTTCGATTTTATCAAGTTGTTTCTTTTTTTCCTTCAATCCTTCCAAAGCCCATTTTGGACAAATAGAAATGATGTTATCAGCTTCTTCTTGACATTTAGTTGCTCCATTTACATTTTAGCATCTTTTGAAGGCTTCAATTTATCTAACACATCCTCTTGGAAGTGCTTAAGCTCTAATTGCTAGTGCTGTAAACATTGGTGCATCTCTATTTCATTTAGGATTTGTTATTACTTTCTTGTCTACCATCCATGATTTCCAAAGTGTTATTCACTCAAAGGATCATAATGAGTTGGGAAAAACACACTCCAATTAACTCTGTTAGGATATGGATCAGGGAAGTAAAATCCATTACCATTTCTTATACCCATACCCATTCTCTTTTGATTAGGGATTTATTGCATGGCAAATGGGTTATAAGGTGCTATAGCCCTTCTCCATTTTGATAAAGTGTTGTTTAGAAGATTTTTCTTAACATTCAAATATGGATAATTGGTTTCATAATATTCGAAATCCAAGGGTTGACCATCTGGGTTGTCACTTGACATGTATAAAGATTTAATTATTAATACAATTTAAAATTTAAAATAAAAAATGTGCAAACATATTCTCAATGCTTAAGTAGCTATTAGAGCAGCATGTTGTAAAAAGTAATATAGTTTATATACACTAATAAGATGGTTTGATTGTGCTGAATGTCATTAAGAACTGGAAAATCATCCATTATAAAAAAATATTGAGATGGTTTTTGCTTGTAAGAAATGCAAGAAAGTTTTCCGTAAAGACATTACTGATTATGATGAATCAGATGAATATTGTCCACAGTAAAAATAACAAAATACTTTTATAGTTGTGATAATCACTATGTTCTTAAAGCAGTTACACAAGAATCAAAGGAGATTCAGAAATTCGAGAATTTAGTTAAAGAAGTCAAATAATGATTTAAATATAAGATCATTTATTTATCTTATATTATTCAATTTTACAATATTCAATCAACATTTATATTTGTGAATTTAAACATCTTAAAATTATTGACTAAAGCTTCAATAATATCTAATAAGCTATGAAACTTATATAATAATTTCTAATAATTGTAATTTCTAATAAATTGCAAATATAAAAATGATAGAACTTAGGAGAATTTTTTAATTATAAAAATTGCGAAAAATGATAGATTTCAATAAATACTTTAGTTATAATACTAAATTAGATATTGATTATTTACAATAACATATATAAGTTTTTATGTTTTAATTATTATGATTGATTTTTAGAATTATAGATTAGTATTTGAGATACTATTTAATGTGGTAGAAGAACTAAAATTATGAATAAATTAAACATAGTTCATCTATTTATATATTTATATAACAATAATAATAGATTAACTGATATATATGATTAAAAATAATACTAGCATTATCAATATAAGTGTCATATATATAGGGAATACATCAAAGATATATATAATAATCAATATTTGATAAGATATTGCAAAATTATAAACCCTTTTATAGAATTTTTGTAGTTAATAAAAACGAATGAATTTTATTGATATTTATTAAAATTATGCTACACTTGTTGCTTATTCTAGCTGTTGTTTAAGCAAGAAACTAATCTTAAAATGATACCATTAGAATTCCAACTCCAGGTTGATATTGCTCTCTATTCCTTTAGAATATGAAAAAAATGTCAACCATACTAAAAACATTTTTTATTCTTGTGTTATCACATCATCATCTTATTTGACATATAATGACGATGTTGTTATGAACTAATTAAATTCAATAATAGAAGCATATTAAACAATTGAATCTCCTGAAATTAGATATGAAACATAAAGAAAAGCTAGTAAAAGAATCTAAATAGATGCTACTTAATATTGCATCCTTCGATAAACAGGTGTGATAGCTTAATAAGTAATTAGATAATTGATTTAAATTTTAGATGTATGATGAAATACAAGTTGGATAATTCAATGTTAATTAATATTATTATTTGATGAATGACTTTGATTTGTCAAAATATTAAAATCAATCTGCTAAAATTACATTTGATGATGATGAAGAATCTGTTTGGAAAATCATGGAAGTATTTTAATTAATTTATTTTAGGACTTTTAAGCAAAATCAAGGGAAATGATGGGTGATGATGAATTTGATGGATTAAATTATTCTGAATATCCTGATTATATGGAGAATCCATATGAGACAAAAGTATTTGGTTAATCAATAGACAAATAATCAAATATTTCTATTTTAATATTTGCTACAGTATTTATAGCATTTTTTATTATCATGATTTTAGGTATTATTATTATATATTTAGCTTATTATGCTTTAAAGGATAGCCATAAGAAGGTTGAATAAAAGAAAGAAAAGAAATCTAAAAAATAGAAATGAAATAAATTATTTTTATATAAATTATCAAAAATGCCTATTTGTGAAATCTGTTTTATAGATGATAAACTTGTAATTTGGTATTCATATTTAATTATAAATTTAGTCCCAAATGCTCTCGAAATGTTTGTTCATTATGTAGTAAATATACAGATTGCGATATTTGTGTCATAATTGAAGTGAAATATGCATTTGTAATAATTGAGAATACATATTTAGTTATATTAATAACACAAATCACAGACTGAAGAATAAGAATATCAATTAAAATAAATTAATGACAAGATTGATACAATAAATCAGGAAATTTCTTTAATCTAAAGAGCTAGTTCACTTTTATATAAAAATGAAAATAAGAAAAGTGAATCACTTGAGTTTTAAATGAGTGAAACAATAATTGATAAATAACATGAACTTGAAGATATTGAAAATGAAATTGAAAACTAAAAAGTAAAGTAGATTGATTTTAGTATGATTTAAGTTGATAAAGCCAATGAAGAATTAAATGCTTTAAAAAGTTAATAATTAAAATTATCCACATAAAATAAAGAGTTGGACTTAAAAATCAATGAAGCAGAAAAAGAATATGAAGTATTGCAAGAAACTCTGAATTTAAAGAAATAGTAAATATATTAGATTTTATAAACATTGAAAAATAAAACTAGTTTATTAAGAGGTAGTCAAGAGGAAAAGCATTATTCTTAAAGTAATTTAAGAATGACTCTTCCTAATAAGTAGCAAAAGGCTATTTCAGGCGAAGAAAAAATACAAAATCCAGGGTAATAAAAAATGAGATTCTATATAGATTATGTGCTGGGTAGTGTGTTATATAATGAATTGAAATTAATTTATCATATTTTAAACATTGATAATTGTTACTCACTTTTTCTTTGTATTAGATGTTGTAGAATTAGTTGATTTGTTAATCGAAATCGATTATTATGGTGTCTAAATTACTGTTGGCATTTTTTCATTGACAATATCTGCATTTCTTGCTAAATTAAAGTCAGTTAGAGCTAAATATAAATATTATATAAATTACCATCCATTATTGCTGATTTACCAGCAGTCAAAATACCTCTGGGCAATCTTTTATCAGGACATGCTCCTTTAAGTTAGATAATGCTTTCACTTTGTTCTCTCAATGTCTTTTACATCTTTATCATATTTGCTACAAATATAATCTTCTTTTTCAATTTTTCTGTATCTTTTTATATTAATTTTATTATTATACTTTTTGCTGTATTGGACCCAGCAGTGCTTTACTTATCAAATTATTTATTTTATTAAGTCAATTCTTTAAATTATTTGATATCTTCTTCATTAACTTCCTCATCATCAACTTGATCACCAACTTATAGTAAATTGTAAAGCATTTCAGTTACTTTTTCAGCTACAAATGGTATTGACCATGTGAAAATATCCATAAAATTTGGCAATAAATAAGGATGAGGTGTATATTAAAATTGTTAGATATTCAGAGTGTTATTCTTATTATAATAAAAAAAGAGGAGTTACTTCAAATTTAATTACAGCCCCTTTGTTATTATAAACATCACAATAATTAGGAGCACTGAATATAGTAATGACAACAGGAAAATCTTTTCCACCATGCCATCGATGCATTTTATATCCATCCAATTAAGCCTTATGAAATTTTCATTGCAATTTACTTCATGTGCACGAATGATAGATATCAGATTGTTTTTCTGTAAGAATTTAGATGCAGCCTCGCTTCCAAAGAACCAACTACATCCTCTGACTTCATTTCCTTTCCATTAACCATCCATATTTCCTTAATCTTAATCTACTGGATCACTCCATAACAAATCACAAAGTAATCCACTTCTAGGAGGCTCATGATAACGATCCAGCCTCTTTATATCTTCTAACTAAAATGAAGCGCAGCAAATACAGATTTTAAATCAGGTGATATTCCTCCGTGAATAGCTATGAACTTTGAGTTGATTATGCAAGCTAAAGGAAATAAATCGAATGAATCCATCAACATATCATAAGTCTCTTAATCATACTTATAAAGACCTTTTTAAATGATTGTAATTACATTCATCCTTAAAGTTAAAAAATGCTGTGAGTTATCTGCATTCATGATTTCCCCTCAAAAAATATATAGTGTTTGGATAATTCAGTTTTATTGCATAAAGCAAGATTATTACTTCTATAGAATAAGATCCTCTATCAACAAAGTCTCCAAGAAACAAATATCTAAAAATTATGCATTAAAATACTTAGTTGTCTCAGGATTCCCTCCAACCTTAGGTTCTAGTAGTTTTAATAAATCATAGTATTGTCTAATATAATTTTTAATCTTACCCATGTATGTCTCCAACAACTGTAAGTGGATCTTGTAAATATATTACATTCCCTTCATTCTCTAGACTATTGCTAATACTTATACTTAATAATTTATTGCAATCTCCAACTAATTTATAAAGGTCTTCTTTAGACACTCTACCTTCCTTTTGAAGATGATCTCTAAGTAATTTCCAATCTGGTTTGTCTTGTTTTATTAATTTTTTAAATACTTTTCAATTTCTCTGGAAACATGAGGTTCTTCGTCAAAGGTCTATGAGGAGGAGGCTTTAGAGTTTTTACATGTCGATCATTTGCTGGATCATTTAGAAGGTCCATTTTATTAGAATTTATTGTTTAAATTAAAAAATATACCTTCAAAATAGAGTTTTCAAAACTAGTCAATTTGAATAATTGTGAAGAGATATATAAAACAAAAATAAAATTTATGTAATAAGTTACCATACCTAAAATGAATGAGAATTATTTAAAAATACAANAAAGAGGAGTTACTTCAAATTTAATTACAGCCCCTTTGTTATTATAAACATCACAATAATTAGGAGCACTGAATATAGTAATGACAACAGGAAAATCTTTTCCACCATGCCATCGATGCATTTTATATCCATCCAATTAAGCCTTATGAAATTTTCATTGCAATTTACTTCATGTGCACGAATGATAGATATCAGATTGTTTTTCTGTAAGAATTTAGATGCAGCCTCGCTTCCAAAGAACCAACTACATCCTCTGACTTCATTTCCTTTCCATTAACCATCCATATTTCCTTAATCTTAATCTACTGGATCACTCCATAACAAATCACAAAGTAATCCACTTCTAGGAGGCTCATGATAACGATCCAGCCTCTTTATATCTTCTAACTAAAATGAAGCGCAGCAAATACAGATTTTAAATCAGGTGATATTCCTCCGTGAATAGCTATGAACTTTGAGTTGATTATGCAAGCTAAAGGAAATAAATCGAATGAATCCATCAACATATCATAAGTCTCTTAATCATACTTATAAAGACCTTTTTAAATGATTGTAATTACATTCATCCTTAAAGTTAAAAAATGCTGTGAGTTATCTGCATTCATGATTTCCCCTCAAAAAATATATAGTGTTTGGATAATTCAGTTTTATTGCATAAAGCAAGATTATTACTTCTATAGAATAAGATCCTCTATCAACAAAGTCTCCAAGAAACAAATATCTAAAAATTATGCATTAAAATACTTAGTTGTCTCAGGATTCCCTCCAACCTTAGGTTCTAGTAGTTTTAATAAATCATAGTATTGTCTAATATAATTTTTAATCTTACCCATGTATGTCTCCAACAACTGTAAGTGGATCTTGTAAATATATTACATTCCCTTCATTCTCTAGACTATTGCTAATACTTATACTTAATAATTTATTGCAATCTCCAACTAATTTATAAAGGTCTTCTTTAGACACTCTACCTTCCTTTTGAAGATGATCTCTAAGTAATTTCCAATCTGGTTTGTCTTGTTTTATTAATTTTTTAAATACTTTTCAATTTCTCTGGAAACATGAGGTTCTTCGTCAAAGGTCTATGAGGAGGAGGCTTTAGAGTTTTTACATGTCGATCATTTGCTGGATCATTTAGAAGGTCCATTTTATTAGAATTTATTGTTTAAATTAAAAAATATACCTTCAAAATAGAGTTTTCAAAACTAGTCAATTTGAATAATTGTGAAGAGATATATAAAACAAAAATAAAATTTATGTAATAAGTTACCATACCTAAAATGAATGAGAATTATTTAAAAATACAATTAACTATTTAGAAAAAAGATGCTTTTAATATTTTTTCTAATTACATTTAGTATTCTTGTTAATCTAATAAGAATAAATTATGTATATAATATATTTGATATATATATTAAGTATTCATAATTCATCAGATTAATTTGTTTGAAATTACTAATTTTAATTTATTTGTTAAAAATAATAATAAAAATGATAATTTATGGAACTTTTGATCATAATTTTAGGAGCAAAACAATTAATATTAAACCATTTCAAATTGATATTTCTCCAAATAGTAATATAGAAGAGTTGAAAGTAAGATTATATCATAATTATTTAGATATTAATTACACTTTAATTCACAAATCTAGCTTTAGAAGATTTTGATATTCTTAATTCTCAAAGAGTTAGATAAAAAGAATCTGCATCAGTTCAATCACTTTATTAAGAAAGATAAGATGTTATTTCAATATATGTAACCAATTCCAGTAATTTAAATGCAACTTGTTGCAATATTATGTGATTTAATTTTTCTTGATTTTAACACTAAAATATAATAATCATGATGAACTATCAGAATCACTTGAAGAACTACTTGAAGATGTCTTTTTCTAGTTTTAATTTGTTTATTTTTTATCATCTGATTGCGAAGAAGAAGAAGATCCACTACTACTGCTGCTACTAGAACTTCCACTAGAAGACGAAGAGGATGAAGAATCAGATGATGAACTTGAAGTACTTTCTCTCCTATTTTATTTTCTTTTCTATTTTGATAAATCTCTAATTTTACAGGTGTTTTTGATCTTTTACTATATCTTCTTTTTGAATGTCTCTTTCTTGAACTTGATCTTTTATGATATCTATCAGAGGATCTTCTTCTTGATGAATGTTATTTCTTCTTTTTTTCTCGTTCAATCCTTTCTTGCTTTTCCTTTTCTCTTTTTTCTCTCTGTTTTTATTTCTCCCTTTATCTTTCCCTTTCTCTTTCTCTTTCCTTTTCTTTCTCTCTTTCTCTTTCTTTTTCTCTTTCTCTCTCTTTTTCTCTTTCTCTTTCCCTTTCTCTCTCTCTCTCTTTTTCTCTCTCTCTTTCCCTTTCCTTTTCTCTTTCCCTTTCCTTTTCTCTTTCCTTTTCCTTTTCCCTTTCTTTTTCTTTTCTTTCTTTTTCTTTTTCTTTTTCTCTCTCTTTATCTTTATCTTTATCTTTTTCTTTTAATTTTTATTATTCTGGTTATAATTCTTAATCTTTTTTTTAAACATCCTTTTCTTTATCTTTCTCCTTATCTTTATCAAGCTCCTTATTTTCATTTTTTTATTTATCTTCTTTATTTCTAGCTCTTGCATGCTCTTCCTTTTATCTTAAATCTCTTTCCTTTTTTATTTCTCTTTATTTAAGTTTATCTAATCTTTCTTTTTTAATTTTCTCTGTATAATATCTACGTTAATTATAAAATTACTTTTATCTATCCAATCCTAGACTTTAACATTTTATCTTTTTTCCATCAATAATTGCTCTGTGCATATATTAAGTGGCTTAGGAAGCATCACCTTCATCATTATACGTAATAAAAGCAAAAAGAAGAGGAAGCATATTATTTTATTCGTCAAACTGCATTTCTACATTAGTTAGCTTTCCATAGGTTGAAAAAATTTCATGTAGAATATCTTAAGTGACATTTCTTGAAATATTCTAAACAAGAAGAAGATTCTTAACTTTCTTCTCTTTAGTTTTTTCTTTAGTTTTTCTTTCCTTTGATTTTTCTTTTGATCTTTCCCTTGACTTCTAACTTTTTGATTTCTTTTAATTAATATCTTTAACTCTCTTCTTCTCTTCACTTGAAGAGGATGACCCCGATGAAGATGATGAATGAGATTTAGGCATAATAATAATTAATATTAATACAATAATTTTAATCAATAATTAATTTAAAACATCTATTATTATTAATAACATTGATTTGTGATTTTCACATTCATTTCATAGAATAAATTAGAAACATTATTTCTATACACTCTCTTATATTTCAATCATAGAATGAATGTATACTCTTTTAAATTTGAAAAAATTTTAAGATTTATGTAAACACTTAACAAAACCCTCAATCATTATTAATTTAAAAAGAAATTATAAAGAATATTTTATGAAAATGGATTGTGAGTATTATGATTCCTAATGTGTTGCTATTTAATTATTAATATCTTATTTACAATTTAGTAAATGATTAATTAATAAATGATTTAAGATGTTCTAAAATCCTAATAATAATAAAGTGATTCATGAACTAAGGATGGAAAAGTCTTTATAAATGTGAGGAATCATCTTTTTCTCCATAAATAAATATCTCTTAATTATGCAACAATTACCAGCTCATTCAGTTTACTTAGTCTAAGAAAGTAAGGAAACAGCAGATGCTGTTGCTTATGCATTCCTATAAAACACTGGTGAGCCTGTACAATATCCATACAAATACCCAAATATTGCGGACGACGATGTCAGAATTAGAATTTTATATACTGGATTATGTCATAGTGATTGTCTTCATTCTAGAGGATTATGGGATCCAAATATGTATATATAAATAATATACTCTAGTAAATACCCCAGTTGCCCAGGACATGAAGTCGTAGGATTAGTCGAAAAAGTAGGAACAGGTGTCACAAAATTCAAAGTAGGTGATAAAGTTGGATGCAATCCTTAAAGATGGATGTGTTAAACCTGTGATTTGTGTAAGAAAGGAGATAATTAATTATGTTCAAAAGGNTCAGTTCAATCACTTTATTAAGAAAGATAAGATGTTATTTCAATATATGTAACCAATTCCAGTAATTTAAATGCAACTTGTTGCAATATTATGTGATTTAATTTTTCTTGATTTTAACACTAAAATATAATAATCATGATGAACTATCAGAATCACTTGAAGAACTACTTGAAGATGTCTTTTTCTAGTTTTAATTTGTTTATTTTTTATCATCTGATTGCGAAGAAGAAGAAGATCCACTACTACTGCTGCTACTAGAACTTCCACTAGAAGACGAAGAGGATGAAGAATCAGATGATGAACTTGAAGTACTTTCTCTCCTATTTTATTTTCTTTTCTATTTTGATAAATCTCTAATTTTACAGGTGTTTTTGATCTTTTACTATATCTTCTTTTTGAATGTCTCTTTCTTGAACTTGATCTTTTATGATATCTATCAGAGGATCTTCTTCTTGATGAATGTTATTTCTTCTTTTTTTCTCGTTCAATCCTTTCTTGCTTTTCCTTTTCTCTTTTTTCTCTCTGTTTTTATTTCTCCCTTTATCTTTCCCTTTCTCTTTCTCTTTCCTTTTCTTTCTCTCTTTCTCTTTCTTTTTCTCTTTCTCTCTCTTTTTCTCTTTCTCTTTCCCTTTCTCTCTCTCTCTCTTTTTCTCTCTCTCTTTCCCTTTCCTTTTCTCTTTCCCTTTCCTTTTCTCTTTCCTTTTCCTTTTCCCTTTCTTTTTCTTTTCTTTCTTTTTCTTTTTCTTTTTCTCTCTCTTTATCTTTATCTTTATCTTTTTCTTTTAATTTTTATTATTCTGGTTATAATTCTTAATCTTTTTTTTAAACATCCTTTTCTTTATCTTTCTCCTTATCTTTATCAAGCTCCTTATTTTCATTTTTTTATTTATCTTCTTTATTTCTAGCTCTTGCATGCTCTTCCTTTTATCTTAAATCTCTTTCCTTTTTTATTTCTCTTTATTTAAGTTTATCTAATCTTTCTTTTTTAATTTTCTCTGTATAATATCTACGTTAATTATAAAATTACTTTTATCTATCCAATCCTAGACTTTAACATTTTATCTTTTTTCCATCAATAATTGCTCTGTGCATATATTAAGTGGCTTAGGAAGCATCACCTTCATCATTATACGTAATAAAAGCAAAAAGAAGAGGAAGCATATTATTTTATTCGTCAAACTGCATTTCTACATTAGTTAGCTTTCCATAGGTTGAAAAAATTTCATGTAGAATATCTTAAGTGACATTTCTTGAAATATTCTAAACAAGAAGAAGATTCTTAACTTTCTTCTCTTTAGTTTTTTCTTTAGTTTTTCTTTCCTTTGATTTTTCTTTTGATCTTTCCCTTGACTTCTAACTTTTTGATTTCTTTTAATTAATATCTTTAACTCTCTTCTTCTCTTCACTTGAAGAGGATGACCCCGATGAAGATGATGAATGAGATTTAGGCATAATAATAATTAATATTAATACAATAATTTTAATCAATAATTAATTTAAAACATCTATTATTATTAATAACATTGATTTGTGATTTTCACATTCATTTCATAGAATAAATTAGAAACATTATTTCTATACACTCTCTTATATTTCAATCATAGAATGAATGTATACTCTTTTAAATTTGAAAAAATTTTAAGATTTATGTAAACACTTAACAAAACCCTCAATCATTATTAATTTAAAAAGAAATTATAAAGAATATTTTATGAAAATGGATTGTGAGTATTATGATTCCTAATGTGTTGCTATTTAATTATTAATATCTTATTTACAATTTAGTAAATGATTAATTAATAAATGATTTAAGATGTTCTAAAATCCTAATAATAATAAAGTGATTCATGAACTAAGGATGGAAAAGTCTTTATAAATGTGAGGAATCATCTTTTTCTCCATAAATAAATATCTCTTAATTATGCAACAATTACCAGCTCATTCAGTTTACTTAGTCTAAGAAAGTAAGGAAACAGCAGATGCTGTTGCTTATGCATTCCTATAAAACACTGGTGAGCCTGTACAATATCCATACAAATACCCAAATATTGCGGACGACGATGTCAGAATTAGAATTTTATATACTGGATTATGTCATAGTGATTGTCTTCATTCTAGAGGATTATGGGATCCAAATATGTATATATAAATAATATACTCTAGTAAATACCCCAGTTGCCCAGGACATGAAGTCGTAGGATTAGTCGAAAAAGTAGGAACAGGTGTCACAAAATTCAAAGTAGGTGATAAAGTTGGATGCAATCCTTAAAGATGGATGTGTTAAACCTGTGATTTGTGTAAGAAAGGAGATAATTAATTATGTTCAAAAGGCATTTTTTTATATGATGATAACAATTTTGGTGGATATTCAACACACATATAAGTTGCTGAAAGAATGGTTTTTAGAATTCCAGAGGGTAATATAAAATTTATATGATTGTTTAGGATTTAATGATGCATTAGGTTCTCCTTTATTGTGTGCTGGTATAACTGTTTATGCTCCATTAAAAAGATATTATAAACCTAATTTTTCATGTGCTGTTATAGGTATTGGTGGATTAGGACATTTGGCTGTTTAATATGCAGCAAAATTAGGAATGACTGTCACAGCTTTTACAACAAGCAAAAATAGAGAATAAGAAATAAAAAGATTAGGTGCTTCAAATTTGTCCAGTTCTATTAATGTAGAGAGTTTGAAAACTGAATAAGGAAAATATGATATTGTTATTAATACTCTTTACATTGAAGATGAAGAAGTTTTCAAAAGCCATTAAAGATTAACAGCCCCAACAGGTACATACATCTAAGTTGGAGCTCCTCCTTCAAAGGTTAATTTCAAATTAGATCATGCCTATATCATTTTAAATTAAATCAGAGTTGCTGGTTCATTAATTGGTAATTATGATGAAACATAAGTATTATAATTTTAAAATATCTTAGGAAATGCTTGAATTTTCTGCCTAAAATAATGTTTATCCAATTGTGGAGACATTTGAATTTGAAGATTTCCCAAAAGCTTTTGATAGAATGGAAAAAGCATAAGCCAAATTCAGATGTGTTGTTAATGTTGGAAAATGGGCTTAAGCTAATGGTTTATGGAAATGAGGTTAAATCAAATTATATAAATAAATATCCAAATTAGATATATTTATTATTCAATGATGTCTAGATTCAGATAATTCTATATATATCCATCATAGCAATTGTCAAACAATTAATTATTCATCTTATTTTTTAAATGCATTTTTCTATTTAATCAAAATGATTTTTAATTTATAGAGTTCATCTACATATCATATAATTAAAGAGTATAATTATAAAATAAATAAATAACATAATTAGATAGAAAGTAATATATATATTTTATTTATGTTTCTAATAAAGTAGTATAAATTTTATTTTAAGATTATAGAAAAGTATACAATTTGATTATTCTTTTGATGATTACTTTCATAGTATTGTTTAGTATATTAGTAATTATTTTCATTTAAAGAATTTATTATATAAATTTTTTGTTTTAATTTTTTAATGAAACCATCCACTTTTAAAATTGTTTTAGTTGGTATTAATTTTGTTAATCAAAAGGTGATCCCAGAGTTGGAAAGTCAAATACGCTTACTAGGTTTGCATTTGATAAATTTGAAGAAGGGCACAAAATAACTATTGGAGTAAAACAAAATCTGATTTTTAGGTGGAATTTGCATAGAAAAATATAAACATTTTGGGGAAGGAAATTAAATTAGCAATTTGGGATACTTGTGGAGCAGTAAGATTCAAATCTATTTTAAGGAATAATACAGGGCTTTAACCAATATTTATTATAAAGGAGCCGCAGGAGCATTATTAATATTTGATATCACAGATAGAAGTTCATTTGAAAATTTAGATAAATGGCTTAAGGTTGAGATTCATGTAAATTTATTAGGATATTGAATCAAATACTTAATCAATAATAATAATGCTTGTTGCAAATAAAATAGATCTTTAAGATCAAAGAAAAGTTAGTAAACAAGAAGCTGCTTAGTTTGCATTTGAGCATAAATTAGCATATTTGGAAACTAGTGCTAAGGATGGTACCGGTATATAATAAGCATTTGAATAATTGGCAACTGGTAATGAAATTTTTATGATCATATTTGTTTAGAAATCGTAAAATTATCATAATCATCTGAAACAGTTGAAAAGAATAACATAAAATTAACAGAATCCACTATTCCAAAATTAGAATAGGAGAAATAAAAGAAATGTTGTTGATATGCTAACTCTATTGGATATATAATTTAAACATAAATATAATTTTTGTTTTAGATTTTTTAAAGCTTTTGAAACTCTCTTAATTTCTTTTAGACTTATTCAATACAGGTTTTATACTTTTGTTTTATTGGAACTAACATATCTTTATTATTAAATAAATTTAAGTATAATTGTTTGACAATTGCTATGATGGATATATATAGAATTATCTGAATCTAGACATCATTGAATAATAAATATATCTAATTTGGATATTTATTTATATAATTTGATTTAACCTCATTTCCATAAACCATTAGCTTAAGCCCATTTTCCAACATTAACAACACATCTGAATTTGGCTTATGCTTTTTCCATTCTATCAAAAGCTTTTGGGAAATCTTCAAATTCAAATGTCTCCACAATTGGATAAACATTATTTTAGGCAGAAAATTCAAGCATTTCCTAAGATATTTTAAAATTATAATACTTATGTTTCATCATAATTACCAATTAATGAACCAGCAACTCTGATTTAATTTAAAATGATATAGGCATGATCTAATTTGAAATTAACCTTTGAAGGAGGAGCTCCAACTTAGATGTATGTACCTGTNTTTAACTATTTAGAAAAAAGATGCTTTTAATATTTTTTCTAATTACATTTAGTATTCTTGTTAATCTAATAAGAATAAATTATGTATATAATATATTTGATATATATATTAAGTATTCATAATTCATCAGATTAATTTGTTTGAAATTACTAATTTTAATTTATTTGTTAAAAATAATAATAAAAATGATAATTTATGGAACTTTTGATCATAATTTTAGGAGCAAAACAATTAATATTAAACCATTTCAAATTGATATTTCTCCAAATAGTAATATAGAAGAGTTGAAAGTAAGATTATATCATAATTATTTAGATATTAATTACACTTTAATTCACAAATCTAGCTTTAGAAGATTTTGATATTCTTAATTCTCAAAGAGTTAGATAAAAAGAATCTGCATCAGTTCAATCACTTTATTAAGAAAGATAAGATGTTATTTCAATATATGTAACCAATTCCAGTAATTTAAATGCAAATTGTTGCAATATTATGTGAGTTAATTTTTCTTGATTTTAACACTAAAATATAATAATCATGATGAACTATCAGAATCACTTGAAGAACTACTTGAAGATGTCTTTTTCTAGTTTTAATTTGTTTATTTTTTATCATCTGATTGTAAAAAGTTTCTTGAAGAACTAGTTGAGGATATCTTTTTCTAGTTTTAGTTTTTTTATTGTTTATAATATGATTGTGAAGAGTCTCTTGAAGAACTACTTAAGGAAATATTTTTCTATTTTTAGTTTGTTTATTTTTTATAGTATGATTGTGAAGAGTCTCTTGAAGAACTACTTAAGGACATATTTTTCTAGTTTTAGTTTTTTAATTTTTTATCATCTGATTGTGAAGACGAACAAGATCCAATGCTACTTCTGCTACTAGAATTTTTACAAGAAAATGAAGAGGATGAAGAATTAAATGACGAACTTAAAGCGCTTTCTCTCCTAATTTTTCTTCTTTTCTATTCTAATAAATCTCTAATTTTACTAGAATTATTGATCTTCTTGATAAAGGATATTTCTTTTCTTTTTTTCTATCAATCTTTTTTAAGTGTGCTTCTTCTCTTTTATATAGCTGTTTTAATTTCTTCCATTATCTTTCTCTCTCTCCTTCTCTTTCTCTCTCTCTTTCTCTTTCCTTTTCTCTCTCTCTTTCTCTTTCTCTTTCCCTCTCTCTTTCTTTTTCTCTTTCCTTTTCTCTTACTCCTTCTCTTTCTCTTTCCCTTTCCCTTTCTCTTTCTCTTTCCCTTTCTCTTTCCCTTTCCCTTTCTCTTTCCCTTTCCCTTTCCCTTTCCCTTTCTCTTTCTCTTTCTCTTTCTCTATCTTTATCTTTATCTTTATCTTTATCTTAATTGTTTGACAATTGCTATGATGGATATATATAGAATTATCTGAATCTAGACATCATTGAATAATAAATATATCTAATTTGGATATTTATTTATATAATTTGATTTAACCTCATTTCCATAAACCATTAGCTTAAGCCCATTTTCCAACATTAACAACACATCTGAATTTGGCTTATGCTTTTTCCATTCTATCAAAAGCTTTTGGGAAATCTTCAAATTCAAATGTCTCCACAATTGGATAAACATTATTTTAGGCAGAAAATTCAAGCATTTCCTAAGATATTTTAAAATTATAATACTTATGTTTCATCATAATTACCAATTAATGAACCAGCAACTCTGATTTAATTTAAAATGATATAGGCATGATCTAATTTGAAATTAACCTTTGAAGGAGGAGCTCCAACTTAGATGTATGTACCTGTTGGGGCTGTTAATCTTTAATGGCTTTTGAAAACTTCTTCATCTTCAATGTAAAGAGTATTAATAACAATATCATATTTTCCTTATTCAGTTTTCAAACTCTCTACATTAATAGAACTGGACAAATTTGAAGCACCTAATCTTTTTATTTCTTATTCTCTATTTTTGCTTGTTGTAAAAGCTGTGACAGTCATTCCTAATTTTGCTGCATATTAAACAGCCAAATGTCCTAATCCACCAATACCTATAACAGCACATGAAAAATTAGGTTTATAATATCTTTTTAATGGAGCATAAACAGTTATACCAGCACACAATAAAGGAGAACCTAATGCATCATTAAATCCTAAACAATCATATAAATTTTATATTACCCTCTGGAATTCTAAAAACCATTCTTTCAGCAACTTATATGTGTGTTGAATATCCACCAAAATTGTTATCATCATATAAAAAAATGTAACTCTTATATTTAGTTTTTTTTAACAAATTTTATAATTGACATACCGTTCAAAAAATCTAATGAGACCATTATAATATTTAAAAGAAAGTCTTTAGTCTTATTAAATGTTATTTAAAGTCAAAACCATAAGTTTAATATCTATATATTCTCATAATTAAATTACGTTAAAAAATGAATACAGTTTGTCAACAAAAGACTGCTACTCCTTGTAGATTTGAAACAACGCAATCATATCTCCTTGAATAATCACCTAAAATATAGTATAGAAGAGTAAATTCTCCAGGTTTACCTGATTGCTCTTTTAGAAAGAGTCATAAATCATCAGTTGATAAGCGCAATTATATGACTTTGGGATAGATGGATATTTAATAATTATTGAAACCTACAAGATCACTTGAAGAGAGTCCTGAACAAAAGTTGAAATGTTATTATGCAAAAGGAGAAGAAACCTTAGATCATTATTAGCATTCCTTCAATCCATAATAATATATGAGTTTAAAGGAAGATAAGGAAATATAAGTAGAAGAGAAACCTTTTGAATCTCCACCTAAAATGGAAGTGTTTTAGAAACCATAATTAAGAAAGCAAATGAAAATGATTGATAAAATTGAAAGTGATAAGGTGAGCGTTGAGATATTTATGTCTGAATAAGATGAGAACTCCCTAATTTTTACAGGTATAACAAAAAGAATATTGCCTTCTCCTGAAGAAAACAAATAAATTTTAATGCAGAATTTGCAATAATTGTTTACTTCCATTGACAAAAGTACAAATTCAAATAAATTCCAAAATTATATAAAGATGGAATCATTAGAACAATCAGTTTTCCATTAACATTTAAACAAGTCAACCTAATAAGATTTTCTTTCAATCTCTTCTGCATAATCTATTAAATAATAAAAATGTTCTTCTTAAACAAATTTTAGAAGAAATTCAGCAATTATACCAAAATAACAATCAAAATGGAATAATTCAACTAAAGCTGATAAATAAAAAAATAATTGTTTCTCTAATAAATAATCAAAAAGTCCATTTCTAAAAGCTCAAAATCAAAAGGTTTCAATTAGTAAACCAAAGTTATAGCAAGTAAATCTTAATATTCAGTCTCCTCAAAAAGTGCCAACTCAAAAAAAATAAACATAATAGAATAGATCAACTGTATAAAAAGTAAGATCTTTTCACATCACTCCTGAAAAAATAGACGATTGCATCTATGATGAAAGATATTTTAAATGATATTTTTATATATATATATCTATCTATCTGTATAATCATTATACTTCACTTGATTTAAATAATTCTTAAACCATTTTACAACTTATATTAATCACTGAACCTATATGAGTAACTCCAACTATTGGAACCTCAAAATTCATAAATCCATGTGATAAACAATTAAAAATATCCAATTTAATATCATGATGCAATTTTCTCATTTTATTAACAAATCTTATTGTATCTCCAGTTAAACTATCTTTAGCCCCACAGATAATGCGCATCTTAGGCAATCTCAGAAATGAATAAATTAAATACTTAGTTAAGAAAGAATCATCAGCTATTATAGGACTAAGATAAGGATCAGTATCTGGATGTTCTTTTCCACTATTTAAATATTCTCTTAAAACTACAACCAAAATTGTTGTAGGAGCTATTTGATCAATCAATCCATTGAGTAAATATGGATTAAAGACTTTGAAGTTTAGATTTACAACAGGATAAGGTAAAAATAATCCATCTGGTACCCTGATACCCATTTTAATAGCACGAAAACAAATACCAAGGGCCATATTACCACCTGCAGAATCACCAGCAAGAATTAATTACTCCAAATTTATATTCATATAAAATTTGCTAAAATAGAGCTAATATACTTAAGAAGAATTACAATCCAAAGATATAATTACCATACATCCTCAAGGGCATATGGATAAGGGTATTTAGGAGCAAGTCGATAATCAATACTAAAAATTACACAATCTTCTCCAATATGGTTAGCCCATTTTCTAGTATATGTTTGATGGCTAAATGATGACATCCCAACCCATCCTCCACCATGGATTTATAAGATCACTTTCTTAATTTTGCCATCCAATCCAGGGGATGTTCCTTCAAAAATATTATTATGATCTTTGCTGATGTTGGCTATTTATTTTACTATTAATTCTTCATCAATTTTTGATCTAAATACTTCCTTATTTGCTGATAACACTCTAACTTTTATTTTATTTTATCTATCCTTTCGAAAGAGAGATTATATCAATTTTTCATATAAATTTTCATCTATTAAATCAAACCCTTTAAATTCTTCTTGCTAAAATAATGTTCCACTTTCAATTTCTTGATTTATTCTTTCCAAAGTAAATGTTGGTTTGAATAAATAAGGAACATATATTTTGTGATGAGATTATATTTTAGTCATTGAGTATTTCATAAAATTCTTTAAAACTGGTGCCTTATCTTAAATACTCCATAAATTTTAAATGAATTTGACAGAAGGATTTGTCATTTCTTTTAGTTTAATTTATCTTGCCTTCTCAATATTTGTTATAAGGAAGGCTCCTCCCAAATTTTAGAAGATCATACTGAAAACAGGTAGTTTAATCATATTTCCTAATTTTGCATATGCACAGCCTACTGAAATGTAATCGTTAAACTTTTCAAATTGCAAATCTAAGATCTCTGGGTCATCAAGCTATATTTGTTTTTCAAATTACATCAATAAACTGAATATACTTAGCTAAATGAGCCCATTCTTAATGGGTATTGCTTAAACAATAGATATCATCCAATGGAACTTTTGAGATATTGGGCAAAAATTCTCTTATCTAATTTATTAAAATAATGCAATACTATTTAAAGTCTTCGTATTACATAATCAATCTCTAATTTGTGTTTTTGTAATTCTTATTCAAAATTTTTAAATTACAAAACTTATTCTAAACATAAAAGAAAAGGATGGATAATTTTATGATTTATAAATTATGCACACTGTTCCAACAAGGGATGATGACATTAATTTTACTCAAATTACTTTTGGGTTTCATCTAATTGAAATAACCACTCGATAACATTTGGGTTTTAGGTATTGAAATGTTTCATAATCAATTGACATTTCTACAAATAATAGATAGCATCAATCATGCCTTCTGAATGTTATACTTTCTTCATACAAATAATTTAATAATTTAAAATTTTCAAACTAAATTCATTAGAGCAATTTAACTTAGTTAATTTTCTAAAATTATTTAAGTAGATTTGATATTGCTTTCATTTGTTCTCAAATGAAATGGTTTTGATAAAAAAACATTTTGAAATTGAAAGTTTACTTTTGCATAAAAATAATTAAAATTTCCAAAAACATAAAAGTTGCATATGAATCCTGAATAAAACAAATAATTGTAAGAATGGAAATTAAAATACGTAAAGTTGAATCCAATATTGCTTATCTTAATGGGTATGATTATGAAAATAAAAAAGGATTGGTATTGATTGCATTTGGAATTGTATCACAAACAGTTGATATAGATTATGAATATATATCTACTAGATATGATGAAATTTGCACCCTAAAGAATTAATGTTCTGTAATTTTATGTTAAAAATAACCTTAGATTAATATTGATGTACCATAAAAGATGAAATCTCCTGTATTTTTTTCATACGAAGTTTCGTCCTTTTTCTAAAACACTGATAAATACTTTAATAGCATCCCTTATGATTAATTGTATGGAGACTCCGATTTCGACACTTCAATTTGTGATCAATATAAAACTAATATGGAAATGGGTAAAATCTTAAGTGTAACAGGAAAAGCCTTATAATAAGATGATATAGCTATACCATGTGGTATTGCTGCTTATTCTTATATGAATGGTAAGACTGTAAGATTTATTATTTTTAAGATGAATTCTTTTTGATAAAAGACGGGAAATAAATTTTAATCACAGATAAAGGTATTTCATGGGAATCTGATAGAGAAAAGTTTACAAATATTAACTTAGACAAATAATGGATTGATATGGAATCAGGTGATTATTTTCATTTAAATTAGAAAGATTTATAAATTGGATGAGGCCATCTCCATTAAGTAGGTTCAGGAAATTATGGGGAAGAATCGATTAAGATTTAGAAGCTGGTACATACACAGTTAATATACAAATTAGTAAGTTTTAAATTGATCAATAATTAGAAACTAATGACGCATTTACGGAAACTAAAAAATATGTTCTTTTACACAATAATGGATAATTTTCAGATCCAATTTTAGTGATAACATTACCATGTCTTTGTGTAGGACCATTCCTAATAATTTTTGGTATAATAAATTTGATTTATTGGGGGAAAAAATAAAATTTGATAAAAAAATACAGAATTTATTGATTGCCTTACTTATTCCCATAATATAAGTTCTTATTTAAATTATTAAATTAATATATAAAAAAGTATAATTATTCATACCTTCTTTGATCAAAGATTAAATTAGATTAAATTCCATTTTAATCGCAACTAGAAGGAAATAATAAAAAGCATTCAAGCGTTTGATCCCTAATGTATTCTTAAAAATGCATTAGGTTCATGACCTTGGAACATTAATAATAAATATATTTTTGAATTTAGATTTAAAATAAAATCAATATTAACATGGGTCTTCATTTTTGATGATTATATTGTTTATTTTAATAATTGGTTATGTTTATTTTAAATATGTGCGTAGTCTATATGGTCTATTTTCTGAGAGTATAATTGAAGGTTTTAACTTATTGACAGAATTCTATTTGGAATTTTACAATTAACTGATCTTTGGTATTGCAAGTTAGGTTTTAATATTAGGAATCTTATAAATATTATTTATTTTATTTATCTCATCCATAAGATAATCAGATTCTTATTAAATTAAGGATGGAAGTTTTCTTTTTCTTTTTAATTCAAACAATTATTCCTTTATGAATTGATTAAGTTAATTATTATTAAATTTGGAGTGGTTTTCAGTGAAGGATAGAGATCGATTTTAGTGGATTTTATGGGGATTATTTTAGACATACATTTATTAATATAAATGAGTTATCAAAATCATCCTTAAAAGTTTCCTTTTGATAGTTAAGGTCCGTAAGGGTAGCCATAAGTACCATTGTTTCAGTAGGTTTACTATGCTCAACAACAATAAATATATGGATTTGAATAATAACAATTCCCATCATTGAATTATAATGGGTATGGCTATTATGTATAGCCACAAAGTAATAAAGTTATTTGTAAGTTCAGTGCCCTAATATAATATTCCTCCTCAACAACCTACCCCTGTTGATAGTTTAAGTAGTAATAGTATTAGTTTGAGTGGTATTTGAATTTTGTATTTTGTATGATCAGATTAGGGAGTAAAAAAAAAGAAGAAAAATAAGTCTGACAAATCTAAGAAAGATAAAAAGAAAAAGAGAAAGAGAGGTTTAATTTATCCTAATTATTAAAAGCCAGTAGTAGTAGTTCTTCTTCTAGTAGTAGTGATTCTAGTAGTAGCAGTAGCAAGAGCCGTAGTAAGTATGATTATTTTATATATCTAAATCTCTTTATAGAAAAAAGAAAAAACCTTTATCCTTTTTACATAATGAGGATAATTGGAAGTGCAAGTATTGTTATAATATCAATTTCCCTCATCGTACAGAGTGTAATAGATGTAAGAAAAGTAGAGAATAGGCTGTAAAAGTATTCATTAACTCTCTAACTTCTTTTCTTAGGATGACAAAGGCAAGAAATATGTCCCTAACCCAGATGACTGGAAATGTAACATTTGTGGTAATTTTAATTACGCCAGAAGAGATAAATGCAATAGATGCAAAGAAGATAAACCAAAAGCCACAATGCCTTAACCATCTGCATAATATAATTAAGTAAACTGAAGTATTTTCCTTTGCATTTCATAAATCAAAACATTATTATATTTCTCATTCTGCTTTCTTTCTTTTTACTAAATGCATATCTAAATTTACTATAATTTGACATATTCTGATTAAAAATAAGTTGTATCCCAAATGTAAATATTCTAATAAAGTGTCTGGTATTATGAAAAATCCTATCTATTGATTTAAAAAAAAAAGTAAATTCCATATATAGACTAAACATCCTTTTACTATTCTGAAATTGTAATTGCTGAATTTTACTATCCACTAATATCAGGAATTCACCTAAAATAAAATAATAATTTACAAGAAGAAAACTAGAATTATCAAATGAATGATTCTACTATTGCCAAAATAATAATAATGCTTAATAAATTTATATTAAGTACTCTACTAGTTTAAAATTTCAATTTTTTATTATGGTTCCATTAATCAAATGAAGCTAAAGTTAAAGCTATTCCTATTAATAAATAAACTTCAGCTGTTTTTCATTAATTGTTTGTTCATTATAATTATTATATTCTTAGCATTTATTTATAAATTAATATAGTAAACCATATAAAAATCCAATTATTATTCCTTGCCAACCAAAAACAGAAGATAGTGTATTAAAAGGAATTCTGCCATGTAGATAGTCAACATTGAATATTTACTCTGATATTTTTACTGAGCTATTTAAGGTAAAAATTATGTCAAAGCAAATCATAAATTTAAGTGCATCAAGATAAAATTCATATAGAATAACTTATAAAGCTAACTATTTGCATCTAAATAGTAATCAAAATATTGATGTTTTTTATAATTTAAAATCTACCCATCATTTTCATCGATAACCAATTAAGCCAATCAAGAGTTTCTTTTTGGAATGTTTAAACTCACATACTAAAATTCTTGCATGGTAAGCAATTTAATAAATATATATATAATAATAATAAATCTTTACTCTTTTTTAATAAATAGTGCTTATCAAAAGTGTTTTGATAAACTCTATTAGAATATATTCTATCTTTAAGAAAATATCCTATTTCTCAATAAAAATCTTAAAAATCTGACTGTTAATATTTTTATTAAATGTAGCAACATTATTCTTAATAAGTTATACCTTAAACATATCAATAACCTTAGAGAAACGCTTCCAATTCACCTCTTTAAAGGGTTGCTTCTCCACAACATTTTACACCCACACATAATTAACCCAAATAAAAATATGAAGGTGAGACTAATAATCATTACTCAAGAGATTTGAGAATTAATAATAGATAAGCTAGCAATCTTCCTAATGGGCAATCTTATGAAAATATGGTCTTAAGAATTTAAACTTTAGAGAAAGAGAACTAGAATCTCAAAAAATAGCTTGAAAATGCTAATAATCAAATTCAAATATTAAACTAAAAAGTAAATCAGCATCCAACTCAAAGTCTTCTTAAAACTACTACATTTGAACTTGTTGTTCTTTAAAAAGCTGTAGAATAATTAGAAGGGTTGAAGAATGGGTTAGCTAAAAAAAAGTTGTTAGGAAGTAATAATCAAACAAGACTTCCTGAATCTTAAAAAGATGTTGGCAGTGAATTTAAGAGTAAAGTAACATTAGCAGAAGAAAAAAATAGTTAATCAATTTAATAATCACAAGTAATTGTATTAAAATATTCATAAAAGGCAAATCTATTATTTCCAAAAGAACAATAAGTCTAAAATTATTAATCTAATCCCCCTAATAAAGAGGAAACATAAGAAGAAACAAGATAGGGAAGAAGAATATTAGGAAATACATAATCTGATTAAGTTGATGATAGGACAAAAAGTAGTCCAATTAAATATCTAAATGTTAAAGCTAATGCTAATTAGATTTCATTAAGAATATCTCCTAAAGGAAGATCACAAGTATCATAAAATTGATATGTATATAAAAATAGTCATTTCTACCTTTTTAAAAAAATAAATTCTTTTAGATTATCTCTATCAATCAATCAATTAAAATATTAAATAATTAATTGTTTATTAAAAAAAAAGAATTAAATCTTGAAAAATAAAATTATATAGTAACTCATTTCTTACTTCTCTTCTTCTTTTTTGACTTTTTTTTTTTTGCAAATGGATCCACTTTCATTCCAAATCCTGGTGGAGGTAAAGTATTTCCTTCAGGATCTTTTAGATTTATTGGATCTGGAATTAATAAAGCATTAACTAATTTTTAAACTGGAACAGTGACTCCTTTTTTAGCTAATCTTAATTTTATTTCTTCAATTTCCTTTATATTTTTAATAATAAATTTACTTATAATTAATCATAACGAACTTAATCCAATGGTTAGGCAGCCAAAATAGCAGACAAAGGTCTTTTTTACTATTAAGTTAAAGATTAATTTTTTCCATAGATTGACATACTTTACTCAGGTTAAAGACGATTAGCTTCATCTTCCTCTTATAATCCTATGATATTTCCATGTAATTTTTTAATTTTGTTGATATTATGTTTTGATATTTTAGATTCAAGTCCTCTAAAATCAGTATTATTCATAAATTTTGGTTCTTTTTAATAATTAGGTAATTTTTCATTTAAATTTCTAGGTTAACAAGTTTAAGGTCGAATTCTTTTTTATTATCGTTTTTATCCATCATCATCAATCAATCCTGTTTATCCATCAATTTCTATATTATTTTAAATCATCTCTTCCTCTTCATCTGATAGATCACTTAAATCATCTTCCCATTTTGATTTGTTCTTATTCAAACTCAATTAATGATTCTTTTGGATCTACATGATTCATGTATATTAATTTACTTTATTAAGTTCTTTGTAATCTTTTTCTTTATTTTGTCTTTCTTTCATTTCTAATTCTCTAAATCTATTACCATAAGTTGCACTCTCTATTCTTCTATTCATTTCTCTTTCAACTCTAGCTTTATTTGAAGACCATTAATGCATCATAGCAACTAATTCTTCATCCTCTCTTTTTTATTATGCTTCTTTATTTCTAAGTTTTTAATATTTCTTTTAAATATTTAATTCATCAGATTAATTAGAATTTTAATATTATTAAAAACCATCTCTTGTTTCAAAATCTAAGTTTCTAGGTTTCTAATTATTTTCTACTTATTCATCATTCAAAAAAACTTTTATTTAAGGTTCAAGAGTCCTTTCTTTCTTTTTAGCTTCTTCTTCTTAAATAATTAATTTAGCCTCATTCTCAGCTTATCTTGCAGCCAAATCTTCTTCATTTAATAATACTTCATCATTATTATCTACTAAATCTCCTTAAATTACTTCTTCATCTCTCTCTTCAATTATAGCTGTCTTAGCTGATTTTATTGGTTTTGGAAATGTTGATTTCATTTTAATTTTACCTGAACTATCTATTGCACTTTAAGGTCTAGGTGCTTAAAAATTTTAAATGATCCTTCTTTTATAATTAGTCAAACGTTAATCAGGTGGAGGCATTGAATCATGTTTAGTTCTAAATCCATTTTAATAATCATGTAATTAATCTTAAATTATATCTCCTGGAAGTAAAGTCCCTTTACTATATTGAGATTCTTTCTTAAATATAATTTAAATTATTAAATACCATTTAGTCAATACGAATAGTACCAGTAACTCCAGAATCAGGTCTATCTGGATGAGTTTATTCAATTGTTGTTTCTGCATATCCATCTATCACAGTAGTTGGATATCCAGATTATGGTCTCATACTTTTAATTGTAAGAGCACTTTAAGGTCTTTTAGCTTAAGTTACACTACTAAATGGTCTCTTAGTTTATCCTGTTGGTGGTCTAGTTGGTCCTTAATCACTGTCGAGTTTACGACTTTGATAATCTATTTTGGTTATTGTTTCTAAAGCCCAATTATAACACTTTGTTATGAATTTAGCTTGCAACTCTCTATTACGTGTAAAGAATGATATTTCTCTTATTATATTGGCTAAAGAACGAAAAAACTATAGTCTCCACATTCCATTACGTATTCTAGCATTCCTTTATTAGGCATTTAAGACCTGATGAACTTAAAACAGTTACTTCTGCATTAAACATTTCTACCATAGTTATCATACCTTGGTACTCCTCATTATTATCTAAGAATGCTGATTTACATTTATCAACAGTAACTATTTCATAATAATGCATAGTTTCCCAAGTATTTACTTTGTAATTTTCCATCATTTATTAATGTGATACTATCCGCTCTTATAGTTATTGAAATTCTTCAAAAGTATAGTCTCCTCTCCCTTCAAAAGGTAAAACTTCAAACATCAATGGTACATCATTATCATCATATTTAATGACTGAATGATGGATTAGTTATGATTATTGAAGCATTATTTAATAATAATAATAATAATAAATATCAGATGAATTTTTTATCTAATTTATATTTTATCTAATCTTTCTCTCTATTAATAGATGATTACTAATTTTGTTCTCTCTAATTTGCAACTACTAATCATTATGAATATTACTCTTATTATAAGGTGTAGACTTATTTAGTGATTCAAAAAATAAATCTTTATTTGATGGTTTATAAGTACTATATAACTATTTTCTTAATTCTTCTACCCTATTTGTTTCTGGAGTCTTTCTTCGATCCTATAAATATCTCTAATTATCAGACAAAATTCCTTATTAATCACTTTTTGGGTTTATTAATTAAAATGGTTATTTTTTTGGATTTCCTAATTCTGAAGCTTTTAAACTTTAAATCTATTTTTATGGAGAACTCTACTTTTGTTATCTATAATTAAAAAAAATATCTTTTTTCTGTTCTTCAGCTATAAATGTTATATATGAATACCTTTTGGTTTAATGTAATTAAAGTTTAATTTAGGTGAAACATCTCTTTTAATAAATGTATTAGTAGAATCCTTATTTGCTTCTCTATTTTTTAAAATAGATATTCCATCTCCTACTCTACTTTTATTATTTATCTTGTATTATTCCAATTCCATTCTCAGTTTGTCTATATCAAATTTTGAATTGTTGTTTAAATATGGATGAAGTTTTTATGATGCATTTTAGTTTAAATTCTTATCATTTTATACATCCAATGATGTGAATGGCCGATAATTTGAAATATAATCACTAGCATTTTTAGATAATTTTGGTTAAACATTATTTTTTGGACTAAAAAAAGAATGCTTTTATTAATTAGTTTACATCCATGTTCTATCTACATCTATAAGACTTTATTTTTTTGAAAAAATAGTTGGGCTTTATTATCTTTTTTACACTTAAACAATATCATTCAAATAAAACATTCTTTTTTAAGATTGTTCTCTATCATGCATAGATGAGTATTATTATTTAGGAAGATACTAAAATGAATTTACTTGTTATTAAATTTCGTTTGAAGGAAATCGTTTAGGTTTATCACCTTTATCATAATTCAAAAAGGATGGTATTTTACTCAATTAATTATTAGTAAATGGCTTATATTCATTAGGGGATCTTTAAGGTTATGGCCTTTAGTAATATGAGTTATAATATCTTCCCTATCCACTGTCAGTAGATTTACGCTCTGCAGATGATTGACGGTCATAAATATTAAAATTGAATTGCTTCTTCATATCAATTGAATTTGAGTCTAGCAAGTAATTAGAATTCTTAAACATCACACGTTCTTCACTTCTTTTGGACATATTACTGTTAGATTTAATAAATATATATTTTATTATATTGTTAAATTTTTCATTATTATCCTTAAATTTTAGATTAAAGATATCAATATCAGCTAATTAATTGAACAGCTGATGTATACAATAATATATAAACTGTGCAACAAATAGTTTACCAAAAGAATATTTTCTATAAAAATACTTAAATCAGGTATTCCAGCTTAGTTATCAATTACTGAAAATAATAAATACTATCTATTGTTTATAATTGAAGGATCCTTTATGGATTGGTTTATATAAGTTAGAAATTAAAAAAACTGGAAATAAATAGATTATTTTCACTTAATATTAATATTAAACTTAGGTATAAATAAAATAAATTCAACTATAAGCATGATTAATGTAATATTATTTAGGATCTTCATAATCATCCCAGCCAAGAGGCTTGATGTCTTCATCCTAATCTAACCACATAACACGTCTACCTCCTTCCCACAATCCTAATTAACTCTTACCATTAGGCAATATGTATCTACCTTTTCCAGCCTACTTCCCATTTACCCAATAACCTTCATATTCTTGAATTTAATTCATTGATTAATACTTCGTCCATCTGGCCAAACATATACTCCATATCCTTATTTCTTATCATTTAGGTATTCTCCATTATACTATCTTCCATCAGGCCAATTATAAGTACCTCTTCCATTCATTTAACTCTTTTTCCACCCACCTTCGTATTTCTTAATTTAATATAAATATTACTCTACCATCAACCCAATAATGAACTCCATATCCATCCATAACATTACTTTACCAATTTCCGATATAAATAGAACCATCATTCCAAAAATATTTTCCAAAGCCATCTTTCTTTCCATGACTATAATTTCCCTCATATCTAGAATTATCGACCCAAACCTCTATTCCATAACCGTGAGGTTAATCATTCAACCATTCACCTTCAAACTTAGCCCCATTAGCATGTATATATATTCCTTTACCACAAGCCCTATCTTATTTCCATAATCCTTCATAATAATCTCCTCCTAAATGCCAAAACTTACCCTTCCCATCAGCTTTATTATTCTTCCACTCTCCTTCATATTTAGCACCGTCTACCCAAATTTAAACTCCATATCCATCTCTTTATTAACCTATCCACTCACCTTCATAAGATGCTCCACTCTTAAATATATGTTTGCTTCTTCTTTCTCTTTATTTACAATTTGATCTGCTTCCCAACGTTTCTAAAATATCCTCATGATTTCTAAATGCCATTTCATTTTTCTTTCTCTAACTATCACTATTAGACTCTAACTATTTAATGTAAAATTTACAAGAAGTTAAATTTATCTCCATTTTCTTTTCAGATTATGCCTAATTTTGAACTTCATGTTCAACTGAATTTTAAATTGGTTATTTAGATTCTTTTTGCTCTTCCTTAAATGTATTTTCTTATTCATCATCTTCCTCACAATCTTACTAATTATTAGAATAGTGATTCATAGATTATTAGTGAAATTCACTAATCAAAATTTCGTCTTTCTTTTAACAACTCTAACAATTCGAACATTGACTCCCCATTTTCTAAGTAAAATCTATTTGGGTTTAATTTAAAATAAATAATATGAAATTTCAGAGTATAAAATTATATAGTATTAGACAAAAGATGAAAAATCTATAATTTAATTTCAATTTTTAGGATAATAAACTTGGATCATGAAGAAATCTAAAATTGAAAAATACACAATAATTAATGTAACTAAATTATTTTTATACCTATAAAATTTAGTTATAAAATGAAGGATTTTTTAATTATTTGATGAATATTAAATTATTAAATTGATAAAATTGAACTCCTACTATAGATTTTTGTGTTGATTCAAAAACTCTGATGGATTTCTAATAGTACTTACAGATTTTTATAATTTCTCTTAAATTTCAACTAAGTGATATATAGCAGTATGAGTTGTAAAAAAATAATTATGATTTATTATGAAAATGAAATGTATATAGATAATATAAAATCATGAACATGCTTTATAAGGTGTATGTCCAACAACTTTTCCACAATAACTACATTGATGATAAACATCTTTACAATCACCAGATAATAAAGGTATTAAACATAAACAACCAAAGAAAATACATAATAATACAGCAATCCAATATGTATCATTACCTGGTTTATAAGTAATAGTTGTAACTGAATGTTAATTACAAAAAGGACATTAAACTAATGCTGGAGTTCTAAATCCAGAAGCATTTTATACTACTTATGGAGTCTAAAATATAAATTATAAATATACATAAGGAATATAAGGATTTTGTAATACAATACCAGTTATCTATTATTAATAAGGTTATATTAATTATTATTATTATTATTATTATTATTATTATTATTATTATTATTATTATTATTATTATTATT